TGTGGCCATCAAACCTTCACTGCTGCCAAGAGGCGCAACCACAAAGCCAAGGCCTTGGTAGACGATTGACATGAAAACATCCTATAATGCATAATTATATATGTACAGTAATTAATATCGTATATACCAGTAGCAATATAGTATATACAGCGACATGACAGGGCACAACCTCCATGTCCCGTCAGGGTTATTTTGACAAGATGCACTGCCGCCCATGCCCGCGCCCAGAATGGCAACCTGGCGGGGAAGACCCTGTCAAGACCGCGAAGATTTCAGCAACTGCCTTGGCTCCCCTGTGCCCAGAGAAAAGGCACCAAGGGATGAAAAACCCAAGACATCCGCAAACCTTACTTCCAAGCTTCACCACAAACACCGGGACTATCCCCAATAGCTCTGTGCGCCCGCAATCGTCCTGCACCCCTACGAAGCCCTGCAACGCGTAATCGTCCTGCGCCCCTCCGAAGCCCTCAATAACCCCGCTCACCCAAAAATCGGCCTCTATAACATTCTAACTAATGCTAACCCTAAACCCCTACAACCCTAAACCCCTAAACCCTTCAACCCTAAAACCCTACAACCCCGGTCCCCCCCCCCCTCCCTCCCTTAAACCCTAAACCCTAAACCCTAAACCCTAAACCCTAAACCCTACACCCTTCACCCTTCACCCTACACCCTACACCCTAAACCCTAAACCCGACACCCTGCACCAAACTCCCCTTGGCGGAACCTTGAGCCGCCGTCCCGACCGGAGAGCTTCCGCGCGTTTTACGCGGGCGTCTGAGGCCAGGAGCCGCCTCTTCGGGCTTAGGGCTTAGGACTTATAGGGTTTAGGGCTTATAGGGTTTAGGGTTTAGGGTTTAGGGTGCAGGGTGTAGGGTTTAGGGTTTGGGTTGATAGAGGGTTTGTAGAGGGTTTGTATCGGGTTGACATAGGCTTTGTAGAGGGTTTGTAGTTTGTAGAGGGTTGATATAGGGTTTGTAGAGGGTTCGTATAGGGTTGATATAGGGTTCGTAGAGGGCTTGTTTAGGGTTGATATAGGGTTTGTATAGGGTTTGGTGACTGGAGTAGGGCCGCCTGTTTTTGTTTTTTTGCCGCAGCTTGAGGCATTAGAATCAGAGCGGTTGCAGTTTGTGGGTGGTCGGCCAGGTTGCGCAAGCTGCTGTTGTGGCGTAGCTCGGCAACTCGGCTCCTTTTCCACGTTCCAGTGTCCAACATTCTCCGAGCAGTGCCTGAGAGAAAGCAAGCCGATGGTTCGGACCCCCGACGCGCGTGCGTGCATGCGCAGGGCCTCCTGAAAAACCCTCGCCGAGGCGTCGTGCGCGTTCCCAACTCCCGGTTCCGCGCGCTGCAAACATCTCGTAGCTTTTTGCGGGGTCATCCTGGAGTGCGTTTTTGGGGGGTCATCCTGGAGGGTTGTTGCAGTGCGCATCTGGAGTGCTGTAGGGGTGCTCCTGGGCAGATATCCACTTCTTCTTACAGTGGTCTGGAGCCAGTCCCTAAACCCTAAACCCTAAACCCTAAACCCTAAACCCTAAACCCTAAACCCTAAACCCTAAACCCTAAACCCTAAACCCTAAACCCTAAACCCTAGACCCTAGACCCTAAACCCTAAACCCTAAACCCTAACCCTAAACCCTAAATAAGCTGTTGTGAGCACATGAAAACATGGCCCCCGCTGACAATACCCCACAGCCTCACCAGCTCGATGATCGAGTCCTGCAGTGTGCTTGAACCATGCATGCCAATTTTGTATATTGCATGTTGTATACTATAAATTAGATATTATATATTTTATAATATATATATATATATTGTATTCATTGTGTTTTGTATATTTCATTAATACTTTATGCAGTATGGATTTAGGTTTTCGAGTATAGACTGAAGGTTATAGATTGTTAATAATAGGTTGTAGATTCTAGATTATACGTATTATGCCCTATACTATCTACCAGATAGTACTGTACTTTTTATACTGCATTATGTATTACATTTTGTATAATATAATATTCGTAATAGTTTCTATGCTTTTGTGAAAACTACAGCTTTGCAGCCCCTTTACAGCCCCATCGTTCGGTCCTGGTACCAAGCGGCGGTCAAAGCTACCGAGCACAGCAACGCAAGCCTGACCATATGGGGCATCTGGAAAACTAGGGTTGAAGGTTTAACAAGTCATTTTTTAAATCAATGTACTGGAAATTTCATGCGTGCACACAGCACCGATTGATGAGCCTGTCTACGCGCCACATGCCGGCGGCCACGGCTTCGCGCAACATAGTGGCAGCAGCTGGTATCTACATGGCGCGCGCGGTTTACATGCAAGTTCGATGATGATGCTCGCCACGTTGCCTGTCAGTTGGTAGCAGCATGAAAAGCTTGCTCAACTGCTTGCTTCAACAGCCCATCCAGCAGAAGTAGACCACTTCTCGACATGAATCATTGCGGTTTTGTTTCCTATCCAGCCCCAAGGCTGCAGTTGCAAGGTACCGAACTCTTGAAGACATGCAACAAAATCTCGTACTTAGGACTTAGTCGTGACGGCCCGAAACAGCTGTCAGGGTGCAGTCCGCGGGAAATCGAAAACGTGTGACGGTGGCAAAAACGGTGCCGACAACACCACACATCCGGGAGGAACTCAAAACCACTTTTTGAAGAGGGTTGCGGCCAAGATAGACGTGAAAACACGAAGCTGCCTGTCATAACTCAATTCTTAAGGGCAGGAATTCGTCCGAACTTCACAACTGTGTTTCTATTGCAGTCTTCGGAAGAATGTTGCGGAGCATGGTGTTGCCTCTATGTTGTTGTTTTGATTTTCCTGTTTAGGCTTTAGGGTTTCGTAGTTCTGGTTCGAAGTTTGACGCTGTAATTGCTTGCTGCCATTTTTTCCCTGCATGTTTTTTCACCCATGTATTGCCACCCCTTGTTTTTAAGGGGCTTAGGTATTGTTCCTCTTTTCCCAAAACGAAGACGAAACAACCATTGTGACCAACAAGAAAATGCGGCACCCAATCCTGCAAAAGCAAAACGCCGAATTCCCAAACAAACGAGCTTTTCACGCCCAATTTTGTGTCCGCCCCGCCCCCCCCCCCCCCCCCCAGACCACCTTTTCTGCTGTGGACGTCCATGGGATTCCATGGGGAAGGGGGCAACAACGAACGAATTGACCATGGCACTCCCAAAACTGTCACAGGAAAGGAAATGGCATCCGCACATTTGTGATTCAACTTGCCGTGTCCGGCAGCTTTCTAAGCCCTCAGCGGCAGTGGTTGCTGCAGTTTGGCATCTATGCTCAACATCTCTAGACCGAACAGGCATCCTTACAGGAGCTGCCTGAAGAGGTACCGCCCAAATTTGGGCCTTTCGGTTCCACGGGGCTTTCAGCCCCGAGTTCGGTAGGCAAATGTAGGCAGGAAACTCTCTTAAAGTTGTCGAGGTGTTCCCCGATATGCAGGCTCGCACTGAGCGCTCCAGCACATAATGGAAGGCACCGCGGGTGCTTGTCGTCGTGGAGTTCACCAGAAAATCTTGGGGTTGCGGGGCCTGGTGTAGCGGGCTGTTGGGTTTAGCATTCGGGTCTTGGCTGGGTTTTAGGGTTTTTTGAGTTCTTTAGGGGTGTCGAAGGTTAAATGGTTCAGCTATGTGCTGTAGGTTTTGGGCCATGTGGCTTTGTAGGGCTTAGGGTTTATTCATGCGCGTGCGCAATGCTAGAGAATGGAAACGAGCAGCATTTCCCGTGAAAATTGTGGCGAAGCATGCGTGCTACTGCACGGCAAGTGTGGAAGCCTGTAGGCCAGCATGCATGAGTGTGCAAAACCAGGCGTGCGCGCATGCAAGTGAGCGCGTGCGCATTTGTGCTTGCAATGCCTGATGTAGCTGCTACAGCAGAGCAGCGAAAGCTCAATTTCTCCAGCTTTTGTGCTAAACAACTACTGCGCATGATGCGTATTTATGCGGTGCAAGCTGCGCCACGTCGGACGGTCTATCCGCGCGGCAGGCCGCCGGATTCATGTGAACAATTCGAGTCAAAGTGTGGCCTTACTTGGAAGTTCACGGGCAGATGCAAGTGGGGTATTATGGTGATAGCCAAGTAAAACTATCGTTACCTCACTTACAACCCTGGCTTTAAGAGCCCATGAAGCTCCAAGCAGGACTGAGCCAGTGACTAAGCTCAAGCCCTAGTTTGCACCATCTTCGTGACTCCCCCCCCCCCCCCCCCAGGACCCCATTAATCTCTGCAGCTTTGCAGTGCCTTCCTCATCCCTATAAAACGCCACTCAGTGACCGAGGATCAATCGTGCAAGAAAGTTCCGATCTTTGAGTGAGTAGCCAGCTGCCACGCAACCAATACTTTTATCATATCGGTGGTGGCCGGTCGGCCACGATTACCGTTGTGCAATGTTACGGCTGACTTGGCGAGCAGTTCAGAGCGCTTTGATCAGCCCGTGCCTGGAACTTGTTTAGCCCATTCATGCTTTGGTTTGAGTCTTGAGCATGCTCTGACTGTGCGCAATCCAAGTCATTTGGCAAAAAGAGCTAAAGGGCAACGAGCGAGGACATGTCTCAGTGCTTGGGCAGATGAAGTGCCATCGGCATTTAACCCTAACCTCCCCCTTTTGAACCCAGTCTCGGACAAGCTAGCTGGGAGCAGCAACCCTTGCAGAGGCTTCATACAGGGCTCAGCCCATGCATGGCATGCATACGGGCACCACTTGACCCCAAACCCTAAACCCTTTGGCAGCGGGCGTGCATAAACCCTAAACACTATACCCTAAAGAGCACCAAGCCTAACGTGGCCTCGCGCCAAAAGCGTACTGAGTACGAGCTATAACTGCGCCTTAGGCGCCGGGCGTTCTACGACTTTCCCAGGCCAGGAAAGGTCTGGCAAGGCGTCCGTTTAGGGGGTTTTATCGAGTTTCAGGATTTAAGGCTTTCGGGAAGGAGAAGCCTCCTGCCAACTGATGGAAGCGATTCATTCGGTACTGAGCGCACGAGATGTGTGCTCAGTAGAAGCAGTGCAGTGGGGGTAGCGGTGCAGCCCCCGCTGGAAGCTTTCGCGGAGTGCGGATGATGGTGTCCATGGGAAGCATCTTTCTTCCCGACTTCCTGGGCCGAGGTCTTATAATAGGGGTCCCTATATAAACCCCAAAAGTAGAGAATCCCCTTATAAAAGAACCCCGATAAGGTACCCAAAATATCGTAAACCCCCCTTGTTGCTGCTGTATCCCTTTGGTTCGGCTTTGGCTAGTACAGTAACTGAGGCCACGAGGTGGGTGGTCGGCAAGTGCCAGGGGGTCACGGCTTGAGTACTTCGTACTTCTATTCAGGTCAGACTTAGGCTACCTCTACTCGTATCCTGAACTCAAGAGCACATTACTCCTAAACCCTTAACCCTAAACCCTTGTAGAACTCTATTCCATTCAATGGCCTGGCTGAGACCCAAAGATCCGCTCACAGCGAAATGCGACTACCAGTAGGGGGGGGGGGGGGGCTTTAGCAAGGCTTGCGGAAGCACCCTCAGCAAAACGACCCCTTGAGGTTTCCATTTTTTCCCGAAGCGGGCACTATAAGCTTTGAGGAGCTAGTCCAAAAGCGGCACCCGGGCAAGTGAAAGTTGCAGACCAAGGGACAGCTTCGATAACATTGGGAGGACGGTGACCTGACCTGGCGCTCTTGCACAGGGGGGCCACCGACTTCAAGGGGACTCTCTCTCTCTCTCTCTCTCTGCCGCGCCATGGGGGACTGCAGGCAGCTTTCTAGCAACTTCGGGGGCATCTGATTTCTCGGCCAGTTTCGACTTTCAACTTTCCGCCGCTGCTTAATTGAACATGTTGTCCTTTGAGTTGTCTTGCGCCACCCCAACAGCAATCTCAGAAATCTCAGGAGCCATGCATCGCGAGACATCAGACATCTTCATGATGGGCAGGCTTCTTCAGGATGCTCGGGGACACGATTCGGCAGGGCAAAGACATGACTCAGGGAAGGATCTGGGGTCAGTGTGTTGGAGCATTCCACTCTTCCCTGAACGCCGAAAGCCCTTCTACTACGACACGCTTTCAAGCTGTGGGCCGGGCTGTCAAGTATGGCTCTAGAACGAGGCTGAGAAACCTCTAGGAATTCGCAGGTTGCTCTATCGAACCCATGGGCTTAAGACCTGGACGCAAGGGAACCTTCATCCAACTCCCTTGGCTATAGGAGTCATCAGCGGGGCATGGCCTTTGCCCGTCATTGGAGGCCGGGGCTTCTCCACCTGCAGGCATCCGGGTTTTTAGCCCCGAACTGCAGATGCAGGCTTGAGGACAGAGTCCACACATTGTCCACACAACAGACAAGCAGGCCAAGAGTAGGTGAGATGGCTCCCCCCCCCCCCCCCCCACCAGCTCCGGCCTTGAGTGGTGCCGGATTCCGGTCCTGTTCTTTCTGCAAGGCCGCCAGCCTCGGATTCTCTCAAGCTTCCCATCCCTCCTACTCCTCTCTAGATGGCAGAATTTCAGAGGCGGTTCAAAAAGTGCTTGCTCTTTTTTTTGCTCAGGGAAAGCTTCCGAAGCCGTGTTCAAAAAGAAAGGATTTCTCAAGAATCTTGATCCAGTATCACCTCATGCAGCCACCGCTGCAGATGTTGTCTGAAGAACGCTTGTTCACTTGCAGGCGGTTGCGGCAGGTGATGGGTTCGATTTCCGGTTCCAGTGTTTCAGCCCGTCATGGTTCAAGTCTCTCTGCACTGGGGGGATCTTTCTCTTATCAAGGGAGGCGTGGAGGGGGTGCGAAGCACGCTGGAGGCATTGTCGGAGGGTTCCTGTCGAGCATCCTAGCCTGTATGTCTCTCCACTCCGAAGCGCATGGAAATACTTACTTTGTTAATAGTAATCATAATCATAGCAATACATGTGCTCTCAGAGGCGCTCCATACTAAAGATGCCATCCCTGAAATCTCATCTTTTTTTGATAGTGGCACCCGAAATAGCTCGAACAGGCGGAGCTGTCTCTGAAGCCTCTTATCATGTGCCCTGACCTACACCTACACACCACAGCACCGCCTCGAACTCTTACTAGCTCATTATTGGCTTGGCCCTGGGACAGCCAAAGCATCGCAAAACCCTATGACGGCATATTATGAGCACTAGACGCCAACAAAAGTCTTTCTCATCGGGCTTGCCTCGAATCAGGTGCTGCAAATACGTACGTGCGCCTGGTCAATCTGTGCAGGACAAGCTTCAGAAGCTCCTGCCCACTCTCTTGCGACAGCTCGAGTTCCATCTCGCTTCGATTGAACTTGGCCAGTGCCTGCCGCAGCTCGCACATCGGTCTGGGGGGAACTGGGCCGCAGGGTCTATGGTTTCGGGGCGAGCAAAGCACTAGTCGGGCTGGGACTGCTGGCTCTTACTCGGGCATTCAGGAATCGGAACCAGGAAACTCTCTAGAGCGCAGCCCGACTTCCCACAAACCCTGATACAAGACTCCCCCTACTAAGTGCTCCTTAGGCCCTGACCTGCAGCACCCTCGCCAGTCGCTCGCTATGCGCGCTGGTGCTCGGTGCACGAAGCTGCTCGACGAGGTGGCGAAGGATGCCTGGAACAGCTTAAGCTTAGTTGTCCAGTAACCTGGGGGAACTAAAGTTTAACCTTTAGGATTATAAGGGGATTCTATTATCCCAAAAAGGTTAAAGGTTACCTACTCTACTACTAGGTAGGTGTGGCAGGAGGTTTGGTTTCATTGATCTTTGAGTTACTGATTACTGCACTTGCTGCCTTCTGCACAGGCAGTTTTTGTTGCTTCAAGGTTTGCATGGACTCTATCAACCACAAGCCGGATGATCCCAAGATTTGCTCGAGTCTGGGGTGGGAACGCAATCTCGAACACGGTGCCAGTATGTGCCAATACCATCAGCCACGGCCACAGTAGACAACGATTTGCGTGCGCGGCCCTCCCTTCACACCAGGATTTGATCCAGTCAGTCGAGCTCCGCCCCAGACGATGCCATGTGGTCTAGGGGCTATTCCCGAAACGCAGAAGCGAGGCAACGAAGTATCCTGAAACCCGCGGATCCGGCACTTCTGCAGAGTGAGGCTCCCATGGATTTGGGGGAATTTGCACCACAACGTTGGCAAGCCCAAGCGGGGTTCCCCAAGAGCAATCGGAGGCCTGAGGCCAGCATCGCTGCTGATGTGCGCCCTGTGGCGGCAAGCAACACCAGGACCCGGGCCGCATTGGCCCCACCTGAATAGTCTCTATATGGGATCAACATGCGCTACCAAGAACTCGCAACTGCGGAAGACTTGACATGTGGAAGCATGCTGCGGTCTGGGCTTTGAGGCTCTTGCAAAGCAGCCACTAGATGCCTTTTTAGAAGGTTGCCATACTCTGCATGGCCGCTGCGTCGAAGCTTTACGGCAAAGAGGACGCAGCTTCGGACATGCCGAGCACTTCATGGTTCCCCCTATACCCTGAACCCTAAACCCTAAACCCTAAACCGACGTGGAGCGGGAGAAGCACCGAATCTCGATCGGTTGCTCCTTCTGCAACCCCCCCTGAAAGCCGGAGCCTGTGTTGACTCAACCTCCCGTAGGCATGCAAAACACAAACTCGTACAGTACTGTACTAGTTCGTCCAAGGAATTGGGAAGTAGGCACCTTGTGACGTATGATCCCTGGCAAACCTTATTCAAATTCCCTCCTACGAACCACTGGGGCATAAACTCTGAGATCATCTGAGCCGGAGGCAAGCTTCGTGGCTGGAACTCAGCATGACCTGCTCTGCTGCTTCTGCTAGTAATATCTTTAATTACGATTACGATCAAAGTACTATGTCATGCCTGCTGTGCTGGGTTGGGTAGGATCCAATCAGGGAGAATATCAACGTCAACACGTGTTCCTGTCACCAGACACTTCTTCAACGTGCAACTTTTCTCGTGAATGTAGCCAGTCAGGTTCCTCCAACACGAAATGCTTTTAGGCCAGCGGCAAGAAGCGGAGTAAGGACTCCGGCATCCATCATGTGTGCTGCAATCTTCTTGAACGTGCCTCTGCAACATACAGGGCGACACCAAAGGAACCCTGCACCCTAAATTCTCCCAGCTACTGCTGGTACATTGTGTGCTGGTACTACGTTCTGAGGGCCTTAGGCCTTAGGCATTAGGGATCCAACTAGACATGGGACAGACACTTGGAGCATCAAGGAGCCGTCTCGAGAGCTACAGTAAAACTTAAGAAGTTTCCGGCAACGCTGGTGAGCTCCTTGCCCACCAGCATAAGCATTTACAGGAGTTTCGTACCTAATCTGAAGCAAAGCTTTGACGAAGTGCGTCTTCGATATTTGGGTCTCCATCAGCATCTGACTGATCTCTCAAGGCAGCTCATCCACTTCATGCGAAGCCAAGCTGGCCAAGCTCTCACCCTGGATATCCCTGGATCCTCAACCCTGTGAGACAGCCGAACAGCCACCTTGCACTTCCCCACCCCCCCCCCCCCCCCTTCCCCACATCAGTCAACACAGCAGCACTTCTGCCTCGCCTTGAGCCCCCAACACTTCCCAAACCAACGGCACCAGGCCATTTAATCAAATGAGCAGGCCCTCTGCCCTCTGCCTGAGGATGCCAGAGTCGAGACCCCGCTAATCGTACGCCGGGCCACGCTTGTCCTGGGTCTGGGTGAGCACTGCAAGCGCGCCTGCCGCCTCAGCCTGACAGAAAGGAGGGGTTTAGGGCCTTTGGCTGCGGCGGCTATCAAACTGCTTGGACCCGATTTTTTGCAACTGAAACCCCCAAATCCTGAAGTCATCCACAGATCGTGAAGCCCTAGACTATGCGAGCGTCCAGACTTGCAATTTCTTAGCGGCTTATAGTCATCATGCTTTAGTTGCCAGCCAGTAGTTCTTTCGCTGAGGCAGGGCTTGTCGGGATTAAGAGTCTTTGCTTAACGCATTTGGCGAGCAATGATATGCAGAGCAGTGGGAGTTCGTCGCATAGGCTTGCAGAGCCTTGCAATCGTGGCTCCCCTCGTCGAGCAGACCTGGAAATTGGAAAATCAGGTCCCAGGAATCGAGTTTCACTGGTTCATGGAGTCTTCTGAAGAGTCTTCTGTGCTTAGCCATATGAACATCAACAAATTCTTCTCATCAAGGGCGGGCAGCGGAGCAGCTTTTCCACGATTTGTGATTCCTGAGCTCGATGCGGCCGTGGCAGGTGAAGCAACCACAGAATAGAGAAGGCCACGCCAGCAATCACAGGGACACGAGCCATGACAAGGCGCAGAACGATGACAATAGCGGCAACAAGGAGGCATGACCCCAACAGGAATTGCGTGTGCCCGCGCCTTTGACAGAAACCTGTACGGCAAGTGCACCAGTAGTCTTAAGAGTGAGTGCTCATTCATGTTCATTCGTTTGCTTTATGCTAGTGCGACGCTGCTTTAGATAACTGCCGAGACGCAATCAGCGCTCTCCGCCGTGTATCTGTGGAGGCCAGCTGGGCAATGGCGAAAGCAGCCGGCAAATTTACCTGAGAGGTGGAACCCAGTTCCGTGCGGTGCTTGCGCGGACATGTGCGGATCTTGCGCAGCTTCCGCACATGTGCTCTTGCACGTGGGTCAGCGCTCAATGCTCGCATGTTCATGCAGTTCTCCTCTCCCCATTATGAACATTAGCCAGCACACCAGCAACTCAGAGGGCCTCAGCTTATGCACGTAAGAATAAGAATTCTGCAAAATGTGACCCATGGATAATCCTAGAGACACAAGCTCTGCTAAACTGTGTTTCGCGCATCAGATAGGTGGTGTAACTGCTTTCAGAGGACCTTAACAGCTTAACGTGTACATCCGCATGGCCAGCGTAGGACTGCCTCACGTATATGCACACTGTGGTTGAAAATATTGGATCCTGCGGTTCATCCCAGCTTTGCACCGTTCTGTCCCGGGGCCTCGTCCGGATAGCTGCTGTCAAGGAAGCTGAGAAGGTTGCTAAGGAAGCCCTGCCAGCAGCTCTTGCACTTAACACACACACACACACAGACACACGCGAACAAAGGAGTGTCAGAGAGAATCTGCCCCGAGTCTTCGCTGCTTGCGCTCGACAGCTGCCGAGGAATCTTGAGTCTCCCATGGCGAGTTCGTGTTGAGAACCGGTGTGCCATACTGGCTGCGGTTCTTCCTCAATGCTTCTATTTTGCCATTTCAGGAGTAAGCAGCAACAGGAGCATTCCAAGATAAAACAACTGACACGGCCAGACGAAGATGCTGGCCCAGAAACTGAAGTTCCTGCACATGACGATATTTTGAGGGATCCGACTTGCGAAATGAACAAAATCTCCGCGAAAAATGTACTCCACGTGAAGCAAATGCCTGTCCTCCTGTTGCAGACAACACACCCTGTGCCTCAAAGAGGCCCGAAGCCACGTCCTGACACAGTCTCTACAACTTGCTTGAGAATCCCGCCGAAATAACATTTTCAAATTCCTTTATGTAGGATATCATAGTATATCACAGTCTGTCATAGTAAGTCATAGTATATCATAGCATATCCTAGTATATCATAGAGTATCATAGTATATCCTAGTATATCACAAAGGGTTTCGCCGCTCACGCTCGCACTCAGCAGGGGCAAGGCTTCGGATCTACGGAGTCATACTACCACTGCAAGGAGGGGGCCCCCTTACTATAGTTACTATGGTTAAGGGACTTCTAGCCTACGTTCGGATCCTTGTAACCCAATTTAGGGCTCTTCTAAGTCTACTTGCAACTAGGGGGCACCTCCTTGTACATACCACATTGGGCACATAGTTCCAGTCCAATAAGACGAGAGACTAGGCCAGACACAGACCCGCACCATCCCTCAAAGCGAAAAAAGGGTTTAGGGTTTAGGGTTTAGGGTTTAGGGTTTAGGGTTTAGGTCAGCCTAGGTAGAGGGCATCCCCTGTATTCCAGGGTCGCACAAGTTGTCGCAAGGATAATGAGCCAAAGTTTCAGTTCCAGCGCTAAACTCCCTTGCCGTCCAGCCTAAACCCTAAACCCTAAACCCTAAACCCTAAACCCTAAACCCTAAACCCTAAACCCTAAACCCTAAACCCTAAACCCTAAACCCTGAACCCAAAACATCCCTAAACCCAAAACCCCGAACCAGCCCATCCCCCGGTGCACATCTGAAGCTTCGCTCCTGGTTTGTTGCCAAATGCCCCAGCAGTCGCACCTTGGATGCAGGGCGCAGGTCGAGGCCAAACTTAAGACGATGCAGTAGTTGTGCAATACTCCTCCACGTGAAACATGGATGTTCTTCGCCGACGGAGCGAAAGTAACCACAGGTTATAATCACATCAGAGCTTTTGCGAAAGGCTCTACGACTTTGGCGGTATCTTTCTCCAATCTTTGTCGGACCATTATTTTCTTGCAACGAGAGAGATGAATGGGGCTGTTTGTGCAATCCTTGCATTAGAGATGGGCTGACATGGGCAGTCACTCCCCCCCGCAAACTGAACTCCCAAGGAACCGCGTGGGCCAGTGTTGTGGGGGAGTTGCTGTCCAACATGGCCGTCAAGTATGGAGGCATGCCTCGTCACATCAGAAGATTTCAGGCCGAGAAAAGGCAGGTTTAGGGTTTAGGGTTTAGGCTTTAGGGTTTAATGTTTAGGCGACCTCGGGTGTGGCAGACTTTGGCAAGCAGGCCCTTCTCCCGGTCCCTCATGACTCGTAGCCGTGCCTGCCACATTCTCAATCATGTCAGCAAGGGTGGGCGCGAAACTAACCTGTCACCTACATTATATTCTGGGGGTTTCCGAAGTTAGGGGTACCTTTTTGGGGCCGGTAATGTACGGGGAGTCCTACGATTTTTGGATCTACATTAGGGGTCCCCCCCCCATTTTCGTACAGCCCCCCATATGGCACGTCCCAGCAAGGCCTCTCTCATTTGCAGAATCCCTAAACTCTAAACACTTTTTTAACCACCCTTTTTGCACAGGCTTGTCTCAGCGCGCCTCCACCCTAAACCCTAAACCCTGAACCCTAAACCCTAAACCCGAAACCCTAAACCCTAAACCCTCATCTGCAGAATCCCTAGCCTGGCCTCCAAGGATGAGCTCCTCCCGGACCTGGCTGTGCCCCGAAGACACAAGACAACGCAAAAAATGCACACGTGCACGCTGTAGGTATATGAATCTATATGAATCTATATAGGTATATGAATCTATATAGGTATATGAATCTATGTAGATATATGAACCTATATGTATATAGCGTAGCATAACTAAATCTACAAAAGTAGGCAAACTAATCTCATACGATCTCATCTGATGTCGTATATCTTTCTGCCAAACCAAAACGGCGCGCAGCATTATCAAGTTGGGCGGCTAGAGGGCCAAAAACTTTGGTGACCATGCTGCGCCATTGCACATTCAAGTACATGAACAAAAACAATACTAAACCTAAAGGTTTAGGGTTTAGGGTTTAGGGTTTAGGGTTTAGGGTTTAGGGTTTAGGGTTTAGGGTTTAGGGTTTAGGGTTTAGGGTTTAGGGTAATCTTCGAGGGCGGCAGAAACCCAAGGCGGGAAACGGCTTAAGCCGGCAGCAACGCCCTTGCCTTCTCACCTGCGGCGACATGTACGAGAACAGCACTCGCAGCCTGTGGCGGAGGTTCTCGTCCGCAAGCGAAGCCCTAGTGAGAGTGGTGACCACTAGTACATCATGGGTTCCCCTACCACGCCCCTCTATACAACCCCGCCCCGCCCTGCATCATGAAGGCTATTCAAGGATAAGCCGAATTCAGGTTATTTAAGGTGGAACCTGGGGGTGTAGTTTAGGAAACCCATGAGTACAGCTACAAAGAGTGGGACTGTTCAAACTTCCTCCATCATCGGGAGCAAGGTCCCGCCCGGACCGCTGAATTGAACCCCTGCCTCTTCACATTCGGGATCATCGGTCGCGAAGAGCTTCATGAGAGCGGGGACGCCGCCTGCCATGGATAAACGTGCACAAACTCCTGTTGCAGTCATGGCAGGGCTTGCAGCTTCCAGGATCAACCAATGCTCGGTACCTCGTTATGACAAACATATCTGAGCAGCATCCCCTCAGGCAGGAGGGCGGAGCCTGTCGTGACGAGAATGCGCTTGCCAACTGCGCAGTGTCCAAGGTTGGCCAGTGCCTTGGCTGCCTGAAGGGACGGATAGGGTTGTGCATAGTGCCACTGCGCACCCGAGTTTCTCAGCCAGCACAGGGCCTATATGTCCCCAAACCCTAAACCCTAAACCCTAAACCCTAAACCCTAAACCCTAAACCCTAAACCCTCTGCATCTTCAAGCGCATACTGACCAGGCCTTGCATCTTGCGTCCCGGGAGTTGTCTGACAGCATGGCTACCAAAGGCCTTAGCTTGAGTTACGTCCATGAAGATTGCGATCGTCAGCAACACCCATGGAAAGTGTCTCAGACAGCTGTGTGTAGATAAGTGTCTGCACTGCACCAGCAGCTACGAAACGCGCACGCACATCATCTGAAGTCCTCGGTTCGGGCAAAGCACTGGCAAGGCACGACACAACGGCGCTCTCACGAACAGCAGTCATGCACATCCTTCAGCATTAGGGTAACCAGTCTACCTGCGTAGCTTGTAAGCCGCAGCTAGCACCAACTGCATCGTGACCAACTCGCCAGCAGCACTAACACTCCACTGGTTTAGGGCCTAAGGTTGTCGATCAATTCCCCCAAAGAAACTTCGTGCCTCAAACCCCAAAGCATCAGAAAACCCTCTTGAAGCCTGACCCTAAACCCTAAACCCCAAACCCTAAACCCTAGACCCTAAACCCTAAACCCCAAACCCCAAACCCTAAACCCTGGAATGGATTGGCCAGGCGGCAAGAGGGCCTCCATAGAGGCCACGGCTTGGAGGGAGTCGTGCGCGGAGCCCCAGGTCATGCAGTGCACCTCTCTGAGGTCTGCTTAGGGTTTAGGGTTTAGGGTTTAGGGTTTGGGGTTTGGGGTTTGGGGTTTAGGGTTTAGGGTTTAGGGTTTAGACCCCCAAGTAGCCCTGAATAGGGGCCTAAGTGTTCCTTCACGAGGTGTGTTTAGGGCATCTTAGAGGATACTTGGGGGTTATTGGGGTTGAGGTCTTCGGCCCTCGCACTCGCACTAGCTGGGTTTCGGGTGTTTTTTCGTCCTGCACAGCTGGCGCGAGTGGGTGTTTAGGATTTTATGTTTAGAGTTTGGGATCCTTTTGGCTGTAGGGTTTAGGGTAGGTCTTAGGAATTGAGAAAATATGTATAAATGATTGTTGGGATTGAGCCTGACTTCATGTGCAGGCAGTGTGCTATGGGGCTGAAAGGGATACGGACTGATTTGGCGTATGTGCAAGATACAACTCCACGATCCTCAACAAACTTTGGGGCACACCTAGACACGGCGGCGAGCGCTGTATGAGTCTGAGTTACTCTGGGCAAGCGCACAATGGCCTTCGAGTGCAGCATTACACCGTGTTTGCCTCCCTACTGTAAGCCTGCCATGGCCCTGATAATCGAAGGCCCTTCCAACCAAGTCCGCCATGGTATAGTTGTCTTTAGAATACATGTCCTGCAATATTGGCTGGTAGCCGAGTGAATACGTACAGACACAGCATCGCAAAAGTTGGGGGCACAACGTGGATCCTTGCAATGTTAAGGTCGGTCAAGTATGCGGAATGATGTGACGCAACCTTGGCCTTTGCACATGGCATCTAGCTTCTGCAGCCAACTCGGCAAAATGTATCCAACACGTCTGAGGTGCACATTTTTTGCTCTCCAGCTCTCGCGACCTATTGTCGACAGGGGCCGAAGGTGTCCGTGACTCCTCAAATCACCAAGGAAGTCACGTCGTTCGCACCAGCATAGTTCTCGGCTGCGTCGGTCCACTTGTCCTCGGAATGTTTTGGCTATGATTCGATCAGTGCACTGAAACGAAGGCGGACTACTTACCGCCGGTTTAGGGTTTGTAGGCTTTATAGGGTTTAGATGGGTTTAGGGCATGCTTGTTCACAAGAGTGTTACCGCAGCACCTGACATGCCTTGCAGCACCCACTGGCTGACAAACCGCAGCCCGATGATCATAAGCCCTCGCCCCTTGACTCTCGTAACCCCTTCACCTACCCTGCAACCCTGATCCCGCAAACTTCGGAAACATCCCAGGCTCCACTGCGGTGTCGAAGGATGCGTCGTCCATGGCCATGAGCTCCGCGTCGCCTGGAAAAGGGGCATGTAGCAGGGCAGGAGAACAGACAGCATTTATGGGCCAGTGAAGCTCAGGGTGGGTTGAAGGACTTCAGACTCGCGTTCTTTAACCTCGGGTTACGGTTCTGCTTCTGAGATTGCACGGTGATGGCCTCAGAAAGCATCTATTCAAGCGGTCGGCTTCAGAAAGCTGCTTCGCGGGTTGTTATGGCCGAGCGGCTCGGAAGGAGGGGCGTGAAGGCTTTGCCCGACAGGAGGCGGTCCAGCAGGCCTTATCTGGTGTTCGGCTTGGCTAGTTCATGGTTGGGATAATATTAAAAAATATTCATTCCTTATACAGGGTTTAAGTAGCCTTGAAAATGTAAAATGGTACCCAACTATGACAAAGTTGGGGTGTCAGTGATCCTGGCAAATCCCAATCAGCACGTCTCCAGGATGTGGCAAGAGGTGTTTGGGGACAGATGGCCCCAAGGGCCCCCCAAGCTTGCCCCTCTTGAGCTCGCACTTTTGGAGCCCCGAAGCCGCTTCATCTTAAACCCCTCAACCCCCGAAACGGAGCTGTTAACCCATCACAGGGCTCTTAGATTCAACCGACCCTGAACCCTAAACCCTAAACCCTAAACCTAGTACAACGAGCCTTGTGGGCAACTCCCACTGATCCCAGCCCATCACGCCGCCCCCAACTCGCCTCACATCCTGAACCTCGGAACCCCCGAAAAGCTAAAGCCCCAAAGCCCCCTAAACTGTCCCAAGCGCGGAACTCTGCATTTTGAAACCCTGCAACCAAGCCCAACCCCCCAAGCCCTGAAGCCCAGAAGCCCGAAACCCTACGACCCCCAAATCCAAAACGATCTACCCTTACCCCTAAACTCCCCAAAACCCCCTAAGCCCTCCAAGCCCTCCAAACCCTCCTAAACACCTGAGCCCTCCTAAACCCCTAAACCCCTAAACCCCTAAACCCCTAGACCCCTGGACCCCTGGACCCCTGGACCCCTGGACCCCAACCCTAAACCCCTAAACCCTAAACCCTAAATCCTAAATCCTAAACCCCTAAACCCCGAAACCCCGAAACCCCTAAACCCCTAAACCCCTAAACCCTAAATCCTAAACCCAAAACCCCTAAACCCCAAAACCCCAATCAGTCAAGCATCGCACCGCAGCTTGGGGTCGGAACTGTGGCACCTTGGGGGTTCAGACTCTCAGAGGGACAACTGGGCTCTTGTTTAGGGTTTAGGGTTTAGGGTTTAGGGTTCCTCTAATATAGTGCCCCCCAAATAGTAGGATTCCCTTTCTGTATTGTAAGGACCCCAAGAAGGTACCCCTAATTTCGGAAACCTCCACATAGTTCCCTTGTCATGGTAGCTTTGTTTAGGGTTTAGGGTTGAGTGGTTTTTGGGACTTTTCGGAGGCGTCAAAGGCGTGGGCCATGTGTCCGCTGCCATGGACAGTGACGAAAGAGAGGCCGTGCTCCTGGGCACGTGACGTGGGCTTGTTCAAGGGGACTTCCATACCTGTTACTCAGTGTTGTGAAGAATCTAACCCAAGACCCTAAACCCTTTTGTTTAAGCATATATGTATATATAGATTCTAGATAATATGGATTCTAGATATATTGTGTGTACTCTTACTTAAGTATATAAGCCTGTGTTTAGGCTGGGGAAGGCCAACCTCAGGGGCCGACGAAGCAAAGCGTCTGGTTCTTAGTACCCTAAACCCTAAGCCCTAAACCTCATTCCCTACTAAGAACCAGAAAAGCCGGGACGCGTAGTCCACCACCTGACCGCCGAACTGCGGCCCGGCGGGCTGCAGCTCGAGGTTGGGGCCGAAGAGGTTGGGCTTCCTTGGAGCTGCGAGGGGTTTGGGGTTGAGGGTTTGGGGTTTAGGGTTTTTGATAGGTAGTGAAACTGCACTCCCGGCAGACCAGAAGCTCTTTCAGCGTCCCCAAGTTGGCGGCCGTCTTGTTGTAGAACCAGGGTCGGTAGTGACCTGGGGGGTGTAGGGGTGAGGTTAGGGGGTTTAGGGGGGGTTTCATGCGGCCAAAACAAGCAGAAGTTCACTTCCGGGGGCGCCACCACCGGGAATAATACCATAGCCCACTTTCTCGATGGCGGAACGGGTCCCCTCATAAGAGACGCACGGGTCAGTGTCTCCATTGAACACCTAAGTGGTCTTGGCTCCCAACATGCCCCTACGTAGTGGCACCTTGATTCAGGCCGGTTTTTTCACTTCTGCATCACTGTTGCTTACTGACTGGAACTTGAGGCAAACGGCTCAGAAACTGCAACAGGCAAGTTCCTCCAGTGGGGTCTGTGTATCAGATTCCAAGGAGCAATGGTCGTCCTGAGCTTCGGGGCAATCATCCGGTAGAAGTCGACCATGCTCGGCTTGCCCGGTGCATCGTTGCAGGCATTGTAGCCTGCAAGACTCCAGAGGTCCCAGAGACCCCTTGAACCCTGAACCTTCAGCCGCCCAAACCCTAAAACCCGTAAATCCCTGAACCTTAAATCCTAAACCCCTAAACTCATTTAATCCCCGAACTCTGAGCCCTACACCCTAAATCCCTAAAGCCCTAAAGGGCGAGGCTGACACTTCTTCCCCCCACCCCGACCCCCCTTCCCCCCCCCCCCAACCCCCTGAAGCCAACGGAAGGATCCCCGCCCCCCAGCAAAACCTGCCAGAGCCCTCTGAATCTCACGGGCTGAGGGGCTGCTGGTGTACTTCCAGCCATCCGGGGGACCCGGCCAGGAGGTCGTAGGGGAGCTCTCGACATGGAGAGCCTTCTTCACCTCAAGGGCTTCAATCAACATTTCAACATATCAGGTGGCTCGCGCTTGAAGGACACCGCCAAGCAGGCGCCTTCCGTCTAACCCTAGGCCCCCTCAGCCTGGTCAACCTGTGCCTTCAGAAGCTAGTTCTTCTTGTTCTTCTTCTCTGTGCTACAGTAGTCTTCTTCTTGTGGGCATTGTTTGGCACGTCAACCGCTAATTACTCCAACAGTATTCCCCAAACAAGTCTGGGGGGGCTTCGTAAGGCTGGAAGTCAGGTGGTCGTGGTGCTCAGGCGTTTCTTCTGCAGCCCCTGACTCCTTGCACAAACAGATTTGGATGGACTGGCTCAGAGGCAGTCGGGAGCCTGGTGGGCTCCCTAAATAACGTTTTTTTTTTTGCATCCTCGTGCCAAAAAGCCTGAGAGGCCTGGTAACGACTGCTTGGTATCCCTAAACCCTAAAGCCCTAATAAAGCACTAAAATCCGAAAACCCGAAAACCCTAAACCCTAAACCCTGGTTGCGTGCTAAGCCGCGTCGGCGCGCCTCATCCACTGCGCCATGTAGTGGTTGAGGGTGCCTGGCAGCTCCCAATCCAGAGCCGAAGCATCTGTGAAGAGATCCAGCTCATTGATGTAAGCCTCTGGTTCAGAAGGGGCAATACTATCTCGATTAGGAATATAACATGGTTACTGTGGTTTAACTTGAGAATACTCGATTCTCACGATTAGTACGTAACACTATGGTTCCTATGACTAACCTGAAAATACTATATTACTACGATTCGTAGCAACTATTGCTACTAACATGAATATGAGCAACATAAGGGCTCCCTCGGTGAGTTCTCTAAATTCTTCTTCTTTTCGGATTGCTAGTATAAGGCGGCCCCTTAAAAATAGGGTGACCCCAAATTGACCTCAAAGGAAAGGGGCCCACCATGTTGAGAACTGACCAACTACTATTTGCTGAAGAACCCACCAAAAAGCAATGGATAAAAATCATAATCATATAAGCAACAATACTCCTTTTTGGGGCAGTATAGGGATTCTCATGTTTTTCACATTTTTTTGGGGGGTTCTTAAGCAAATATTCGCCAAGGTCTCCAGTTAAATCCCTGGTGTCGGCCTTCTTCCAGCCCTGGGAGAGGCCGCGGGAAGTGGTGGCCAGGAACTGTCGATTCAGGAGCTTGCACTTCTCGTCAGCTTCCTGGGCTTCCAGGGGCAGGGTTTAGGGTTTAGGGTTTAGGGTTTAGGGTTTAGGGTTTAGGGTTTAGGGTTTAGGGTTTGGGGTTTGGGGTTTGGGGTTTGGGGTTTGGGGTTTAGGGTTTGGGGTTTAGGGTTGAGGGTTTAGGTTTTTTGGCACCCGCATAGCTGGTCGAACTGCTCAGCAGGTTTAGGTTATGGGGTTTAGGCTTTCAGAGATACGGTTTAGGTGGTTTATGACGTAGTAAGGCCTGTACTCCGACTCAGTTTAGAGATATTCAAGAGCTACGCATCCTTCGCTCCTGCAAGCCACAATGTGAATCGTCTGCCCTCCGCACCCCTCTAAACCCTAAACCCTAAACCTTAAACCCTTTTGAACCCTAAACCCTAAACCCTACAAACCCTAAACCCTAAACCCTAAACTCAACAACCTCCGCGTCTCTGCGATTCGGTGCCAGGTTACCGAAGCCAAGCTCGGGCTGGCAACCTCCCAGCGCCTGGTGCAGGTTTTGGGGCTTGGGGTTTAGGGTGCTTTAGGGTTTCAGTGAGGGCTTCCGACAAGTCAGCAGCACCTCTCAGAATACAGGTGGGGGCCACTTCTGTTTCTGATGGCCCCTAAACTTACTGCAATGGCCCACCTTGCAAGAAGCAGGCTGATCCTTTAAGGCCGGCACCCCTCCGTCCGGCGCCACTGCCCACGGGCCAAGAAGGATGGATGCCTGTCAGCCAGTGTGCGGCGACCCACATCAGGGCAAAACTCGGCGTGTTGTGCCTTTTTTCTTGAGTGAACGATACGACGCTCTTTACATCTCCTTACCTGACATTGAAGGAATCCTCTGTGTTCCTGGTTAGTAGGCGGCTCTTCGGGCCTTGCCGTGCAGTTGTTCCAGAGGTAGTCGAAGTCACCATCGGGCACGAAGCCATGCTTGTGCGCATACCACAACCTGAGGAGCCGAGGTTTCGGGTTTAGGGAGCTTGTTTCAATCAAAGCCGGGCTGCGAGTGATCAGAGCCTTCGCCTACCTGGATTTCTGCCTGCACCCAGGACTAACCTATAGGAATAAAAAGGGTGCCATTTCGATTTTAAGAGGATGATGCGGGAAGCCCAACCCTAAAACAAGGAAATAAGGGCCTACTCGAGGTCCTAGCTGCCCAGGAACATGTCCATCGACACCTTCTGCGACGGTGTGTCAGTGCACGGATCCCCGACGGCCACTCCTCGGAACGAAGTATACCAGTCAAAACGAACGGAATACCATATTTGGGGGGTTTACGATGTTGAGGGTACCTTATTGGGGTCCTTATTATAACGGGATCCTACTATTTGGAGGTCTATATTTGGGGTCCCTTAGCACCGTTGCCGCAGACACCGGAGGTGTAATTGCGACGAGCGTCCTTTCCTTAGCTGTAGCAAGGCAAAAGCAAGCCTCTCCACATCGCTATTGCACGGAGGCGTGATTCAAGCCAATACAAGTTAAGCTTCTTTGCAACAACCTTCACGCGAAAGCACTGGCAAAGGCATGTACGGGGCTTCTTCCCAGCGTGATCAACCCATGAAGCAGGCAAAACCACAGCCCAGCGTCATGTTGACTTCGGGCGCATTCTCAAGTATCTCGTGGGTGAGAGTTGGAATGTAGACCTTCGTAGACTAGTACACGAATAACACTTCTCATTGAACGGAGACACTTCTTTCTGGATGCCCCCGTGTTCGGCATTGGATCTGATGCAGCAACTTGGCTGGTCAAATTCAGCATGCAGCCAAGATACGCCGGCATAGGATTCTCCTCAGCTGAGGCGCATGAAGACTTCGCAAGGGCCTCAGGCCTCTCTGGCAGTCTAGAACTGGAGAAGCCATCATCCCTACGGAGAGGCAAAGGCTCCGATACTGAAACCGTGAACCCTGAGGTGGAGGGGGCTGGGGGTGCCGCTGTGCGTTCACTGATGCTCCGATTGCAAGATCCTGAGGTGGGTTCCAGTTTGTGCCAGCAGAAGCTCTTGAGAGCCCAGCCGAAGTAAACTGAAAACCATTAACCCGCCGTGCTCCAAAACTCTTGTTGCTCCTTTCCATCTGCCGTAATCTAATGGACTGTTGAACTCCTTTCGTGCCCCGGAGTGATCATCAGAGGCTTCTGCTGGAGGCGGGATTTCAGGATGCTGTCCCACACGTGACGCAACGGGCCCAGACTTGACTGCTGTAACCCGCTTCATTCCATGCTGCTGTTGCGGGCTCAATGCAGGAGGCTGTTCGGATGTGTTCGGGCAACGAATTTCGCGAGCGGCTCCAAGTTAAGTTGTGCCACAACTTGTCCAACCAATAACCCAAGCCATGCGTGCCGCATCGCAAGCACCGCAGATTCTGGTAGCGCGTGAAGTTGTCCTATTTCAACACAATGTCACAATGTCGATAAATTGCTGCTTCAGTATGGGCACGATCTTGGCGTAACAGTTTCTTGCTTTGCCATTCGAGCCCCCCCAGGCCTCGACACAAAAGCATCTCAAGTGAATTCGAACTTGCAGGTGTGAAGTTTAGGGTTTAGTCTCAATCACAGACCACTAGCTTTGTCAGGGCACCTGTGATGAAGAACTCGTTGGCCTTCAGCTCTGGAAACCTTGTACCACTTCGCGCGGGCAAGTGGCGCCAACAGTGAATTTGGGCTGTGAGTGAGACAACAGTGAATGGGGGCTTGAAGTGAGACAATGTCGAAACAAGCATTTGATTCATCAACGGCTGGGGGCTTCCGGAAATAGGGGTAAAAGGATCATAGTCATAGAATGTTGAGGATACACTTGGGCTACCCCCTGAACCCTAAACCCTGAACCCTAAACCCTAAACCCTTGAGAACTGCACGAGTTGGAGGCCGAGGTGCTTCTTGAAGAAGTCCTGCACCGCCGCCCGGTTCGCGCGGGCGGTGGAGATGTCTGTATTGTTGCAGCTCCCGCCTGCCTTTCAGGGGAGGTGGATCTTCGGGGTCATTCAACCGGAGGCAACAAAGCATGTGGAATTCAGTTATGAGCATTGGGATGTGGGCAGGGTCTGCCCATCGCAGAAGATCGAACATTCCAGGTCTTGTACCCCAGCACACACTGTCACACACCCCCCCGAGCCAAAGGTCCCTATGTTGGCCCTGGATTGGGTTCAGGCTCTGCAGAGGTCGCCGGTATGTAGAAAAGGGGGGGGCACCCCAAGAGACCTTGCAAACAGTAAAGCCCCACGTACCGACGACTCTCTATTCCTGGTCCTTCAGAATCCTTCCTAGATACTCATTCCTTCACGGGCGCAGTTCGCTAATCTAGGCTGTACCACGCAAACCTTGCAAGAATGGAAGAATGCTCATGCGGTATCCGCAACATTCTCCAGCCGCACGCTCAAGTGGCCATACTCTGAGAGAGCCAGGCCTTCATAGCAGCACAAAAGGAATACCCAACGCCTCCAGGACCTGAGGGAGAAGTCAACAACCATTCATGGGGCGACACAGGGTGCAGAGCTCAATGCTCAGGGCCCAACTTTCCATGAACAACATGTTCGCTTGCTTGGTCCAGGCGTAGGGGTTCTTCATGAGCCCGCCCGTGGTGTTGATGAGGAGGGGCCCGTTCTCCTCTGGTCAGGAATGTCATGAGGCAATTCAGATCGAAATGCTAGGATCTGCCAAATCCGCCACAGCAAGCAACTACACCCTCCACCATGTTCTCAACCAGCGCAAGTGAAAGGGAAGCTTGCAATGGATGGCGCTTAGACTCTCCACGACCCCAAAACGCGGAGTGCCTCACGAGATAACCGGAAGCTCCGCCCCCCACAAGCTCACACTTGCAACTTGCAACCCTATGCCTTACTGGTGCTTGCAGTGGATGCCCAAACCCGATATTGGTACGAAACCCTAAACCCTAAACCCTAAACCCCTTAGGGGCGAGCTCCTGCAGCATGCCCAAAAGCGAGCTGCTGCCAGGTCCACCATTCCTGAACCGAGCTCTTCAGCTCGGCATTCAACTTCACCAGTTCCACCCCCTAATATCGATGGTGACCGTACAGATCTCATACATACAAATGGAAACTCAAAGGTAAAATGTATGTGTATGTATCTGGAAGGCCTTGACCATCTACATGTAATCCGGTTTGGGGACTTCTAGGTCTCAATATTTTCACCAAGCAATCGAGGTTGAGGCCTGATCTCATACAGCATTTGGAGGAACAACAACCATCAAACCCTAAACCCTAAACCCTAAACCCTAAACCCTAAACCCTAAACCCTAGCAATGCAAGGGGCAGCCACAGCACCACCGGCAGGGAGGCGGCATCGGCAGATTCCGCAGAAGCGAACCAGTAATGGAGTTGGGTACCAGGCTCCTGAGCAGGTAAGGTGCATATGGGGGTTGACGAAAATAGGGGACCCCAGAATAGACCCCCAAATAGTAGAAGCCCCTTCTGATAAGGACCCCAATGAGGTACCCCTATGAATTTCGGAAACCACCATATGGAACTCCAGAACCGGATATCTCCCGAAACTGAACTGAACCCTCGGATCTGGCAAAGGCGCGACGGCTCCAGCATCCAGAAAGCCGGAGTACTGAGGGGCTGGGGGCGTGCCATACCCTGGAAGATCCGTCACCTCAATGCGCCAAGCGCGTCACAAACGGATCTCTTCACTGGTGCAACGTGCGTTTTGCATGCAGGAGACAGCACTGGACAAAGTTTTATGACCATGTTCAGGGCTATCAGCGGTCAGGCCCAGCCTCGTCGCCCGCAGGCGCTGCGCGTGCCAGTGCTGCAAGTAAGGAGAGGCGCCACATAGCAGGGAAGTGCCCAATAAGTGCCCGGCAAGCAAGACCCTGGATATGGCTGCGGTTCAAATTCGATTCCCGCAATGAACCAGCCCGGAGAGGTGGGAGGAGAGGATTCGACGCGGGTCTACATGCCAAAGAGCGACCAAACAGCCCACGCAACCTGAGGCCGGCGCCACCTCTCGTGGATTATTGCCTCGTCAGAAGAACGGCAAGGCCCCTTCGATCACACTCCCAACACAATGTCACCGCAAAGTATGCGGGCTTCTTCTATTCATCTTCTACAGAACCTACTGTGCTCTTCCCCAAGCCTAGCTGGGCCTAGCTAGCACTGCACATGGCAATTCCTTCATGACATCTACAGGTACTACAGCTTCGATTCATCCAAGCTCAAGAAGACCCCTTTACAAACTTTGAGGCGAGCTGCTGTCGAACGTTGTGCTCTGCTTCTTCGTCACCGCCGACTCCTCCACTGACTGCTAGAACATCTTGCTGCAATGGCGGCACTACAAGTCATTAGCATTTGCAGCCTCTTAGGTGGATTCGTGTGCCCCCAAACTAAAAAAGCGTAAACTCGTTGCAAGAGCACCTGTCCACGGGTCGCAGCTCCACAACACAATGCCTAAATGATTCCACCTCTGGCCTCCACCATATGTTTCCGGGAAGAAGCTTTGACAGCCCTCGCTATCAGAACGCTGGCCACTTGCACAACAAGCCGCGTCATTTTGTAGGGAATGAAAACAAAGCACGCAAAGCAGCGGAGGGATGCGAGTTCCTGGACAACGGGCGGCACTGTGAGTTCCTTAGTTCGGAAGCGGGCGCGGCTAGTTCACAACTCGTCCGATTGCTGTGCCACTAAAGTCACTAAACTCTACCTGGAGCTCGAAGGAAAGTAGGGCACATCTGAAGTTACTTAGGAATAACGAGAGAAGCTGCTGCATCCAAGGTGCCAATCTCAGCGTGCCCGCCTGCAAGCACACCACTTGCTACAGAAGGGTTCAGGGGCTGCAGCACACAACGTACATGCGATACAGTACTCACCACGAGGACTCAACCCAAGAAGTCCCTAACGTAGCCTGGCCTTTCGCCCCCGCAGCATCAAGGTGACACCGCCGTCCCACCCGGCGGGGGTCACCTCTCCGATTCGAGCCCCCCCACTTCCCCAGCAGGGCAACAAAGAAGCTAAAAGGGATCCAAACTCGCTAGGGGTTCTCCGTAGGCGGATCTGAAAATTGTAACTCCAACCTTCGGGGTCCGAAGTAGAACCCCTAAAACCCTGAAAACCTCTCCAACCCCCGCCCCCCCCTCTTTTCCACTGCGAGCTAAGCCCAAGAGCCACTAAGAATCACAACGACACAATCAGAGTCTATACCGTCAGGTATCTTCCCTAAGTCATGGGGATATTTGTCGCGCTTCCAGGGTTTGAAGCTTTGGATGAATCCACACCTAAACCCTAAACCCTAAACCCTTTTTGCTAAGCCCTAAACCCTAAACCCTAAACCCTAAACCCTAAATTCTAATGCCAGAGCGAGCCCGAGGTTCAGGCCACAACCTTCGCATCGCCCAGAAACTCCTTGGATCGCAGGCGGGGGAATGTGCCACATGCATCTCACATGAAGTAGGGTTTAGGGTTTAGGGTTTAGGATTTAGGGTTTAGGGTTTCTGCATCTCATATGAAGTAGGGTTTTTATTTCTTGTACTGCGGACTCGAGGTCGTGAATCATATGAAGGTGAGACTGACAGCTTTCAGTTGTACTAAGCACGGTTAGCAAGCACAGAACATTTCTTATGTTCCACAAAAGGACACCAAGTATACACACTCACTAATATGAAAAAGGAACCTTATATACACTCACCAAGATAGTACGATAAATCCTGCTTCATGTGTGTGGGGGGTCAGAAGTGTAGATGAACAAAGTGTGGGTATATGAAAGTATGCATAAGCGTCTGTCTAAGTAAGTGTATGAATATAAGCATAAATATGAGTATGGATATACATACATATATAAAATAAATACATAAATAAATAAATATATACGTATATATGTATATTTACAAGCATGTGTAGACACACACACACACACATCTCTCTCTCTCTCTATGTTTATGCCCCCCAAACTGACGGCTGGGCAGATAGTGCTTGGGAAAGCAGCTTTGGGGTGTTGGCGTGCTGGCTTGCGTAAGTCGCCACATGTTAGTCCCAGGCGGATTTTTTCGAGACGTTCGCAGTGAAACACGTTATGGAGACTGAAATGAAGTGAAAAACGTTGTATGTGAAGCGGAGTGCGGATTCTAACCGAGCACAGTGTGGGGTACAGGTACTGAGTGTGAAGCGTGTTGAAATGGAATGTCAAGTGATGCGACCTAAAGTGCGAGGAACAGCATCTTGTCAACGAAGCACAAACAGCACGTATTGACAGAAGGCTAAATCAAGACAGCGAAGACCTTTTAAAACACCCAAAGTCAATGAAGCAACCGCGTGCCGGTGAGAACTCTGAGGAGCTATGCTTACTTTCTTTGTAGTAGCGCACGAGGAGCGGCAAGAATAGACCTAAAAAGTCTCTGCCCCAAACTCTATACTTGACATCTGATTTCCTGTGATTCCCCATCTGCATTTTTGCCTGTGTTGTGAGAAGCCCACGCAGGCAAGAGTCGTCGTCTCTCTTGTCCTCCTGGCTGAAGACTCTGAAGTGCATAGTATCACCTTGCCAACTCCGTGCCACACCAGCTGGCTGCAGGGTAAAGACTCCGTTGGTCTCAGCACCCACAGCCCTTTTTGTTGGGTCTTAATTTGCCCCTCAAGCTTTCAGTGTCCCAAGCGACTTCTCAAAAGAGAGTTAACTGCATTTCAAGCCGCCGAGCTCCAGTCCTTCAAGGTCCTGAGCTTGCTTCTTACTAACCATATCATAAGAAGGGAACCCATTTTTTTGTTGGTTACTTTATAAGATGCGCAAGTGGCTCAAGTCTAACCCTACACCCTAAGCCCCCCAAAACCCTAACCCCAAACCCCTAAACCCTAAACCGCTACGCTATTCTCACCAAGTGGCAATCCATTCATGCCAGACCGGGTCCAAGCTTTTGAACCTGCATCGAAAGATTGTCGAGCACCCCTTGCTTACCAGATTCAACTCTCCCCCCAAAAAAGTCCTAGAAACCCTGGAAACCTACATAAACCCTAGAAAAACCAAATAAAGCCTACAAAACCTTTGCAAAACCCCATAAATAAATCCCCACAACAATCCTAAGTTGAACCCTAACCCCAAACTCTCATCCGCCGGGCCTGGTCTGAGTTCGGAATCCCAGATGTGGCTTGCCAGATACACGGCACACCACATACCTGAGTGTCCCTTTTTGCTTCAAGTGGTTGATAAGGTAACCTAAACCCCCCCCCCCCCCAAAAAAAAAAAAAAAAAAAAGAATAAGGGTACTACTGGGCATCCTGTGTGCATGTCTAGAGGGATATTAGGGTTTCGGCTCTCACGCTCGCACAAGGCAGGCAAGGATTCGGTCCGAAAGTCTGGCACATGACACTACGTCCGGGACTCCTGCATGTCACACTGGGGTTTAGGGTTTAGGGTTTAGGGTTTAGGGTTTAGGGTTTAGGGTTTAGGGTTTAGGGTACACACGCTCTACACTCTCTAAGGCAAGTCAAACGGCCACTTAGTGTGGTCCCTTACACCTTCTTGAAAGGTTTTGAAGTAGGGGGCGCCCTTGGGTTTATAATTTGGTACATGGAGAGGGTTCCCCAATTAAGAGCCCATCTTAAGGGTCCATGCAACTACGCTAAGACACTCCGAGATTTTGGACACCAGAACCCGGGGCAGCTTCTGGCTATGACCCCAAGACACCCTAAACCCCAAACCCCAAACCCTAAACTTTGTTCACGCTGCCCTTTCTGCAGCTGCTTGAGCATAAAACCCTAAACCCTAAACCCGAAACCCTAAACCCTAATTCAGTCTTTGCAGCCCCGTTGCGGGTTGGAGTTGTCATCTAAGTTATCGGCTGCACGAAGGCCAACGCCTTGCGAAGATGCATCCCCCAGCGTTGGGTGAGCTTGTTGTGTAGGGTTTAGGGTTTAGGGTTTAGGGTTTAGGGTTTAGGGTTTAGGGTTTAGGGTTTAGGGTTTAGGGTTTAGGGTTTAGGGTTTAGGGTTTAGGGTTTAGGGTTTAGGGTTTAGGGTTTAGGGAGCAGGGTTTAGGGCCTCTGAACTCCTACCTATTCAGTGTATTGAGTGCTGCTAGGGCTTAGGGCCTAGGGGTTTTTCCTTCGCTCCCGCATAGCTGGCCAATCCTCGAGAAGATTCGAAACAACCCACCCCCCAGAAAGTACCCAACACAGGGCTTAGGGTTTAGGGCCAGGGTCAGGCTTTCATGGGCCAGCTCCCAAGCAACGCTTTCACGAATGTTGAACTCACGTGCAGCTTCCCCACGGCTTCCCCAGAACCAAGATGTCGGAAATGCAAGGCCATCTACGAGCCTGGTCTAAAGAAGGGTGCCTTTGGCTACAGCTGTCCAGCTGCTCGAAAGACACTTAGTACATGGCATCGTGGTAGTTGCACTGAAAAGGCCCGACAGCTGATGCAACATGTTTAGAGCTGACCTTCAAAAACCGCAGCAGTGCTCGTGGCTTCGTGCCTTGGATGATGAAGATGCTGGACCTGCGCTCGGTAATCAACGTCAACACTGTTGGACATAACGTTGCCCCAGCCTGACGATACCCCAAGTTCATCGCAAGCAGCAGCCTTTCGCCCTGTGTTTAAGTTTAGAGTTGTGGCAACAAGAGGGAACCAAATGAAAAACCGTCTTCCCAACTACAGGCACTCACGCAGGCATGGAGGGCAAGTCAAGTGTGAAAGCACATGAGCCGTGAAGCCCTTCCCCCCCCCCCTCCCCCCCGGGCCTAGTGACGAAGACCTCCGGTCTACCGTAGTTGGAATTCCAAGCGTGTTCGCTGCCTTGGTGCTGAAACGTCACTGGATGCCTGGTGGCGTGCGGAGGGCTGCGCCACGGGTTAACCTTTCCTGGCTCAAACTACGCCTACACAGCTGCAGATCCTGAACCCTAGAACAAAGGGTGCTGTCAAACAGAGTACTGTGGCCCGCACTACTTGGCAGTGCTAGCTCGGAGCAGGTAAACCAAGCCCAGATGATCTCCTTCACAGGGCTGCGGGCAAAGATTGGAGGGGCCGGTTTCTAGTAAGCTCGGTTCGAAACACAGCAGGCTTTGAGGGAAACAAGGGCTATTCAAATCAGTTTGGTAAATGGTGGTTGGTACATCATGCATATACATCCTCGCCCCTTTGTGCTCCTAAACCCTGAATCCACCCTTGCGATGTAGGGTGCGCAAAGACCTTTCGAGCTGTGCAGGGGATTTTCCTGCTAGGGTCAAGCAGGAAGGCTCTTCGGCCTAGAGTTCCCTCGACCGGAAACATGCTACCCAAACATTTTCTTGTTCGACTAGGATTCTAAACCTCAATATTTTCGATGAGCAAGGCCCTTCAACTTGCTTTCAATCTCAGAGACATGGGACAGGCCCCCTCTGCTTTGATTGCAGGTATACGGGAGCGACTTGGTGGATAGGCGCAGTAGATATTCTTCGAGCGCAGTTGCACATGTGCGCTAACTCAGCCAGGTGAAAGCTCCCCCGTTTCCGAGGCATCTCCTCGCCATGCAGCTCAGGACCCAAGCACCAGCGATCTTCGCCAAGCCGATAGATGAATGCCCCTCCTTGCCAAGGACATGCTACACCCTTCAGACATTGACCTCAATGAACTGATGCTTCACGGCTTCACCGGCCCTGGCCGTGCATCGATTTCATGAGCACAGAAATCTATAGGTGCCAGCAACCTTGAAATGTCCGCTGCAAGAAGTGGCTTCTCCGACTGCCAGCTATGAAGATGCAGATGCATGCCATGTCGCCTCCAACTTTTTGGAAAACTCTGGGCGCAGAGTTGTCCTTGGTCTGCGATGCTTGGAACATCCATCCATCGCTGCAAAGCACAAGAAACTCCAGATTCAAGCCTCAACGCTAGGCATGTCAAAGCACCCTACATCAGAAAAGCAGCCTCCCCCTCCCCTTCCCTCCCCCCCCCATCGCTTTGTTCACACGCTCAAGATTTACAAATGCCGGCAGGGTGCAGTGCCCATGCCAGTTCTAAGAGCTGGTGAAATTCGTTGAATGTTCCAAGGACCAATTCAAATCTGTGTGCTATGCTGACAATGGCAGGGGCCGGGAACCGTCAGGGGCCGATACTCCGCCCATTCTGCTTCAAGCAGCAACTCAGTGCAGCGAATGGTGGCCGGCTGTACACATATTATGGGCTGAGGCTTAAAAGAGACCCCCTCGCAACTGCCTTGCCATATCCGTCCCACGGCCTTGTAGAGATGTTGACGTGCTTGCGAGTTCAGCATCTCCCGGCATTGCAAGTTGAGTCATGAGTCACCCAACACCGTCCTACTCATAGCTTGGCAGCGAGACCCGCCAGGCGTTCGGCTGCTTTCAGGGGATGCCTGCCATCAACGTGGCCAATGAAAGGAGGATGGATCGAGTAGCCAGCCATGACCTGAATCTCAGGAGGAAGCATGGCAACCTGATCGAAGGGCACAGACAGCATCATGTTCTCCTGCGGGCGGACCCATGGCTGGCAGTACTGCGCGGTAAACGCGCACCGGCTGGTGTCTTTGCTGCTGTTCGCGCCGCCCCCATGCCAGAGGGTGCCTGAAAAGAAGACGCAGCTGCCGATGGGAAGCTCTGCTGCGATCCCCAGCTCTTCCACCATCTTTTGATCCGGCATCTTGTTGTCCTTAGCAGCCAAGGAACCCATATCACAACCAGGAAAAGGGGGGTTAGCGACTTCACAAGCAAACCTTGAACCAAACAAAGGGGGGCAAAAAGGGGGCACCACTGGACTAGCAAGTGTCACCCCACTTGTGGGACCCTGGAATGACGACCGTGGCACCGTTCTTGGCTGTGAAGTTGTCATCCAAGGCCCACACGGTGGCCATGGAGAAGGGATCTCTTGGCCGAGGTACATGGGTGAACTGGTCGTCATAGTGGAAGGGTTGCAAGGTCTCGCCTGGACAGATGTCAATAACCTGTGCAGCTGTGAGCAAGAAGTTCGGCATCAAGAACTGCCGAAGCAAAGCCATGACTACGGGGTGTGCAATCATGTGGTCCAATGCTCGCGTTTTGGACAAAACGGCATACACGCGCCGAGTCTGGTAGCCCTCAAAATTGTTCCGTCCTCCAACCCCAAGAAGAGGCGCAATGGCTTCCCTGATCTCGGCCACCTCTTCACGCGACAGCAGGTTCTTGAGGATCACGTAGCCCTTCTCATGCACTTCGTGTACAGCCCACTCCCACTCAGGGGTGAGCTTGTGCTCGCCCGCAAGCTTAACCGACATGTCCATGACCGCCGTGTCAGTCTTGATTCCGCTGAAGTGGTTGTTGGATGCATCGGGCTGTGAAGACGCCATGGCTTCGTGATCCGTGCTGCCTTGAGCTACAGCAGCTAAGCTCGGGCTTGCCTTGTGAAACTTGTGTTACACATATAGCTGTACTATAGTACGTTATATTACAGTTATATTATAGCTATATTATCGCTATATTATAGTTCTATATCATAGCTATGTTATAGTTATTTTATTGTGCTACCACAAACTTACCATGCGAGATGACCACCTCGCTGCTCTTCTAGCACGTGTACGTACAATAATCCGCTCGATCTTTTCAGAAACTGTTCAAGCGTGCTTAGGAGTACTGGCTAGTGGTGCTCAAATTCACCCATGCTGAATCAGCAACATGGGAACAAGTTCAAGACTCTAAGCATACATGGCAAACTACACTACGCCCTAAGCACGAAAAATGCTCTCCCAGCGCATCTTTACCCTAACCCGTTGCACGCTATCATTGCTACCCAAAAGCCTTCATTCGACCTTCCTAAGCTACCTTCTGCTTGGAGGTTCATGAGCACTGCAAAAATGGGGGGAACTCAAGTTCTAATTTGTTAGAACGTTAAATTCGGGTACATACCATTCTCCCCTTAGAACCTTAACAAAAACAATATCTTTCATATCCTCTTGGGTTTTATATAAACAAAAAATAAAAAAACAATGCCCAAGGCCCCACTTATAAGAACCCGTGAGCCCCCAAGTGAGCTCCATGCAGCTGCGGCTCAAATCCAAGAGTCTTCTCCTGGAAGGTGCCCAGTCCGGCGCGCGCTGCGCTGTTGAGGCCTCTCCTGAGAACACTGGAAGTTGGGGAATTTAGGGGTTTTTTGTTGGTTTGAGTACAGGGTTTTGGGGGGTTCGCCGCTTGCAACTGGGACATGCCAAGCAAGGCTGGCAATAGCTAGCAGCTAGTCTCATCTGGTTGCTACTTCGCCCTGGGGCAAACCTCAACAGCCGCCGCAAACACAAACATAGGCTTAGGCTTCGAGCCCGCGTGGAGCTAAGGCTGCCAAAACTCCGACCCCTCATCCCATCAAGCCGAAGCACTCTACCACGTGAGAAGCCTTGCAGAAAGAACTGCTAAGCCGGGTCAAACCATCCAAGCGGCACTCTGGCACTGGCTGGCAGATCCTGAGCTTAGGCTGGAGAAGCCTCTCGCACCCAGTTTAACGGAAGTTGGGTGCGGCCACCTGAAACTCGAGAACCTGATGAGTACGACCGAAACTTGGCCGTGCGAAAGGTTCCTCTGAATTGAAGGGGCTTTCGTAGCAGGAGAACCTGTTACAAAGAAAAGCAGACGGAAGTTTTGGTGTCGAAGTTTAGTCCAAGACTATATACAACAGCCGTGCCCTCATTCACTCTTCTGGGTCTTGATACGCCGGAAGGCTACCCCCCAAGCCACACTAAAGCAACATGCTACCTTCGCTCATAACAGATATAGCAGCAGGGGAAGCTGCATATATATATATATATGTATATATATATATATATACATTTATGTGTATATATATATACATATATAAATATGGTACATATATATATATATAGATATATACACCGTTCCAGCGGTTCACCCAAAGTAATGAGCGTCCTGAACTTTCGGTCTGCGAACACGAAACAAGAAGCAACCACCCAAGTGCTTGTCACCCCACTGATCTTGATGTGTAGGGTTTAGGGTTTAGGGGGGGGGGGGGGTGGAATCAACCGATTCCAGTAGAATGGCCAGAGTTTTTTACGGTGTCGGGTCAGGGGTTGGGGTTCAGGAACCCCAAAGACTGAAACCCTACTACGAAAAGCCTGAATTTGAAGTGGTGCAAGTGTTAACCAACAGCCACCCTGGTGGCTCATCTGGAATTGATACAATATCTTCTTGAAGGTTCAATCGGGACATTCTAGTAGTGTAGCTGCATTGACGACGCTGATTTTGACCAAAATACAGATAGGCCGAACTCAAGCGAACGATGTGCATCATGTTGGCGCATGACAAAACTTTAAAACCGAAACAGTTTGGAATTGACTCCCTTAGCCTTTCTGCTGCTCCGTGTCCTTTGCTCCCTGCATCCATAGCAGCGATGCAGCTTTAGAGTAGGTTGGTGACTGCCTCAGTCATCGGCACGGTCTATTCCGAGTCTACCTGCTAAACTGCTTGATCTCGTAGACTCATACGCTCTGAAGTCGTCATGTCATGCTGGAGCGACAGAAGAAAAAGACGCCAGGCCAAGCAGCACATTGGAACTTTTCATGTGGTCGCCGCCAAGGTCGGGGGCTGGCCTAGGGGCCTGGACGGCCTAGCTATACTGAGCCAGTGAGGGCAGCATCCGCATGACTCACCGGATTTAAGGAGTTTGGTACGGCGAGCGCACCCGCATTCCATAAAGGTAGCGCTATCCTGGTTGAAGCCTCAAGTTCTTTTTTGCCACCCACACCGCCGTCGCGGAAAAACGGAATCCGCAGGAATCCGTTGATGCAATTCGTGGGGAAGCGGTAGGCAACTTGCAGAGCCAGTCGGCGTTTCAGTACTGGCTCGCGGCAGTACTGTGTAATAGCAACAACAGAAACCACCACACAATGAACAGCCATGAGATTGACGATATGCCCCCTAACTTGTAGATTCTAGCTTCTTGAAGATCCCACGACAGTAAAGAAGGCAGCTCAAGCTTTCACACGGCTCCCAGCTTCTGTACCAGCCCCAGCTTCTGTATCAGCCAGGCACTGGACTACGAATGGCGAGACGATCTTCCATGAAGAAGCAACACTCAGATGCAGCTGACACCTTGCAGCAATCGAAGGGACCTAAGGCCATCAAAATGTAGCGCGCTCTGCTGCTGTAGAGGCATGCCATACAGCAGCATGTTTCAAACACAAAAAGTCTGACCAGATCAGCGGCAAAGACGTCGTCAGAAACTCGTCCACGCCATCGTCCTAAAGCATTAAACCCTCAAACTTTCAGCTGAGCAGATGCAAACTGGCAAGATGCCACACCGGTAGCTGCTACTGCTGCGTTGCGGAAGCGTCTCAGATCTTTTTGCTCAACTATCATCTTAGGGTAGTTGCATGGCCCCTTAGTATGGGCCTTGAAAAGGGGACCCCTTATATACCCCTTACAAACCCCATAAAACCAAAGGGGGCCCTGGCTTCAGAACCCTTTAAAGAAGCTAAGCGGCCTTACTAAGGGACCTTGCAACTACGCGTAGAGAGCCAAAAAGTCGAAGCCTATTGCTCTGTGTGCCTTTGGGCCATGCAGCTGTTACATGGCCGAAGCACAGGGTCCAGGGTGTAGTGAGAATCTTAGACGACACCCTGCCTACTTATAGCAATACCAGCTAAGTACAGCTCTTAAGACACCCCAGGCCCTTGTTCCTATACGCCAAGTCTGTACTGTACAGTGTGAATGTTCCGGAAGACGGAACACATCAGGTGCACAAGTTGCCATGAGCAACCGGAAAAATGCCGCCTGGATCTTTCAGAAGAGGCCCACACGCCAAAGCAGATTCATCCGAAGTGGAAGGTGGTATGCCAAGTGAATGGAGCTGTGCTGTACTAGTGAAACTCTACGCTAGTTTGTACATGTAGCCCAGATGTGTCAATATGCTTAACTGGGCCCGCAAACTCACAAGCAAGCGCAATACCCGTCGGCGCAATGAAAGAGCGAGCTTGTCAACCACCCTGTACACAACACCCGTTCTGAATGCTACAATCCCTTCCCCTAATATTAAAGTCCCCCCCCCCCCCCCCCCCCCCCCCCAGTATTAAGACCCCCCCAAAACCCCCAAATTGCTCTTGTTTTTTGGGGAGGGGGGGTTCTTATCGAACATCCGAACAAACAGCCCGTCCTTATTGTAGTTTGCTGGGAGACCCTAAGCCCAGGGACTGAGAGTGTTTAGAGGTTTCTGCTTCAGGCTTCCGACCCCCCCCCCCCCCCCCCCCCCCAAAAAAAAAAAAAAAAAGACTTGCTCCCCCCAAACTCTGGCGGCCTGTGGGCCCGCTTCTGCATCTGGCCAGTTGTGCCAGTTGCAAAGGGGAGGCTGTGTGTGTCTGCCTCGAAAAACCCGGAGCAAGGCGACGGGACGGCATGATTGCGACACTGACGGGGCAGCCAATCCGGCCATCCGGTTCCTTCATGTCTCAATCCTGCCCGCCCATCGTGAAGCTACCTGTGACACTGGGCGCAATGGGCATCTCTGGCCCTGACATGCTGACCAACTGACTGTAGCTGCCATTCGTGCACTCATCGTCCCAGCGATTTCGCTGCAAAGACGCCCTGTGTCGAGGTGTGGAGTCACATCTCCGTGCCAGACCTTGGAATCACGCCTGACTCAAGACTGCGATCCAGCTCAGCTTTTGGCTTTGGGGCAAAGCAAACCCGCCGGGCTGTGGCGACCGTGGCGGCCACCATGCACAGGAGGCTGAGCAGGAAAGCAGCGATGCGTACGCCACTGATCACGTACTGCGGCCAGTCAAAGAAGTTCCATCGCACAGAGGCGTCCTGATTCAATGGCACACCAGGGCTGAACAAAAATGAGTGAGAACAGTCTCCTTGCCATGCTGCCCTCCCTGTCTCTAGACTCATTCAAACACCCTGAGCAAGATCCCTGAAGCAAGAGTCCCGCAACTTCTCCGCACTCGCCAACTCTGCGACCATCCCCAGCAAGGCCCAACAGGCCACCAGGGCGACGATGGGATCTGCCTTCGGGCTGGCGAAAGTGAAGACAGTGACGATGGCAGAGATGCCAGCGAAGCACACCATGGCCTTGGTAGCTCAGTAGCCATGTATTATCCGCCGACCCCCTTTGTCGGCGTCAAGAAGCTGGACTCGTACCTTTCCCGCTGGACCCGCTAGTGCCCCTCCCCATGGACCCGAGCGGCTGCCCCCCCCCCCCCAAGGACCAAAAGCAACCAAATTTGTGGACCACCGAACCACGTTTTGTGTTGGCTGCACCCTACCTAGCCCCACCCCCCCCCCCCCCACAGGAGAAGGACCAAAAGCAACCGAATTTGTTGTTTTGGAAGGCGGCCAAGTGTGGAACCACGCGTTTTGTGTTGGCTGCACACTACTACCCCCCCCCCCCCCCCCTACCCCCCCCTGCCTAGCCCCCCCCCCACAGCAGAAGGACCAAAAGCAACCGAATTTGTTGTTTTTAAGTTTTGTGTTGGCACCCTACTACCCCCCCCCCCCCCCTCCCCCCCTACCCCCACCCCCCCGCCCTCCCCCCCCCCTACCCCTTCCTGCCTAGGCCCCCCCCCCCCACAGGAGAAGGACCAAAAACCGAATTTGTTGTCTTGGCACGCGTTTTTGTGTTTGGCTGCACTCTACTACCCCCCCCCCCCTCCCCCCTACCCCCACCCCGAACTCCTACTACCCCTACCTTCACCCGTACCCCCCCCGTTCCCCGCCCCCTGCCCCCCGCCTACCCCTCCACAGGAAGAAGGACCAAAGCAACCGAGGCGGGCCACCCACTTCCGCCCCCCCCCCCCCCACCCCCACCCCGTACCCCCCCCCCCCCCCCCTTACCCCCCCTGCCTAGCCCCCCCCACAGGAGAAGGACCAAAAGCAACCGAAATGTTCACCGCGTTTTGTGTTGCCCCCCCCCCCCCTACCCCCACCCCGTACCCCCACCCCCCTCCCCGGGTGGAACCACGCGTCCCCCCCCCCCGCCCCCCCCCCCCCCCCCCCAACAGGAAGGACCAAAGCAACCAAATCTGTTGGGTGGAACCTGCCCCTCTACCCTGCGTTGGCTGCACCCTACTACCCCCCCCCCTACCCCCACCCGTACCCCCCCCTCCCCCCCCCCCTACCCCCCTGCCTAGCCCCCCCCCACAGGAGAAGGACCAAAAGCAACCAAATTTGTTGTTAAGCGGGTGGGTCCGGAAGATGGCCCGGTGCCCGGACGTCCTGGTCGGCGGCAGCGGCGTCAGCCTTTAAATCGGGCAGCGCGAGGTCCCCAAAGGACCGAGCAAATGCGGACCTTTTAGCCCGGGTCGTCCCGGGAATAGCCTTGCTGGCCTCTGGCCTTCTGCGAAGCAGAATTAGGCCGGACGCCAGTGCCGCCGACCCCCGCGTGCCGCCGGTGAACGGTTTTTTTTTCGTGGTTTTTTGCGTCGCCACGGAGGCCCCCAGAGGGCGCGCATCATGAGCATCAGCGGGTCCAGCCCGGGACCCGAAGGCGCGCATCAGGAGCATCAGCGGCTCCCGGGGCGGGACCCCGGGGGCGCATCGGGAGCATGATGCCCCTTTAAGGGCGGGCATAAGCGACGTGTCTAAGCCCGGGGAGTTTAGGGGCCTTATAAAGCGCTTAGAAACTTTAAGGGAGTCTAGGAGCCTCAAACGCTTAGAGATTTGAAGGGAGTTTAGGGGCCTGAAAATGCTTGGAAACTTTGAGGGGGTTGAGGAGCCTCAAACGCTTAGAGATTTTAAGGGAGTTTAGGGGCCTCAAAATGCTTAGAAACTGCTCGCCCCGCGCTTCTGCCTGCGCTGCCCGCCCATGGGCGCAGCCCCTTAAAATAATAATATTATGATAAGGGGCACCTTTTTTTGGGGGGTTGGTAGAGATAATCTGGGGTTGGGCACTCCAGAAACACTCTGGGGCTGGGCAGCCTGGGCACTAGGGAGACTGTTCGGGGTTGGGCACTCCAGGGAGAAATTCGGGGACACTCTGAGGTTGGGGGTTGGGCACTCCAGGGAGGCTCTGGGGCTGGGCACTCTGGGCCAGGAAGACTCTGGGGTTGGGCACTCCAGAAAGACTCTAGGGTTGGGCAATTCAGGGAAAGGGGTTGGGCACCCAGGGATGAGCGAGGAGTAGACCGGACGAGGAGAAAAAGTTCCGGGCGAGGAGAAGAGTTGGGTTTTAAAATCTACCAACCCCACACCGCAGTATGGGGGGGAAAAAAAGGAAAAGGGTACTACTGGGCCACCAGGTTGCCAGGGCCAGCATCACTTCCGGGGGGCCTCTGTAGAAGTCGGCCACCACGCAGATGTTCAGCGAAGTAGCGGCCACGATCCAGCCGGTGTGGACCGAGAAGGGTGCCCGGAGCAGCCAGTACTCCCAGGTGGACATCCTTACTTCTCCAATAACCAAGGGGAAAAAGGTTAAACTTTGTTATTCCTACTAAATGTGGAAAACCCAAAAGTTTGAAGTTCAGCTGTTGGCTAAGTAAGCATCTCTTCAAGGAAGTCCATGCGCAGAATCCCCACCATGAGGGAGATGAGGATGCCCAACATGCAGGCCATGGCCCCAATCATGACCTCCTGTGCAAAGAACAGGGTCCAGGCACACTGGAAAAGGCATGCGGCCAGCCACCAGGGAGTGATGGTCGTTACCACCTTGCTGCTGCGATAGGATGGAAAAAGCTGGGCGACAGTGAAGATGCCCTCCCAAATGAAGATGATACCCCAAATGGAGAAAGCAAATCCTCAGTGCCAAGTTCAGAGCAGGCCGCGGCCACCCACTACGCCCTCACACCCGGACCTCAGTGCCATGTGAGGGATGACCCGGAAGCACCACTATGGTTTGCCTCACTAATTTTCCTGGAATCTAGTACATGTAGTCCTTCCCCGCGCCTGACGGCGTGATGAGGGTGTGGTACTTGGCGCTGAGATTGGTGTTTGTCGGGCCAAAAGCGCCGGTCAAGGATCCGTACGTGATGCCCAAGTTCACCTGGGCCGCTGGGGCACAGACACGGCAGGCAGGGCACCCTAAACCCTAAACCCTGAACCCTGAATCCAACAGCCCTAGCAGTTGAGTTGCGAGGTAGGCTGCCAGGTTCACAATGTTTATCATGCAGCTTCCAGACTCACGCTTGGCCATGCTGACTGCAACACGCGACCGAAGCTGCAACACAATCAGCGACAAGCGACACCTGAGCCCTGAGCCACTTTCTGCGGGAAGCTACAGATGAAACTATGAAACCTGTGATCAACGCGTCTGACCGCTCTGACCGCCAGGTGCCAAAGCAAGTTTGCAGAGTGTCGGCGGAGGCTCATGAAAGTGCACATCTGCAGAACCGTCGGTCCTCAGAGCTGCCCCTTCTTGCCGCTGACATGCCAGCAACCTGAGTATGTTGGGCATATCGGTGCACGGTTCTTGAGGAACCGACTCTGCCCTGCGACTGTCGCAAGCTCCTCTTCTTCTTCTTCTTCTTCTTCTTCTTCTTCTTCTTCTCTGCACCTGCTTCTTTGTCATTTCTGTTTCCGGGCTTGCATAGATGCACGCACCTCACCTATGAAACTGCAAGCCAACGAGCTTCAAGCCTCTGAGCCTTACATCGCTCTGTAAAGAAAATCAAGGCCGGTCCAAGTCAAGCAGCTCCTTGTGCTGCTACCGCCGGTGCTGATCTCACACGTGGAACGACCCTGGCGGTTAGAGGAGTCCCATTACAGCTTTGATGACTTGAGGTGTCCGCAACTCACTCATAGAATTCCTATTTTGGGCGCTGCGCTGTCGCCTTCAGAGTTCAGGGCTGCCCAGCAATGTCTCCATGATTTGGGTAGCTTTGATATGAGGGGCCGTATCATAACAGCGCCCCAAAAAAGAGACCATAATTGAGAGAACCGATTACAGACCCCGAACCCTCAACACGCAAGCCTTTCCACCAAGCAAAGGCCGTCCTGTAGCTGACGCCGCGTGTCCTGTCCCGGCAAGCTATGATGGAACCGCAGGTGCCTTCTGAATACAACGCTGGAGTGCTCGATAAGATGCAGCAGCAAAACAGCCCATTTGGCCTGGGCAGTTCGCAGCAATATCACCCGGTCAAATATCGCCGCAAGCGGCTCAGTGGAATGTAGACTTCCCGGACGTCCTCCTTCAGGGGCGGCAAGTTTCCACTGAGTCCTCATGTTACAATGATGCTGATCACAACAAGCCCTTCTACGTACATCTAGCTGCTGGCATACTGGGCACTCAGAGGGCATGATGCGATGAACAACACACTTGGAACACGCACCATAGGTGCTTCGTGCTGGCATACACTATACTGGGCTTCGTTCTTCAGAGGCTTGATTGCTCTCCCCTGCCCCTAACTTGACCTCACCAAGGGAGGATCGACCCTGATCCTCCCTTGATGGAGAACAAAAGGGGCTAAGGGGCTTATAGGGTTTAGGGTGACAATAGAAGGTATCTTTCATGCACATGCTGCCGCAAACCCCACCTTCTCCACTCGCTGGGCGGAGCTGTCATCTCCGACTGGAAGCGTCCTGGACCATGTGCGGCAAGAGGGGTCGGTCCGAGTCGGTACTTTGCGGAATTGGGAAAGATTGGATGACGCTGTACCGCCCTTTTGGGAAGGCCTGTGTGCAGTGTGCGCCTTTCAAGGCCTAAACCCTTGCCACTTGCCAGAATTCAGCACCCTCTCACAAGAAGGGTCATGAAGCGGCCGAGGTGACCGCCGGGGATTTCCACGCCGCTCAGCGTCCCAGCATACCTGCAGGTCGAATCGAAGGTTCGGAGCTACGTCTGGGAAGCCTGCGATTTAGTTCGGGGCTTTGGGCCCGGATGAAATCCAGAACAGCCCCAGCGCAATGTTGGCATTTGCAGTCTCAGCTTGGTCCTAGCACGCGCATCACCTGGTTCTGTACATCTGACTACTGTAGAAGTCCCCGACGAGGAAACAGGTTCCCCCGTGGTCTTAAGTAGAAGGCCAGCCAAGTGTTTCTCTCACCTGCCGGAAGTGTTGTCGTCGCCCATGCATATTTTTCGGGTTTCGATCATGATTCAAAAAAACCAGGGCCGATATTCGAGGCGGGCATTCTCTCAACATTGGACTTCTCAGCTGTCTTGAAAACCACCTGACTGGCATGTGCGTGTGCCTTGTCCTCCCGAAGGGGCGCGTGGCAACGAAGTTCTGAAGCACACTGTGGCAATACCACCGCATAAGAGTGGAATTTGCAAGGGTGCCTTCCTATCGACCATGTTGAAATGAAGATGCGCCCAGGTAGGAGCCGTACTCACAAAGCAATGGCACCTGAACATGGCGGTCGATTGATCTTGGTATCAAAGTAATTGACCCGGAACTGGAAACTCCTACCTGGAACCTAAACTACCGGGGCTTGTGTAGCCGCACTGGTGACAGGGCTGGCTAAAACCTTGAACGCGCTCCTAGGAGTTGACATTGACCCTAAACCCTAAACCCTAAACCCTAAACCCTGTGTAACATCGGCCAGCCCATGGAATGTAACACTCAGCTGGAATGTGCTGCGAGTTCATGAAGTCTCAGTCCACGTTCAGGGGAGCTTCGACGTACAGAAGGTAGTCTTCGGCTTCTGCCACCACCTGACGCTGGCGCCAGAGTTGCAGGGTAGCGAGGCTTACCACCGCACCGGCAGCAGCACTAGCTCCTTAGTTGTCCAGTAACCTGCGGGAACTCAAGGTTAACCTTTGGGAATACAAGGGGAGCACACTACCCCAAAAAGGTTAAAAGTTACCTACTCTACTACTACAGTAGGGCTCCCAGTAGTACCACCAGCAATGACTTCTGCCCACCTGGGACCACGGCCAGCATGGCTGGCGTCTTGCCTCCGTCATGGACTCCCGCAGCCTGCCGATGCTTCTGCTCTTCACGGGGCTCGCGATCTTTGTGCTCTTGCTTAGCTTCATCTGCCAGCTCCTGGCGCAAGCGCTTTCTCTCTGTGGCCAGCTCCTCCTGCAAGTGCAGTCGTTCGGAGGCCAGTTCGCTGCGAAGGCGCTGGTTCTCTACCTCCTCATTCTTTTCCTGGACATCAAAGCTCTGGCTTGCTAGCAGCATCGTTGGGCTCGGTGGAGCCTCGGCTGTCACCTCCTTCGCTGTCTCAGCAGCCTCCTTGGCTTCGGTGTTGAGCTCGTCCCTGAGGCGGGCCTTCTCCTGTGCGAGCTCGGCATGGAGGCTGGCCCTTTCGGACCGCAACTCCTCCCGCAGGCGTTGCTTCTCCGCCTGGCGCTCCTGGCGTTCGCCGCGCTCCCGGCGCTCTTGGCGCTCCCGGCGCTCTTGGCGGCCGGACACTTCTTTGGGGGCACGCATCGCATTCGCAGACTTCCCTCCGCCCTTCTGGGAGGTGGCGCCCCTGCTCGCTGTGTTTCCCACCTGTCCCTGTGCATTTTCGACAAATTCCCCGTGCAAGGAGCCGCTAAAGGCATGCTTCCCATCAGAAGAACCTGTCTCTGCTGTGAAGATCACTGGCTTGTCTACTGACCCCGCGCTCGCACCATGTTGATTCAGGTACGATTGGAAGTACTTCTGGTAGCCTTCGGAGCCGTCGCCGGCACCTTCAATGTAGTGCTGGTAGGGAGCAACATACTCGGCATACTCGGCCATAAACTTCTGATAGCTTCCTTGGGCCGCCACCAAAGTTGGGAACAAAAGGCCAGTGAGCTTAAGCATCCTGGCAGCTCTGAGGGCCTGCGGTGTCTTCCTCGCACAGGCGCCTAAGCCAAGAGCTTGAGCCGGATGTCGGAGCGGAGCCGCTTCCCAGGGTGACTTCTCGGCAATCTCCCAGCTGGGCCAGAAGATCAGTTTACAGGTTTAGGGTTTAGGGTTTAGGGGTTAGTTACGGTTTCGGGGTTAGTTTGGGTTTCGACTCTCACACTGGCGTATGGGTTTAGGGTTTAGGGTTTACTCAGACTTTTCAGCCCATCCTGCTTGAGGGCAGGGGGGGGGGGGGTGGACATGAGGGGGGGGGGTCACCTGAGTATCCAAGGCTTCCAGGGGACCATCTTCAAAGTGGGAATTGGTCAAGGCCGCCCCGGGTGGTTTTGCAGGGCCTCTTCTTTCAAACCCACCTTTTGTACATCTCTAACTCTGGCCTCTCCATCCCCTTATACCCTAAACCCTAGACCCTAAGAGCTCAAACCCAGGAACCGCAATTCTTGAGAAGGTCCTTGCGGACACTCTTTAGAGGGGTGGCGTTTTTCTGCGCCCGCTAAACTTGCGGAACCGTTCAATCCCTTCCCATGCTTCCTACTGCATCCTTTCAGCGTCCCTGCCCTATATCGTCTGCCTAAAACCTTCAATGCTGGGATATTCCCCCTTATGCTAACAGTCCTTAACAGGGATTATAGTACCCCCTATTGAAATCCCTATTCAGAACTGTTCATTAGTACAGGGGGGAACATCCCAACTTCTATAGATCATCCTGCCCGTTCGGGTGAGCATCTAACGAGGGGCCCTTCCCCACATCCAAATTGCCCCTTTCATAATGGTTTGATTGCTCTCATAGAGCTATATACATATATGTATATTATATATATATATATATACATCCGTGTGTGTTCAGTTTACGTCTGCGAAGCTCGAAAACATCACGGCAGTTGCATCAACAAGTCGCAAGCCAACAAAAGGCCAAAGGGCCAAGAATTCAACAACTCAGCTGCAAGCATTCGTGCACAAGCGGGCATTTCCCAAAATAGGGGACCCCCTGTTATACCCCAAATAGAACCCCCGTAAAAGGGACCTGCAATAAAAGGGTACCCCTATTTTGGGGAAACCTCAAGCATCCTAAGCCTCGCACTCTGTCATGTCCATGCGGAGGAGCAGATCTTCCGTCTCTCGGAGGCAGTGAGGCTTGGCCAAGACGTACTTTTCTGCTGCCAGCTGGGTGTAGACGAGGATGGCAGACACGTGGAGATCTTTGGGGGCATACCTGCGTGACAAACATCCAAGCGGCCCAGGCAGTTTCCCACTCAAACACACCACAGATTTTCAAATCAGGCCCATCTAAATCTTGGCATGCCAGCTACTCTTAGTCTTTTCAACCAGCTACCGTACATCCCAGAAGTGTGCCAAGCGCGTGAAGCTGCAGTCTGGACTTTCCCAGCAGAAGCAGCCGACTTCGGCGAGAAAGACCACAGGAGCGCACTGTCCCGTTGCCTGGCAGCACCTGCGACAGGTTTAGGGTTTAGGGTTGAGGGTTTGGGCGACAGCAATCCCCAGAATGCAGGGCTGCCATGATGTAGGGTGTTCTTTTTGTTTTTTTTTTATAATTTCCCGCGGGGCGAATTTTTAAAATCCTCAACAGGGCCCTGTATGCATGATAGGTTTACAGGTTTGCGGGCTCCAGATATGCAAAACACTTTGGCAGCTCAAGGGGCCCAATTTCGACGCCCGCAAGCCCCTCGACGCAGATTCTCGCCCCTTCCAAACTTAACGATCATATGCAGGGACCCATTTAGGGTTTTTTAACGTTTAAAAACCCTAAATGCGACGAAAGTGGGTCCCCTTTTACGGGGGGGGTGGGGGGGCGAAGACGAAATTCGAAGACGAACTTTGAAGGCAACATTCGGCACCTGAAGCCTAAATTCGACCCCGAAGACGAAATCCGCTGAAGACGAATTCGGCCCTGAAGCCGCAATTCGGCTCCTGAAGACGAAACTCGGCCCCGAAGACGGAATTCGACCCTGAAGCCGAAATTCGGCCCTGAAGCCGAAATTCGGTCCCGAAGACGAAATTCGGCCCTGAAGCTTGAATTCGGTTTCGGTCCCAGCCTGAAAGGCCATTGAATGCCGTCCCCAGGGCCGACTTTCGGCTTCAGGGCCGAATTTCGGCGAATATCGGCTTCAGGGTCGAATTTAGGCTTCCGGGCCGAATTTCGTCTTCAGGAGCCGAATGTCGGCTTCAGGGCCGAATTTCAGGGGCAGGCAGGCTTCAGGGGCCGAATTTCCCGAATTTCGGCCGAATTTCGTCTTCAAATTTAATCTTCGGATTTCGTCTTCGCCCCCCCCCCCCCGGAAAAGTGGACCCAGTTTCCCGGGTCAATGCAAAAAAAATCATAAGAGTGCAGGGTTGCAGTGACCCAACTGGAGTCCTCTTGTTTTTTGCCGAGTTCTCATCAGTAGTATTTCTGTGAACCGTTATAGTTAGGACTTTCGCCTCTACTCTAGACATGTCTGTGCCACTCTGTGGCCGAAACCCTGAGTAACCCTAACCGTACACCCTGGTTTAATGTGGCCCCGGCGGCCTTGCCGCTTGATGCGTCCAGCAGCACTGAGCCCGTACCGCGCTGCGGTAGGAGAACCAGAAGCTGCACGGCACCTCGCTGGGAAGAACGATCTCATCACTTTACTAGATTACATATCATATCATATCATACCATATCAGATCAGATTATCATATCATATGTCTTTGTGTGTGTGTGTATGTATGTTATATTATAGTCAAACAATGAAATTCGCGCACACACACACACATACATACACATATGTACTTATGTATATATGTATATACACACATATTTATACATAAATAAATAAGTAGACAAATAAATAAATAAATAAATAAATAAATAAATATATATATATATATTTATAATGTATATATATATATACATGTATATATTATGTATGTATAGCTTTCTTGCCTAATGCAGCACGCAGCATCACCCGGACCCGTGAGCACTGCCACCCTACCTGTAGCACGTTGTTTGGCCCGGCAACCCGGGGGGCTCTGGTGTCTGGGAACGTGCCAATGTCTGTGCGCGCGGGCTCCGGGAGGAGCGGGGTGGGGGTTGCCGAGGCGATTGCATGTGTGTCAGGAGGGAACCTTCGTATGTGTTGATGGTGCGTCCATCACCAATTGGATATGCAGCTTGCTGGTCTACGGCCTGCCAACATGCTCTTGCAACGGAACCTATCACAACTGCATTCGAATACAAGCCCGGCAGCCTTGAACCCAGCACGAAGTTTCAAACTTCGTGAATGATTGAATTCGTCGTTACTTGGTCTTAGAGTCTTGAGCCAGGTCCGGCTATGTGCAGGAGACCTTTCGCAAAGCACGATCGTAAGGCTTCAGACCCATCGTGTCCATGTCGTGTGACTGCGCACCCTTGCAAGGCACGCGGCACTGAAGGATTGCGGCAGGTCAATAAAATCATTTGACCTAAATTAACCTGAACTGGTTCGGGTCCACTACAGGAATTCAAGCTCAGATCCTTCAGCACCAGTACTGTGCACAGCATCTGCCTTTGCAAACGCCGTATAAAAAAGAAGCCCACTGTTTCCTTTCGTAACAAAACAAGGACGACAAGTGTCTCAAACAACTGACTCAAGAACAACGCAGAGCTCGGCAGCCTGGGCCAGCTTGGGTGAAACAGTGGGCTCGAGGTTCTCACCGGTGCCATCGACGCTGCATTGAGGGAGGCGCTGCTCTGTTGGGAGCAATAAACCCTAAACCCTTTTTGGGGACCCAGACTCAGAGTACCCTTTTGTTGCAACAACCCTCTGATCTTTGAAACCAAAACCACTAACCCTGCTATTTTTTGTAACCATGAAACTCGCCCGCAGCACTCTGCAACGATCACTTTCCCCATTTGGCATGCCGGTGGCTGAATTTTGTTTTTAGACTGCGGTGGGAGGCGTGCGCTAGCACTTGCAAAGATGATCAACAAAGCCTGCTAACCATACTGGGGTTGACGACAGAAAGGGCCCCCCATAATAGACGCCCAAATAGTAGGATTGTTCTCCAAAGGACCCCCAGTAAGGTACCCCTTACATCGTAAACCCCCATATGTCATTGACACGGTTGAAGTCAGAAACGAGCTGGCGAGTGAACAAAGAGCAAGTGAGGCTGCTCATCCCCCGCAGTCCAAGATAGCTCACTAGCGGGAGCTTTGGCTGGCTATGGGGGGAAAAAAGCCTTACCGCATCCCTCTATACTCTGTTCTCATACCCATGCAGACCATAACGCGTATCACAGGTCGTCCCCCCCCCAACCACCCTTGACCCTTGGAAACGTGCCTGGATTCTGCCAGTGCCCAAAGGGCCAAAACACCACGTCCAGTATTTTAGTACACTTGCCCTTGTTCCTTGCCCTAAACGCCAAACCCTAAACCCTAAGACTAGCAAACAAACTCGCGCTTTGAGGATGTTTGGCAACACTGGCAGCCTTCCCGAGCCCAGGCGAAGAAACCCCCGAGCTGTCAGCTTTTGACTAGGCCTGCCTCGAGATTAGGGTCCCTTTTTGGGGTTGAGGGTTTGGGGTTAAGGGTTTGGGGTTTAGGGTCTTTTTTGCCATCCGCCTAGCTGGGTTTAGGGTTTAGGGTTTAGGGTTTATGGTCTAGAGATCTTTCTATGCGGCAGGAGAGGTGCTGAGAGTTCTGGACTTTTGCTTTCATCTTCTCACCATGTAGTGGCCACGGCCCATCAAAAGCCGACTGTATGATACAATACTCCAACTCAACAGAGTACACGAGTCCTTAACACTGCGCACGCCACGGGGAAAAACCGCTTGTGGGACAAAAACCCCGCAGCCCGCAGCCTAACAAGGCACGAGGCTGGACAACCCGATAACCTCGGAAGCGGGGGTCTATTGCTCTGCAACTCCCCAAGCGTCTCCTTTATTGCGGCGGGGCCGTGCGCCACGGCGCTTTGTAGAGACTCTTTCCTTAGTAGCCCAGCAACCACAATATAATAAGGGCACCCGTTTTTTTGGGTTGTTTACTTTATAAAGGAACCAGAACCAAAAAAAAGGGGTTTAGGGTTTAGGGTTAAGGGTTAAGGGTTTAGGGTTTAGGGTTTAGGGTTTAGGGTTTAGGGTTTAGGGTTTAGGGAAAAGGTTACCACTGGGCTACCAAGCTTCAGGCTGCGGCATGGCAGGTTTCACTGTGTCCTGAAGGTCGTCGAGATCCCCTTGCCCGCTCATGACCCTCTCCCATTTCCTATGCTGAACTTGGAACCCTAGCAAAACTGATACTTTTTGCTGTTTCTTAGGAACTTTAGTACCCAAAATAACAAAAAGTTATACTTTTTGCTGTTTCTTAGGAAATTAAGTACTCAAAAATTTGAAAAATGATTTCAAGTAGGCCCTAAGTTTCACTCTCAGCCGACGGTTCGGCAACATCGATAGGTTGGCTTTGATTGCCTCACGGAGCAGGCGACTTTGCTCGGGAGTCGCCATTTGCAAAGCTCGCCGAGCCACGAAGTGTCCATAGTTGCTATTGACCAAGACTGACATCTCGTTTTGGACGAGCTCTGCAATGAAGCGGTCACGAAAGTCTGTAGGTGCTGAGCACAAGAGCTTCTCGACCACGTTGGAGGAGAACTTTTGGATGCTCAGCTGCATCATCCGACCCTCCAGTTTGCGAAGAATTGGTTGGCAGCGGTTCCCCCCCCACTCCTCCAACGCATGCTGGATGGCGTAGTTGCCGTACGGACTCTGAACTAATTCCAGGGCATTCTGGGCAAGCTGCTTTAGAAGCATGTCCTGGTGCCTTCCAGGTGCTTTTGCCTGCGAGATGCATTTCTTGAGGACGCAAAGCCCATAGGGGTGATGCGCCACTTCGATCATTCGGTCATGAACGGTAATATAGATCCAATCAATGACTGAAGGAAAAAAGCAGCAGAGCAGCCTTTGGACCACATGAGTGCCATTTGAGTCCATACTCAGCTCGATGACCCGGCTCTTCATGGCATTCATGAGCTGCTGCTGCTCTTCTTCCAGCTGTAGTAAGCCTCGGATGCCCTTAAACTTAAGGGTTTAGGGTTTAGGGCTAAACCCCACTGAAAAATATTCCCAGGGAATGATCCTCTTAAACCCAATAAGGGACCTTAAACTTAAACCCCTCTGGAACAGATTCCTAATTATGATCCTCTTAAACCCAATAAGGAAAAGCGAAACATGTCCCAAGGGCCTACCTAGAAGCCAATGAGTGCCTGCAACGCATGCGTCCCGCGCTTGTCACAAGCAATGCCAGGAACTTGTGGCGAGAGCTTCTCGAGGATCCGCTTCCTCTGCCCGGGAGAGCATGCCTGAAATGCCGCACTGCAAAGATAGTTTCCGTAGGAATCGCACATCATGCCAGCAATCTCATCCTCGACTTCTGCGAGGATGACGTCCGAGATCGCCCCTGGTCCTTTCTGCAGTTGCCGCTGCAGGTACTTGCTTCCCGCTTGACTTCTCGACAACTGACCAACCTGGCCCAGCAATTCTGCTGCTTCAGCGGGAAGTGCTGCTGGGTCAAACTTGCCGCGCTGCAGCGCGTTGGCAGGGCGACCTTTGCCTCCCTCGCTGCAAACCCGCCCTTTGCGGGGTTCGGTTGAGCCGTGCCACTCTTCCGACTTGCTGTTGGGACACATGTTCTGTGTCCTCTGAGCCGGACAGGCAGGAGAAACAGGCCCTGGAGCCAGGACTGGCCCGCTTTCCTTGGTAAGCACGGGCACCGGACCACTCATCTTGGCCTGTCCCATTTGCTGCGATTGCACCTGGCCTACATCCATACAACCATGACATCCTGGTAGCCGCCAACCAGCACCTTGCAGGCCTCCCAAGGCAGCTGCTGCAGCTGCCGCGCCCCATTGATAGGCCTGGTATCCGGCGGCGGCGGCGGCCATCTGATGTACCATCTGATCCTGAGCTCTCAGTCCCCAAAAGGTCGGAAGCTCTGCCGGTGCCATTGGCTTTGCCTCGACAGGGTGCGGCCGGTCACCATCAGCCGGCTCTGCCCCTGGGCGGAATGCTCCGCCGAAGCCCATGCCGATCTCACTGGCGGGTCCTGAGCCTGTCGGCAAGGGTGGAGGCAACACCGGCCCGAGCGATCCGTCAGCAAGGGCGGCCCCGGGCAGCGGCAAACCACTGTCCGGGAATCGAGGCAAGGCCAAGAAGTGCTGATTGTTCAAAGCCGACATTGCACAAGGCGATGGCGTTGAAATCGGGGCACCGGCAGATCCCAGGAAGCTGCCATAGTGATAGTGGGTCGGCTCAGGAGTGTTCTGGATACTCCGGTGGGCCATGGCAGGATTTGGCGAATCCAGCTCCTTTTCCCCAGTCAACCTTGCAGTGGCAAGTTCATGTTCTGGAGAGGGAGTAGAATACGTAGAATCCTCCATCAGAGCTGGTGTCGCCACTGCTCCCAGATCTGCCACTGGCGTTAGGGCTTGGGCCCCTGGCTCATCCCAACTAAGAGACTTCGGCCGGGTGGCGCGCGATGCCTTCGCTGCCCCTGGACTCTGCAAATTCGGAGAAGCTTCTGACTCCAACAGTGCCGTCACCCAGTGCCTCCGTGGCTGCGGATGAAATGTTGCCTGTTCAGGAGACAGCGGCTTAGACACCTGTGTTGGCATCCTGCGCGTAAAGGATTCATTGCTAGCCTCTTCCAAAGAGTCGTTGGCTGAGCACGCACTACCTATCCCCAAGGCACGCTCAGCAGGGGCCGAGTTCGGCCGCTCCTCTGCACGGAAGGGGTCGCAGAAAGTAAAGCTGTTTGCATGCGGCCGGTCCTTATCCGACAACAACTTTTCGGCCTCCTTGTTAGGGGCTGGAGACCCGATAGGACTCAAGGAGGTGGTTCCTGGGGATCGCTTTTGCCAACTGTACCTTGCACCGGTTGGTTCGGGCGTGGTGGTTCGACCCACCTCCCCCTCGCCGTCACGGAGTGGCGCGATCTCGAGTTCGATGCTCATGGCTCATGGAGAACCCATATCAGGCACTTTCAGGATTTCGGGTTTATAGCGCTCAGGGAATGTCCGGGCACAGCTTTGATTCTTACCCCGCTGACCCCCGCATGTTTGAATATCATGGCTAGCAAACTCCGTGGCGCGCGACGAAGTGGGAAGTGACTCAGCCTAGAGGTTTGCAGTGCTTCGTCTTCAGAATTTTGCATCTAGAACACCTGGTCATTCAACCATCGATTGAGCACCGTGTTCTGCAGCAAGCGGGCTCACACCATGGCAAGCGGGCTCACACCATGTGGGATCTTTGGCATGTGTGACATTCCACTAAGGGGCGGACGACCTTTCACGTCTTCGATGGCCTTGTCTTCAAGGCATCCCAGCAGTTCGGCTGGGACGAAACATGCCATTCAAACCCTAGACCCGAAACCCTAACCCCATTGCAAGGGACTGGGCGCCCGACTGTGTCACCCGACACTTCCAGGCTGGCAATGCCATCGCTCATGGAGCAGATGGTCAGGGAGATGACCCCGGTGTAGTCCTCCTCCGGCTGGGCCTCACAGGATTAGGGGGACCCTTGCGGATATAGACCCTCTGAATAAGGTCCCTGTTTAAGAGAGCCAGAAGAGGGTTCAGCAGGGTGCCCTTTAAGGGCCCCCCTTATCCTACCTAGGACCAGAGACCTTAGAGGAGTTCAGGGCGTGGCTCGCGTGATGAAACTGCGGGTGCAGCTCATTTAATGCGGCCCAAGGGCTGGAGTGACATCGACATCCGAACCTCATGCGCGCGCGCGCATAAGCACGCGCGACGCGCAATCAAAGACCCCAGAACATAAGTCGAAGGGCCGAGCAAGGTGTCCAGGACTGTTCGCGGCTCTTCTTTGACGACCTCGCACGTTGTCGAAGGAGCAGCTGAGCCTTGCGGTTTAGAGGCGACCACATGTCTCGCAAGACTCCCACACCTTAAACCCGAAACCCGTTTTGCAACTGGATCAACTGGGCTTGAGGACTAGCCAGATACCCTAAACCCTTTTTTGGATCCCTCGCCCAGCCCGTTCCAGATCTCCGATTTTTCTGTACTTTTGACACTCTGCCGGCCTCCGTCGCCGTCGCCATCCACGCCAGGCGACCCAACTCCAATGGAAAGGCTGAGGACTGGATGGAGCGCCATTGGCAATTCATGCTCTGTACATGTTTTGTCAATCTATTGTGTGCACATATACATATAAGACTATATATATATATATAGTCTTATTTATTTACACTATATTATACATATCATAATATGCTTGTATGTATGGATATACACACAGATGTGACCGGCTGCTTAAGGCTTAAGGCTTAAGCGCTCTTGGTGGAGGAGGCGATACTCCTCACGTGGTCAGACCCGCGTGTAGACAAGACCTGCAGACAAGAATGTCAACGCATCAACTCAACAAAGCCCTAAACCCAAAAAAACCAAAAAACCCAAAAAACCCTAAACCCTAAAAACCCAAAACCCAAAACCCAAAACCCTAAACCCTGAACCCTGAACCCTAAACCAACTGCAAGCCTGCGAAGGTGCCCATGCCCCTGTCATGTCAAAAGCCAGTAAGTAGGTGAGCAGATACCAGGATGGCCCTTAAAAACCCTCTGAAAAATCTTCCTGAATAGGATCCTCTTCAACCCAATAAAGGGAAAAGATAAGATGTCCCAAGGGCCTAAACCCTAAACCCTAAACTCTAAACCCTAAACCCTAAACCCTAAACCCTAACAACCCTAAACTCTAAACCCTAAACCCATCATCGGGGTCAGCATCGTCAGCATAGTCTGACGGCATTTTTTGAACTGAGGCATGCCAGGCGTGTCTTGGGCCAGCAAACGTCAGCCAGGGGATTTAGGGTTTACAGTGTAATATTTTTATTCTTCATGTTCTTCATAATTTTTAGATTAATATCATTAATATGATTAATACGTTTAATGTTATGAATATTATAAGTACGTACTATTCATACCATTAATATTACAGGTTATCGGGGCAACAGTGGCACTCGGACCTCATTTGCCCCCATGCTAGATCGTCGAAGCTTTGGCAAAGACAGAAATCCGAGGCAGCTTACATCAAGGCGATCGCCCGGCCTTGTTCAAATGACAAATGTCGCAACCCCAAAGGTGGGAACGCACAGTGCCGGACCCTAGTGGAATGTGAGTCTGTGATTCACTGTCTCTGCCTTGTTGTGCATGATTGGGTAGCATGCATCCTGTCCCGGTTAACCTCTTACCTCCTGACGTTGGCCAGATGCCCATGTGTGCTGCTCGAGCTGCAGCTGATGTCTGTACAGCGATGCGCACCACGGAGCGAAACAGAAGGACGATGTCCCCCACGGATCTAGATTGACTTGAATGTGAGGAGCGTAGCTGCTTAGCGGGAGCCTGTCTAAAACGGAGTCAAACTAATCATCCCCAATCCCTGCCCAACTCCAAACGCGGTTGTAAACCGACTCACATTCCCAGATATAGTATATACTTGGACCCTAATGGTACCTCTAAGGCTCAAGTATATACTTTTTAGGTACATGGACCCTTTGGGATTCAGCTCCACGCCCTGCGTGTGATAAAGCGAGGAGGTTGCGTCCTATTGTCCCAGCCTGGCCTGTGCCAACAGCAAGGAGGCAGCACCGCGATGCAATCAATTTCTCGGGGGTTCAGCTCCGATTTGGAGCCTGTCATTGCTACTTGGAGGTTCATGGTACTTTTTAACCAATCAAAACTGTACTTATAACCATATGAGGGCACTTAAGGGGCTTGTAAGTGGGTTATCAGCACAGTTATAGTTGGTTAAAAAGTACCATGAACCTCTAAGTAGGGACGAAGAGCAGATGATTAGCAGATTGCCACGGAGCCTCTGACTGCTGCAAGTCCACCTTCTGAAGCTTCATGCAGCTGTGTGTTCTCCTTAAACCCCTACCCTAAACCCTAAACCCTAAACCCTAAACCCTAGAACCCTAAACCTATTTTTTTCGAGAGGGGTGGGGCAGAGGCGCTCCTTGAGCCCTAAACTCCTTCAAAGCCCCAAAGCCCTATCCAAATTCGCTGAGTCGGTTGCCTGTAGTTCTAGAGTCCCCGGTTTAGGGTTTAGGGTTTAGGGTTCAGGCATGCAGACCTCGATGAACTAGCATGAACTTGCAGACCAGAGCTAGTCAGCTAGCATCCGGTGACCAACTGCGCTTCTGGGCTGGCGAGGCATGTCCGGGGATGGACGCCCATCTCAAGGGTGCTCAGTCAGGTATAGGCAGTGCTGGGATTCAGGGTTTAGGGTTTAGGGTTTAGGGCCCGCATAGCTGAACTGCATGTCCACAACCTAGGATTTAGGATTTAGGGTTTAGGGTTGAGGGAATTGAAGCTGGTTGACTAAGCCCCATTCAATTGCCTAGAAGCTGCATTGAGCAATTGCCATCTCCGACGCGACTTCGCATTAAAAGGGGGTAGCTGTACAGGCCCCTTGATTTGGAATCGCACGCCGGGGGCTCGGCACTCTAAAGCTGTTGAAAACTTCTTGCCCTGACATGGGGATTTCCGAAAATGGGGGGTACCCTGTATATACCCCAGTAGACTATAGTATATAATCCTGTTAAAGGGAACCCCCCCCCCCCCCCCCCCCCCCTCCCCAAAAGGGTACCCCCATTTTCGGAAACCCCCCCCATGCAGGTCTACATCCACTCTTCTCTCCGCCACATGGGCGGCCTTGGAGGTGCAGAGACAGCTCGAATCCAGCAGCAGCAACAGTAAAAGTCTACACCGATGTTAAAGAATTAAAGTGCACTATTTATGAATAGGTTCCCTTGAAAGGGAAAGAAGGGAAATCTAAAAACTATCCCCAAGCACTACACAGTAAAGCATGTTAGCGTCTGCGAAGGTGCTTTGGGGAGGCTCTTCCGAGCTTCCGGCGTCTCATTTGCGTCGGCGGCCGAGTCGGGATTGCCTCAGGGCGGTGTGCTGCATGCAGGAAGTTCGCGACTGCTGCAGTGACTGTCTCGTGTCACGCATCTCTGGAAGATACAAGCTGTGTTCCAACTCTGCCGCTCAGATCTCAGATCCTGGCCCCCAAGAAGCCTGCAAAGGTGTGACAACCCTTCGCAAATTCGAGGTTTTATTCTTCAAGGCGTTTCGGTGAGCTACAATCTCCATGCGTCTGCTGTCATGTTGCACCTGATGTTGCACCTGTACCACGGCAGAAACGCGACCTTTTCCACGCGATTGGCTCCCCCACCCAATCCAGACAGCTCCTTGCTGTCGGCCCCCCAAAAAAGCAAAGCTCCAGCTCCTCACTTCGGAGCCCTCTCCAGCTCCAAGCAGCGCAGTCCCAAAAGGACCCGGGCCGACTCCTGAAGCGCCTCGTTCAGCGTTTCACGGCGGACTTCCAGCACCACCACCTGCTCCTCGGTCTTCCCCTTGCCCCGCCCCTTGCCCTTTCCGCCCTTGCCTCTGCGTGGCTTCTGCAGGCCTAGGACCCCACGCGCCTCGAGGCAGGAGAGCGCCGAGATGACTTGGGGCTTGGAAGCTGGGGGCTGCTTCAGCTCAGACATACAGCTAAGGTACTTCTGGAAGATGTCGGAGGTGGACATCGGCTCATCCCTTCGGGACAAGATGCAAAGTAGAATCTGCTGCTGCAGAGGGAGACTCTTGAGTGAGTCCAAGGGATCTATACTCGTTTGGGTCCCCAGTACTTTGCATGTCGTGGGTGGCGTGCTGCCTTGGCTGGCTGTTGTGCCTGCTTCTCCTACATCGGTTGGTGCACGGTCTTCTGCTTGCCTGAGCTCGATGGCTGATGCGAGCCCCTCCTCACAAAGCCGAACGATGTGTCGGCAGTCGCCAGCATTTGCTATTCGCCGAATACGAAGCTCCAGCTTAACGCGACCTCCAAGCGCCTTTTCGGCCAGCTCCCCGTCTCTTGATCCTGCAAACCGGCTTTGCACGATCGTCTTGAGCTGCTGCAAGGAGTAGCGCTCAAAGAGAAGGGAGGAGCAGACGCTCTTCCATCTGGGGCCACAGGCTTGGACCATCAAATCCACGTGATTGGCAATCATGACAATGGCCAAGGCAGGGGCTCCAGACTGCTTTGGGAGGCCACAGAGAATCTCCAGCGACTTGTCGCCTGCGTTCCATTTCTGCACGAGCTGGTCCACCTCATCAACGATCAGGATGACAGAGCTCCCAAGGCTGCGCAAGCTCGACACAGCTGAGGCCACCAGACTGGACAGGGGGCTCTTTGAGCTCAATGCCGGGCCTTTGAGCCCTGTCACCTGGCTGCAGGCCTGGGTCACTTTCAGCAGAAAGCCCGGAACTGAGCATGGCCTCAGGTTGTCCATACAGTTGATCTCCAGAACTCGGGTGTCTGCATGATCTTTGCGCCATGCCTTGGCTGCACCCCGAGCCACAGAGGTCTTCCCGGTTCCGGGCCCTCCGCTCAAGTAGAGGCATTTGCCCGCCCTCGTTTTCAGGCTGGCTTCCAGGAACTGGTCCAGTACGCCACATTCATGCTCGCGTGAGACCAGTGGGTAGGCTTCATCTAGGGCCTCCCCCAGCATCATCTCCGCAGGCGTGAGGCTCGTGGGTGCCGCCTGCAAGGACTTCGGTGACTTCGGCTCGGAGATTCCCTCGCTCTGCTGAAGCCTCTGTCTCGTCGTCTTTTCAGGTGTCAGCTGCTCAGCCGGTCGCTTGGCGGCTCGGCGCTTCGGCGTAGCAAGGTCGCACGCCGCCATCCCGCGCACCGAGAGAAAAAAACAAACTATAGTAACTGGCAGGGAGATCAAGAGGCTGTGTTTCACTTGGGGCTATGGTCGGGATCTGTAAAAGCCGTGGCTCATGCGCTGTGCCCCGATGCATACTGCACGCACATGATCGTCCTTCAGTGTGTTTGACATGAGCTGTTGCAACTTGCCAGCTTGACTTAACTTGCTGGTCGTCTTGCACCCTACTTTGTTCCCCTGAGCCAAGAATCATGACACGATCGGATTCCACGCAAGCAAGTTGCAGCACGACGGAACGCAAGCAGCACCAGGTGTAGTCCATCACATGCAATTCAATGATGTTCAATGGTCAGCGTGCATCCTATGTCGAAGCAGCGCTGCGGGTCACCATGACCTCTTTAGTTCTGGAGAGAGATTGGCACTTGGCATTCAGGCCATGCCTCCGTTCCCAACTCCCACAAGGCCTTGGAAGCTTGCCGTCTGCATTTCCAAGAGCAGCGCCTGGATTTGCGTAATCCTATCCACCACCTCGCAGGCCCGCAGAGCTGTGGACTGTGCGATCACGTCCACCTCCAGCGTTCCGGTGCCAAGCTCGGACAAGAGGAAGATCGCATGCTGCCAGCGACCTCCCTTCTCACAGGCGCTGATTGCCGCATGATATGCAATCTCATCTGCGCCCAGACTGCTCGCCAGTAGCTGGTGGAATAGGAACAGTGCAAACCGCCATTGGCGGCCCTTTTCGCAGGCACTCACTGCAGCACTGTAGGTTATTCTGTTAGGTTGCAGCTTCGTCCTGAACATCCCCGCCAACAACAGCAAGGCCCATTCCCACTCTTCACACTTTTCGCAGGAACTGATGGCAGCACTGTACGTCACCTCATTCGGGCTGAAACTGCGACGTCGCAAGCCAGATAGCAAAGACAGCGCGTGCTGCCATTGCAGGCCTTTCTCGCACGCACTGATGGCTGAGTTAAAGTCCTGCAGTTCGCATCGCAGCTTTTTACCAAGCAAGTCTGCCAGCAAGAGTAGGGCAAACTGCCACTGGGCGCTCTTCTCACATGCGCTGATCGCAGCATTGTATGCTATTCTGTTCGCGGCCAGTTGCTGCCGTGGCAACCCCATGAACAGTGACAGGGCCCATTGCCATTGCTCACCACTACCACAAGCACTGATCGCCGCACTGTAGATGATGATGTCAACAGGTAGATCTTGGAAGCGAACGTCGTCTAGCAGATGAAGGGCGAGCTGCCATTGCTGGCCCTTCTCGCAAGCGCTGACCACCGCGCTATACGACACCAGGTCTGCCTGCAAGCCTTCATGCCACATATTTTGAAACAACGCCAAGGCCTGTTGCCACTGCCCGCCTTTCTCACACGCACTGATGGCTGTGTTCTGCACGATCAGGTCCGCCTGCAGCCTCTGCTGCCCCAGCTCACCCAGCAAAGCAAGGGCATGCTGCCAAACTTCGCACCGCACGCAGGCAGTCATGGCCGCGCTGTAACCTGAGGTCACGTGCTACAACCCGAGCCCTTGGTATGATGGTATATAGTAGCAACCCGGCATTGAGTATGGGACCAGGTTGGGAGGTTGTTTCTGAGAAAACTGGAGCACTCCGACCACTTCAAGGGATGAGAGGCTGATGATGTCGGGTTTCATCCGCAAGCCCAGGCGTGTGAGCACCGCCAAGGCATGCTCCCACTGCTCGCCCCGGTCACAGCAGCTGATGGCTGCATTGTACACGACCTTGGAGTTATTTGTAAACTCACGGCCATGCAAGTGGTGGTTGAGGGTTCGCAAGGGTGAGAACATGGCCGGCGACGAGAGCGATTATACTGTACGCCGGACTGTGTTGTCGTGACACGGCGTGGAGCGTGGGCTGTGAGATGTCGCGAGGTGGCAGTCGCCGAGGAGGCCATGCACACTGCTCTGTCATGAGCGAGCATTCTATAGAGATGAGGCCTAGTTCCGAACCTGAAGGCACAAGCAAGCAACCCTGAAATCCCAGCTAGCAGCCGGCCCGGCCACAGCAGCCCCGGAACCCTAAACCCTGAACCCTGAACCCTGAACCCTAAACCTTAAACCCTAAACCCTAAACCCAACACTAACAAACCAAGGCAAACTAAGTCCACGACTAAGCTCTGGTCGGCTCTTTCCTGAACAGCGTTGGGCACTTGGGTCACAGCTTCTTTGCAGATGGACCTGTGCCTTCTCAGTTCAATGTCTTTCCTACTAGACTGCAGATTTCAAACCCTAAACCCTAAACCCTAAACCCTGGCAGACTTCTGCAAGGGTTAGACGCTTAGCCTTGGGACGCTGAAGGTGCCTCGAATTTCTCGAGCAAGCACAGGCCCTGATGCCAGTTGCTCGCCTTCCAGGAGTGCAGCAAGGGCCAATGAAGTCTCTTTGGCATACTGGGCGGCGGACAGCTGCTTACTATCACATAGGGTAAACGAAACTAGTCAATGATATCCAGTATAGAAACTTAACCCTAAACCCTCAACCCTGAACCCTGCAAATTACAAGTGAAGAGCGATGGCACCGTTTAACAAATTTTAAGCATCCCATGGCTCAACCCAGGGGTGGAACCCATGGAACAACGCCCGGTGCCAAACTATCTGCAGGAAAGAGTGTTAGGGTTTAGGGTTTAGGTTTTAGGGTCTACAGGGTAACCCCTCCCCCACCCCCACCTGGGGACTTTCAACATCCATGAACTTGTGTTCAATTTTTTCATCGAGGTTCCAGGGATAAGGGTTTTGGGGATGTTAGAGAATGTGATTCTAGAGCTTTCGGAAGTAAGATCGAATATTAAGAGGGCCAAGACCCTCAAGGAACGGTTGCGGTATTACTTGTCTGATAAGCCGCCCTAACCTCGCAATATCACTTCGGACCCTAATTAAAAGCATTCTCTTCGTAAGGGCTCTCGGGATTTTGTGGCCTTGCCACATGCATTGATCGTGAAGGTGAAGCTCCTGAAAGATGCAGCTGGGGTGGCAAGTCGCCAGCCCGAGCCCCAGCCAATAGATGTACCCATGTTCAATCTACAGCTTCTGTTCTGACCCTATGGACCAAAGCCAGCACCGTTGGCACCAGTGCCATGTGAGCATCAAGGCTTTACCTGAAAACCCTGTTTCTAAACCCTAAACCCTAAACCCTAAACCCTAAACCCTAAACCCTAAACCCTAAACCCTAAACCCTAAACCCTAAACCCTAAACCCTAAACCCTAAACCCTAAACCCTAAACCCTAAACCCTAAACCCTAAACCCTAAACCCTAACTAGACCACTGCAGTCCTTGCGGACACCAGCCCCTGATTCTCCAGCTCCCTGAAGAGGGCCAGGCAAGCTTCCCAGCTCTCTGCCTTGGGATGCTCCCCCTTATACAGTCCCTCATCGGGATGATATTGGGGGGGGGGGGGGGTACGAGAATCCCTATTGAGGACCTGTTCGTATACGGGGCAAACATCCCAATCTTTGCCTCAAGCCCCCAGACAGCCAACTTCTAGAGATGATTGGGAGGGTTTTTGCAGCAGCTTTTCGGCCTTTGGGGGCGGGATGGTCTCACAAGGGTTGGGAGTTTGGCATGCTCTCCCTGGTAAAGCTACTGAACGACCTGCTGACAAGGATGCGCGATTAACAATTTCTGCACTACGAATTCTCCTGGATCTCGATCAGTGGGAACGAGCTTCTGTGTCAAAAACTACACATCATGCAGAATCATACATGTTTCCGTCTGTATGGGCCGAGGAACTGTGCCACAGGCCTTCAGGACTGGATCACCAGTCTGGACGCGAGAAGGCAGGCGATTGCACCACATCTGGCACAAGAGATACGAAGCAGCTTCCTGGGCTGAAGGGAAGCTACACAGCGCCCGTCTGCTTCTTCCCGGCGTCGTTAACCTTAAGCCCTACTGCACTGTCCAACCTTTAGCATTGCCCACCAGGCTTCCCATTGTCGGGCAAGCGCGTGCTTCTTCACAGCCGAGGAAAACCTTGCAGAGACAAGACTGAAGGTGAGTTGCCTGCGCATGTTGTTATCATTCTTGTGTGCGAGATATGGTTTCCGTGTTGTAAGGGGGGAGATTGTTCCCATTTTGTCCTGCAGGTGTGAATTAACACTGTACAACATGCTTGAGCCTGCAAGACCTGTTCTACCTCTGCACAGCCTGACAATTACAATTGTGTACAGCCCTACTCGATTCCATTCTTTGTGTCTCCACCTTAGACTGGCTTCAAGGAGACTGCAAGGAAACCCCGAACCCCAGTAACCATATCATAATAACAAGAGCACCCTTTTTGGGGTTGGTCATTTTATAAGGGCAACCAGAAGCAAAAAAAAGGGTAAAGGGTACCACTGGGCTACCAAGACCACAACATGCAAGATCTAGCCTGAGAGCCGGATAAAATCGCAACATCTGAGCGCGCCACACAACCCCAAACCTCCCTGCCCTCCTGCATCGCGTTGTGATGAACGAAGAACCCACCCGAACGGCAGAATCCTCGATTTTGATGCGCATGGGTTTTAATGGTAGCAGGGAAAGTTAGGCCCCAGAAGGCTGAAAAATCGCTGCATGCCGGAAAGTTGTGTCTGCCACAGTTCGGCCCACAACTTCAGATGTCTCACGAATAAATATCCTCTCACCCTTGCAGCAGGTGGTGAGCTTGCGATGGAAATCAGAGTCCTGCTTCACAACCTCCACCTTCACACGCTTGCACCGCTTGGCCATCTGCAGAAGCCTGTACAGTGCCAAGCGGCGATTGCTGAGACAGTACAGATGACCCTCATGGATCGTGACCCGCATCATCTCGACATCCCTCTTCCGGATCTCTCGTGACAGCAACTGGTCCAGTGTCTCGCGGATGGTCGTTTTGTTGCGGAACTTGTTGCTGATCGAATCTTGACAGAACGAGAGGTCACAGGGTGCTATGAAGAGCTGTGAGCCGGGTACTCGCTCGCTCGGAGATGTAGGCACGGTCAGTGCTTGCGAGGCAGGGGGGCTCGACGTCGACTCCTCTGGCCCAACAGCTGGTTCATCCTCTTCTTTGCCGTGGCGAAGTATGAAACAATTTTTGGGCCACGCTCGGATGGTCTTGTCAAAGGGTGCCTCTAAGCGAATCTGACACCTGCCACTCTCCTCCACTGCAATGATCCTTCCCTCTGCGCCGTTGTACTGCCTGCAAGGATTTTTTGTTGAGCTTAGCTTGGGAGGCTGCAAAAATCATAGACCCAAACCCCAAACCCTGCGTGAAGCAAGACGAGATTGCATTTCCCCTACCATCCCAAGAACTCTATCATCCGCAGTGCAGCAGAAATCCTTCTAATTCTCTCTGGTTCCCGGCAACCCCTACGTTGCCCGACTGCCTGGCGCTCTCCAGGCCATGGACAGAGACCTTGGCGCCCAAGAGTGGCTCCGGCTCCTCCTCCGCCTTGCCGACAACAGGGTTTAGGGTATAGGGCTTAATCCGAGCTCCTGTTTAATTTAACCCCCCCCATATTTAAAGAAGTTTTTTTTGCCCGGATTCCCGCCGGAAGACTACTTTCCATTACGATGGATTTCGTATGGGCCAAACCCTCCACATTTAAAGAAATTTTTTTTGCGGGGGTTGTCAAATTTTGAAACTCTGCCTTTCGGAAAGCTTTTTTTCTTCTGCTAAGGCTGCACCTCTCGCCCTACGTTCCTATTGTTTTTTAATAGAGAAACCATACGGGGCCATGGTCCAACTATTGCGGAACCCTGCTTTCCTTATTGTGGGGGGGGGGAGGGGGGGGGGGGGGGGAGGGGGGGGGGGGGGGAGGGGGGGGGGGGGGAGGGGGGGGGGGGGAGGGGGGGGGGGAGGGGAGGGGGGGGTTTTTTTTGGCCACCGGCCCGGTCCAGCACGCGAACGAACACTGCGGGGAATACTTATGAGGGTTTAGGGTTTTCCGAACCACTCACCAGGGATTCCTGACTCCAAAAACATCGACTCCCAATCTCCCGTCTCCCTCAAAACTTAAATCCAAACACAACATCGACCCCGCCCCACCCCGAGACGAGCCGTTCAATGTGCCGGTCGCCCGGCATTAACTTCTAGCAAAGAAGAGAGCATCTTTACGTGTGTTTTTCAGGGCACCCACACAGAAGACTGGACGAACAACTCAGCAGGTCTCCGACGGTAATCTCTGTCTCTCAATGCTTCACTCCCTGCCGCTTGTTGCCTTCGTAAGTGCCCCGGCTCAACCCGCGCGAGACTAAAACCCCAAACTACAAACCAGAGCCACCCTGAGGACAACGCACGACAGCTGGCACACACTCATGACTCAGTCAGCGGTGTGGACAGTTCTCGCCGCCACACACACAGAGCCACATGTTTTCATTTGAAACCAGGACGAACTAAAACACCTCTAAACACGTGTCTGCAGTTACGCGGCCGTGTCGCCTTTTACATGACGCGGCGGCTTCTGCAACAGTAAACATCGCAAATCACAACGAAAGAAGTGCACTAGAAGCCCATCATAGCTGCTTTGCGTCAAACTAGTGTCAGGCTCGACGACCCGAGCCTTGAAGCCAGGGTTTCATTACCCTGTCCTGGGGCAGCACACCCTGGTTGCTCATTCCCACGCACGCCAGAACTAATTAAGACGTGGATCGGCAGCGACATGCATTTCATCCTCTGGGTCCCAAGCCTTGAACTACACAAACTCGCAACCTTGAAGGGTTTAGGGTTTAGGGTTTAGGGTTTGATGTCTGTTGTTATGATTTTATGCGGCTGCTGCTGCGGCGGCGATTGCTGTTCGTGCGGCAAAAGCACGACTGATGTTGCTAGCACGGCTCTTGCTCTTGTTGTGCCTTACTAGCGTCTTCATTGCCAGCACCATGTTCATGTGTTGTGTGCTTTGCAAGTCTTGTGGCGTAATCCGAGCACCTGTTTAATTAAACCCCCCATATTTAAGGAATTTTTTTTCCCCCGGAAGCCCGCCGGAAGACTACTTTCCATTAGGGTGGATTTCGGCTGGAGATAACCCGCCACATTTAAAGAATTGTTTTTCGGGGGGGGTTCGCAAAATCTGATGGCTCGCCTTTTTTTGTCTTGTGTGCTGCAATTTGGATCTGTGAAACATCTCAATACGTTCTTATTGTTTTTAAATAGAGAAACCATACGGGGCCATGGTCCAACTATTGCAGAACCCTGCCTCCCTTATTGTGGGGGGGGGGGGGGCCTCCCAATTAAACAGGTGCTCGGATTAGCTGGGAATTTGTTTGTTGCTATGACTGCTAATTAGTATTGTTGCTGCAATTATTCTTATTACTATTACAAGCAGACATAGGTGCACGGACAACAAGCACAATAGCATCCCTCCCAAAGTGTCCTCCCCCCCCCGCCCCCCTCCTCAGCACCCTTTGATTCAGCAAAGCTGTTCTCTGCGGAAACTTTCGTAATTAGCATTGAAGCTATCTGAAGCTATCTATCGCTGTGAATACGACGACGACGCCGACAGGACGACAGGACGACGACACGCCGACAGGAAGACGACGACGACGCCGACGACGATGACTACAACTAACACTGCTTCAGTCGCCTCTGCCAGCGTCCAGTCCCCGGTCTCCAGAAACATCCGACCTGCCTCCTCGATGGCATGGGGGTTTCTAGGCTATCATGTATGAGAACAAGAATATGGAACAAAAACCAGAAACGATGATGATAATAATACTGATAGCAAATAACAGTACTGCTGACCTGAATGATGACAACCGCAGCAACAACAATACACAACACAAAAGAATGTGACCATGAGAACTTCAAGCATACTTACCAAGAACAGAAAGAATCTGCAGATCATCGGCGCCATGGTCCATCAAACCGAAGCCGGGCAGAATTCCGGGCTTTTTCCGGACTCGAAGAAGAGAAATAGTCCATGAATACTGAATGACAGTGAGACGACATGAGTTGACAACCTCAGAAAAGATAGGACCTGACGTGCATGATGCTGCAGCTGCTGCAAACTGCGACTGCGGCGGACTGACTGGTACTCCTACATGCTAAAGTGGCCCGAGATCCTGTCATTGTGGATTATTCCCTCAATTCCTATGTCCTATTTAGCTACCATAATTCAGAGGGTATTCTACGGCACTGTCTAGCCAGCGCCCGGGTTGGTAAACGCTTCCATAGCGGCTTCGTGCTAGCTGGGTCAGCTAGGTCTCTCTCAAAACAAGTATCCTCCCAGATACCAAAATACGCTAGCACACATAATATAGTATAAGGGCAATCTAAGGACCCCCCCCCCCCCCCTGCCTATGACTACAGTCTTGTGTTATTGCCGGCAGCATTCTTTTTGCATTCTGAACCTACTCAGTCACCAAGGCTCCTCATCAGAGTCGTCCCCCTCATCGCCACACAGAGCCGACGCCATGACTTGCCTTACTTAAAGGTTCATGGTACTTACCCACCACCACATAGTAAGTGCACTGATAACCAAAGTATAACAATACTAGGGTACTTAAGGGGCTTAAGTGGATTATAAGTACAGTCATCATTGGTTATTAAGTTCCACGAACCTTCAAGTACTGGTGCAGGGATGGGGAGTAGGGGGGGCTGAGCCCCCATACGTGAATGAATTCGGGCTCGCTTGTTGGGGATCACAACAATGACACAAATGAGGGTCATCATGCTAACTAAATGCCCCACATAATCCCTAGATTTATCCGTTCCATCACTTACCCTTGCTCCAGTAAGTTGCCCCAGCATCTGCTCGGCATCGGGTGCCTTGCGCATCACTGTGCCTCAGGCTTGCGCAGCCGCGCTCACAAAAGTAATCTTTGGGTAAGGAGCTTCCCGAACAAGAGAAAGCCATTATCCAAGATGCCCATGAAGAAGGGTGTACCCGAATCAGCAGGTACTTGCATGCACTGGAAGATCCCCCACAGGCCTTCAAACTCAGCGAAGCTGAAAGACTTGAGAGCCGCCGCAGTCTGGAAGGCACCGTCAACCCTCAGAGCCCACACATCTCCACGTGCAGGGGCAGCCAACTCCTCGTCCCCAAGCACAACCCGGTTGTCAACCGGCCCTGGGATCTTCACGGGATGGCTACTGAACAGCGTGTTGTTGAAAAGGCTGCTGAGGATGGTGGACGCTCGTAGGTTCTGAGGTGCCAAAGATCCACGGGCCGTCCGCAAGTTCACGCCCTTCAGTAGTTTTGGCTTCTCGTCGCTGGGCAGCATCACTTCCCAGCGCTCTCGATCTGCATGGTATGCGCCCAACTTGGCTTTCTGGCCATTCAGCCCTGCGCCAGATGTGCTTGTGAGACCGTAAATAGTCACCTCCGAGCCTTCAGCTTCTTTGGTCCAGTCAGCCTGCACCAGGTACAAACCTTTCTGCGGAATCCGTGAGCCATCGTCCAGCTCATCGCTCCAACCGTTCTGGAATCCACGAAGGGGCACCAGAGGCAGCAGGGCTTCACACCTGAGAATCTGCTGCAAGGCTTGATCTGCAGCCAACTTGGCCATTGGAAGTGGGCGCACATAGGGCTTGACGCGCTGGTCTTGCGGTAGCACCACACACTCAATGACACTGCAGCGGAGGGTGTCGCGCTCACTTTCTGGCTCGTCATCCCTCCCATAGCAAAAGCCGGAATGAACACTCCAGCATGCTGGCACAGAGCAGAGGTGGGCCTTGCAAAGCTTGCATTCGCAGAAGCCTTGGTCCGACAGGACATTGCCGCAGCTCCAGCAGCAGCGCTCCTGCCCGGTGAGCTGGACATTGGTATCTGGCTTTCCTTGCTCCCTCCGCTTCTCCTTTCGCTTCAACTCCTTGGCATGGATTGCCTCCGCCTGCGCTGCAATCTTGCCTTGCTGAGTCTTTGGCATCTTCAGGAAACTTTCCATCTCCTCCATGGCGGCAATCGAGCCCTTCTCACTTTCATTTGCCAGGATGTTCACCTCTAGGCCCTTCTTGTCACCACCGGGAAGACGCTGGAGCTGCTTCATGACCTGAGTCAGTGCGGCCATGGCCACTTGCTCCCGCTCTTTGCCAGGGAACTCCAAGTTCATCGACCCCGCCATGTTAGCCACCTGGGGGTTTCCGAAATTAGGGTTTAACTAAATTAGGGGTACCTTGGGGGTCTATATTCGGGGCCCCCTATTCGCGTAACCCCTCCCACCTCGCTTCGGAGCTTCCAGGCTTCTTCCCGACCGCTTTGGAAAGCTTGCGGCCAAGCCATCATGATCTCATGCCTCACCTTACTGTTAGTTGGCAGGGAATGGGGGAATGAGGGCCCTGTATAATCCCTTAAAGGGTATGTCTAGGGCCCTAGTTCCCTTTGTAACCCCTTAACGGGGATATATAGGGCCCTTAATTCCCTTAATGATTAAAGGGTAAAAATGGGCCCTCATTCCCTCATCCCCTGCTAAGCAACAGTAAGTCACACAGGACCAAAAGATGCCTGGGTCTTCAGCGGCCAAGTGCATTGGCTCAAAAGGGGATGCCGCTTGTCCCGAAAGGCTCAAGAGGCTGAGTGAACTTGCCCAGCTGTCCAGATCCTTCATCTCTTCTCGCTTGATGTCTCGGAAACGATCTTGGAAAAGCAGACATCGAGAACCGAGAATTCCAGGCCATCGCACCTCCAGCAGATCCTCGTTTCCGCTTCCCATTCTGCCATCTTCCCCAACAGCTCGATGAATGATGAACGCGCCGGCTTTCACAGCTTCAGCCCGCATTGCAGCAACCTGCGGTGTTACGGTTACAGGACCTCACTGCTCCGAACACATGATGGTTGCATTCATGCCTGCCTTTCCGGGGGGCGCCATGAGCGAGTTCTCCTTCGTCATATACCGGCCCGCATCGTGGCACATGGAAAACTTTGTCGCCTTCCGCCGCCGCATGAGGCCCTCCGCAAGAGAGCGGGCCACTTCTTGCGACACCAAAGACCTTTTGGACAACAAAGGCTCCAAGAATTCCAAAGCCTTCTTCAGTTCCTTCGGATGGGGTCCGAAATGACCAAAGGTCAATACCAACAGCCGGTGCGTCAGTTCGACCTCTAACTCCAAATCAGGTGGGAAGTCGCCCAACACCTCGGCCAATGCCTCGGCAGTCTCCGCATCCCGGCACGGTTAAATGGATGCTTCCCAGTCATGTGCGTGTGCAAAGCATGCTGTGCTTGTTGGGTCATGTTAACCGCAAGAGTCGGCACGGTCCTTCTGAATAATGCTAATCGTGATGTGCTTAGCCCGAACTTGGGCGAACAAGTCTGTCTCATGAACGATTTGCAATGTGTCGGGTGGTCTGTCGAAGGCCTGACATCCCATTTCAAGCTCAGCCCGGTCGAAATCACAAAAGGGTGTGTTTATAGTGAACATGATTTCCGGAAAGAATCCGTAAAATTGTTATTACATCGATATCTTGTTTCCAACTCTCTTCAATCGAGCAAAGCCCGCCCGGCAAAGACTCCTTAGACAGTCCAAACCAAGCTCCGGACATCCAAGGCCTTTGATTCATTGAGTGGTCCGAAGCACTGATCTACCGCCAGGCGAAAGCATCGATTCCTTGCTAATGGGATGATAGTACCCCCGATGATAATCCCTATTACAGACTGTTAGCATAAGGGGGAACATCCCAAGTTTTTTTTGAAAGGCTAGGACTTCCGAGTCTGGAGCTTGATTTGGGCCGTTTAAAGAATGAATCACAGGGGCCTTGTGATTCAGGAGAGGGACAGATAGGTACCCCCACGGCCAGATTTTATTCATGTCGCCTTTTCAAGTTACGAACCGGGTAAAGGGTAGTCCTTACCGGATTTGTTTGGGGGATGGTTTGTGAAAGATTTTTAAGGACTTTTACTTGAAGTCCCAACAAACAACCCCCAACAAAAACTCCGGCAAGGCTACCTCTTGCGAGGCCTCCGGATTAGAAGAACGGAGGGTGCTGTTATGCTACAATCATCCTCATCCTCATCATGATCATGGTCCTCATCATCGCCACTACCATCAGCATTGCCACCACCATCGTCATTATCAGCAGCAGCATCAGCATCCTCATTCCTGCCAACCGTGGCAATTACCACTTCCCAAGCGCTGCCTTCGAGCCAGGGAGCTTTCAACAATGCGTCGGTGTGAGAAGTACTTCCAGGTGCAGGTACATGTCCTTGAGACTTCGCCGGGGAAGGCGCACCGCTGATGAAAGCATACCTGCAACTGGCTGCTGACGATTTACATCGCTGCAACTAACTATGCTTGCGCCGCTACAGCGGTTCTGCAAGGACGTTGGTTCGGAAACGTTCAAAAACAGGACAACCTCCAGGTGAGTGGGTCAAACGAGATGTGAATTCGAGTGTGTCATTTGCACTACATGGGGTGATGAATGGACACAAAGACCGTTCATAAAAAATGATCCCAAGCTTTGCTCCAGGTACCCCGCACCCATACTTCCTTGCGCTGTTTCAGAAGTTCCTTGGAATTTGCACTTCCCGGCAACGGGCAAGCCACTAAGTTCGGGCATCAACCATTGACAAAGAATGCAGGAAAAAGGCCAGTACGAGTTTGATCAATGCAGAGAGAAAGTCGAGTCCAACTTGTCATGATCTGCACTTTTGATCCAGTCATTGCTGATGGTCCGCAGGCACGGCAAAGTCGATGTGCAGCAATGCAACAGACCGCGTGAGATCCCGCCAGCTGCAAGTCGATGCTAGAGCTCAATGCTAAGCTTCGGTGCTGTGCAGCACTGCCTCCTTTGACATTCTGATTTCATGAACTGCCTGCCGTGAACCACCCTAAACCCTAAACCCCAAACCTAGCCCAGCATGGAGCCATGTCGAAAGCGGGCGATATTCATTCCATGAATGCTGAAGATGCAAGCTCGAGATGACTGTCTCTCGCTCCACTGTATATGTAAAGAAATAAGTAAATGAAAAATGTATTTATTTATATATATATATATAGTAACAATACTGTAGTAGCCACAGCCATGCAAAATCATGATGACACTGGGCTTTAGCTTCGCCTCAAACAAATCTACTCTAATGCCGGGGCCCTGAAGATAAGCCCTGCAAAAAATTATCAATTTGGGCCTCCTCATGTACTTCATTCATGCTAGTTACATAGCAATTGTCAGCTTCACCTGTAAACACAAGTGAGAACTTCTCAAACAAGGGTTTGTTCAGGATGTACGGGTACTAAACTAGAGCGTGCAAAAACACAAAACAAATAGTGTGTCATATACTATAATACACAATCATTTACTATAATATGCGATGATATACCTATCTCTGTACTACAAAAGACCATAGTATACTACAGACGACTAGACTAGTATACTAGAAACATTCGTTTTCGGGACCCTTGCGGAGACCATAGAGGGATCATGTGTCAGCCACCAAAACCTGCATCCAAACACGTGCCCGGTGGCTGCTGCGGGCTGGAGGGCGCCCGCAGCGCTTCCATCATTGGCCGTGTGCCCGTGATGCATCTGCAACAATTTGCTTCTCAGGCTCGGAATCAGAGTGCCCAAGGCGGAGTTTGTATGGGCTTTGAGTTGCACATCTGGGGAGGGGGCTGAATAGCCTGCCAGCTTCTGGAGTGTTGCTTGAGCCACGGTGCACATCGAAAGCATGTTTAGGAGCTGCGGGCAAGGGGCTTAGGCTTTTCACTTTTGAGCCCGTTTGCACGAGGCTTAGGCTGTTGGCCTAAACCCTAAACCCTAAACCCTAAACCCTAAACCCTAAACCTGCAAGTCTGGAAGGCACGGAGCGATCTGGACGCCGGCCAGGCCTCCAGGCTACCTTGTCTCTGTAGCCTGCAACGTTTTAGGGTTTGGGACATCGGGTTTATGGGGTTTATAGCGTTTAGGGTGGTTAGGGGTTCAAGAAGGTTGTTTAGGGTGGTTTAGGGTGGCTTAGATGGTTCAGGGGATTTATGGGGTTTTTAGGCTGGTTGAGGGTATGGCGCACTCTTCTAGAGACTTCCTAGTGTCCATCCGTGCCCTACGAGGAATGGAAGTGGCACGCTTCTTATTGTAACGTGTCTGGAGGGAAACGAAAGAAGGAAACGAGCATATCACTGGGGAGGCTCGGAAATGATTCCATGATCAACCGTCTTGCACGGGGATACTAGTACAGGAATCCAACACCTTTCGCTCTGCGTCCTTGCCCAAGATGCAACTCCGGGACTGTGGACCGAAGCCCACTGCTCAACGACCACTTGAAGAAATCATCTTCAACTTCGACAATTAAACCCTACACCCTGAACTCTAAACCCCACAAGTGAATTCGTGTTTTCGAAATCTTGGGTACCAGTCTTTGACGTGCACGACACTCTCCCCGCAGCATGCGGGCCTGGTGCTTTTCTGGCTTCTGGTCCTCGTTGCCAGATGAGCCTTACCTGGCGATGAGGAATTCAGCACAAGTCAAACTGATCGATCCACGAATGGTGCGCCCAGTCACAGCGCAGCGGAGAGACAAGGGCAGGGGGGAGGGCCTGGCGCAAGCGGCGGTCCTTGGAAGGTTCACTGCCGTTCGTTTTGGGCCTCCGGCCTACAGCAAACCCTGTGCAACCGTCTAAGTCTATATGTCGTGTCGGGTGAGCCGGGCAAGTGCTGAGCCTAACTGGGAGCTGTGCAGTATCCCGCCGCGCCAAGGAGCTCAATCCTGCATTGACCAGGAACAGGGTTGCAAAGACTTGTTGGGAGTTGTAACACCATTACATTACCATTACATTACAAACCTGCACCACAGCCCAGCAACTCTGTGAAAGGGCCCCAGCCCTCAACGTTCGGACAGCCCCGACATGCCCCCGCGCATCCCCGCGCATGTGCATGTCCCCGAACACCTGTGGCAGTAGCCTATATTTCGGACCACGCCGCCATGCATTGATTTTGTCCTACCATGTTTCCCGAGAATTGGCATATTGTGGAATACGACTGCCACAACTCTGACAGTGCAAACAAGGCGCATTTCGGATTACATTTTCTTCTCGGCTAGAAGTCTAGAAGGCCGTTTCTCCGCATCCGAAACTGAAATTGCCAGAGCCCAACTCCAGCCCGCGCGCTGCTGACTTTTCAGAACCTACGGCCCCTTGGGAAATTCCCTGCAAGATCTGTGTTTTTGAGATCCGTTTTGAGGACGCGCATGTGCTGGAACGGGACGCTCGAGGCACATTCGTGGAGCCAGTGTGCAACAAAGGACAACTAGAAGTCCTGGTCATCCCACTGAGCTCTTAACCTCACATATATGTACGACATATGTTTAGCTAGCTGCATTTGTGTATATATATATATATATCAAGAGACCTGGCCTCGCTCTCCAGCCCTTTGTTTCCATTCTGGACTCTCGCCTAAACCCTTCAGCCCCAGCAATGGCGCCTCCGGGAACAGAGGAGGTCAAGGCGGCGTTGGGCCGGCTACAGAAATCCCAGCGCCAGCCTACATGTTCACGTCTAGGGTTTAGGGTTTAAGGTTTGGGTTTAGGGTTTAGGGTTTAGGGTTTAGGGTTTAGGGTTTAGGGTTTAGGGTTTAGGGTTCAGGGTTCAGGGTTCAGGGTTTAGGGTTTAGGGTTTAGGGTTTAGGGTTGTTGTCGTGGCATTTTGGGCTTAGTAGGGTTTAGGTTTTCGACGCTTACGCTTAGGGCGTAGGGCGTGCTACTTGGGACGAGGAGGCCAGGGCCCTCTTGAGCCTGGAAGGTTTCAGAGGCTTTGGGCTTTAAGGTGGTAGGTTTGGTATCGAACCGCCAAGTTATGCACGACACATTGATTTTTTACACAACAACCGGTAAGACATCAGTGTCGGTTGAACGGCTGGTTACATCCGTGTTTCTCCGGACGGAAGTTCAGTGGTCGCAGATGAACGCGCGCCATCTCCCTGCATGCGAAAAAAAACCTTCTTCCCAGCCGGACGAAACAGAAATGCGTTTTGCAGCAGAAATGTTTAAAGAGGTCGACTCATTTAGGGAAACCCTAAACCCTAAAAGCCTAAACCCTACAGCACTGAGGCAGCAGCTGCCATGCTTCAGCGGCTCGCCAGGGCTGCCTTGACCCCATCACGCCCCCCCCCCCCCCCCCCCCTGAATCTGAAACCACAGCTATTTCAAAGGAATAACTTGGGATGTTCCCCCTTATACTAACAGTCCTGAATAGGGGTTCTCGTTTAGGGTTTAGGGTTTAATGTGGTAGGCTGGGATTTTCCCCCTTATACTAACAGTCCTTAGTAGGGAATAACATAATCCCTATTAAGGACTGTTCGTGTAAGGGGGAACATCCCAAGGAATAACTGCGCAGCGGAGGCTTTACACATATGTCATGCAATGTCATGTACATGTACATGCACGCCTCAGCCGATTGTCTCCCTTCGAGCCCGAAACCCTCAAGGGTTTAGGCCCACAGAACTCGGAACCCAAAATGCCCCAAGGAGCCGACAAGCTGCAGCCGGCAGGACCTGTAGGTAGGACTGTAGGAAATGGGCGTTGGGTAAGATTTTTTTGAGGTGCATAGTTGAACAGAACCACACAGCGGGGATACGACTACTGTGCTGAGAGTTTCCACTCTCACGCTTGAGGATTTAGGGTTTTGTGATGTTTCGGGGTTTCGGGTATGGAAACGTGCGGCAGATCAAGTGAATCTGCAAGTCGAGATTGTCAGGATGTCACAGTGTCACTTTTCTTGCAGGAACTGCAACGTGACAACCAGTGCTGCAGGTGCCAATAGATCCAAGTAGCATCAAACTAGTGCTGAGTATTCTCATGCAGTTGTAGGCCTCAAAGGGCCGACCTCTCACCCTGTCCGAGCATGCGTGCCGCGCGCCTGCCAGGTATTGCCGCGAGAGTGTGCCTCGCGACTAGGGCCGATGACCGACACAGCACCAACCACCACACCGTGATGTGGGTTTAGGGTTTAGGGTTTAGGGTTTTAGGGTTTGGGGTTTAGGGGTAAACCCTAATCTTCCTGAAGCCACTGAAGCCTTCTAAGATCCTAGAGACCCGTACCCCAGCAGATGTGACCCTGGTCCAGCTGCATGGCCGAGTTCAGCTGTTCAAAAGCGGTCGAGCTAGGGCAATCAGTGTTTCGATATATATATATATATATATATATATCCCACTAACACGCTTGAGGCACAACTGCTTGAACGGTGGCAGGGTCTGGGGTTCCGGGGTATAGGACGTGCAGATGGCACCAGTTCTGCGCAGCTTCCGCTGTGACTTGCCCCCCCCCCCCACCTTGCTGGCTGTCGAACCCTCAGCGGCATCCTGGGCCATGCAGTTTCTGGCTGATGTTTGGCATCGATCACCGGAAGCAGCCAGCAGCCCGGCTTAGGGTTTAGGGTTTAGGGAGTTTAGGGTTTATTTTGCAGCATGCCATACGTGATGGTCGGTTGTGCGATGCCTGATCGGCTCCTTCCTCATCGATGTCGAGTTGGAGATTCACGTCCACCTCCTTAATGGCAGCATTGGTGGGAGCATTTCAAGTCTGAACAGCAGACGCATGCTCCAGAACATCATTCGAGCACTCTGGCCGCTTACCGTTTGCGTGAGCTGCACCATCTCAGTTCTGCACACGCACGATGCCGGGTAAGGCCTCATCTGTTCTGAAGCACGGAGCAGCATGCATCCGTTCCATAATTCGGCTCAGGCAAGCGGAAAAGAACGACCCTGGCACTGTTGAGTAGCCGTTTTAACGCGCCTGACTCTTGCTTCTTGGAGTCTCTGGTGTGGTGAAACTGCTGCGACCACAGCCGGGCCCCTGCCTGGGCCCCTGATGCAGCCGTGTCGAGTAATACGGCCGTCAAGTGATCGCCGCTATGGTTCTTAGGGTTTACTCGGGGCTGTCTCTGAATCTTCGGGTCTCAGGAGTTAGGCTCAGGGTTTGTGGGCCCTAGACCCGACACACCCCGAAAACCCTTAAACCCCAACTTCAAACGTATTGGTTCACTCGCGTGCGTGCCCCTGGTTGCTCGATCACGTGGCGACGGTGTTTCAAAGCATTAATGCCGCAATACTCTGCACCTGCGCTTCAGTGCATGGGGTCTTAGACTGCCCCGAACGTGCATCCGTTTGCGGATTCTCGGTTAACCACAGCCACAAGAAGCTGCCTTCGGAGAGGAGCCTGGCAAGCCAAGGGGCCCTATAGCAGCCCAAAGTCACTCCGGAGTGGCCGCCCCATCGACCTCATCTGTTTCACTGAATTCCCCGGGGGATCTGAGGCTGGATTCCGCCAAAGCACGCCAGAATTCGGAAGGGTGCAGCGTGCTGGGTCTGAAGCCTTTCTACTCCTTGGCTTTGGTCTTTGCCTGCGAGCTTGTGCTCAGGGCATGCAGGGCGGCGCAAACGCGCAGGAGACACATTCGTGAGCAAAATGGGGGGGGGGGGGGGGCGGGGTTCCGAAATTGGGGGTACCTTCTTGGGTCCTTGTTGTCGGGGAATCCTACTACTTGGGATCTATATTGGGGGTCCCCTATTTTCGTAAACCCCCTCAATAAGGAGGAGCAACCCTGACAGGTTGACCACCCCCGCCTTCTTGGAGGACTTCGCCTTGGGTGCCTCGTCCTGGATGCATCGCGAGGTAAAGGAGCCAGGACCCTTCTTTCTGGTTTTTGCCACCCCGCGGTTTAGGGTTTAGGGTTTAGGGCAGCTAGAATTCCCTAAACCCTAAATCCGATTGTAAACCCTAAGCCCTAGACCATATGAATCGAAGCACATGAGAGGGCCCTCCGCATGCTTGGCAGAATTGGGTGAAACTTCTGCGTGTCCAAAAGCATCGGCCGTCTCCCAAGAAATCCTGATACACTACCAAGGATCTACAACAAAGGTAAACAGCTGGAAGTTCCAAGAATGCACTTGCGAATGTGCTGCCGGGAAAGTTTTCGGATCTCCGAAATCGTACCCAACAACTTTCAATCCAGAATTCCAGTTCCATTAAGTTCCATTTGAGGTGCTCAGTCAAATCTACAGTCCTTTCGCTTCTTGCCCTTCTCTGTGTCAGGTTCCTCTGCGGCAACCTCACACAAAGGCTCCCACCCAGCATATGCACAGATAGGCTCCACTAGCTTGCAGCTGCTGGCAAAGCACCCTGAAAGGCCGGGACAGGCACTTCTTTTCGTACCACTTCCTGCAGGAACCATATGCTTTCAAAATTGTCATCTTAGTTGTCCAGGAACCTGGGGGAATTAAAGGTTAACCTTTGGGAATATAAGGGGAGTATGCTACCCCAAAAAGGTTAAAGGTTACCTACTCTACTACTAGGTCACTGGGTCATGGAGCTTGCATCACTCCGTGCTCAGAATCCAAGGACAACCCCTGTCGGACCTTGGCCGCATTGAGGAATTCATCCACACTCCTCTTGTCCTATGTCAAAGCTCGGGAACCATTCTGGGGGCGCATGGACATGCACGTGCAAGGGGCTCAGTTGAACATGTCTGTGGCTACTGTCTGCTGACGTTCACCAAGGCCTCCAAATTTCTGGACAGATGTGATCATTGAGCGACAGCAAAGTCTGTTGCCAGCAACCTTTCTTGACCCTCGGCTCCTTCTTGAGCCGGCAGTAGGCTTGCCACGCCTCTCTGGCAGGGCCCATGTATGGGGTAAACGATGGAAACCAAGGACTCTGGGCACATCCTCAAAAACGGCAGGGAGAAGCAAAGGAGGACGAACGGACAGCTTTTGCTTTAGCGGATGCCCAGCAACTTGTTTTTTTTGTGCGAAGGCTCGGAGATGCTACGTTGGTGGAGTGGGCGCAGGGGGCTTGCTTACTTTGCTCTTTCACAGCAGTAGCTGGCGCGGTGGCTGCACATGAACCGCGGTTGCGTTTGTTAATCAGCAGTGATGCCATGTACTGCATGTCAAGCCATGTCATGTAGGCACATGTGCCTGAACATGACGGCCATAAGTAACATGAACATGTGCATATTCTACATATAGATAGCATAACATAATCATGCGGAGCACGTTGCACAGCAATACAACTCGGAGACGTACACATATCACCTCCTCATATGCACAAGCCACTTGTCTGTGGCAGGCCTTCAGGAGCTGTTTGGAACCGACCGATGTGCAACAGTCGTGTATGTCTCTATCCCAATTCGTTGTTGCCGCATAGGAGATTCGGACTTCGAGCTAAAAAATCCAGATGATGCAAACCTCCTCTACACTTATTTTTGGACCTTTACTTTTCATATGCTCTGAAAATGACATATGATGTTTGTTTCTGAAGGTGTAACTAACCCTACTAGAGAGAGGAGGGTCTAAGCAGCGAGGAGTGGCTTTTCCCATGCCCGACGCTTCACATCAAGGGATTAAGACTCGCACCCCGTAAGGTTGTACCCCCTGAATACATTTGTCCCAATATGCGCTTTCTATTCCCCTCTAGGACCTTTGAAAAAGGGCCCCCTAAACCCTAAACCCTTTTGCATCCGGGTTTGGGCAGTCGGCCGGGGAACCCTCAACCCTAAACCCAAGGGTGCAACCTGGTTGAACTCCCTTGCGGGGCCTTCTCGAGGTTGACAAGCCAGAATGCCTTGTGGCCATCCTCGGCACCTGGCGGTTGAGGGTTTCGGGTTTGGGGTTTAGGCCCCCACCCACCCCAGAGCACACTATTTCTGGAGACCCTTGCGGAAAAACGCTCGCCCCAAGCCTAAGTGAAGTAATTGCATCCCACTACCATGGCCCTAGCACTGCGATGGCCCTGGAGAATTGCGTCGTGTCTCATGCTTAATCCCCCTCCCCTCTCTCCCAAGGGGAATGTTTGACAAATTTTGTCTGCATGGCGAGTTTAAGCTTCCAGTGGCAAGGCACCATCCACCACTTGGATGCTATAGTGGGCTGGCGCGCTGCCCTGCACGATGCGGAAGCAAGCGCAGCTCTCCACCTGGGTTCAAAGGCTTATATCATCCCCCTGATTGTTGGTAGGGACTTGGGGCCATATATATATATATATATAAAGAAATATGTATAAATATAAATATAAATATAAATATATATATATATATATATATATATATCCTTGAAGGGATTACATACACTAAGAACCAGCCAGCAATCAGACTGGGCTGTGCTGGAGTTCAGGCAGCATCGGTAGGCTGGGCAGCTGGCGAATTTGCGGTATGGCCTCATTCGTTTAGGGTTTAGAGTTTAGGGTTCAGGGTTTAGGGTCTGGGGTTTAGGGGTTAGGGCCCAGGGTTGCAGCTGCACAGGGCTGAGGGTTTCTTGGCGTTCTGTGTGTAGAGTCACATCATTCACAGACTTCCCACGTGACTGTGGACTCCCAACGGATTAGTAATATAGTATATAACGATGTAGTGGTATAGGAATATGTAGTAATATAGCAATATAGCAACACAGTCCTTAGGAACATCGCAATATAGCAATATAGTTACATAGCAATACAGTAATATAGTTACATAGCAATATAGTAATATAGTTACATAGCAAGATACCCTTGAATCGAAAAGGCGCGGGCCCCAGAACCGGCTTCCACTCCTGGTGCCAATTCTCGAGGATGAAAGGCGCGCCTTTGGATTGGTCCTCTTTTTAAAGGCAAGGGTTTAGGGTTTATAGGGTTTAGGGTTTAGGGTTTAGGGTTTAGGGTTTAGGGTTTAGGGTTTAGGGTTTAGGGTTTAGGGTTTAGGGTGCAGGATTTAGGGCTTAGGGTTGTTTCCCCTTACAAGGTCCCTGTTTTGGAGCCCGTTCATCTGAAGGATTCGATCATGAAGCGTATCTTCTGACGTGACATGAACTTGAAACAACCCTCCCTTCCACAAGCTTGCGGTGTTCTGGGGCAAGACCCGGTGATGCCGTATTGAAAGTGCCCTGAACCCTATATGGTCACTTCTCTAAAATATGGTTTCTTTTGGGGTCCTGATTATAAGGCGGCACCTCTTGTTTAGGGTACCCAACAAGCGACCGTGCCGTAGCTTAGAGAACTGACCATATGTATGTATGTATATATATATATAGATATACGCTTCAGCAACCGGCCAACGTGAGCTGTCCTTGGTGGCGATACCTTCCTTTATGAGCAAAATGGCCTCACGCTGCCGATGGTTTCTTGCTACTTTCATGGGCACCATCTGCTGTATCGTGCGACGGTTGCAAAGATAAATCTGGTTGCGGCCGTGGAGGTTGTACGAGCACACGCAAGATGGATTGAAGACACGTCGTACGAGTAACTGCATTGCATCCCCCTACCGCACAGTAGACTGGCAGCTAAACAAGGGCCTGCAACAGCTTCCCAAAATCTCCCCACCAGCCCTAAACCCTAAACTCTAAACCTCCCCCGAAAACAACCTGCGAAATCACACAGCGGCCTTCTTCATGGCTTCTTCCCGTTCGGCCTCAGTCGGGGGCGGCCGTGGGGCCGCTCGGCCTGCCAGAGACTCTGTATTCTCGTATTGTTATCGTGCTATTAATGCTATTCTTCAGTCTTCATTCTTCATTCTTCATCATTCCTTCTTCATTATTCATTATTCATTATTCCTTATTCATGATTCTTGTATTTGTTGTTATTATATCGTTATGTTGTTGTATTAGTGTATTTGTATATTTTTACATGATCATATCATGAGACTCTTTGTGTTATGATATGATTTCTTGTTGTATTCTTGTCTTATTCTCAAATTATATTTGATGCCCTCAGCCCCGGTTTGCTTCCTTGTGCTGGGGTTGTCGTGTCAGGTCTCGACGCCGGCATGAGGCAATGTTCTTCTTTGCCCAGATGACGCCCGCTCCAAAGGTATGGGGCTTTGGAGTTCTGGGGTTTTGAAGCTTCTTGGGTTTTAGACTGCGAAACTCCGCCCTCCCGACACTCACACCCCAAACACGGATCCTTGATTCGAGAAACCCCCCCAAACATCGCAAGCTCTCAAGCAAAGCCCAAGTCCCAATCCTTCCAATGTCCCATACACAGCAAACCCTAATTATCAATTCTGCCAACGTTTGCCCTACACCCGAAACCACTCCGTCCCGCCTTGCTTGGGCGGATTGAACGCAGCGCCCGCCTTGGGGGATGCCTGACACTTCTAGACTTAAGGCGTAGGGAGAGTTTGGGGGGGCCTCTTCTCTGGCCGAACTCCGCGACCCAGAGAGAACCAATTGCCTGAATCCTACGAACTAAGCGAATTCGGCACGTCATTACCCCAGCAACACACCACCCCTCACCATTGGGGTGTAGGTCGCGTCAGGTATCTCAAGCACACCGTCTGCATTCCGGTCCGCCTTGGCCTTGGCCTCGGGAGTCTTCTCCTTCTTGTCCTTCTTGCCCTTTTTGGCTGCCACCGGCTCTGCAGCCGGAGCCGCCTCACCACAAGGAAGGGGCTACTTGAAGGTTCATGGTACTTACTAACCAATTATCGCTGCACTTATAACCCTACTGATAATACCCCTAAAGGGCCTTATCGGGGTTGAACCTTCAAGTATGTGCAACCTCGAACCCTTGGTGATGTAGAGTTGACGAAGAACTGAGATGAAGGACGGCCCCTTTGTGACAGGCAGCTGCGTATAGAACTTCGGCTTGTGGGAGGACTAAGGCAGTTCGATCGCCTAGCACAGCCATGTCACGGCCAGCCACTTGAGTGCTGTGATGCGCCTAAACATGTTTTGGGGCAGCTTGGGATTTTAATGTTCACTTCTGAAGCTTCTGCAGGCTTTATGCGCTACTCAGCAGTGCCCCAGCAGCCTTGGGCGACTGCTTCGGCGAAGTCGCCGTTGTTTCGGGTGCCGCCTGGCTTGCCCCAAGCCTTTTGGAAACAACTAACTACAGAACTATCCAAAATCCAGTACTGGCCGGATCGCTGGTGGGCAACATGATCTGCCAGCTACCCTACACCCTAAACCCTAAACCCTAAGACTGCAACCCTAAACCCTACTGTCGCTGGCAAATTTGCAGATTGCTGCCTTGGGTGAGGCCTTGGGTGACCCCTCGCCGTTTACGACTTTCCCACCGACCTGGCAGGAGGTTGGCTCATGAGGTGGCATCTGCCATCTGGATTTCGGACCTAAACGAGCAAGTGGCAAGCTGGCGAAGTCAACCCGCCGTCGCCCTGGGGCCTTCTTTTTCAAGTTCTTCTTCTTCAGCGGCATGGCTTTAGACAGATTGGGTGGGATCACGCCCACGGTTGCGAAGGAGCCGCTGCAAGCCAAGGGTTCAGAAGCACTTGTTTGGCATCTTGTGGCAGTCCATGGAGCCAGCCGATGTCCAACCACATGCAATAGGGTTTAGGGTTAACCACATGGTTTAGGGTTCAGGGTTTAGGGCTGAGGGTTAGAATGTTCATGCTATATTTGGGGTGCCGACTCTCGCACTCGCACAAGCATACTTCGGGTTTAGGGCACTGCACTTCAGAAGATTTGTGTGTCACCCACACGACTCATGACACGCATCTCACACTGCGGAGTGCCAGTCAGACGAATGCGTGTGTTTGTGGCATCTTTAGTTTGCAGATGCTGATTCCATACAGCCCAGCATAGCAAAAGCCCTGTATGCGACTATACAAGTCCTAGATGCCCTAAACTCTAAACTCTAAACCCTAAACCCTAGCTAAGCCGTAGCAGCTAGCAATACTGCTCCGAAAGCCTCCAGACTCTAATTACACACATTGCGCAGCAGTCGACCGAGCTGCGCTCCCTTCGCACACGCTCGCGGGCCGCGCGCCCCGCAGCGGTGGCCCTGGCCAAAGCGGCGACGCAATGACAACCATACAGGTTTAGGGTTTAGGTCGGTGGTGTGACTAGTGGCAAACGTTTTTTTGAATTTCCCGGTTGGGCTCTGCAAAGCTATCGACCACAACTTGCACACCCACCGCACAACTGACGGCAAAGGAAACGTCTTGTCGAACATGCCACTAGACGCGCACTCAGGAACAACGCTAGCAAGAACAATATGTCTTCAGAACGAAAAGGCATCGGCGATGTGCGTGATTTCTCAGTCCCGAGCTTTCGGATGGTAGTGTCTTCTCCTTGCAGGCGGAAGTCTACCTGCCATGGAAACGAGAGAGGCGTTACCTGTCTGTTTGCACTGCAGAACGAGTCGCGTGTGTCGAAGGCAGGAAAAGTCCACCATCAAAGCGAGCACGAACGAAAGCGAATACACTCCACATCGCGGCAATATCGACACCCATGTTTTCGGGCGGCTACCCAACCTTGACGTCCACATATGAGGGCATCTTCCCATCAGCATCATTACTGGACTCCTGGCATCGACAGTGCTCAAACAAAAGCCATTGGTCATCCAGTCTTTCTTGCTTCTCAGCGTGGCTGCGCGATAGTCTAAACAAACGCAAGAACCATAATGTAACGTTGGTCCTGCTTTCAGGCAGGGAACCACGAGTTACATGAAGCGCATAAAGCTCTTTTTAAGCCGCGCCAATGCCTGTACTTGAAGCATCTGTCGGGGCACGTGGGCTGTGGCAGTACTCTTGTTACACATGTTTGTCCTCAGCTAACACTTATGAGTTGACAGTCTGACTATATGGCTGACAAGTGCACTTCTACCCAAGACTTGTGATCCCAGGCTGCGTGCATTCGCTCATGGCACTGAGGGTCAGAGCTCAGCGCCACTGGCGGAATCCTGGGCAGGGTTGCTCAGCGCCTTTGGGAATCTGTTGGGAGGCGACCATCGTCTACAGCATGCTTGCATGGCCGTTCTTGAGGACGACTTATCAGACTTAACGAACAAAGGCTCTGACAATCCCCAACATGTTTCCTATGACCCTATGCACAGCACTCTGCAAAGCTGATCTCAAAAGTGCACGCCAGTCACTGCGGCGCTTCACTCCGAGGTCCCTACCAGCTGCGGCCTGTACAGGAGTACGCTGACATCATCTGCTTCGGAAGAGCCGTACCTCACGACACGGCACACCTTCTGAATTTCGGCACGAAAAGTAGGTTGAAGTCAAGCTTCTAAATAAGCGTGCCCAGTAAAACTTCAGAGCCTAAGCCACTGGACCAAGGACTATGAACGAAAATTCATGAAAGGGACTTCGAAACAGCAAATACCGATCCACCTGCAGCAATTATCTGGGCATGTTGCAACAGTGTAACATGACAGGTCCTGCGCGACATCGTCTATAAGGCAACTTGCAACGGCCCGCTCTCACAAAATCAGCGGGAGGGCTGTGCCCGCCAAGCACGCACCGCCGCTGCAGCCAGCGCCGTCGCCTGGGCTTCGAGCGTCGGGAGCTGCTTGTCCTTGGCCCGCCCCGCAGAATTTGCAGTCTTGCGCTAACGGCTGGCGAGTGCGATCGCGCTTTCACGTTATTCTCGGTGCAATATCCTGTGTTTGATCTCAGAGCTGCAGGAAATCTCCAGTGCCAGTGGAGAGAGGGGCAGCTCTTGGTGGCATTGAGGCTGGAATGAAGACTGGTGTACCGGGGGAGCGCTCACTCGCGTGCCGGGATGGCCAGCAGCCATCGTGCAATCCGAGTCTCTGCCAAGATGGCCAAGACTTGTTCTTCACTCACGACATCCCACAAACCATCCTTAGCTGGCTTCGCGGCTTTACAATCTTGAACCTTCAAGTCGAAACAAGTTCACGTTGATGCTGCGGGGAGAAGTCTGTCACAGGCTGCACGCTCTGCCGAGAAACGGAGGCAATGAGAATCACATCATCTGCCTCCACTTCCACAAAATCTGAGGTTTCAGGCACCTCTGCAGCACTCCGGGTCAGCGGATCAAAGCAAATTCGGAAGAGCTTTGCAAGAATTCCTGCTCTTTGGATCACGTCGTCACGTCGCATCTCGAGCATGCGAACGGAACATACTGAGATGCAGACTGCCAGGAATCCAGCGCTTTCCTGGTGCTGATTTCGAGTGAGAAGGTGCTTGGAATGAGATTTGAGTCGCACACTTTTCCATGCATTATGCGATTTCCTCTTTGTGAGGTACCGCATCAGGATTTATGTCTAGTCTATGCTATATGTGGTTGGTCGACGCTGGTCAAGACCAATTAAGCCAAGAGCAGTGTACCTGACAATGTTATTTCTTTTACGGGCGGGCGGGCGGGCTCTTCTTCTTCTTCTTCTTCTTCTTCTTCTGCTTCTGCTTCTTCTTCTTCTTCTTCTTCTTCTTGACTGCCGGACATGGCTCCAGGGCGCTCATGAGACGTGGATATGCGTGTATGCAGAAGACCTGGAAGACAACCATATATCCTGTGTCCGGGGGATTTGGCCGAGCAGGCCGCACACATTAACTTCCCAACAGTGCCAACATGTTGGTGAAGATGTACCCATATCTACCCACTGACTCTCCTCCAGAGTGGCTCTTGGCTCTGCTGGCATCCGCATGGCTTTGTGGGCAAACTGTTCCGCCTTCGCCTGCCTAACAAGCTGGTACTCTTCCGACTCTTCCGGCCTCCGAAACTCCTTTCGAAGCCTTCGCAAACCCTCGCCTCCTCGTGTTCTAAAGGAGCAATTGGGGAGGGGTGCCACCTCGGGCAAGTGCGCCCAGGATTCCCTCTCTCACTCTCTGTCGCTCGCTCTCTCTCCCCCCATTCCCCCCCCCCCTGTTTGCATCGAAAGCTCCAAGTCTACATCGCCCAAGCCCCTGGTCGGCATCACCTTAGTGTAGACTCAGACGAGTTAAAACTAGCTTTTGAAGCATGAAAATACCACATAATCTGCAGCAGCCCGCACGGGACGAACGGCGCGATGAAAATGCAACGAACTCCCACAACACCGACTTAGTGCAGTAGGTCTACGTCATGATTCGTGTATATTGGTCATATAAAATTTGTCGAAGTGACGCACCCAGCATTGGGAGTCGTACTGCACAAGTAGCCGTGCCGAAGGCGATAGCTGTACGCAGGGCGGTGTGTCTGCAGGCGCTGGAGTTCTGCGACGTTCTCGGTGGTGTGCGTGGTGGTCCTGTACACGATCTGCCTCAGTCTGAAGGCTTACGGATCTTGCGGTATATGTAGCTAAACCCTAAACCCTAAACTTATAAATCCTAAACCCTAAACCCTTTCTTAACCCAGGACTGCTGAGGCTCCGGCCTAAACCCTAAACCCTGTTGTCCGGCAACACCCTAAACCCTAAATCCTAAACCCTAAGCCCTAAACTCCATGTCTGACGACAGTGCGTCCCAGGGCTCGGAGAAACGCTTGTTGCGCCCAAGGTGCCCACCGCGGATCCAAACTCCCTGGGAATCTCCGGCCCAAGCAAAGGCTGTTCTGGAGGTCTTCACCTCCAAGGGCTTTAGGGTTCAGAAAAGGGTTTAGGGTTTAGGGTTTAGGGTGTAGGGTGTAGGGTTTAGGGTTTAGGGCACAGGGCACCTTCCAACAAGCGAAACGTACCTCAAGTAGAGGGCATGCTATCAATGCCCTTGCGCAAAAAGGTTCGTTAAAGATTCTACAGGCGCAGGGTGCTCTAGACCATCATTTACTTGGAAGAGCTGAGTCAAAAGCAACAGCTAATGTCAGTTATATCCCTCCCCTAATGTTAACCACCCCCTCCCCCTAATATTCACTATAGTTCTCTTATAGCATGGGGGGGGGGGAATTGAATATTCGGGGGTAGGGGGGGGTTTAATAGTTCAATATTCGGGGGAGGGGATTGCTCAACAGCAAGGCCATAGTGCTTTTTGGGCGTTCGAGTTTCTGGGTGGCCGTTAAGCAGCATCGAGCATTATTGTGGAGGCAACTGTGCATCATGGATGTGCAGGAGGCCCTTCTGCCGAGTGCGCAGGGAAGGAAGTGCTGTCGCCACCATGAACAGCATCGCCACAGGTCACGACCGATCCATTGTTGAGGACCGCGACAAAAAAAAACCGTGATAAGCAGGATTAGCTGCACCACTCGGTACTCTTGCCCACTTCACGGTCTGTGCTGAATCCAATGCATGGCTATCAGCGCTCCGCAGCAGCCTGATGCCAGCGGCCAGAGCTCTCTTGGCTTGGTTCAACTCTTCCACCGATGCATCTTCAAACTCCCTTGCCTTTGAGCAGATGCATCAAGCGAAATTGCCATCAGGGTCAACTCTCTCTCATACTCCTTGACCCATCCGCTGCCACGGGGCTTCCAATTTCGGATCAAGGAAGGAGCCACCAAACAGAAAAAACGCGGTTTACATCCATAAGGGTTGGAGCTTAAAATCTCATCCGTAAGACTTAGACCCCGAAGCCATCTTGTTGCGGAGGGTACCTGAGAATAGTTTCAACAGAAACGGCTTCAGAACGAAAGCCCACCAACCACAGGGGTTTGAGACAACACCTTTCGCAACATGAGGCTCGCACTAGCCTTAGTTCAGCAAATTGTGTGCCTGATCCTGGGTCAGGGGCTCGCTATGAGGGTAGTCGCGGAACCCACTACCTGCAACTCTTGCAAGACTCTGGCTGTTGGCCTCCGAGACCACGGCCACAAGGGTGGCACCACTCGGCCAGTGCTGCTCCCGCGCTTGGTCCTGGCTACAAGGCAAACTGAGGTTCCGCTGCCTGGAGTGGCACCTGGTGCTTTGGGGCCCACATGGATCAGCTACATTGCTTCACCTGAAGAATTCTCAGATCTGAATAAGGAACGGCATCGGCAAGCTCACAAAGCGCACGGGCGCCTGAAAGGCTGCAACTGCTTCTTCAGCACAGCCAGGCCATGCCTGCTCAGTCGAACCGATGATTCATGATGGCAACCTCACGCAGCTTGTAAACATTATGTGGGCCCCTTACCAACACCTCATGCTGACCCCTAAACCCCTTTGCATCCGGGCTTGGGCGGTCGGGGATGGAAGTTGCGGCTCTCAATGCACAGCACATGAAACCCTAAACGCCCAAAACCCTAAACACCCTAAACCCTAAACACCCTAAACCCTAAACATCCTAAACCCTAAACCCTAAACCCTAAACCCTCCAAGGGAACTAGAAGTCGAGCCTCGAAACTCGTGCAGCGCTCAAGGAGGCGCTTTTGAAGGGCCGCGGCGTGCTGCACGATGCCCTGGCCTCCATGTCCTGGGTCTCAAGGGCTTTGTGATTCCCAAGCTGCAGTGGGTTTAGGGTTTAGGGTTTAGGGTTTAGGGTTTAGGGTTTAGGTTTAGGGGCTTTTGCCGCCAGCCTAGCTGACTTGAACGTCCACGTTGCAGGGTTCTGTGTGTTGACTACAAGACTGGCGCCCCTTATGGTGCGCTAAGATGGGGTCTGCGGGTAGTCTGTTCCCTGCATGGGGCTATTGACTATGTGGGGGAGGGGGGCGGGGTTGGCTACCCTCATATGTATTTCATACCGCAGTTCTAGTTATTGAGCGGGTGCAAAGAAAAAAGCTCCCGCCAAACCCTTGAGTCTGGCGGTCTTTGTTTGTACCTTGATCCACTTTGTACCGCAAAATGACAATCCGACACCCTCGTGGACCCTAGTCCTATAGGAACTCTGGTAATGTCTTTCTTCCCGGATCTCGCATGTGTCACAGGAAGCTGGCCAGTCTCACGGCATGGGCATTTCCATTTGGGAACCACCGGGTTTATACCCCAGAATATGACAATCTTTGGTATCGGAACCCCTAAATATTGCTATGTGTGCACGAACAAATTAGTATACGATTATACCACTATATGTTGCTGAAATCTTGTGTTTTCTTACTGTTTTTTTTATGTAACAGGCGGATTTTATGACATATATATATATATATACATCTTATATATGTATATATAGAGAGAGCCAGAGAGAACCAGACGCCGGCCCTACAGTCTCGATTCCTTCAACCGAGTCGGTCTTCGGTTCAACTTCCTTAAAAGGTGCTGGGGAACTGTGACCTTATATCCCACCCATAAGCCCTGAAGGAATGAAGGATTGCATAAGGAGCCCTGCAGCCCCCAAGACCCGGGCATTTCCCTCTTAAGAACCCCTCGACGCGTTGGAGTGGAGCCGGTGCTTATCTATCGATTTCCGAAAATAAGGGGGTACCCTTGCCTGTGTTTTTCGCCCCCCCTCCCCTACGCGCGGGATTGTTTTGGCTAAGCGCCCAAAGTCATTTTCGGAAGATCGCGCGCGCTTTCTGACTGAATCCTGAAACAAGTTCGGGACGGGCTGCCATCCATAAGCATGGCAATCTTGAGGACGCCATTGCTTCCGGGTGTCACGACCACATCCTCACCTCAGGGGCGGGAACATGAAACCCTCAACGTTCCTAAGCCATAAACCTTCAACCTCTATGGGGTTTCTAGTGGGGTTCATAAAGGCCTCAGAGCCCTTATGTCATTGAACGTTAGTATTCCCTAGCCAAGCCCAAGCCCCTCCACCCTAAATGCCAATCCCCGTGCCCTGTACTTGGGAGCCCTGCTGACTTCGTAAGCAGGGTTAGTAAGATGGGTTTTGGGAAACATCATAGGCTTCCTAGGGGGTACCAAATAGACTCACTAAGTCAAAAGAGCTTCTAAGTAAGGGTTTCTAGGGGATACTAAGTAGACTCACTAAGTCAAAAGAGCTTCTCTAAGTGCGATTTACTCTTTATGGTCTTCCCCCGATGGGCTTCCGGACCTCGGCGCACGCCCTTGTTTTGGGAGATCCCCACGGCCTGCCGGCCACCAGAAGTCTCTCCAGCAGAGGGTTTTCGGTAGGGTTTAGGTTTGCTTTTTGCTTGTTTTTGTTTTATGATTGTTTTTTTATTGTTTTTTGTTTTTTTTTTTGGGGGGGGGGGGGGGGGGGGGGTGGGGGGATCAAGGTTTTAGGGTTCTTGCAGCTAGCCCAGCTCAGCAGCTGGGGGGGGGGGCTCTGGTGTTGATGCGGGTCGGGGTCCTGCAAAGGATGCCTGTAAGCGGGTCTTGATTTCGAACGGCCGCGAAGCAGCCGGATCAGTAGCAGAGACAGTGCAGCCATTAAGCCGCAACTGTGTAAGGAGAACGAGAGCTTGCGGGGCCAAGCCGAATGAAAACTGCTAAGCCCTCAACCCAAAACCCTAAACCCTAAGGCCCCATTGTGCGACTAAGGGAGAGCCAAATCCGGGGCTCTCGCAAAATCAGCTGCCGACCTGCTTTGCCTGCAAGTAAAGGCTTTTGGGCTGTTATGGGGTTCAGGGTGTCGGTTCTCACACTCAGCACAAGGCAGGCAAGGCTTTTGGGGTTTAGGGTTTAAGGTTTCGACTCTCACGCTTGCGAAATGCAGGCGAGGTTCAAGGTTTAGGGTTTAGGGTTTAGGGTTTACGGAACGCAGCCTAGTAGTCCGTTCGCGAGCGCAGGAGTGGTTTTGCAGTGTTAGGTTCCGACTTCGGGCCGAGGTGCACGACATTGTTCTGCAGGGCAGACTCCACCACATCACCAGGGTGCCTTGCTGGTTGGACTCGGTTTCCGAAATCATTAAAGAGATGAAATTCTGTTCTCAACTCCTAGCCCGCTCAACTCCAGACCGAACCTGCACCCATGGTCTGAAGTTTTAGGATTTAGATGGATTTAGGGTTTAGCTTCTCAGCCCCAGCCAACAACAGGCCATGGCAGCCGTGGGACAAGTCCACGGTTTTCCCCACCGTCAGGACGAACCTCGGATTGATCAGCCTCCAAAAAAGGAACCCTAAACCCTAAACCCTAAGGTTCCGGGGTTATCCGAGTCGCCAAAAGGCGAGCCGCAGCAGGCGGCAGGGCCGACTATGAAGCATCATTGGCTGCATATCTGTCTGCAATGTACAAGGTGCTGCCCTGGGGCAGGCATTGCGTCTCTGCAGGCTTAAGCTGTCTTCGCATGGCAGCCAGGATAGATAAAGTCAGGATGACCATCTGAAGTGAAGTTCCTCTCATCCTTCCAACATCCGAGATACTCAGCTAAGCTACCGCCTCAAAGACGCGTGTGGTGGCTTCGGCACCCCAGCTTGAGAATCAAATGGTCGGTCCCGAAGCAGCATATGTTTCAGATGCCGGAAATGTACCTAGTTTCAGGTTCCCTGCAGTGGCTGTTTGAACCCTGAACCGAAACTTTAAACCCTAAACCCCAAACTCCAAACCCTAAACCCTGTATAAACCCTAAACCCTAAACCCTAAACTCGCCTCCATGTAGAAGTAGGTATGCAGGTCTGTCACCTCTAAGATCCGGGGCAGGTCTTTGTCAGTGTCCTCCTCGCAAGCTTGGCACATAGAAGGGTCATGCCAGGATCTTTGGGGGGGGAGTGTTGTGATGGATCTAGGCTGTTGCATGTACATGTACAGAAAAATATACAAATACATGTACAAATACATATACATATGCATGTATATGTACATGTACATGTTCACGTACATGTATATATATATATATATACATGTAGGTTTCAAATGGCGCGTCGGGTTGCCACATGTTGGTGTCGGGTTCGAGCGCCAGATTCGCAGCAGTCCTGCAGGAGGGCCTGGCGTATCCGGGCTTCCAGCTCCTGCAGAAACAGGAAGCAACACATGAAACCCTACTCCCTAAACCCTAAATCCCAAACGCTGAACTTAAACCCTGAACCCCCCTCAAACAACTGTGTAAGAAGGTCCTCGGGGTTCATCACGGGGTCCGACATTGCACCTACCTTGCAGCGTGGAGGTGGAGGGCCGTTTGATGCGATCATGTCTGTTTTGCGTCAGTGGCCTAAGAGTAAGCGAGAGAGAGAGAGAGATTTATGAAAAACATTGATTATGATATCAGAATATATCCGACAAAAGTCGGCCCATAAGGCTGGCTTCAGACCCGAGCTCAGAAACATCTCAGGTTTCTTCATGGGATCTCGGAGCCCGCCTCTGAGTGCGTCTCCAGACGATGCGATTGCCTGGCATGGGTTTAGGGTTTAGGGTTTAGGGTTTAGGGTTTAGGGTTTAGGGTTTAGGGTTTAGGGTTTAGGGTTTAGGGTTTAGGGTTTAGGGTTTAGGGTTTAGGGTTTAGGGTTGACTTCGGTGAACTCGCACCCGAGACTCTCGACCTGCTGGACTTGGCGACCGGCGGGCTGCCGTCTGGATCAACGTGTACGAGGACCTGAGCAGGAAACACATCAGAAACGCTCCCTTCAAGTGGGCGAAAATTCCAGCCAGCCCACGTCTGTGACAGATGGGTGGAAATCGCGGATGACCTGGTCGTGAACTGCCTGCAGCAACAGTAACAGGGTGATCTTTGCTGCAGCAGTCGTCATGACAGATGTGCCCGAGACAACACTTTAGCGACTGCCTGACCCCCCCCCCCCCCGCCGCGCAGGCACGCACGCGCGCACACACACACAGACACACACACAGACACACACACACACACACACACACACACACACACAACCCACCCACCCACCCACCCACCCACCCACCCACCCACGCACGCACGCACGCACGCACGCACGCACGCACGCACGCACGCACACACTCTCTCTCACACCGACATACCAACACTCACACATACACACCCAAATCTTCGCAAATGTCAGTCATTAACCAACATTGCATGTGTACATTGTGTGCAGACCGCCGTCCTCGGCAATCATGGAAGCAGCAGAAGCCGAAATACGAGCATCCACCACAATGGTAGCATCCACCAGACAGAAAGGGCCCATCCGCCGCGTCCTCTGACACACAAGTAGAGCCAGGCTGACATGTGGGTTCCTGATACGTGCGAGTGCCACATGTGATCCATCCCCTATGCAAAAGTCACGGAAAACGAGCCTATGTCGGCAAACAGATTCGTCGCTTGATTTGGATAATCTTGGCTACAACACAGGGCCGACAACGACAGCATGTCCTCAAGGTGTGGTTCCTGACCTCGGGCTGCAAAGATGCTGAAGCTCCAGGTGGCGGTCGCTCATCAGCTTTTACTATACAATATGTATATATATATATACATACATAGATAGATTTGGATTGCATAATCAACTACTATTATGGTATATGTCATATGTTCAGTATCATGTGTCATATTACAAAATTCAATGTTTGGCATGGTGTGTGCCGGGTCCGCCAGCTAATTGCCGGGCAGATGCCTTGCAGATCGAGGATTCACCGTTGTGGGCTGCGCTTCGCGCACTTCAGGAGCTGGCACCAAGACTACTTACAACATCTGGCTGCAGCTTCTCAAGGCCCAAAACAGGAGAACGACATCTAAAACAACTGGGAAAAATGGGGGGCAAAAGGGCAACATCGCCATGCATTCGCAGTGGCAGTGGCTGCCACTTTAAACCCCCCAAAACACGGCGAAATCTTGGGACAAGTCACATCACGCTGCAGAGGCCACAGGATGCGGCCTGGGGTTCGAAGGCCTCCTCTTTCTTGAGGGCCTCAAGAACTCGCAATTGATTCTCCTGAAAGTCCTTGACCCAACAGTTGTTGTTCAGCATGCGGACTGGCCCAGGGAGGTGCGTCTCCCATTCGAGCATCTTGTCCTTTCCCCTCCACAAGGCCATGGTGTAGAGTACGGTTGGCAGCATGCGCTTGTTTCCTCGGCTTGCAGCACTGCTTACGCTGCTTGTGCAACTGAAGGCGGGTTTAGGGTTTAGGGTTTAGGGTTTAGGGTTTAGGGTTTAGGGTTTAGGGTTTAGGGTTTAGGGTTTAGGGTCGAACATCGAAACAGGATCAACACAGCCCAAGTTCCGTCCAAGCCCAAACTCTCCAAGATCTTGTGCACGAGCGCGCCCTCTTCTTCCTGGGTCATCTTACAGGCATCGAAAATCTTGGGGTAGTCCCGCTCCTCTTCTGCAAGGTGCTCCTCCATGAACTCGATCATCTCCTTCATGCTCTTCTTGAACTCTTCCAAGACTTGACCATCGCCTGCATCGATTCCTTTGCGAAAGGTCAGCAGGCTTTCTAAGTGAGACAGAAGCTTCTCATGGTCCTCCTTGATCTTGGGAAATGGATCTGCCACACCTGCACTCTTGCACTTCTCGAGGATGCCAGGATTGTAGATATGCTCCTCCCCGTGGTGGTGATGATGGACGAAGGGCATGTAATAGTCCGCAAAGAAGCTGAAAAGCACCTGAGTGGTGTGCGCAGCAAGTACAACCGGTGGCCACACCCAAAGCCCAACTCCTTACGAGCCCTAACCCGTTTCTTTCTTGCACCGATGGTCAGAATACAGGCATCCCCCATCAAGCAGCACGGGAAAGGCCGACTGCGGCCCGAAAACCTGCAAGAAGTGCTTGCTTTGCGCCAGGCAGCAGAAGACCACTAAACCCGAATTGTTCAACATAACTTCACCCTAAACCCTAAACCCTAAACCCAAACCCTAAACCCTAAACCCGAAAACCTAAACCCTAAACCCTAAGCCCTTCAAAGCAGAAAGACGTCTTGGGGTGGCACCTTGGTCTTCCATGCGCACGTTGGCCGAGCCACTGGGTCGAACTCGTCCAAAATCTGTGCGTTTTGCAGAATGAAAAGCTAGATGCTTTAATTTGGGTTTAGGGTTTAGGGTTTAGGGTTTAGGGTTTAGGGTATATAGGGCTTAGGGTCTTTTGCCACCCGCCTAGCAGGGTTTAGGGTTTAGGGCTTAGGGCTTAGGGTTTTAAATCAAACGTCTGGGAAAGAAAGTCTGTCGCAGTAGATGGTGATTTACAGAAAGAGGTCTGACGATGAAAACAGCACAGCATCCTCCTTCACCGCCTAAGGTCGGAGAACCTCCCGGCCTGCAGCAAGTGGGCGTTGTACCAGCGAATGCATTCCTAGGATGTCCCTTAAAACCCTCTGAAGAAAAATTCCTGAATCTGATCCTCTTAAACCCCAAAAGGGAAAACATAAAATTCCTGCATTTGATCCGCTTAAACCCAAAAAGGGAAAACATAAAAAGTTCCCAGGGCCCAGCCGAGATTCATGAGGAATGAGCAGAGCCTCGTCCTTCCAATCCTTGGGATCCGAGACCACCTGGTGAGGCCGTTGAGAAATACACCCAGGAGGATGGAACACATCTGGTGGACGTGGCAAGGCCTTTTTTGTGGCAGGTTTCGGAACTGCGTACACCTGTATTCCGTGTTCTGGCTGCTGACTTGGAGTCAAGAATTTTGCAAGGGTCCCATAGAATGTCTTTGAAACTGTGGGCTGCCACCCTCTTCGTCGACCCGAAGGGAGCTGGGTCTTCTAAACTACCGAAGCCGAATCCCCCTCCAAAAAAAGAAACAAATCGCCCAGGCCCGCCTTGGATGTCGGCGTGGGCTTCGCAGGATCTGGCCAAGCAAAGGATGCCATGGCTTGACAGGACGCGGAGGTGGACAGGGGGCTCCGTCTCGGGCGCGTCCGGCAATGTTTTTTGCAAACGCTGATTCTCACCGAAACCCATAATGTCTGAGCTGGGCATATGTGCAGGCCATGCAAAGCACGCAATTCAGGCTCCGACGCCTTGCACCGTTCCGATTGTCCTGCCAGCCCAAACTGCCATCCTAAAGATCATCCAATACCTGCCGTACATGCTACCGAGGTCTGGCCTGGAAAGTGCCGCTCCGAAGCAAACGCTGCGCTCGTCTGAACCTGGGCACGGATGCTCGCCTACATCATGTCTACTCAGCTGGGCAAGGCAATCTCACTAGTGCTTGGACTCAAGCACTGTGCTGATTTGTGCACGAAATCTATATAGATGTATTGCTGCAGCTTTTCGAAGGCATACTGTGCGGACAATCATCCGCATTGATGGGGGATGCTGACCTTTTCTGCCTCTCCAGCACCTGAACGCGTTGCAAATCCGCCACGCGCAAACGTTATGCTCGACGAGCGCCAAGGGAGGTGCCATCTCCATAGAAGCTGTCGAGATCCTCCGTCGCCGCAGCGTGATTGTAGTCCTGGTTATGAGAGATGGGCATCCAACAGAACTGGTTGAGCGGCTGCTTGACCAGCAAGCTCGCAGCACGCAGCACTGCCCCTGAACCCTTAACCTTAACCCTTAACCCTAAATGTTATAAATGCCCTATTTCATGTCCACAGACTGGTGCAGTACTCAGACAAAAAGTGATGAGTCCCAAGTCCCAACCAGGCGCTGAGCTGCCAACAAGCAGGTCATTCAAACCTCAACTTCCACCGGCTGCGGATGCTGGAGCTTGTTTTGGTTGTGGGAATCAGAGACCACCCCCCTCGGCAGGACGCAAAAAGAGCCTTTTTGCAAGCGCAGTCTTCACGCAGCAATCTGAATGTGAGACTGGTGAAGGTCGCAAGGCTAGCGGCAAAGCAACTCTTTGTCTTTGCCACTAGACCCTGAACATATGCAACTGCATCATGAATAAAGGCTACAGATATCTTGGGGACGAGGATTTCTTCTATGTTTTGGCAGTGATGCTTGTGCTGTACCAGCTAATGCCAGAAAATGATTTGCATACCGTTTTCCGCTGAGAGAATGAGGAGACAGTTCACGTCAGACCCCGTCTGGTTTTTTCGGTGTTTGCATCGAGAGACGAGATGTGCACAGCGAATTAACATAACTCACTGCAGATCGGCTGCAAGCATTACCTTAGCAAAAAGCAGGCGACCCAATCTTGTGCTTCTCATTGCCATGTTATTGCTGGCTACTCGCTTACAAGCAGGAGTGACAAGGTCTGGTTTGCGCCGCCGTAATTACTCGAATAAGACAATGGCTGAGGAGCTTGAACAAACTCTGCCTCTCCAATCGTGCCACTGCTGTTCTGGTCGAAATACGCGATCATTCTCTCCAGCCTCGGTTCAAGGGCCCCGGCCAGGGTTTAGGGTTTAGGGTTTCAACGTCACCCTACACTCAGCGGATCTCAGCAGCATGGGCCGTCTTCCTGGCTTGATTTATATGCGACAAGGAAGTCTGAGGACATTCGCAGTCGCAAGAAACGTCACTTTGCCATATGACTATCTTATTCTGCTATACTAGTACATATGAAGGGTTGCGCTCCGTCTAGAAGATATTCTGATCTCAACATAGTATTATAGTACTATATTGTGGTTATTTTCGCTGCTGCTTCACCCTCCCTGGCTGAGACGTTGGCTCCTCTTCCTTCAGAGGCAGCTCTGCCTCCAGCTGCTTGGCTGAGAGAAGCGAGGGCGAAGAACCATCAGAAACTCTGGTATAAAATGTAGAGCATGTAGGGTAGTTGGGGTTTAGGGTTTTTTTTAACCACAAGATACTCCACAAGTAGAGCAGCTCCATGAGCACAAGTGCAGGTGTGTATGGCCAAGCTAGAGCCTAAGTCGTCCACCAAACCTCAGTCGACCCCTAAACCCTAAACCCTAAACCCTAAACCCTAAACCCGGTCGCCTCCTTGCTTGCTCGGCGCAGATCTCGGAGCCCTATTCGGCCGGAGCCCTCCTGGCAGGCTTTGTATGGCAAGAGGTTTAGGGTTAGGGTTTAGGTTTTAGGGTTTAGGGTTAGGGTTCCCTGAGGAGTCTACACTTCCCCGCGCCTTGTCAAAGAGGCGGAACCTGGAAGAGCCATCAGGAAGGAAAGTTGCGATTCAGCATGCCATGAATCAAGAAACATCTAAACGCTAAACCCTAAACCTTGAACCTTGAACCCTAAACCCTAAACCCTGAACCCTAAACCCTAAACCCTACTGTAAGGTCCCAGATGCGTTTTCAGCATCGTCGGGAGGGGATCCTGTTCGTTGAACTTGCTCCAGAGGATCCGCGAGAAGGATGTGAAGTCCAACACCTGGTCAGGGTTTAGGGTTTAGGGTTTAGGGATAAGGGTTTGGGGTTAAGGGTTAAGGGTTTAGGGTTTAGGCTTCTTTTTTTTTTAGGGTTTAGGGTTTCGGGCTTTTGGCTGTTTGGGCTGCTGAGTTGAGAGCGGGCGCGCAGAACAGCGATCCAGGCAAGAAGGAATGTTTGCTCAAAGGTGGCTCCCTAGATTGGCCTTATGAGGAAGACTTTTTTTCCCGGGGGGGGGGGGGGGGGGGGGGTGGGGGGGTTCTTAAGCAAGCAATGGTAAACTTGGAGGTGGAAGTCCGTGCCGAATAAGGGTGGGCGGATTGATCGGGAAAGCAGCAGACTTGGCCCACTCCTAACCAAACCCTAAACTCTAAACCCTAAAGCATGCAGCCCCAGGTACGCTGTCGTCGCTGAGCCCATGCGCCCTCATGGCTGCCAGTACATCGGCCTTCCTTACGACGACAGGAACAAGGAAACGTGGGGGATGGGCACCACATGTACCCAAGTGACTAGGTGATAGTAATTACCCTAAACACTCAACCCCATAATCAACTGCTGACTGCTGATTTCTGGCTTCGCGTAGAACAGCTTTTCCAGAATCATTGCAGAACAGAGCTCCTGATAGCTCACCTACTCGCGGTTCAATGCCCTCAAGGAGCTTGGCCGGTAGATCCAGAGCGCGCAGTGATGCCTTCAGCTCGTGGTAGCCCACGCCGGCACCTTTGATTTTTGCTATCCTTAAACCCTAAAACCTAAACCCATGTTGCATCCGGGCTTGGGCAGTCGGCCGGGGATGGAAGTTGCAGCTCTCATTGCAAAGCACGTGAACCCTAACCCCTAAACCTAAACCCTATCCCACTCTGGATTTTCGGGGTGCGTTGTTGGGGGCTTCAGAGCCTTACTGGGATCCCGTCTGGGGTCAACGCATGTGCTGCCTCTACTGCTTGCTCCTATTTCGCATCAAATCACGATGTCCATCACAGCCCGGCAGATGTTTCCAGCCCCTGAACCCACCACCTCACCTGAAGCTATCTAACACAAGAGCTTCCCGGCCTTGTACATTAAAAGTGTCGAAGGCCGCTTCGATCTCCTTTTGCCGTTCCTGCAACAGTGCGAGCCCTTTTTTGAGGGATGGAGGGCTGGACTCCTTGTGGTTCTGTTGGAGTGGGTGCATGGTGTCTAATTCCTCGCTATATGTATGCTCTGCTGCACGTCGCTGAGTCTGTGCCTCAAGCTCTTTTGGCTAAGCCGGCTAAGCAATCATTTTATCCTGTGTGGCACGCGGAGTGACAAAAAGCACGTGAGCAGCGGCTTTCAGCTGTTTTCAGGGGCTGCTGGTCACCACGTCTTATTGTGGGCCGGATCCCTCCCCTAGAACACCACCGGTATTGGGCAGTTCTTTCATCGTCGAAAAGTGGGGCGGAGTCGGTCTCGTTCAAGCAGAGGCTTAACTCGTTCTTATTGGGCTATCTCGTTCCCCAAATGAACGGAAGCGCCAATGAGCCCGTCGCTCGAAGGGTTCAAATGCGGTAGCAATCTGAGGCTGAGGGCGATGTGGTACTAGTGTGTTGAACATCGTGAAAGAAGTATTGATATGATTGAGAAGGCTGCGGAGCTTGTCCAACTAACCTGGTAACTTAAATATGAACCCTGCATGTTCAACATGAGCTCGACAGCCAAAGGGCTCGCTGAAGGCTGGTCGACGCAGCCATTACTAAGGCTGTGGTCACACAGAGCTCAGGGCCCGGGACGACCAGGGGAGTTAGCTTGATTCGGCTGTGCTGTGCTTCATAGGGGTTTCAAGACTGGTACGTGCACGGAAGCTGCATGCTGGAACTCAGGCTGTGGTTTATCCCAGGCACTGGAGCAAAGCGGCTGTTGATCGGCGCGGAAAGGGAAATCACAGCTCTCCCGGGCGTTTTGTGGAATCTCGGTGCAATTCAATTGCAATCCGCAGGGCGGTAGCGGCTGTGTGCCCCACTGGCCCCAAGGCTGTCCACTGCCGAGACTCCCAGCATTGCCTTGGACTCGGGCAGGGGGAGCTCAAGGGGAAGGGACTACCAAGGACTGCTTGGCCGACTGAGCAGTGGACCGCCACTACTCCACTTCCTGCACAGCACCACACGCTCTGGCACAAGGCCCCGAAAGCCCTGTTTTGAGCTTAGGGACTTGCAAATTGCAAACTCCAGAAACGACCTTGCACCATCCCCAACTTCCCGCACCCTACTTGCAACATCCCCGAATCACCCAAAATAGGGGTACCCTTTTTGGGGGGTCCCTTTCAGGGGTCTTCTATTTCGGGGTATAAGAGGGGTACCCCTATTTTGGGAAATGCCCAAATCAGGGCCCTGACTGCGAACATCTGCCCCACCCGGCCTAACGGGTCGAAGCCGGGCCATGCGCCCAGCGCCTGAGGCCACGGAGGCTGCGGAGATCGTTCACAGCATTGGGGTTTGGGGTTTAGGGTTTAGGGCGTTTAGGGAAGCCTGTATAACAACAGCAAGAACTCTGCAAGACAACGTTGGCAACAGAACCTAACACGACAACACACGCGAACATGAAAATGGCACGAGCAAGAATAAATACCGATGAGAATGATGAGAATGATCGCGATCACCACGTGATGTGCAGACTGAGCAGCAGTAGCCCACAATGCCATTCAAACTGACAAGGCTGGTATCATTGCCACCTATTCTACCTTCTGTATCAATCTTTAGGTTAAGACTGGTTTGTCCCCAAATCCTCCTCATGATTTGCATCATTGCCATTTGTTTGCTTCCAGTAGTCTTGCTGTCAATCCAGCCATCCATCCTTCCTGCAAGCATGAGCCCCGACGGCCCAAAGGCGGGGCGGCCGCTCAGTATGCCAGTGACTGGGAGTGATGCTGCCCCGGCGTCTGGCTTAGCGGAGTCCACTGATACTCACCCTTCCTCGTCTTATTTCACCAGTGACTTCCGGAGAGGGTGGTGTAGGATGGCATGAGAGAGCCATACATAGCAAGGATACTATAGTGACTGCAATCAAAAATCGCCATCTGAATCCGAGCTCAGGGCTCCCCCCAGCTGAGATGTCAAGGCCACACCGGCCTTTGTGCACAGCAAGCAGAACTTTCTGTACAATGGGCGTGCATGTGTGCAACATCGTGAACAACCTTGGGCAGCTCAGCTTCACTGTGTAAAGGGGTGCATTCGAATTGTGACGTAAAGCCCTTTTTTCTTTGGGGGGCGGGGGGTTGTGCTTGTGCCTGCTTGGTGCAAACAACGCACGGCCTGCGCAAGTGAGGGCTCATGTGGGGGTTCACAAAAATCAGGGACCCCAAATATAGACCCCCAAATAGTAGGGTACCCTTGAAATAAGGACCCCAAGAAGGTACCCCCGAGTTTCGGAAACCCCCATATGCTGCTCACCATGACTTAGGAGGAGGTGTGCCCCAAAGGTTGTGAGGTCCGCGCCGCTAGGGAATCTGATCGGTGGTGCCAAGCAGTGGCTACCTGAGCCAGGTGCAACAGCGGCACTCTAGGCTCGGGCCAAGACCGAAGAAGTGGGAAGCTCAGCAGCTTTCTTACATACCTGAGGCAGCCGCCGCCAAATTGGACCTCACTGTCTCAGATGCCAACCGTGCTTACTGGATCCGGAGTGGAGCTGAGAATCTGTGCTGAGAACGGTGCTGCACCTGTTCCCCTGCACTGAGCGTTGCTCTGTAGAGGGCCTGCGTCGGAGAGAGATCTGTTGTCAGTTGCGGACTTGGCTCTCAAAGCCGCGAAAACGGCGCAAAAAACCACGCCTCCTTCAGCAAGATGGAGGCCAAACCTGCTTTGGGAAAGCTGAAGTCTATCGCGAATATCTCCACTGTGCCCTGATCGCGCTGGTCGTGCAATCTGAATCTAAGTCAGCAACCTACTGCGACTGCAGCTCGCCGAACACTCTTCTCGATACCTATGCACCAGATGGTGTATGTTACCCGCCTCACTGGTCATTTGCTAGCTGGGGAACATCATTGCGGGCATGTCTGCAACATGAATACCATGCAATACCAGGCAGGCACCACTACACCAGTCCAATGCTCTGCTCTATGTCAGGTCAATTCCCAGAAGTGTATCCAAACCCAACATCAACAACTCTTTTTTTAATGCATCCACCCAAGGTCAAACGAGGTTGATGTGTTAACCCTACACCCTAAACCCCCCCCCCCCCCCCCGCCTCTTTGGTTTAGATCGACAACACATATATCGGTGGCTATTGCAGGGGTAGCAACCCCATGTTGTAAAATAAGCAGTGTGGGGTGCAAAATGTCGCAAGCAGCTCTTTTCGATTTTCGACGACAGCTACTGAGCTGCACCAGCTTGTCCCGCCAAGTACACGTCGCGAGGTTGGTGGGGAGATCGGTTGGACGAGATTGCTGAGGAGACGTCGATGATTGGAAGAGCCCACAGCACCTCCGACCATTCGGCTGGGCACATGGTCAAGGTTTCGTAGTCGATGTAGCAACGGATGCGATTGCGCCGAGGAACATGCACTGGCTGCCAACCCTTGCAGATGAAGATCCTTCAAAGGCAGAAGGCCGTCGAAGGCGGTGTGACATGCCAAAGGTTGGGAATTTTCAGTCTGCCAGGACCTGGAGAGCCCTCGGTTGTTCGTCTGGCCAGGTAACCTCCGTTCCATGTCTGCCGTCTCTCTTGCAAAGGCGGCCCAGTGCGGGTCTTGCAATGCTGGAGCAAACCTTGCCGACAGAGCTCACGTCGACCTCAATTCCGGCAAGACGATGCTGCGTCATTGGCAGATTGCTAAATTACCTTCACAAGCCCCAGCCACTTGCATCAGGGGTGAGGACACTGAAACCTGACGAGCCTAACCCCTCAACCTCGCACCTGCAAAAGCCGTCAGAAGCCAAGCAGCTCTGCTCCTGCGGCGAGAAGCAGGACTTCCATGAAGCGGTCAGCCAAGTCAGGCGGAATGGTGTGGCCGCCTCTTGCAACATCGGTCCCCTTTGAAATGGCTGGCTTCAGTTGACTCTCCCAGCATCTAGCAGTGTACGTTTTCGGTGCAAATGGCGTGTGGCAGATTATTACTGTACCTTGCATGCCTTGAAACTCGTGGTATTCTGCCTGCTGCATTCCAATCCTCGGGTGACTCCCGACGTTTGAACCACTTGCAGCTTGCACAGGACATGACGCATGTCTCTCCGAGACGCTCATCGCGGCAGAAGTCCCGCATCCAGCGCCCGCCATTGACACCTCATTCCAGCGAACAACTTCGATGCCACTTTCCTCCACCTTTCGAATGCTTCGCCCTGCCTGGACATGAACCTTCAAGATCCCCGTTTATCCCTTTTCTGACGGCTTGAGAATCGCGCAAACAACACAAACGGTAGTCCTGTGCTGTAGCAAGCCGTAACATTGGCAATGCTTCGCAGGCTTTTCAAGAGGGTTTCCAATGTGACAACAGCAACGTCGCCTGAGACATACCCCTAAGGGTCCTTGTACCTTTTTTAGTATATACTTGAACCCTATCTATCTATACTTGAATCCCTTTTTCAGGCCCAAATATATCTATATATATATATACATATATATCATCTACTACGACTACGACGTCTACTGCTACTGCTGCTACCTGCCACCTGCTCAAACCCTAAACCTTAAACCCTAAACCCGAATGGACCCTAGGGTATTTCCCTGGGCTCTCGGGCCCACCGCCCAATCTCCTCGGCCGTGGCCTTGAACCAGTGGAAGGTCGGCCCAACCCTGAAAGCACAACCGGTTGGGGGTTAGGGTTTAGGGTGTAGGGCTTAGGGTTTAGGGTTTAGGGTCTCCCCCCCCCCCCCTAGGTGTGGTTGGCGGGTTGGGGGGTAGGGTTTAGGGCTTAAGGTTCATCATGGGGGGGGAAGGCGAACCCAGAACCGGTATATAAACCCCCGACTAATTGATAGGATTCCCTTATGATAAGGACTCCAAGAAGGTACCCTGAGTTTCGGAAACCCCCATGTTCCTATTCATGGGCCCGTTTCAAGCCGCCTTCAATGTGGAGAGGCGCTCGCGCCAGCGTCTCCTGAAAGACGGGGTTTGCCAGGAGTCTGCAGTGACACTGAAAAGCTTACTGCGTACCCTTGCTCTGTTCTCTGATGAGGTATGCGCTTGCCTCCGCTAGCTTCTGCCGGCACTGCCCAGAAATTTGTGGTCCCGAAAACCCTAGAGTGCTGAGACCTGCACATACTGAGACCCCATCTATCAACTGTTTGCCCCCAAACAGCCTAAAGTCCCAAGTCCTCAAGCTGTCTCTGATGGCCCGAAACCGAAACCTTCAGCCCTCCTGCACATCAGTGAGCCCGAGAAGAACCCCAACGCGGCCGGGCGTGCAGGCAGGTGCAGGGCCGCATCCATGGCTACAGCAGCACCTGGAATGCTCTTTTGAATCGGCTTAGGGGTCAATGTATGACCGAGATAGCTGGACAGCCAGCTAGAGAGAGAGAGTGTGTGTGTGTGTACTTCAGTGCCCTCAGATATTGGGCGGGCTTACAAGGCTTCTTGGACACGATCTGAGCTGCAATGTTGCAGAGTCCGCCTTGCGAGAAACCACCCAGGGCCACGGAAGCGAAGCGCAAGCCCATGACGTTTCGCGCTTCTTCGACGACCCTTTGTGCCTTAGAGCACGGAACGTCCTTACGCAGGTCTTACCCGAAGCTGTTGCACTGCAGGTGCACAGGTGCCAAGAACAGCTCTGCCAGGAAGCCGTGGCCCGAGAGTGATCCAGAAAAGCAGGCTCTCCGTCCTTGAGCAAATCCACGGCGCTCCTGAGATGTGTGTGTGTGTGTGTGTTTTTGTCATTGCTTTTGCGGCCAAAGATGTGGCGGCTTAGAGGGGGTTTAGGGTTTAGGGTTTAATCGCTCAGGGTTTGGCGAAAAGCATAAGAGGAGTCCACGTGGCTGGGGAGATGCAGAGGTAGCGGTAACGTCTGTGGCGTGCTCGGCATGGCGCGTGCTTTCTTCCACCTCCTCCTGTCACAGAGGCGAGGGCAAGTCGAGCATCTAAGACTGGAGATAGGGTTTAGGGTTTGGGGTTTAGGGTTTAGGGTTTAGGGCTAATTGGGTTTCGGGTCTAGGGTGTGGGTACGTCGCACATAAGTTGCGCATGCCTACTTTCGCTTTGCCAAGTTGGGAACTTTCGGTGCAACTTGGTGCATGCATCGGCCGAGTCAGCACCAAATTCGTACTTGCCTGTTTCTTCGCTTTCTTCAAAAGGTCGAGGAGCACGTCTTTGTCTGTGCTGTACCTGCAGCGCTTTGCAGTTGTGCTTCAAATGACGGCTGAAACCGTCATGCCATCATCCTGGGTCTTCAGCTCTAAACGAGCTCTCGACGTGGGGGCGTAAATGGCTTTTGAGCTCTGACAGAATTATAGCCTGCTTGACCCCCCCTTTGTTTTTGTTTGTGTACCTTGTCCTATGTTCGACTTGTTTGAGCAGCGATTTTCTTCCAGACGATCTAGACTGTAGACTCTAATTCGACTCTGGACCTGGAAATCTGGGATGCGTGATGAAGTTCTGCAAGGCGCTCAACACTTTCTTCTGCACAAGGTGCAGTCCGGCGCACACACACACACACACCCACACACACACCCACACACACAGAGACTGCCTGGACCTGTTTTCTCCAAAGCACAGCAGCTGACCATCCGACCGCACTGCGCAGGTATGGACGTTACCGGCGGAAACTGCCGAAACTGGGCCCAAATCTGCTGGCACCTCGCACTGCCCAAAGTCGTTGCCTCCGAAGCAAACAAGTCGACCATCTGACCGCACTGCGCAGGTATGGAAACCGCCCGCTGAGATGGCCGAAACTGGTCCCAAATCTGCCGGCACATCACACTGCCCGCAATCGTTGCTTCCGAAGCAAATCAGCTGACCATCTGACCGCACTGCGCAGGTATGAACATTCCCGGCTGAGACTGCCAAAGTCGGGCCCAAATCTCCGGGCACGTCACACTGCCCAAAGTCGTTGCCTCCGAAGCAAACAAGTTGACCACCTGATTGCACTGCACAAGCATGGAAACCGCCCGCTGAGACGGCCAAAGCTGATCCCAAATCTGCTGGCACATCCCACTGCCCACAGCAGCTGCTCCCGAAGCACATTAGCTGACCATCTGACCGCACTGCGCACGTACTAAACAAGCCTGCTGAGACTGCCGAAACTGGTCCCAAATCTGCCGGGACATCACACTGCCCGCAGGAGTTGCTTCCGAAGCAAATCAGCTGACCATCTGACCGCACTGCGCAGGTATGATCATCGCCGGCTGAGACTGCCAAAGCTGGGCCCAAGTCTGCTGGCACATCGCACTGCCCAACGTCGTTACCTCCGAAGCATGCTAGTTGACCATCTGACCGCACTGCGCAGGTGTGAAGACTGCCCACTGAGACGGTCCAAACCGACATCCAATCCGCCAACACATCACACCTCCCCTTGCATGCAAACCGAAGGAGCAATCCACTGGCCTTCATCCTAGGCCTGTGACAAGGCTTGGCGAAAGCACGAAAAATGTTTGGGTCTGAGCCGGTGCCTCGAAACCCTGGCCATCCAAGACCTGATCGGCGCAATGGCCGAAGAAACGATAGCATTGCCCTACTAGGCATCCAGGAGAACATGGCGATACCAGACATCCAGGACATGGCAAGCGCCAGGCAAACTTTCATCGCTGTGAAGAAACGCGTGCTGGAATCCCTGATGGTTGATGAGCTGTTATGCTGCAGCGCGTTGTTGGGAGATGGGTCAAGCAAACAAGTCCGCTAGACGACATCACTTGGATCAAGGTACATACAAGGGGTATGTAGCTCCAACCATTCCTTGACCAATTCATTTAATACGCATAGGGAAAGGTGATTGTTCAGCACGCGCTTCGTAGTTCTCCCCAGAACTTTCGGCCCCGTCACAGCTGTTGAAGCAAGATGCCTACACCCCAAAATGCCCGAAAACCAAGATCCCATGATATACTACTCGCGGCAGCCGATCCTGAAGCACTTTCTACGAGCTTGTGCCCTCGAAGGCGCCAGAAGTGGACCGCTCCGTCCCGCAAAGGGCTCGCAGGCAGCACCACCGCCACCCCGGCGGCGAGGAGACGGAGGGCACGTGGTGGCGTGAAGAGCCGCTCCTCCAAGGGGGGTTCAGGGCATATTCGAGCATGTGAGCTCAGGATACCCACCATGGGGGGGGGGGGGGGGGGCCCCTTCTAGGCGCGGGCACGCTTAGAAACTGCAGACATCGTGTGCAAAGTTCCTGTTCTCGGTCCCGGGGTCTCGGACCCAGCTGCTGCGTCCTGCTCCACCCGAAAGGGGGTTCCGCTCCCATGGAAGTAGACCAAGACGAGCTTGACAGGTCCTGCTGCATGGCTGGAAATGCCGCAGTCAAAGCTCAAGCTGGCCTACCCGACTTGCACCAAACGCCCACAGGCTAGGGCTTGCCGATGCACTCCACCTCCCCCAAGAGTAGCTGCCACAAGAAATGGAGAGGGTGAGAGCCAACATATCCATGTAGAAACACACACCACACACAAATGCACACACAACATTCATTGAGCGTCCCTCTCCCAACTCCGATGACAAGAAGTGATCGGGACATGCTTCAAACCTCACAATAGATGCATTCATCCGCTTTCATAGGCGAGCGGCTTCAGGATGCTGTGATGATGAATCGTGTCTCTGCTCGGAGTTGCTTCCGAAGTCTGAAAAAATCAGAATATGGAGGGTTTAGAGTTGACGTAGCTTCCGATTCCCCGAATCAAAACGGAAGGCTTGTAAAGGCCGAACCCTTCTTACTCCGACTCTTTTCGCTGGCCTTGGAGGTTCATGGGTACTTGTAACCCCGACTACAAGCCCCCTAAGTCCCCGAAGTAGGCGATAAGTTGGGGTCCGGGTTATAAGTACCCTTCACCCACCTAAACCCTAAACCTTGTAGTCGGGGTTCTACCTGCCCATTAACCTCCCTCAGTGGCCTTGGGTTGAAGAACTCGGCAGTCCACATCGGCGAACGTCCGCGTCTCCCAATGCAAGCCTGAACTCAAGAAGTGGGGGGGGGGGGGGGGTTTAGTCGCTCACTCTCGCACAAGGCAGGCAAGTGGGGGGTGGTTTAGGGTTTAGGGCTTTTTTCGCTCCCGCATAGCTGGCCGAGTGTTTAGGGTTCAGGGTTTAAGTTTTAAGGGATGGCAGGCCCACAATGGGGGTCTCTTTTCTTGCAAACGATCCATTCCGGATACCCAGAAGGAGCCCGAAATGTAGATCACCCCCGACAGTCGAGACCCCGAACCTATATGACTTTGCGATTGGAATCCGACTCTTTGGGGGGCCTATTTTAGGAGTCCCCCTATTAAACCCCAATTATAGGGCTATCCTCAACCCTAAACCCTAAACCCTAAGCCCTAAACCCTAAACCCCAAACACTAAGCCCTAAACCCTGCGGCCTTCGGGCGTCGTCGGTTGCAGCTCCGGGCATGGATCTGCCTTCTCCAGGGAGTCGAAGTCGAACATGGCCTTCCTTCTTAGGGTACTCAGTATGGTCCCTCAGTATGGGCCCTGAAAAGGGTTTAGGGTTTAGGGTTTAGGGGAGCCTTATAGACCCCTTACATAACCCATACAAATTTAGGGCCCAGACATCAGAACCTTTTAAAGGAGCATTGAGCTTCCCTGAGGGCCCTCTTCACACTGTGCCACTACGATCTGAGCCACATCATCTTGCGGACATGCTACACTTCGGATGCGTGGAAGCGCCATGCCAATGCCCTCCTTGCCTAGCCCATGCGTTTCAAACTTAAAGTTGCCGAATGACATGTTCGACCTTCCCTCTGGATGCCTCTGCCTCTCTCCGGTGCAAGACCGTCAGCCACAAGCCGGCTCTAAGGAAGAGAGCTCTACAGAACATAGCCCTGCACACAGGGACATCCCTAAACCTTAGGGCGGTTCGATGTCCTGAGGCCCTAAGGGGGCGGAGGGCCCTATAGTCGCGATCATTGCAACACCCCAAGCACAGCTTCCCTTCCGGCTCTAAGCCTCCTTTGGATTGATGGCCACTGTCCGATGCCTGGGGCTTTCGATGCTCGCACTCATGCACGACCCTTTGGGAGGTTGTAGAGCTTGTTCTTGGGGCGCCCGTGTACCACCTTTGCGCGAATGCCTGTATTGGAATTGGAAGTCGAAAAGGCGCCATGAACCCACTGTACACCACAAACATGTCACTCATGTGCAGCTCACTATTCTGGATTTGTTAAAGAAAAACATTGGAAAGCATGTAGCTGTCTAGGAGTTGCAGGTCATGTTCTGAAACATGCGTGCTCGAAGCGTCACGTGACGTTAAACAGAACTTTGCCACGGCTTTCCAAAACTCAGTGCTCAAAACAGACTCCAGCGTCTCAACCCTGCCAGTACAGAAAATAGTGAGGACAGAGTTTGCAGACGCGATTGACCCTAAACCCTAAACCCTAAACCCTAAACCCTAAACCCTAAACCCTAAACCCTAAACCCTGCAGAGCTTATAAGGTGCAGGGCTTCCGGCGTCACATGCTCTCAATGCAGGGAGTTCAGTACGCCGACTCCCTGCTGAAGCCCGCCGTCGGATAACCCACCACATGTTAAGCACATCTAGGGTTTAGGGTTTAGGGTTTAAAGTTTAGGGTTTAGGGCTTAGGGTTCAGGATTTAGGATTTAGGGTTCGAAGACCAGCACTGCACATCTGAGCTGCTGGCCTGTTCTGTTGGCGTCTTGTCTGTGGTGGCAGGCTTGGCATCTGTCCCACAGGAATTCACTCGACAAACATTCAACGTGGCTCTTCTCTGCAAACAGTTTCGGGCCGTGCCGGGTTCCGAAAAAACAACGGCTACAGAAACTCAGGTTCCAGTCGTGGACCACGCTGGGAACTTTGAGCGCGAACCTCTTCTACCCGGTGCCCACTCTGCTAGTAGAGGCGCGAGGGAGACGATGCTGTCGTAGCCTGATTGCTTGGCAAGCCAGGCAAAATGGCTTTTGGGCGAACACACTTCCTGCACCGAGCCCGCCGCCCATGGAGAAAGCTATGTACAAAAGGATGCCTGTAACCTGGGCACACGATGGGCCCTAAACCCTAAACCCTAAAACATGGGCGCACGATGGATGGGCTTACCTAAATCGTGAGGCTGACACGGGGCAACGGTTTTTGCTGCGTTGTTTCCAGATGTTGTCCGCTGAAGGGTTTAGGGTTTAGGGTTTAGGGTTTAGGGTTTAGGGTTTAGAAGCATGTTAGGGTCGGCTAGCGAAGCATATCAAGCTGAAGACGGACCCTGATTCCAAATTCTGCAAAGCCTGCAGACCGACTACAGGAATGTCCTAAAAGCTCCTAAAGCCTTCAAAAACTCGAATTCCCAAAGCCCCTAGAAAAGCCTGAACACCCAAAACAGAACCATGAATGAAAGCCTTTGGGGCCTCTAAGAAAATGTCGCCCAGACTTGGCTCCAAGGAACGGCGACTGCACCCATAGACTCGATCTTGCCATGGCCCCAGGGATGTTCCTTTCTCAAAGGCTGCACATTCCATTGGGGAGCCTTATAGAATGATAATGGCCAACAGAAGAACCATAAGAATCAGAATAATTAACCATAATCACCATAAGAGTCATAACGAACGAATATGGCCTGCAGAATGCACATGCATCACGATCATCATGCTGCCCCTTATGAGTCGACCCAACTCAGTTTGAAAGACGGTCTCGTTGTTGCCTGCCATTTTGTCAGCCTTTCAAGTAGGAGCCAATCGAGTAAATCATCCCGGCCGCTGTCCATGCGCAAAGCGAATGCTCCGCCGGTCCATTATGGAGAACCGGTGAGGGTCGCTATTTTGGTACAGCTGGTCATAGCTGTGGATGTTGCGGTGAGGGTTTTCGGGTTCTTACACAACGGCTCCTTGTCTGGAGGCCGCGCAGCTTCTGCATAGGCCAGCGCTGTGACCTAGTCTCAGTTTTAACTCGCAGGGAGTTCCCAAAACCAGCAGCTAGAATCGTTCCAGCGAAACTTTTCAACATCTCTTGTCAAGAAAGTCAGTTCACTATAGAAGAATGTGCAGAGGTGAAGCCACGATGTCGCTCTCTGGGGTCGCACCACTTCGGCTGCTGTGTCTCCAAGACCATGCACGGCATCGGCCATCAAGGCCTTTCAAGAAAGGATCAGAGGGTTTGGGGTTAAGGGTTTAGGGTTTAGGGAGAGACTCCTGGTAAGTTCCTAAGACATGTCGTGCTTAGCCGTTCCCCACATGAAGACCCTGTGTGTGCTACACACGCGTTCGGCCTTGTGATGCACGGTGACTTGCGCAAGCCCCATCTTCGTGACAGACAGGGCCTGCCATGGGAGCTCTAGGCAGGGCTCGAGGCACGGAACACGGGTCCTGAAATTATTTTCTGCTTTTTCTCTTACACTCCCCTTCAGTTTAGGGTTTAGGGTTTAGGGTTTAGGGTTTAGGGTTTAGGGTTTAGGGTGGTGCAAGAGCATCCCGGGCTGAGTTGCTTGCCACGTTGACAACGGAACCGAGCCAAAACAGGCTCATGATGTCCTAGGCAGCGTCAGAAAGCATGTCATGCACCCATTCTGGTCACAGCAGGTTGACAGACGGTGAATTCCTGACGCATCCTACGTACCTTCACAGCCTTCACAGAATAAAACGCACGTCTCCATTCTGCACCCACTGCTCCTGGCGAAAACAGCTTCTGAACTCTCTGGAAGCCAATCAACTTGGGCGCTGGCATCTACCTGGAGGATGGCAAAAGCCAGCAGCAAAACCTTCGTCAAGCTTGCCAAGAGTTCGGTTGCACTCAACCGCCCCTGGCCACGAACATCGATTGCCTGAACTATGAACGCCATACCGTCCAAACAAAACCAAAGAAACTAAGAAAGTGCAACCATTGCGTCCCTAACTGGGTTTCAGAGGTCGGGTTTCGGGCTTGCGCAGCACACAGAGACGACACTTGAGTCTGAGTCTGCTGCAATGAGGGAGACGGCGGCCCAGCCTGGCAGTCACCACCAGACACGAGAGGGTGCTAAGTTCGGACTCTGGGAAGAGAATAGAGATGTGGGTATTTCCCAAAAAAGAGGTCCCCCTTTGCCCAAAATAGAAAACCCTTAACGCCTAAACCCAGGCAGAAGCGGCCGAAGGGGAGGAAGAACGCGGCCCCAGGCTCTCTGGAGAGTGTGCGAAAAAAAGGGGGGGGGCCCAATATGGGGGCCTCTAGGGTTTATTTCTAAGGTTAAGGGTTTAGGGTTTGGGGTACCCCCCCAAAGAGTACCTTATAACAGGGACCCCAACAAGGCACCCCAATTTTCGGAAACCCCCATGTGGGGTTTTGAGACCCCGCTTGCCACTTCAGGGCTTCGATTTGCACAGCTGAACCCCTCCCTGGCCTGCGTATCGAACCGCCGGAGCCAGGCAAGCAACTTCCTCAAGAGGGAACCGGATATGTTCAGGGTTTAGGGTTTAGGGGGGGCATGCTCGGGAGATTCTCGGGCCCCCCACAAAGCAAAGCCTGTCAAGGAATAATTTTCCCAAAATACTGTAGTTGTATCGTTACCACAGCATTGCAGAAGGTTCTCATTGAATGGAAGGCGTGGAGAAGCTCGCGCTTGGTCTTGTGACGTCCCAAAACCAAGTCATCAGTATTGACAGCAGAAGTCTCAACTTATTGAGACGGTTAAAGATGCGTAGCCACGACTTCGCAATTTTCCTCTTCAATTGAACTGCGGCTTTCACGAGCATTTCAAAGCGAATACCGGGTTGGGTGTTCCTTCAACACGAATAGTGACACAATTTGCTTGGCTGAGGCGGTACGCTTGTGCTGCTAGGGCACGATTTGTTGCCTCTGTGCCTGTTGCCCCCCCCCCCCCCCCCCATGCGACTTATTGTTGACTGTGGTGTTTGTCTTTAACTCAATATAAACCCTCGCAATCGTGCAAAAGACCGCTTGCAGAGGGTTCATCGGAGTTGTGGACCTAGACATTTCTTATGCCGCATGCGTTCCCTAATGGCACCTGGTTTTGCAGCAGTTGGGCTTTTCGTTCCAGCACGCGCTTTGGCGACACGACTTGAGTTCATAGTCTGATAATGCTGCCTTTGGCTTTCGGGTTTCATGAAGGAGGTGTACGGGTAGCTCCCAAAATAGGGGTACCCCTTTTACACCCCAACTAGAAAAGAATCCCCCTAAAAAAAGGAACCTCCGAAAAGGAAAAGGGTGCCCCGATTTTCGGAAGCCTCTGTAGAGGCCCTAGCAAGCCCAGGACATGATCCTAAACGATTCCGGCTCTGCGAAGAACCTGCGCGCAGCAAATGGTGGCGATCGAGCCAGGATTCTGCTTTTTGCGGTTGAGCCACATGATTTCAGCATTTCTGCGGAACACCAGTTGCTTGTCAGTGACAGCTAGAATGCTAGAATCCGGGCCGCAGGGAAGGCAAGCCGTTTTCTTTTTGCAGATGCTTGTAGTACTCAGGAATCTTCTTCATAAGGCGCAGCCGCTGCGATCTGCAAAAACGACCACCGCTGCACCCTGCCTATCCGCTACGCATTCACGTTTTGCACTTTTAATCCGGGGCCCACGCGGCTGTGTCTGAGATCGCCATTGCGATGTGGCTGGAACAGTGAGATACGCCGAGGGCCTAGATGAAACCATTACTTACTGTAGTAATTAATATCGGCTGAGTGTGTGAGAGCCAGTGCTGAGTTTGCGTCACTTATTTGAGGGTATCAAGTGCCAGACCCACTGCATGGATGAGACTCGATGCATGCACTTCTCCTGCCAAAGCTTGCCCAGATTGCACCAAGCAAGCACGGAAGCGATGTCTCTGTTCGTCCCGTAGGGACTCTTGGATTCAATGCAGGCAGAACATGTTCAATACCCATACGATTCGGTAGCTGGGTGCTCCAGCGCTGGTTTCGCGGTGTGTGCAGCCAACATCGCTGTCCGACCATCACAACGCTGCCCATGTCTCCTCACTCTCTAGTCTTGCTTCAGAGCGCACACAACTCAACGAAAGATCGTTCATGAGTCTGTCGGTGGCTCAAAGACCTGCACGCAAAGCAGCTTTGCAGTGCTCGACTCCTTTCTTTGTCGCCACATTTGCCACAACCCGTGGTAGCCAGCATGGTCAGGCAATGACACAGGTGGGCAACGCAACAACACGTGGTATCGTCCAGTAGTTTGTCTGTAGCTTATAATGCCTAAGGGCTCAGGTGGTCCTATATGGTGTATACCTGACTTGAATTGCATCGAATTGCGCCACCGTTGTCTTCCAGTAGTATACGGCTGCACGCAATGTACTTGAAAAGGGTCACGTCATCTTCCGTAGACTCCTTCATGGCTGGGCCCCCCAATGTCTGTCCAAGGCTTTCAACCATCTCCACAACTTCAATATCAGCTTCGGGTTTAGGGTTTAGGGTTTAAGGTTTTAGGGTTATTAGGGCTCTGATAGTCAACAGGTGAGGGTCCCAGCAGAGTACAGTCACGCACACGTACAAGTAGTATGCACTTCCCCCTCTACGAGTGGAAAGAAGGTTAGTAGGAACCATAGTCCCGGGTTTCTGCAGCAACGCCACACGGCCTGCAATCCCGGGACCGAGTAATGACAGCCTCTCGCCGGAAAGGCTCAAGTAGAGGGGTTGGGGGGTGGTCAAGGGGAGATCCGGACTGCTTCTTACACTTTCTGGTGGGCAAGTGTCATGCTGGAAGGCTTAGGTCTAGAATTTCAGAGCAGCTGAGTGGCTGCTCAGGGCTCAGGGGTGCGGACGGGTGATTCTTTCTCCCATCTGCATCTTTGCCGCATGGAACTTTGTACAGCCCGCCAGGCGAAAGAACTCCAGGACGGGCCCAACTTGACCAAAGCTTGTGAGCACAACCTTGAGGCTTTGTAGAACTGCATGTGGCAGGAATCAACTGGACTATTCGCCTGAGCCATCGACTTAGTCCGCGTCTCTCACCCTATATTGCTCTAGCTTGAGCAAGTCCAAGGAAGTTCCTCCTGCCTGCCCGAGGAACAGCTGCGCAACGCTTACGAGCATCAAACCCACACCTTTCTGCAGCACCGCTCCTCCTATGGATGATAGGTTGCCTGTTTCCTGTGTGCTCCAAGAAACAGTAATTCGGAACATTGCGCTTTGCCATGCTTTGCCATATTTGCGCAACAGGTGCTGCAAAAAGGTGTAGGACGGAAGATCCCAAGCTCGTCCCCTACACGTAGGGCCTTGACTGGCAGCTGCGATGGGGTTCAGGGGTCGTCAACACTTACTGGCTAACTCGATGTCTGTTGATTCCAATTTTCTGGAAGAAATCCCAATGTTCCTCAATCTGGCTCGTGTCATCGGAGAAATATGGTGCGATCACAGACCAAGTCCCCAACACCCTTTCGTATGACCTGTGACGACCCTTGCATTGCATGAATTGCTCCAGTCTTCTGCATGATCTAGCAGCATTGGCATGCACGGACGAATCGGAAGATGAGCGCCCCCCCATGCATAAGCGTATCATTGTCCATCGCAGATTGCGCGGAAGCACGACTGCACATGCGTGAGCATGCAGGGCTTTCATGCAAAGCCGAAGTCAAACGTTTCTTATATGAATTCTTCATGCAAAAGAGTTGCAGAGCGACTAATCGTACCACTAACGCTTCTAGCAACATCTTCCAGCAACTTTTGTTGGCCATGCCAACACACACACACACACACACACACACACACGTGTGGAGTACTGTAGTATGAGGAACCTGGAGAACGCCTTGCATGGGGATGCATTGCGATCAATGCGCGCAGATTGCGCTCACTGCACAACGGACTCAGAGCGTGATCGGCCTCATTTGGGTAAGCAGTGCAGTGCCACAAGTGACAGGCTAATTCTGGTTTCTGCAGTACAGCACGGTACAGGTCTTCCACGCGCGGTTGACGCGGTTGATGCAAGTTGCTGCTGCGGCGCTGCGTATGACAGCGGCGTGGCGGCACAACCAGAGCACCACCCGACAAACAGAAAAAACAAATCCCCACAACCATCTCGCACAGGTCCAGCTGTAGTACTTACAGACTACAGCCTGATCTGCGACGACGCCAACTATCTGACCTCAAGACACACAGCTTTGTTTATACCCACAGAAACTTTCAGTACCATGCCAGTACCACAGGCTCGCACGCTGGCTTGTCAGTGGGTGGCGGCTGTCGGCCAGCTACCGACGCCCAGCTTGCAGGGTACTTGTACCTGCCATCAGACCATATGGGGGCTTCCGAATCAAGAGGGGGTATTTGATTTGAAGGTTCCGTTTTTGGTTTAGGCACTACTATTTTCGACTAGCAAGCTCTGCCCCATTTCTCTTGACGTTTCTGCCTATCACTGTGGGCAACCAGTAAGCACATTGCGCTTTGGCCATTGCTGCTCTTGATTATCCCAGAGACATACCTTGCCATACACTGCAGGGAAGATGTCACCTGATGCTGAAAGCACTTTCCCGTGCTGAAAGTTGCGGCCGCGCCACGAAACAAGCTGAAAAGACTACATCTTTGGTAGGCTGCCAGGTGATCAGGCCTCAAAGCGTTGCAAAGCTCGTCCTTAGCTTCCAAGCACGTCTGCAAAGATGTGATGTGAGGTGCGCCTGTCGCAGTAATCTGCGTAGCCTCATTCACCCTAAACCCCTAAACCCTAAACCCTAAACACAGTTGGCTGTTTGATTCGGCCAAGGCTCCACCAAACTCGTCTCATCATCGCTGGCATCGGGCTCTAGGGTCAACCGCCGCGCCTTCAATCCATAGGGTTCAGGGTTTAAGGTTTATAAAGTTTATAAGTTTAGGGATTCTAAGTGGGTGGAGCTGACGGGTGGATGAGAGCCCGAATTGGTCAGAAACGTCGGTGTTCGACATGGATGTTCTGGAAGTGCTCTTCTCGAATACCAAGCTAGTGACCTGCCTAGTGGCGTGAGGCTTAGAATGCAAGCAGGGGCCTCATATTCAGCAGGCTGAGAGCCTCTAACTCAGAACCCAACCTTCAGTCCTCTGCCCCCCCAAAAAAAGGTGTGAAGCCCTGAAGCATTTAGCGCTCATCTCCCTTTAGGGTTTAGGGTTTAGGGTTTAGGGTGCCCTGGCCATCCCTGGCCTCGACGGCTGCAATGAGGCTGCGCCGCATCGAGCGTGAGCAGCGAAGCAGAGAGTACCTCTCAAACCCTAAGCCCTAAACCCTAAACCCTGAACCCTAAACCCTAAACCCAAGAATAGGGGGATGCATACGAGCAGTAGCTGCTGAAAGGGTTTGGGGTTTAGGGCTTACCTTGACACCGTTTCTTCAAACAGTGAGTTCTGACTTTTGGAGTACCCGGTAAGGGATGGGCGAAGCATTGGCCCTCCGCAGAAGTATTTGCGGGTATGCGGAATCAAGGCGAGAAGACTCAATAAACCCATGACGATGGAGCTCTTTACAAAAAACAATCTTTGAACAAACCCTCTTTGTTTTACAAAAAACCCTCATTGCATTGCTTCTTCTTCTACAAAAGCCCTGAACCCACTTTGGGGGTTTATGAAAACCCTGTTTGCGCGCGGCGGTTGAAGACTACTATTTGATAATCCCTATATTAATCTATACTGCCTTATAAGGAAGAATATGTTTTATGTTTTGGGGGATTCTTAAGCAAATCGTAGAAGAGCGGAAGCGCACATCTCCGGCGTCACGACGCGCCGAGTCCGTCTCTCCAGCGGAACATGGCCTGCTTCAACGCACCAACGGGTTTAGGGTTTAGGGTTTCGGGCTTAGTTTAGGGTTTAGGGTTTGGGGTTTAGGACCCTCCAAATCTTGCAAAGTGAGCGGATGAACAAATCCGACGCTTGCGCATCTTTCCTACCCGACCCCCCTCCCCCCCCCGCGACCCTTCCATGGACCGGGCTACACATGACCAGCACACATATCAAACTCTCTGTGCAGCCCGGACCTACCCCAAAGAAGAGGTGGATGTACTCTACGGCAAAGGAGTGTTGAACCTCAGGTTGTCTGAGAGCGGCAGTTCCTCGCATCGCCATATTGGAAGTGGGCATCCGAAGCTGAAGCTAAGACTGGCATGGTTGCATGTGTTGCAAGCGCAAACACCCAGGGAGCCAAATACCCCTCTTTAAAGACTCTTTTTTGAGACTAGAGCATAAGTCGCAAAGAGGACCTCGAGATGATAAAACAGGTACATAATTGGTCAATTCTTAACGGTTTCGTTCCCTCTTGGCTTGCCAGAGACTGCCAGAATAAAATGAGCACTGCACCTGCACGTCCCAAAGCATGCTGGCCAGGCGACCGCCGAAATCCTCGGAACAGCCACCAGATGCTGGAAATCTTGCCTTCATGTTAAGCCTATGGGTGTCGGCAGGGTGAGACCTCGCAAAAAAAAATCCGAAATCCCCTTGAAACGCTTCGCCAGAGCCTTGCGGAGCCTTCAGGAATCTAATTGCGAACATTCCCATATCTTGACATGAATGACTCATCTTCCTCTATTCCATGTTGAACTGCCTTTATCGACAAGCACTAACTACTCTTTGTTTCAGAACCGAACCCCAAAAAAGTTATAATCCCCATATTGTCCGTATAACTCAGAATATTTGTTCTTTGGGGAGTTCTTAAGCTAATAGCTAATAGCGGCTAACGAAGTCTCTTGCAGCTGCAGCGCTGGCGGGCTGACTTCCTCGGCCAAAAGCACCTCTAGCTCGGTCCGCTCCTGCGGCGGGTCGTGAAAAGCTGCCTCTTTTGTGCTCATGTGAGAAGATCTAAGGAATGCACCTTACAGTATGTGGGATTCCGAAGGTAAGGTAAGGTAAGGTAAGGTGTGACCGCACAGCTGCACCCAGGAAGAGGGCTACAACAGCTGACTCTCGACACACAGCAAGGGGCGCGCCCACTTGTTGTCTACCGAAATGTGCAGGCAGCGTCATGGCGCAGATCTTTCACTGGCCACCGGGTGCTTGCACAAAGCTGCAGATCAGAAAAAGGCCAGTCGAAGGCACGCGCCCACGTAGTTCTGAGCTTCAAGCCACGTTTCTGGTGTGCCAAACAACGTGCGCAACAAGGCTATACTTAATGCCCTGCTCGGGCAGCCAGGAACCTTATTGCGGAAGGATGCAAAGGCTTCACACGTGCCTGCACACTGGCACAGTAGATGCCCAATGGAGGCCTCCGGTTCCCCACAAGCTGGGCACGTCAAGCGCAGCGGGAATTCTTTGAAACCGAAGAGCGGCAGAGGCCACCTCGCCGTAATGCGGACTAAACACCATGCTCGAAAATTGAACCACATGACATTGGGGGTTTCCAAATGAAAGATTTCCCAGTCCAAACTCAGGGTGTAAAAGCCCAAAGTTATCAGTGAGCACCCGAAGACTGGAATGTCATAAGACAGGCACTCAGCGAGATGTCTCCTGTCGTGTTCCATCAGTATTGGTCTGACGACTTCTTGGCGAAACTAAACCAGAAGTATACCCTATACCGTATTTTAAGGCTCTTCGGGTACATGTACATATGCCATGCAAGCTGAGGGCCTTGAAAACAGAACAGAGGGTCTGAACACCGTAGCACAGCAAGCCAGTGGCCCTGTGAGGTCTCAAGCCGCTGTCCGAATAGGGTTTAGACTTTAAGGTTTCTGGTTTAGGGTCTTCGGAAGTGGAACCTCCCAACAACGAACCTCCCAAGTCCGCAGCACCGTCCACGCCTTTGTGATGCGCCGCCTCTTTGCCGGGACAAGCTGCGAGTCAATCTCCCCCATCCCTGGCATGGCCATCGAGTTCTCGAGGTTGAAATTTCAGCTGCTGTTGAACAAAACCGGGAAACCAGAAGTGCTTCGCGTGCGAACAGACACACACACACACACCCTCTCTCTCTCCCTCCGCTACATCCGATGTCATGAAACCTTTGTTAAGGTGGTCCTACCAATCGTGCCGGAGCCCGAACCTCCGGCGCACGTTGCTGCCAAATCCTTGGAAGGCGATGCGCACAAAGGTAACTCCTTCAAGCACTGACAGACCATCGCAAAAACCACATGTCGTCACACCATGTCTGCATGCCTCTTCATTTGGTAGCCACACCTTAAATACCCCCTAATTAAACCGAACACTCCTAAGCCGCTAAACCCTCAACCCTATTAAAGATCAGTGCTGTTCTCAGCCGCGGTGCAGGACCCGCGAGCTCTCGACCGCCGGATCCGCAGGCTGGTAAAAAAGGTTAGACTGCAAAGCCGAGATGGGCACGCACGCACAATGAGGCAGGATAATTACTATAAACCATATAAACCCTATAAAACCCTTTTGTACCAGGAGTTGGTCCTCATGCCTGGAAACAACTCTCGGGCAAAGGCTACCCGATAAAACCCTCAACCCTAAACTAAACCATGTTCTAGACATGAGCGCCGCCATGCCACCTAATATCGTCGCCCTAGCATTAAACGCCCCCCCCCACCCGCTACTATTATGTATATCATTCGGGGGTAGGGGGGGGGGGTGTGGGGGCGGGGGGGCTAATATTAGGGGGAAGGGATGACTCACTCATGGTGGAAAAAAGTCTTCGCGGTTTTTCCCTGATGCTGTCCTGCGAGCTCTGGCTGGTCCCTCCCAGCCACAGACAATGGCGGCGAGGCTGCACAACATCCAGAAGTCTGATGTTTTGAAAAGCACGAGAACTGTGCCAAAACTTCGAACACTCTGCTGCAACGTAAGCAAACAGGTGAATCTGAATCTTGTTATACGGATTCTGCGAAACACGTCTGAAACACTTCTGTACTGAAACCCTGCAGCAAAGAAGCCGTATGGGCCCGGCCTGGAACTCACATGGACCATGACTCAGGATGTTCTGGCAACTTTTGGTGCCAGAACCGGGTGCTTACTGAGATCTGAGATAATGACTGGAGAGCCGGGAAGCATTGAAGCGGATGAGCGGAGCCCGAAACACTCTGAAGCCCTGGTACGCCGATGATCTGTCTATCCGCCCCTGCTAACTTCAGTAGGCGGCCCTGCTTTAGGATTCTTTGGAGCTTCTACTCCATGCGGTCCAGAAGCATGGTTCATGTGACCAACAGGCCAGACCATGGCAAGCGGTGTATGATGGTCCAGGTAGAGCACGAGCCTCATGTGCTGCCTTTAAATGCCCAAAAGCATGGTCTTGCGGCTGCATTTCGCACGATGCTGTAGCAGCCCAGCTAACCTTCAGTCTGCTTTGCCCTTTTGGACATGTCATGTGCAATCCTTCATGCTTTAGAGCAACCTCTACCCAGTCGGCGGTCGCCCTCGCTAGCCAAGGCTCACTTTCCGAAACGAGAGGCGACCGCCCTGGAAAAGAAAAGGGTGTTGATGGTTTAAAGATTCGCTTGCCTGCAAACCGCAGGGATGCTCATGTTCTCCCAGTCTCGGCGAACTCTGGGTTTAGGGATGCCGCAGCTAATGCAAGCCGAAAACACCCGGAACGCGTTGTAAGATTCTACGCTCCTCTCCTCCCGCCGGAAAGCCCGGACAAGCCATAAACCCTGCCCCGAAGAACTCTCAAACCCTCATCGCAAACTTCCATGACCCTGCAGTCCACATGTCGCATTTTCTGGCTGAACATATAATTGCAGTGAAGTCCCCAATCGATATCCGATAGCCTTTATGCAATGGGCCTTTGTTGGTTGTTGGCTTTGAGGGAGCATACGACGCCATCAGCCCCGACACAGCTTCGAGACGCTGAGCTGACTTTTTTTGGGCGAGGACGGGTCCCGATGAGAGTACAGGTTGGCACTATCCGCAGGCCCCACACGAAGAACAGTGACGCCGCCTGCACATTGTATCTCTCGAACTTGAGCTTCAGAAGAAAGCATGAATGGTGGGATGGCACACTATGGGGATGCATTGGGGATGCATGGGGCCACATGGCGGCATCACCTTGGAAGATCGGAGGCAGCATGACTCAAGGGTCCGAAGCCAGGAGTTCCAGGCTTCCTCCCTCTCCAGGAGCCGCCAAGCTCCAAGCTGCTCACCGCTTTCCCAATGTTCCGCCTGCGCTTCCTCAGCAAGGTTTAGGGTTTAGGGTTGAGCGTGAAGCCTGCTGCTGCAGAGAGGGTTTAGGGTTTCTGCTTTCGGGTTCAGGATTTCAGGTTGCGTGGGGATATGCAACAAGTCAGCTTGTGCCAAGTCGCCCTGCATGGAACCAGTAGTGTGCTTTGACCACCTCGGAACAAACGAGCATCGCTCCCTCGCCGTATATGGGGGTCTCCGAAGATAAGGTCTAATCGAATCCCCAGGAATCCCCCAAATAAGGGAAGTCGTTGCCTCGACGCTGACAGATGCCACCGTCTGCATCTTATCACAACTTCAATCCCAGCGCCCTGATCTTCACAAGAATTATAATACCTTCCTCCCACACCCAGTGGCGACGGTGAGAACTGACCCTCGTGCATCTGAAGTAAGCTTGACGCTTGTTCTCAAAAACGATGTTCTTGCCACCAACGCCGGAAGACTTCTTCCTCAGAGGGCCACGCACGCGTGGACACGCTTGATCCTGTAACACTGTAGTGGTTTCTCAGGAGCCCAAGACCACAGAACATGCAACACCTCCTGCAGAAACTGAACTGCTGAGACCTCCCAATGCACGCACCACAACCATGGATAATTTCAGGAGATTCCTTTTTGGAGTCCAAGGCACGTGTGACTACGGTTCTTGTTGCTGATGCAGACTCTGTCAGCCTCTTCCTTCGTCATCTTTCTGATGCCTGAATACAGCCATTCAATGAACCCTACCCACAGCTCTGCTGGAACAGCGACAGGTGTTGTGTGTGTGTGTGTGTGTGTGCGCGTGTGTGTGTGTGTGTGTGTGTGTGTGTGTGTTGGTGCGTGCGTGCGTGCGCGTGCGTGTGCGTGCGCGCGTGCGGGGAAGTTGGGTCAGCTGCTTCACCAAAGCCGTGAACGTTGCATTCGATTCCCCAGTTCCATCAGATGATGGTGCCACATCTGCTACTGTAAATGCTTGGCCATAGCGATCAATAATCTCGTGATTTTGCTTACGGCCACTTGCCATTCTCATGGTGGCACTGGGCAGAATTCTTGAAACAAGCGTCTTGGCATTCTGAGTCCAACGTATGTTGCCATTGATGAGCCGTCTACTGAACAGCGTCACAAGGCTAACCCATTCAAACCTCTGTGCCGTAAACCCTAAACCCTAGACCGTACCTAAATCCCTAAACCCTAAGATGCTGGCACCATGGGATGCTTCCCCGTATGCTAACATTCCTAATTTTGTACTAGAAAGGGGGGGGGGGGGGTATTCTTACTAGCAGTCCTTAATAGGGATAATAATAGGGGGTACTATAATCCCTACTAAGGATATCCTACTATCCCTTTTCAGGATACTATTTTTTGGACATTATAATGGGAGGGAAAGACTTTAAAGAATAATCCCGATTCAGGACTCTTAGGATAAGGGAAACAGCTCCCAGCTGGCACTTGTGCAAGCAAGCCTTGCCTAGACCGCGTCGGCCCTGCTTGCTTCGCCAGCCAAGGATGCCTCCAATGCTAGGGTTTATAGGGCTATAGGGTTATAGGGTTATAGGGTTTAGGAGTATAGGGTTTAGGGTTATAGGGTTTAGGGTATTCAGGCAAGGCATCAACTAGCAGCACGAGCTTGGCAACTTACGGCAGGTCATCTACAGCTGTGTAGCATCTTCACATACAAGACCGGTCACGCTTTCGAAGCATTCCTCTTCTTCCTACCCCCCCTCCCCCCCCAAACCCAAAACCCTAAACCTTATAAGCCCTAAACCCTAAACCCTAAACCCTAAGCCCGAAGCCCTAAGCCCTAAACCCTAAACCCTAAACCGCACCCGAGACCTCCCCAACTGGCCTCCGATCTCGCAGCCTGGGCCAGGATCAAGTGAAATGTCGACCTGCCAGTCTGGAAAACCTTTTGTTTTCTTTTTTTATGCTGCATACATATATAGCAAAAGGAATATATACAATGTCACATAAGAAGTAGTGTGTGTGTGTGTGTGCATTTTTTGATACACTATGAACTTGATGTCATAAAAACCAGCAGCTTCTTGGCGAAGACTTGGAGCATGGTTGAGCACAGGGTGAAGAATTGCAAAGGCTGGAGAAACATTGTAGGGTCCTGAAGGGAGGGGGCGGTTCATGGGGGGGGAAGGTGCGTCGGGAACCTTAGTGACTTTAATTTACATCCCCCTCCCATCAAAACAACTACGCCAAGCAAAACAATGGGTTGGAGATTTTTTTCCGTGCGTTGAACTGGCTGCAAGAAGACCGGGTTAAGATTCCGACAAGCGGCTCCCTGAAACAGGGACACGAATTTTGAACAACTCCGATGTAAAGTGCAACGTACGCGGCTTGTCTGAAGTATCGTGACTCACGTGACTATTTGCAGTACGGATTCCAAAATCATTTAACTGCGAATCCTAGGAACTCCCCCTTGGTTCTATCTTTGAAGTGCTGGGAAGCCCGCGCCGCCGCAAAAGCCTGGCGGCAAAACCCAAGGTCGGCGCAACAAACGCCCTAAACCCTTTTTGCCCTAAACCATGCAAGACGTCCTTGATGAAGCGCTCGCCCTTGCGAGTTACCACCTCAGACAAGTTCTCAGGATGTTGGACGTTGCAGAGGGTCGACGCAGACTCCAGCATGTGCCTACACCGCAGTATATGTATATATATATGTGTGTATATATATATATTCTCTTGCTTGCGTATATGTGTATTATACGTACATGTATATAGAAAAATTCAAGAATGCTAGCGCCGAGGATGTGGATGCGCGAGCTTGCAACAACAGGTGGTGCCCAGGCTTCGATCATTCCAGGAGAAATCTTCAGGCATGTGGTACCCTAAGGCTCCAGTGACTCGTATTTTAAGGTTTTTGGGCCCAAAGGCCTTGTGATGACAGGTTATTGGGTCATTTTGAACCTAAGGGCGTCAAGGTGCAGTGTTGTCGCGGAATCTTTCCTGCTGGCCCTTGCGGTCGGCAAGCTGGCGCACCCCCGCAAAGAGGTTTTTTGTCTTCCTCGAGGCGGGCGAGGTTTAGGGTTTTAGGGTTTACAAAGGGTAAGTTTAGGGGTTTAGGTCTGATTGCTTCTGAGACAGTAGGAACAAACAGCTCACACCGTATCCTCCCTGAGCCTTGTCGCCTCTGCCTCAAAGATGAATAGGAAGGCGCAAAACCCCACACTGATCTGGTAGTTTAACCTCCACTTGTCCAGCAAACTATAGAACAATGTAGCCGAAAGTCTTCGACAACTTCTCATCCTGCCTTTGCACGGCGTACCTGTGAGAAAGGGCTCCATTCCAATGTCCCGTCGTGTTTGCTTCTGCTGCTGAGATCAACGTCAGGCTCTTCTGCAATGATCCAAGACTGCATGGGTCGCTGGGGATTTCAGCCACAAGTCAATCCCGACCTAGCTGCCCAAGCTGCTGCACAGGCCTGGCAAAAAGATCTCTCTTCTCTTCGGCAGAGAGCTGCTGGAGGTGGGATCCTGAACAACAGAAAAAAGGCGTTCGTTTTTAAAGAGAACACATGCATGAACTGATGGGTTCGTCACTCTTGCGCTAAACACTCACACTTTTGAGGTCGCGACGGCTGAGTGCAGAAAGTGTCCCATGTGCTGACATGCGTCGTGGTGGCAGAACAGGCGCAGAAGACGAGCTTGCAGATGCTTTGGGCGTCGATGCCTCTTCTCCATCGCACCTCATGATTCAAAGCAACAGAGAACGAGATTGCGAAAGCATTCTGAAAGACCATGGTGCTCTCTCTCTGCATATATATATATGTCTGTATGCAGCATGCACTTGTTCTGCTGTCATCGTATGAATAAAAAATTTTAACTATCGCAGCAACGGGCATGCAGCTGAGCCTGAACACTCCAAGCGCCGTGCGGGACGCCCATCATGCTGCAGTTGAAGTCTAGGCCCAAGCCGATGAAGTCGATCTTGGCGATGTGAGTTGCCTTTGACAAGCGATGCCAAGACTTCAAGGCAGGGCCGGCAACTAAAGCTGGGTACGCGCAGGCAGGCAGGCCAGCGGGGCATTCAAAGGTGCGTGGACAACCGCAAGGTGAGGGAAAGGAATGACAGTGTAATGAGGGTTGCGAGGGGGGCGGGGGGCGGGGGGGGGGGGGGGAGGGGGGGGGGGGGGGGAGGGGGGGGAGGAAGGGGGAGGAAGAGGGAGGGAGAAGGAGGGAGAAGGAGGGAGGGGGAGGGGGAGTGTGTCCAGCACTGCTATCAGATCAGCAGCAGGATTTAACACACTCGACAGCGGTCTTATCGACAACGCAAAGCCAACTCTCAAAAACATGACAGGTTTTGGAAACGTATATTGTGGGAACACTGGGCCAGGTGCGCCGCAGGCTTCACAAACCGCCACGAAGACTTCCTGGCGTGCATGCAGGCAATCGACAATCAACAGACGTTGCGTAGTGTCACATTGTTGCGTTGTGATTCAAGGCTCTTGGCACGGACCGCCTCAAGCTAAGCCTCATACGTGCGTGAGCAAACCGAAGCCTCCTCCTCCTCTTCCTCCGCTGCTTCCTCCTCGTCCTCTTCCGCCAAGTCCTCGTCCACCTCGCCCGGGTCCTCTTCCTCATGTTCAGGGGTAGAAGGAGCCCCCGAATAACCCCAAAATAACCCCTAAGGTCCCTTATCAGGGTTCCTCCTTTGGTCCTCTTCCTCGTGGCCAAGCCGGCCCTAACTTGCACCAAGCTCTCGACAAATGCCCACAAGAAATTCTGGAGGGCATGAACAAGCAGCTCTTCTGAAATCGTGTCGGAAGAGCTGGCAAAAGCAAGCTGGGACAACGCAGCGAAAAGAAGCTTGGCCCCAAAATGCTGCAAATCTCGGCCTCGAGACATAGGGATGCCCTTTTGCTACGCCCGCCCTAGAGTGGCCTCGTCGTCCTGGCCGCAGCGTCTCCCAAGGTCTGCGCAGCAGAAGTTGTCACCGAGTTCGCCTTAAAGCAGCTTCGTGCTTCTGAGTTCTGGCTGTTCTGGCTATCTCAAATTACCTGCTGAAACGCTCTTTAGCCCGATGACACGCTGGAAGGACAACCTGTCTGAGAAGGATGCGATGCTATTCCTAATTCTTCATTCATTTCAAGCAATCGACTGTCCGCTGCATGGAATTCTTGCTAGTAGATGATCTTGTAATAAAGTGAATATGCAGCCATGCTGCTGACATCCACATTCCTGACAGCTTGGAAGAACTACAAATCACCGCTTGGTATTCATGCTGACATGAACTGCAAACCGTATCAGTGGCTCTACATTCTTGGCAGTAGACCTTTCAGGCACACTGATTGCTTTAGCTGCAATGTACTCCGTGCACTTGTGGTTGTCCGAAATTTCTCCGAGTGTGGGTCACGAGCCGTTCGTGCTGCGTCCATTCACACGGAAGTCCGCCACCACTCGGTACTGCCGCTCGGCGATGGTCCGTCGGTTTGCAGCCGCCACACGCACAACGTTGCAGGTCCGCTGGTGGCGCCGACAGGCATCCTCAAGTGTCTTGCAAGTGCGCTCGCAGGCAGGAAGCTCCCAGTCCGCAGCGAAGTCGTACCAGTGGCAGACCCCATTCTCTTGCAGTAGAGGCAGTAGGGCATCCAGGAACTCGGCGCCCCCATCCCCCAGGTCAACATCGCCATCGCCTGGATTCTTAGGCCTGGGTGCCAAGATTCGGTGGTAGTGTTGCCTTGGCAGAGTTCCGGCGAGCTCTCGCACGTCCCCTTCCAAGACACGGGCACGGCCATAGTTCGTGCCATCTGAGCTTGAGAGGTGCATCATCTCCAGGCTGCGTCGAAGGCAGCGCATGGCAACCGTGTTTAGCTCCACGGCCACAACTTCTTCGGCCTCCGTGTGGGAAAGCAGCTGCAGGACCTCGGGACCACAGCCAGCAAAGGCAACGAGAACTCGCTCGTCCTTCTGCACTTCCTGGCAGAGGCGCTGCCGCTCACTGGCCAGGCGTGGGGAGAAGAAGCATGCATCCAAGTCAATGACCATCCGAACCCCGAACTCCAGGTGTGTCGTCCTAAGTGGCCGAGTCACTGCAAACAACAAGTTGCTAGACCATGTCTTGGCATTTTGCATAGCCGCGACACATGTGCGTTGGAAATTCAATACAGCCGAGCAGTCTGCAACAACAAGGTTGGCAATCCGAGCAACATCAGTGGAGATCTAGCCCGCCCGGCGATGACCTCCATGGCCTTGGGCAGGATCTTAACGGTATCCCAAAATGACTGTCTTCGAATCCGAAGATGGACAGCAAACAACAACAAGCCCGTCTCTCAGGGTGCCTGTGAGGGAGCTCGCAGCTCTGTGGCGTAGTTTGCCTTGAGCGCCACAACTTTGACGCGACGGTCCTGAAGGGGCCGTCCGGCAGTGGGCATGTCCGGGCACGCCACACTGCGTTCACGGCCCAGCTAGAAGCATCCATCATTCACAGTGAAAGTTCTGGGGTTTAGGGTTTAGGGTTTAGGGTTTAGGGTTTAGGGTTTAGGGTTTAGGGGGAGAAAATCACTGTCCTGCTTTAGGATGGCTGCACCCATGGCCGCCAGATCCTCCCCTTGTGGCTTCACATTCCTTGATGGTACGGGCATTGGTTGGAACGCGCAGAGAGCAAGAAGACGATCTTGGCAGTCTATTCTTCAAAGTGCTGTCCAAAGCTCACCACCGCAATATCACCCACCACATCGAAGTGCTTAGTCTCCTACAGGTCCGAGCATAAGAAAATCTAAATGATGGTAACCCATTGGCCCTGATACAAACGTATAAACAAATCAATAAACAAAATAAAGAATCTATATATGTGTGTGTATACATTATATATATATATATTAGCTGGGCGTGGGAGCGTACGCGCAAGTCCGACGCGCCTGGGACCTGCGCTGAAGAGGTGAAGAGGCTTTGTGAGTTTGGGCTGTGGTTGCGCGCGTGGGGGGGAGGGCAGGTGAGGTGCAGCTGCCAGCCGTCCCGTACTTCAGCTTGCTCCACAGTCTAACTACGTTGCGATGTCCGCAATCCATCCCTAAACCCTAAACCCTAAACCCTAAAGCTTAAACCCTAGACCCTATAAACCTTAAACCCCTTTTGCATCCGGGTTAAACCCTAAACCCTAAACCCGAAACCCTAAACCCTTCATGCTGAACATCTGTCTCTCCCCCTCGTCTCCTTCTCCTCCGCTGCCTCCTGGAGACAGAGCTCCGAGGAGGGTGGGGGATCCTCGCAGGGACGGAAGACTGCGGTTTAGGGTTAGGGTTTAGGGATGAGGGTTAAGGGTTTAGGGCTTGGGGTTGAGGGTTTGGACGCTCACTCTCGCACAAGGCTGGCACGCTTCATGCTTCCACCGAGTCAGACAAGTGCATGTCGGGTTTAGGGTTTCTGTCGTTGCATGTTGATATATCATGCTGCAACGATTGGCTTCCTGCCTCGTGTTTTGCAAGTAGTGAGGCTGAACGCCTCTGATCGCAGCAGAAGGCCCTGGTTCCGGCATGATAATCCATTCCCCCTAATATTAATACCCCCCCTAATATAAAAATCCCCCCGGCCCCAAATACCGATCCCGGGTCTGTCCCTATTAAAACCTCTACAGAGTTAGGGGGGGATTAGGGGGGGGTGGAGGCCCTAAACCCTAAACCCTAAACCCTAAACCCTAAACCCTAAACCCTAAACCCGAAACCCTAACCCTAAACCCTAAACCCTCGACCCTAAACCTAACTAAACCCTAACCCTGACCCCTCGCTACAATAAGGACGGGCTGGTTTCTCGGACAAACGATAAGAACCCCCCCTAATGCTAAAAACCCTTCGGGGGTTTTTATACAAGGGGGGGGGGGGGGGGGGGGGGGGGGGGGGGGGGGGGCCTTTTATATTAGGGGGAACGGATTAGTAAGGTTCATGTTTGGATAAGCTCAATATGCAGCTTAGCAATATAATTGTGCATGGCAGCAGAAAGTGGTGATTAAAAGAGCATACTGAAGGCAGTGCTTTTCTGTGAGTTATGGAACCCAGAACGCAAACAAGGGGACAAAAGGGCACCGTCTTCCTATAGTGCAGCTTCCAGCAGTTAACCCGCTCCTGTAGCTGCCGGAGAGCCGCAGTGAAGCGATCAATCTTCCCCCAGTTTCGGAGGTGCCGGCTGTTGACCAAACTTTGGAGCCATGCATCTTGTCCCTGAAACAAGGGTATCCCGGTGGGTCCTGTGAGGGGCATATCCAAGCCCTCATCTCCCCATATGGCAACAATCAGCTTGGCCTCCTTCGCATCGCCCCAGCCCTGTAAGCCCACGTTCTTGAAGACTGTCCGGGCCGCAGCCATGAGAGCAGCCGCTGCTACAAGGTCACGACAGCACACCTATACTCCCCTTAGAACCTTAATAAAAATGATATGCTCAATATCCTCTTAGGTTTTATATAAACAAAAATGAAAAATAATTCCCAAGGGGGATATAGACACATGGAGGATGAAGGGCTCGAAGCGGAGCCAGTAGCAGGCCTCGGTCTCATCTAGCTTCGCCTCTGCCAGCTCGGCTCTTTGTGGCTGCTGGTGCCTTCGACCCAGCTGCTTCGGGGAACGCCACAGGGCCGCCAGCGCAGCAAAGCAGCCGCTGCTTCCATGGGCAGGCGTGTAGCTGCGACCCTCCAATGTACTTAGATCGAAATACGCAGAGGCGTCCTCCACCAGGTCATGCGTTACTCTCCACCGACTGAAGCACTCAGTGCTCTTGACGCCATCCCCACGCCAGATGAAAGCGCGCCCTGCACAGCTCGAAGTGGTGAAGAAGGCCGGCCGGAGGTTCAACTCCGCGCAAACCTCGCGCGCCTTCTCGTCGATCTCTCCGGCGCTGGATTTGTCACACTTGGCCAAGAATGTGCGCTTTCGATGCTCGAATCCTTGAACGGCAGCCATTGCTAGCTACTCTCAAGACCCCTGCCTCTGCATGCGAGACATTTCATCCTTTCAGATGGCAGTGTTGCTGCTTCTGTGCTCCATCCTGGGATTTACCGCCTATATGGGCCTTTCCCAAAAAAGGGGGGGGGGGGGTCCCATATGGTGCATGTACAAAGCGGGCTGGGAGCCAAAGCTACCGAATTGAATGTGCCGCCGGCCTTTGAGAGTACTTCCCACCTGTGATGAAGGCAACTGAAGGTCATGTGCATTCCACCCTAAACCCTTTTTCCATCCCCAAAACTGAAACCGTAAACGCTAGACCAACCCCCAATAAATATCGTTCGCAAGATTTATGTCGTATAAAGCTCTCTGGGGTGCTCTCCAGGGATTACATGTGTCCGGACATACTCGGCAGGATCACATTGATGCGGTCCCCCGGAATTGTGTTAAGTGCTTCGGGCTTAGGGCTTCGGTTTAAAACTTCACGAGCTGACAGTCTAGAACCAATCCTCCGCCACAACCCGGAATCTCGACTGTAGCTCCCAGACCCATTACCCTCCCTCGCCGCCCCCCCCCCCCCCCCCCCGCCCAACGTTGACTCAAGCAAGTCTAAGCGTCAACCCGTTTCAGGCAGGTCTGCGCACCATTGCCTGCCTCTACAATTCCCTGAACCCTATAAACATTATCTGATCCACATCACGGCCCAGATTCAGAGAGTAGGCCACGCCACAAAGGATGCAGTGAGCAGTGTGGCGAGATCCATCCGGCTCGGCTTCCGTTGCCTTCGGGGTCATGGTTCGATATGCATGGGTTGAATACCCACAAGGTCCCTGCACCTTGTCTTTCTATACCTGGGCCCCAAAGTCGTTATATGGGAACCCAGACCAGTGGAGGATCCAAAAAATGGATCCCCTTAAAGGTTCCTAAAAATGACCCCATAGTAGTATAGGGTACTATTTGGGGGTTCTGTTTTTTGGATTCTCCCAAATGGTCTACTTTAAGCCCCAAGTATTCCCTATCTAGCGGCGCCTCAGCTTCAGCCAGCAGTTGGGTGGCGATGATCGTCTCGTCCTCGCTGCCTTCGGCAGACATACATCGGACGTCCCAAACGTCCCTAAACCCTAAACCCTAAACCCTAAACCCCTTCTTTAAGCAGCAGGCTGTCGTCCGATGCCTCTGGCCAGTGCTCCTGACATGAGATGGGCTTGAGAAGGCACAAGGAGTCGCATAACGTGTCCAACATTGACCGTCTGGCCAAAGAAACACTCACTGCTACGCCCCGTGCCCAACTCCTCCGGACTTTTGCTGGTAGTCTCCTCCATCTTGCTCTGCCCTGCCCAACTGAACTCAGTCACTATTTGACACTCTATTTACCATGGCAGTTGGTGAATGACACACAACTCAAAGTCACACTGTGACTTTGCGGCTTCTTGGTCGGCTTAGTTGCTCATGCCTGACAGGTCCTTGAATTAGAGCACATCGCATCGTTTCACAGCATGCTCCATGTTTGTTGTATCGTGAGGAATAACGGCTTTTAGAACATTCAGAAGCCGCTCCTTCATGTGTGAGGACACGCCTCTATTGATCCCCGGACTCCTGTCTACAGGGTACCCAAAAACACAAAAGGAACCCTAAACCCTAAACCCTAAACCCTGAATCACATCCAAGCCTGTGGCACCTCTCCAGCTGCGGCGTGGCTCAGCGGCCTCGTCCTGGCTTCTCTCCCAGCCCAGTCCTAACCCAGCTTACATGCTTCTTTTTATTCTTAGTCTTGAACTATTCTTATTCTTATTCGTATTCTTAGTCCTATTCTTCTTCCCCACCTTCGGTGTGGGGTTGTTAGATTTTAAACTCAACTCTTCTCCTCGCCCGGTCTACTCCTAGAGCCTCCCTGAGTGCCCAACCCCAGAGACTCCTGGAGTGCCCAACCTGGAGTGCCCGAAACTCCAAATCCCTAAGGTGGGGATGTTCGAAGAGAAATAATTCGTTGTTTTTATTGCTATTGTTAGTACTGTTGTTCGTAATTATTGTTCTTATAACTCTAATCGTTATTGTTCTTATTCTTTGTCTTACTCTCATCACGACTACGATTATTGTTATTTGAGGAGAGCTGCTACAAGTGCAACTTCTACCGTCTTGGCCCTACGTGCAAAGTGGAAAGTGCTTTTGGTGTCCTTGTCTGCGGCCTCCCGGATAGGACCACACCTCGTCATCTCAGTTGGGTTTAGGGTTTAGGGTTTAGGGTTAGGGTTTAGGGTTGAAACAGCTTTGGCCTTGAACCTGCATGCTTCCACTGCGATCGGCCCACGGTCGGTAGACTGTTGCAGAGATTCATCTTGCGAAGTGGCAACGGAAAACGAGGCAAGCATCAGCATAAATTATGGCGGTGCAGCTAAGCTGCCCTGAGTGATGCCAGCGATGCGCATCTGGTGCAGACCGCGTCTCCTGTGGGGCCTCCTCTGTCTGAGCCGGTAGGGGCTTGTCACCTCCTTTCCGAGTCAGGGCCCCGTGACCGGCGATGTTTTCCGGCGCGGACTGTCCCAGAGCTTCTGCTTCATCCGGCCAGACAAGTGGCTCCTCCTCTTCGTGCTCGACAACTTTGCCTGGCTTGGCCGCTGAACCTGTGCTCCTGCTCTTGGGGGGATCTGCTCCGACCTCAGTAAATGGCCAGGCAATGCGCTCGACATTCGCAGGCAGCGGAAGTCCAAGATGAGCCCGGCACCTCCTCCGCCTCGTCTCGAGCATCGGCCCAGCAGTTGGAGCTGGCACGCAACCGGGGGACCTTGCAAGTACATGTGCACAGTACATGCACAGTCCATCTAGCGGTTGCATCTGCACTCGCAAATGGCCTTCAAAGCAAAGTCTGAAAGGATAGGTCTGACAGTTTTGGGGTGCTAGCAACGGTCCCTCCAAGCAACTAACCGAGTATTCCGAGGACCGCGGTCCTCATGTGATCCCACTGTTCGCTAAGATTTGGTGCGTTGGCGGAGAGCGCTTGGGGATACCATATTCCGAAACGAGGCGTTTACTGCCTCTACTCCATCAGCCCTTTTCACTGGTACTAGAGCAATTCGTACCCAGAAACCGAAGGAAGATGTCTGCCTCAGGCCTCTAACCCTAAACCCTAACCCTAAACCCTAAACCCTAAACCCTAAACCCTAAACCTCTAGGCCAACCGCATACAGGGTGGCTACTCTGCCAGCGAGGGGCCCAAGCTGGAGAGCTGGCCGGCGGCAGCCTGGGCTGAGGCAGCCCTGTACCCAAACAAGATGGGGTTAGAGCACGGTTAGGGTTTCGCGGTGTTTAGGGGTTGGTGTTTAGGGCAGGGTTTTCTGCAAGCACACTCTGCAGCAGCAGGCTTCAGGGTTTAGGGTTTAAGGATGCATTGCTGGCCGAACCACTCAGCAAGAAATCCAGGTGCACCACGACTGATTGAGGGATTCGTCGGTTTGCCATGGCCAGTACTTTTGAAGCCACAGACGATGACAACTTCATGTTGCGCTGTTTAGAGGTGGGGTCTAGACAGGTAAGAAACCCGGCTTAAGCAAGGTAGAGTGGCATTGGGGTGGGGCGAGTTATGGCGAGCTTGGTTTTTAAGGCCTCGCGCCTCGGACAAAAAAACAATGCGGGCGGCGCCCCTTTCAAGAACGGCCCGAGAGCTCTGCTTCAAACTAGGGCTGCTCTTTCAGGTTCGCTCTTGGCCGGCGGTTGCTGACTCCCAAAAGCTTGGAGTTTGGGCATCCCAACCCCTGCGGGGCTTAAACCTTAAACCCTTTTAAGCACGGACTGAGGAGGCTGCCGGCAACACCTGAAAGCAGGGCCTCCTTGCCTTTTGCAAGGGTTAAACCCTAAACCCTAAACCCTAAACCCTAAACCCTAAACCCTAAACCCTAAACCCTAAACCCTAAACCCTAAACCCTAAACCCTATAAACCCTAACTCACAGCCTGGAGGCGTTGGAACGCTCATGGATGGCGCTTGGAGGTGGTCGTCTGCATGCAGGCACTGCTGAGGCTCCATCTCGTCCTCTGGGCCATGTCCCGCAACCCTAAGCTTTAGGGTATAAGGGTGTCCCCCTTGAACTAACAGTGCTTTATAGGGATTATAAAAGGGGGTACTGTAATCCCTATTAAGGACTGCTAGGAAAAGAGGGGGCATCCCAAGGTAGAAGGAGGGAAGAAGGGACCCTTAATCGTCTTCCCCTATACAACCCCTATATATATATATACATACACACACCTGAAACATCCCTATATACCTAAGTAGCCCCTAAGTATCCCCCAAGGTTCTTTAGTCCCTTGATAAACCCGCCAGGTTTCCCTCAAAATTCAGGCCTTTTTGGGGAGACTCAAGCCTTTATTAATAAATTAACGTTATTTAAGGGGGGGAACCTAGGGGGGGTAGTATACAGGGGGCTAATAGGGGAACCCATGATAAGCTGAACATGCTGACTACCAGACACCCCAATTGCCTTGTTGACCCTATTCCCGCCCCCCCAACTAAAGCCCCAAGCCCCGCTACTAAACGCAGGTGAGTGGAGATATGTGCGTGCAGCCCAGAATGATTCCAAAACACCCGACGGTTTCCGAAGGAGACGAAAGTCTGAACTTCCCACCGCAAACAGTGTCAAAATCTGAGTTTGCATAACCAGGCTTACAAAGGGTTTGCAGGGGTTATAGGGTTTATAGGATTCATAGGAATTATAGGGTTTAGAGGATGTTTTATATAATTACCCTGAAGCCCCTCAACCCATCACCCCAGCCACACAACGAGCTCCTCCCAAGCCTCCTCCAACTCCTCGCAAGTGGACCTCAGCTGTAGGGTTTTGTTGCCGTGCGCCCAGCACTCGCGCACACCGCGGGAACTACTTCAGAGGGTCTCAACTAGATGACGATACTGTCAGAATACTGTCTCGCCGGCTAGAGGCAGGAACAAAAAGACCACCATGACCTCCATAGCTATAGGGCTCAGGGTTTAAGAGGGCCAAAGCTTCACTGTAGCATTCGCAGTGCCTTGTCGAAGCAGCATGGAAGGAGACGACGAAGTGAGGTTCGATTGAGCAAGGCATCATGCAGTTTGCTAGCGGGATGCTGCAAAATCTGCCATTCGTTGTCCTCCTCGGCGTTTTCATCCTCCGCTGCTTCCATGTCCTCCAGAAGCTGTGATGCTTGAGGCTCCCTGGTGCCATGACGTTGAAGTACTGCCTTTTGCCGACGTTCGACCCTCTCAAAGACTTCACATTTTGTAAACCGTTGTTTCCTCAGTGTTGTTGCCAACTGTGCTCCATGGTGCTCCAATGGTCCAATCTAGGGCACGGCCAAAAACAACGGCACTTTACTACATCCAGTGAAAGCAGCGGCCTCGTCAGCGGACTCCGCCACCTGAGCAGCTTCGTCAGCCTCCTCGGCATGAACAAGGAACCCAAAATCAAGGCGGTGATGGAAACTCTACACCCTAAACCCTAAACCCTAAACCCTTTTTTTATGGCTAGGACTGCTGCACTGCCTCTAAACCCTAAACCCTAAATGCTGAACCGTAAACCCTAAACCCGAAATCCTAAATGACCCTCAACCCTAACCCGCGCTGGAGTCCGCCTGTGTACTGCTTCAATGCCCTTGACTGCCTAAATGCTCCTGACTGCCAAGAGACGATCGGACTCGGGTAGCCTTAGGCGAGGGCATGGCACCCTAGCATACTGTGAAGTGCTGAGAAAATAAAAACTAGGAGCGACGCCCACCATCCTGTGGCTAAACTTCGCAGGCTTCATCCCAAACGGCTAAAGGTCAAAAGGGGGCCAGGCTTACGAAGCAACTTGAAAACTACCTGCCCAAAGTGAGAAACTTCAAGCCTTACAGCAGATGCTCCAGGAGCCCAGAACTCAGATGGGAGGCTTGCGACGGTGCGCCCCAAAGGGGATGTGGTGTCCGAAGGACCTGGTGCATGTCCCCAGGGCTGGTAGCTCGCGGCCATACGCGTTCCATGATCATTCAAGAAGTCTTTCTTTCAGCTGCTACTGATACACTAAGCAACATCCGACGAGGCAAAATCTATAATTAGGGCATGCTGTTTTGGATTTCTAGCATGCAAGCGTGGTCTGCGTATGCCGGGCTGTTTTCTGCAACTGGAACATGTCGAAGTCCATGCTGCCAAGGGCTGGTGGCCAGCGCTGGCTTACAAGCGATGCTACAACAAACACAACAAACCCAAACCGACGCCAAATTCTTCACAACTTCCCACCGTGAGCAGTTTCCGAAAATGAGACTGCCCGTTTTTCTGAGTTATGCTTCTGTGTCCTTCTCGTACATGCAGCCAAGTGGCCCATCTTGTTGCCTAGGTTTTCGGTTTCATTAGCTTGGCGTTGTTTTGGGCCACCCTGCCTAGATGGCATGCCACTCCACATGGGCACCAGCTTAGCATCCTCGACTCTCACAACCCAGCTCAGCATTTAAGGGTTTCAAGAGAAGACTTCGGTGGTGATCTGTTAGGTGCTTATAGGGGGTCTGCAAGAATCAGCGCGAGATGGGGGCACAGAGAAGCCAACATCTTGGCATGGAGAGCCACCTGCAGGACATTCTCGCTCCCCACGCCACCAGACTTCCTGCCCTGAAGAATTCCAAGTGACCCCTACCAGCTTAGCTGCCCGTCTGCCTACTTTTTTCAGTCTCCCAGCAGACTGGGCCTAGACTTAGACTCTTAGACTTGTTCTACCAGGAAACAGAAACCCTAAACCCTAAACCCTAAACCCTAAACCCTAAAACCCTAAACCCTAAACCCTAAACCCTAAAATCTATAGAACATCACTGCGGGCTTGCGGCGGCCCACTTTGCTGGTTCCGGGCTCCAGTGAAGCGGGCATCACGCCGGCCCTGTCACATGTCGCGCGTGGCTGTGGGCTTCTGTTTTGGGTTTAGGGTTTAGGGTTTAGGGTTTAGGGTTTAGGGTTTAGGGTTTAGGGTTTAGGGTTTAGGGTTTAGGGTTTAGGGTTTAGGGCACTTGAGGGTGCAGAGCATCGTCGCAAAATCCGGTGTCATCACCATGGTGAGGGTCCCAAGAAACAAACCAACCCCGACAGGGCGGCACCTCCGACAGCACAGACCGATCTACTGATTGCTTCAGAACCCCCAAAAAATAGAACATAATCCTCCTTATAAGGGCAATATAGGAATTTTCATTCTTTGGGGGGAGGGTTCTTAAGCAACTAGTAGCACTATAATTTTATGAAGCTTCTGCCTCCAGATCCGCTTCTGTGTCACCACATGCTCGTTATTCAAGAACATCTGCTCCACGTTCCAATCGCCTGTCGAAGGGTGTGTGCTACGTGTAATGGACGTGGGGCGTCTCGGTGCGCACCAAGGTCGCTATAGGTGTCGTGCCACTTTTGCTGTCGTACAAATTCACACATCGCAGCCATACATACGAATGACTCAAAGCCCCCGTGGGGCTTCCAAATCTCATTGCAAAGTTGTTCTCACATGCGGCACCTTGTTGGTAGGAGCAGTCACCAAAGGTCTCGAAGTTCTTCTCGTCACACTGTGACTCTTCGCCCTTGGCAGACTCATCGGGGCTCTGATAAGGCTTGATTCTCTCTGAAAGTGCCTCAAAGCTCATGGAATGATTGTGGGAATGCACCCTCTCGCCACTCAGCACACTTGAATCACACACGCCCTCTGGCCTCACGCTGCTCCATCTGCATGAGCAAGAACCTTGAGGATCGACATGGAAATTCCGGTTAGGTGGTTAAGGTGCAGCTGCAAGCGTATGTGAGCATGAAAGCAGAAAGAGCATGTGAGCTGGTCTCCACTTGACGCTCACCATCGCACATGGGATTGGCCTCAAGAAGGACCTGTATTCCGGCACGAGGAACTTAGAATGCCACAAAGCGCGCAATTTGGATCAAGCGCCCTGCGTTGACAAGCAAACGTGCCGGGATGCTCGTCGGTGCTGAAAGCCATTGGGCCGTTCCCGGGTTCTCCAGGCAGCCTCAGAGATGAGCTCCCCCCCAGAGAAGACGATGTCCCCTAACAGACCCTGAATGTGAGGTAGGGGGTGTTTATTGGCATCCCAAAGAGGGCACCCCATATAGGCACCCATCAAGAACAGCAATACAAACCCTTCGTGAGTCTGACCGGATTCAGGTTTTGAAGGCGCCAGTAGAGGTCAGCTCCCACAGAAAGAAGTCCTCTCTTTCGCCGGCTTTGCTAAGGGCTTCAGGGTGTTTAGCGCTTAGAGGCTTAGAGGTACGCCGAACGTTTAGGCTACCGCCAAGTGACACCTGCGCCGACCAGTCGCTAGAGATCTCCTTTGACCTTGGTTGCGCTGGTCATTCCAGCATCCTCAGAGTCTGCACGACACAGAATTATCGAGGAAGTACAGCTGGAAGATCCTGCCTGCGACAAGTTCCGGTACTTCTAGAGTCTAAAAACCTTCAATCCATAGCTTCCGCTGTCTCAGCCCAGAGTCTTTGACAGAGCTTTTGCACCATACGCTGCGGAAGTGTATTCCGCTTCAAGACATGAAACATGCTTGGCCAAATTGCAGAGGAGGAGGTAAACCAAGCTATGCCTCAATTCATGTCCACAAAATCGAGCGGCTCGACTGCGCCCTTTCGACGCTCAGCCCGGCCCATGGTTTCCTCCTGGTCAAGAACAACCATCCCCTTCGAGGAGTTCCGGCCGCCTTCCTATCTGACCTGTGCCACACTGTCCGGCACACGCCATGGCCACTCGCGCAACAAAAAAAGGCATGTCTCAAACAAGTTGCCTCTAGAGGAATAGATCTATTGCCTCACAAACAACAAGACGTAGTTCTGATGCCGCACGCAACGTCCTGCGCCTTCTTCGTCTCTGCACGGCTGCGCTCGGCCAACGCAGCCTCGCGAATGCGCTACGAGCGGATTGGGCCGCGGCAGGCTCACAGCGCAAACAGGATCAGCTTAAGGCTCTTAAGATAATCTATCTTCCAGCAATGCCATTCCCCACGGAGCTATGAGTCCCTCACAAAACCAACAAACTTGGTAACGAACAACAACAAGTGTTGTAAGCAAGTGTACCTATAAGGTCCCCAGTTCAATGCTGACCTCATATTCACAAGCCCTCCAAATTGCACCATCCAAATCGCGGAATACAAATTAGGACCCCCAATGCACAATCCTTGGAAAAACAGCTACTTCCCTTATTGCTGGCCCCCTACTCAGCCCGTACTAGAGGTTTTGATTATGGAGGGCCAGAGCCTTTAGTGTGTCCATACTAGTACACCATGTCTCCTAAACTCAGGGCCGCAAAGCGTCCCGAATCTCAAGACCGAAGCCCGTGTGCCAAAGCCCACATTCCGCGCCTCACGCCGGGTGCGCGGGGCAGGACCTTCGCTGCGGCTCCGCTTAGCCGAGGTTCGCTGTGAGGCCTTGGTGGAGACGGTCCCTGCCACTTAATTACAGTAGAACAGGTTAGTGGTATAGGGCTGGTTTAAAAGGTTAGGGTCGTGGTACAGGGCTGGTTTAGGGTCGGGTGAACCCATCCCGTGCTATGATTACTTTGGCATGCAGCAATGATGGTTGTTCTGATGACTCTTGGCCGCAAGTTGGCGCATGGCGATCGTGGCCGGCAGCTACTACAGTGAGGTGAGGGATTCAAATGCAGCAGGTAAGGCCTGATCGGTGAAGTGCAGCGCTGACTGGCATCCAGCTTACCCGACGAAACCGGTTTGTGTGCCCACTGCTACCAGAGACTGAGTCACACTTGTTGAAGCCTGTTGGCCACTCGGTGTGTTATTGGCACTTGCAACATCATGCAACGGACTTAAACAGTCGTTCGAGTGGGCCACGCTTTGTTTTTGCAAGTACTTACCGCCAGCCAAGCAGCCATCTTGGACTCGATCTGCTTCTTGGCGTCTGCGATTTGCTGTTGGTCGATGGCTTTCTCGACAAGGGCACGTGCCCAGCGGCTTGTGCGTTCATCGCGCTTTGCCCTGGCTGCCATCCGCTTCACACGAGCCTGCTCTTCAAGCTCCTCCACGGGTATCTGCACCACGTGACGACTTCCCGAGGTCTTGCCAATTTCAGCCAGTCCTTCGAAAGTCCGATGCGCCCAACGTTGGCGCTGACGTGGTGCATTCTCAGCTTGCTCCTCTACCAGGGCTGCCACAGCGGCAGCGGCAGCGCTGACACCAGCTTCACCACAGAACGCATCCGAGGATTCGCCGGTGCCTTGACGCAACCATCGGCTCTTCTTGGCCGCGTGGTTGGGATCCTCGCTCTCCGCCGCTGGGACACGCTCATGGGCCGAATAGCCCTCACCCTCCTCCCCTGCGGCCCCTAGGCTGACAACTGCTTTGTGGCATGAGAGGCCAACAATCCCCCATTCCCCCTGGAAATCCAGATGCTGGACTTCGAGGCCCTCTACATGAGTGCCGATTCGCAGGCTATCCAGCAAGCCGGCACGCCTCGCGTGGTTGGCATCCAGAAACGCTCTGCAGGAGCGGCCAATATCCACAAAGACTGTTCGGTGCGTGATGCGCTGAACCACCCCGCTGACCTGCATGCCAACCCCAAGTCCAAGTGTCGCCACCAGGACGTCGCGCTCCCATCGCGCACTACGACCCGGCTGTGAGTCGGTTCGCCCCAGCAGCTCGACCATGAAGGCCGCGTCGGCCTTGGCATGATCTGGCACGTCGGCTTGGGCGAAGACAACGAAGCAGTCGGCTGGGGCACCAGGGCCCTGCACCATGGGCAGGATCGTCTCGCGGATCATGTCCTCGCCATATCGGCCGATTGCCTTTTGCTTGGTGCCAAAGAGCCGCAGGTAGGCAGAGTTACATGTGCGGGCGAGGCTCGGCCAGCCGTCTTCGAGGTCGCCACACCAACCGTCCGAATTTCGGATGTTTATCCAGGCCAGGCAGAAGCCCCACCTACGCAGCAGATTCACCACATCATCCCGGTGGGCTCCGTACCAGGAGCTATGCCGGAACTCGAAGATGTGGAGCACCTTAAGCACTGCAAGCACACACACACATGGCTAACAAATCAAGCCTTGTTTCCTGCTCTTCGTTGCCGAGAAGCTCTGATCCGACCTATGCAATCGGTATCATGTACATTTTAGAGCCGTCTTCTCTGAGCCACTGGCATTTCGGGGCAGGCGCTTTGCCAGCCTCTTGATACAGGATACAGAGTGTAACCACAGCTAATGAGAGCAAGATGAGCTAAACGACAAAGACACAGCACGGGCATCCACAGCATGGATCGACAGGTTACTGCCCAAGTCTTCCCCACCCTTTCGAACTCGGGCCCCAGGCTCTTCAAGCTCGTACAGGCTTTGCCGCGAACAGCCTCAGATGCTTCTCGGACTTTGAGGACGGCCCGGGTGCTGGCGCGGAAACAATCCGAGCAGCCATCACTTGACCACAGGTTATCGCACTGAAGCTCTCAGGAGCTGATTGACCTGAATGGCCCCTGGTTTTCGCGCCTTAATACAATGAACATCCGTGTCCCAAAGTTCCCTCACCTCCCTAAACCCTAAACCGTAAGCCCTAAGCCCTAAGCCCTAAGCCCTAAACCCCCTAAAAGCTCCTCAAAGCGCCAGAGGGGGGCGGTGGGAAGGAGCAAGCTGCCACAGCAGGCCACCCAAAACCTCGGCCTGGCGTGTCGGAGCTCGTCTGTCGAGAATTTCCGTGTGCACCTAATAACCCAGTATACAGTACATAACATATAGTGTATAATATCGAATATAGGAGAAATAAATACAAATAAATATATATATATATGCAAATATGTTTTTTTATTAGCTCACCACCCCCTCCCCCCCAAGATCTACGTTTACAGGTTTCCAGAACCCAACAAAGGTCAAAAACGCCAAAATCAGGATGCCAAAAATCCCAAACCAAAAAAAAAAACATTATTCTGAGACTCTTGGACAGGTGAAACCAAAACAACCCAAACCAAAAAAGAACCAAAACAAAAAAACCAAAACCAAAAAAAAATTATTTTCAAACTCTTGACGACACGGGGTATTGATTCCCTTTGTCCAAGAGTCTCGGAATAATGGGTTTTTTGGTTTTTTTGGTTTTGTTTTTTTTGGTTGGGGGGTTTTTGGTTTTTGGGGTTTTTTGGTTTCCAAGAGTCTCAGAAAAATGGTCATTTTGGTTCTTTTGGTGTTTTTGGTTTTGTTTTTTTTGGTTGGTGGGTTTTTGGTTTGTCTGATTTTGTGTTTCTCTTGTAGAGAATCGTGCGTGCCCAAAATTTAGGGAAATACTGTGCTTTTTCAGATGCATAGTGCCTGTACGAGGCAAATATTGAACTAATACTATACGAAAGAGGCCGAGTGAACTGTCCTAGCTTTTGGTCACTCATATAATACCCATTGCAAAATGTAGCGATTGCGCTCGGCAATCTAGACAAATACTGCAATTTTAGAGACAAGATGCTTTTTTGAAAAGCGATTCGTTCGGTTTCTAGAGAAGCAGTGCTTGTCCCAAGCCCAGGGAAATACTCTTCTAAGCACATAGTGCGGCAAAAATACTGAAATACGAACTCTTAAACAGCATAGAGAAGCTTACAAATGCATAACTCTCGTAGAGATCTTAAAGAAACACGACTTTAGCACAGCGATTATGTGTACTAGATTTGACTTTAAAAACAAGCAGTTTTCATCACATAGTGATGAAGCACTGCTCGGGCACTAATTAAATACCACTTGTACAAATGATATTCTGTCTCAAGCGCACAATTCGCATAGACAAGCTCAAGAATACATATTCTTTCTTAGAAGCCTATTTGCCTCGTGAAGATCATAGTACTCGGAAATTCCAAATCCTAAAGCCTGGGGAGAATCTCTGGCGAAGTTTGGACTTTTGGTTTTCAAGCGTTTGGGCACAAATAATGCAATTTTCCTAAGCAACGCTTTTTTCCAAGCAAAATGTTGATTAAATAGGCAAATTAAATACTATTGAAACACCTGGTACATTTTAAAAGCACACCAATGCAATACTCATTGCATAGAAACTCAATACTAAGTACATACTGGTTTTGTCGATTTAGTATGAATTCCTCTTTTCTGCTTGCTTGGAGTGAGCAATGAAGGACAGCTATTGGGACACATGCCGCAAGCCGCCCGATAAGCAAGACTTGGAGTTTGCAGAACCCCCGGAACGCAGCGGACATATTTTACTACGGAATCAATGATTACCATAACAGTCGGCATGATAATATTGTTATGGTTAGTGGTAGGAATTACCCTACTATTGCTGTATGAGAGAAAGAGACCCTTTCCTGGGAATCTTGAAAGAAGCCCCGTCAGATCCGGTGTTGACACGTGCAGTTCAGCACGTTTACTACGACAACAGTAAAAAACACAAAAAACACGAGTTTTTTGAGGTGTTAACAGCAAAACTGCTATACCTTCCCGGTTTTTTGGCTTTCGGAGTATAGAAGGTCACATAACTTTAAACCGAAATTCGGTTGCAGATTTATAGACATTTTGCATGCATGATGTGTTACGTAAAATAGTCCCGGAAATACTCGACAAGTACCATTTTATCGGTATTTACAGTGTTTTCGGCGCGCACTACTTGTTCACAAGTGCGTGGAAGCAAGCAGAAGAGTAGTGTAGACAAGGAGGGTGTAGATCTTGGGGAGTGACCATTTATTTATATTTATATTTTTATACTGTTAGAAGACATGGTACATCATGATACCGAACAACTCACAGGCGTACATCTATTACCTCAACCGGATTCGGGGCCTTCTGGAGCTCGCTGTACTTCGACCACAGCTGCGGCCACCACTGGTCTGGACCTCGGAGGATGTTGGGTTTTGGGGTTGAGGGGAACATTCCCAGTACTTTAGGCTTGACTACAAATAAGCAAGTTTTGCACACAGGCTGACAAGAGAAAGCAAAATCTACAGACAACGTATATATATATATATACAAGGCTAACTACAAGTAACATGAAGCCAATCACCCGTCAAGGGCGCCCACCAACCAACGATGCCGCGAAGTCATTGTCAGAGCTGCATTGCAAGCATCACCCGTCATCACCCATGCATGTCATGCTTGCCTTTCCCTAAACCCTAAACCCTGAGCCCTAAACCCAAACCCTAAACCCTAAACCCTAGTCAGGTGGAGCATGGCTGCCTGAGACGTTGGCTACGTAGGCGGTTCTCGTGCGTGGCGAGGCCCGACACCTTGCAGCAGTTGCATGCGCTGCGACATTTGCAGTGGGTGTCAGCAGGATGCATCAAAGACTTAGACTGTAATTACTGCTGATCCTACGCTCAACGTTGTGCATCTGCGAGAAAGACATACATTTGACGGAATCAAAACTTGGGCTGGGCTCACAGGAGCAGCTCAAGTTTTACGTGTTGCGTGACAGGGCATGAACTAGTTCGTCCGAATGGTACGCTGCTGGTACATGGACAAGGCATTTGCTTAAAGGCTAGCGGCTAGAGGAAGCGGGTACCCCGCAATGTGCTCTGTTTGTTCGCGCCTGATTTTCGACCTCTGGCAACCAGGCAGGAGACGCCCGTCAATCTGTGTGCACATGGGCCGCTGGTCGCGGATAAGAGCTGCGCACGGCTGTGCGTGCTGCTATGTGCGCAGGGCAAGGCTGGAGCATCCGCAATCGACAGTATTCTTATTATTATTCTGATTCTTCTGATTCTTCTTATTATTCTTATTCTTCTGATTCTTCTGATTCTTCTTATTATTCTTATTCTTCTTATTCTTCTTAGTCCAAAAACGCATAGGCAAACACGCAAGTGTCATCAGATCCTAGCATGGTTGTGCACCGGCGATGAAAAAGAGGGGTGGGGGCAAAGTCTTATACGTATTCTTTTTATTCCTATTGTTCCCAACTGGCTGTGGTCAAGCAACACTCGCCTACACTTGTGTTGGGCATGTGATGCGCAGCATTGCAAAGACTTTGCACTGGGTCTCTTTGAGAGAGCCAGATCGAAACCTCCAGCTGGCAGGGTAAGCGAAGCAGCTCTGCCGTTTTGCAAACCAGGAGCTCTGCGCTTAGCTCTCTTCGATGCTTAAGTGGCAGCTATACCAGCCAGAGGAACGCTTCACGTGAATTATGAGCAAGTCGCCTATTCTTTCTAGAACCCCAAATTTTGAAGACACATTTTGTTCACTCCAAAAAAAGAACTTCACACCCGTCACCCCAGCTGCTCCGTCCGGCCATCTGGCTTCGGAGCTTGTACCTCAATTTGGCCATGCATGTCGGAAGGACCGCGAAAACGAACTGAGGTATGGCTACGCCCCGTCGAGCCTCTGTTGGCCCTGGATGTCACAAAAGCTGTATCCAAATGATCTTAAAATGAGTATCACCGACCCAAAGCCATTGCCCACAGAAACCTCATCACGAAAGACACCCATCTGCTCTACAGCCAGCAGCCTCCGTCAGCACGGCTTGTGTCTTGGAGGGACCGCGGTTGTCGGCCCGAGTGCTGTTGGTCGAGGTCTGCTGGGCCACCTCGGACTGACTGCCTTAAAATCACCTGTGTTGGACTGCTGAACCTAAACCCTGCAGCTTCCACAGGTGCAGTTGAGTCACCCGGTCGGCCAAGGACATACCTTTCTGCAGCTGGCCTCAGTTCAGGAGCAGCTTCCTCTCAACAGCTACGTTGGTGCGGACCGACCCAGGCAAACCCCCTACAAGTTTGTCCATCTGCATACAAAAGGGCTCGAATTGTTCGAATCGTTCTACAAGACTGTCCCCCACTCTACCTTGAATGAAGCCGCAGGACACTGCGGGCACAATCGCCCTGCCAGTGTGGCCCCTCTTGAACTCGAAAAGATACTAGGACAGCAATGCACTCTTGCAGCAAACAAGACGGGGCCCACTCCTACATCCATCTCACAACAGAGGTGTGCAATGTGTCTGAAGTATCCCAGCTAGTTGACTGAAAGCTGAGAGAGTCAAGAGCCTTCGGTTCTTCTCATCCTTGCCTTCAGCCACATTCAGAACTCAGCGTGCGGAGGTGTTTCCTATGCTCCCCTTAGAACCTTTCCTCTTGGGTTTTACATAAACAAAAATAGAAACTAATTCCCAAGGGGGATCAAGTTTCGAAAATTGAGCCCAGGCACGCCCCAACTTCGCTGCCGAGGCGCTCCGGGCCCGCACCTCAGCAGAAACGTCGACAAGTTTGTGAAACAAGCACTCCTTAATAAAAATCCTCTTTCCCCATGAAGGTTGTACACTCCTCTTAAAACGCCCATCAAGGGAATAGAATCCGCTTAACACCCCGTTAAGGGAAACAAAAGCTATCCAAAGGTCTGACCTACCTTTGAGGCTTCGCGGTCTGCAGGGTTCTGGCTCAGTTCTGCGGCGCATTCGGGGTTCTATGCTTTTAAAAAGCTGCGTGGCACACTTGACCCAGAGTAAGGTGGAGGAGCCTGTTTCAGCCTGGGCTCATCATGCTTCCAAAGCTTGATGCAACAAAGCTCAGGTGGCAGAACCTGCACCCACTGACGGAAAGTGTCCGAGAATGCCCAGGAGCCTCAACAAGCAACAGTGCATCCTCGCGCCACACACCATGCAAAGGACATCAACGAACACGAGGGCCGGCAACAACCGAAGTGGACCCTGTTCCATTTTGCCTATTCACTTCGTCGTTGTGGTGATTGAAACTGGAACTCAATACACCGATTGTGGTATAATTAAAACCCACACCATCAGAACTGCCCGACACAATGGCCATTGCAATGGCTGAGGCTGCATCTTTGTCCGGAGTGGGTTCCGGATCGCGTTGCTCCTCCCCGCCCGCTGCCTCAGCACAACTGCACTGGATTGAAGGCAGGGGCCAACATGCTTTGGAATCTAGGCATCTATGGCCCGCTACCCAAAAGCAATATCGTGCTTCTCACCATGGCAACTCGGGCGACGCTTTTCTGCGACAAAAGACAAAGATGACATCCTCAAAAGCCGTTCACAACCGGATTTGGATGCCGCCAAGTGCACGTACGCCTTCAAAAAGCGACGAGGTTGTGCCATAATCTCCTGAGGATGATCAGAAGCTGGCCTAGCGTGTTCCGGGAATTCTTCCTTCCCAAGTACAAGGCATCTCAAGGTGTTAGGTGCTGGGGAAGGGTTGAATGTTCGGAATCGAAGTTTTGGGCTTGCAGGTGTTCAAGTTTCTTTTTCGGGGCAGGGGGGAGGGCAGGAGGGAATGTAGCATTTTGAGGAGCCGCAGGAATGTATGGGGTCAAGAAAACCTATAAACCCCTAAACTCGGGGTGCTTCTTCTGGCCCCAAGAAACAAAGCCTAGCTTTAAGCTGGAAGGCTGAGGCTGCAGTGGCCACATCCTTTTGAAAGGCGTGCAAGGTCTGAAAGAGCTGCCTGAGCGGTTTAGGGCTTTCCTATAGGGCTGATAAATTTCATGAGGAATAGGGTTTCGGGTTTAGGGGTCGGAAAAAAGTTAGAAAAAACTCTCGCGCAACTTGCAAGTTGTTGAACTGGAGTCGAGGAAAGCCTCTGAGCAACTCAAGGCTCCCAAGTTTCAGATGGTTTGCACATGAGCACCTGCACAACACCTGATGTTTGTACATCTTAGACTCGATCTACTAGTTGCTGGCTGGTTCTTAGTAGGGAATGAGGGAATGAGGTACCCTATATAATCCCTTAAAGTGTATATATATGTATATGTATATAGAGGGTACCTCATTCCCTCATTCGTTCCCAAGAACCAGGGAGATTGCCAAAACTACTGTGCCTTTGGGAGACTTTAGGAATCGATGCCCTACTGAGGGTCACAGGTCCCGGGCCAAACGGCCAGGATCGTGTTGCACAACAAAAGTGGGCAGCGATGTAGGCGGTACTTCATACCTACTATTTGCTTAAGAAGCCCCCCCAGACAATGATCCCTATATTACCCTTATAAGGAAGAACATTTTTACTAATTTGTTCACTCCAAGTTTGGGGGGGGCGGCGGCACAGGCAAAGCCTGGATGCGCTCCCCTACTGCAGTCCAATCTTGGGATCGAAGCAAAAGCAAGCTTACTTCCAAACATACTGGAGAAAGCCCACAAACCCTTTTTTACGCACCGACTTAAGTATACCAAACCCCACCGAGCTACTCCGCCGCCGCTTCGAGGGACGGAGTCTCGGCCTTGCAGGGTTTAAGGTTTAGGGTTTAGGGTTTAGTTTGCTTCAACTGGCCGAAGGATCTTGGAGGACTCCTTGCATCTTGACAACCGAGAGATCGAGAGAGAGAGAGAGAGCGAGCGAGCGAGCGTGTCGACCTAAGATGCCTCAACAGCCGGGAGATTTGGACAGGCTGAGGGTCTGCAAAATGCCGAAAAAAAACCTCCAGAGACTACCAGAAGTCCCTAAGCAAATCCTGTCTCTAAACCATAACCCCCAAAAGTCCCCTAAACCCTTTTGAACCTGGAAGCTGAACCCTAAACCCTAAACCCTTTTGTTTGAACCCAGGCTCTGCACTATCAGCTGAAACCGAGACCCTAAACCCTAAACCCTAAACCCCAAACCCCAAACCCTAAACCCTAAACCCTAAACCCTAACCCTAAACCTACAACTTGGGACCAGAGCTTCCAGAAGGCGGTGGCCGGGGCACCTCGGCGAAGTAGCGCAGCGTGACGCTCAGGTCGATGCGGAGCGCCGCCCAGGCCTCGTTTTTTCTTGTTTTTTAGGGTAGTGCATGATTATAGGAAGGGTCTTTTAGGTTCTTTTGCCACCCGACTAGCCACGGCAGAGCGGGGTTCATTTTCTTCTCAGGGTATAGGGTTTAGGGTTTAGCTATTTATATGAATATACGATTGTACGATTAAGCGATTATCCGATTGGACTACTTTGCCAGTATGCTGCTACGCGATTGCGATTGTACTACCATACTATACTTTGCGATTATCCTATATGTTACATCGAATAGCTATATTCTCAATATTATTCTTAGGTTGTTTTCCTAAGGTGGGAACTGGGACATCATGGGCATCGGATATGCATCAGCCTTGATGGCAGAATATTACAGCTTCAGCCTTGCGTTGCAGGTGGATCCTAAGGGCTTTCTGGGTAGAGGTTCAGCTCTCGCAACGTGGCGTCTTGGGATGCTGAATCATGGCAAGCAAGGCTCATCAGTTCGCACTTCAAAGATAGGCTGAAACTCTGAGGCAGGCGCCCTCTGCAGCTGTTCACGAGCAGGAAGCAGTAGCTCCTGCATGCCACTAGCGCTGACTTGGTATGACTTGATCTGGAGAGAGCATATTCAACTGCATGCCTTGCACTTCATCCGACATCCAGCTCCCTTGCAACAGGTCAAGATGCGATGCAGATCGATGCAGCTGCCAACTTGCGTCCTGGTGTATGGCGCGAAGCTTGGCCCGCACGGCGATGGAGTTTGCAGGCTCGTCGGCTTCTGTTAGCAGCCACGCCTGATGTGGGCTTCGGGAGCTATTCTATACTCACCTTAGATTCTTAATAAAAATAGTGTTTTTTGTACCCTCTTGGGTTTAAATAAACAAAAAAAGCAATTCCCAAGGGGGATATAGTATTGAGGGTGAGCTGAGATTAGTGCAGATTGCCCTGATTAGCACAGAGGGAAATAAAACAAACCTTGGCAAGTGGCCTCCTCGGCAGCAAACTGCAGAATGGCCTGCGCAAGCTGCTTCAGTAAGGGCACAAGCACCACCCTACATGATCATGATACATCTGTCTCAAAGAAATTCCACTGCGGCCGGAAGTGGGTATGGGGGGAGACACATCCTCACACCCTCTTGTCGTCAGCTTCTATGTATGTATGACATGACGACTTATGCAGGCAGCTTGCGCAAGGCATTCGGGCGAGACGATCGGCCTTGTCAAGGTCCGCCAACTCTTCGCGGGCAACTGGCTCCAAGGCCTCTCAGTCCACATCATGTGCTTGCTGATGCTTTTTGCATGTGACAGCACGCATCATCCCACGGTGACAAGGTCAGAACCAGGTCAGAACCTATGTAGGCGAACATACCAATCGCCCCACCGTGGAGGAGTCGCATGAAAGAGCATCTGCCCTTCTTCCGAACGAAACGGGCCACCACCTCCAACTCCAGGGCGAAGCTGGAGCAAAGGCCCCGGAGAACGCTGACCTGGCGGGAAGCGGCCAGCGGCTGCAGAATTTTAACCATGCTTTGCCGGAGTGTTCGCCCAGGTTCGATGCACATGTTGACCCTTTTAAGCTTCTGCGGGCAGCTCAATGGCTTTCAAGAAGGATGGGGGTGGCACAACGTCGCACAAGCCTGCGGAAACACGTGCCGATGCGTTCATGTAAGCTCTAAACTAGAGGCCGGAATTCCCCCAAAATACAGCAGCAAGTGCACGTGCACGCTGTCATCGTGTGCCTCGCCGCCAGACGCAGCCAACAGCGCCATGTGCAACAGCGAGACGGTCTGCGCAGAGTAAACGCTGCCGCATGTGATGGAAAGTCGCATAGTCGATCTATTCGGCCTGAGAAATGAGAAATCGGAAAGACTGGCAAGCCTTGTCGTTCCGCAAAGCCCGGAAGACACGCAGTTTCCCAAGCGCCGAAGAAACTGCAAAACCTTTCCTTGGTTGACCGCGCTGCATGGTGACGATCCCAGACATGTCATGGCCCATGGCAATTCAGATGCAGTGCCTGCTACTAGGCTAGGTCAGCGATGGTGTACAAGTCGGAAGTGGTTTTGTAGCACAAGCAACTACTCATGAAAATTAAAACAGAAGCTCTGCCTGAACCGGCGCAGAAAATCTGGGCATGGACCACATGACACGCACTAACTGGCTGGTTCTTAATAGGGAATGAGGGAATGAGGGCCCTAGACCATCCCTTAAAGGATATATACATATATATATATTATGATATATATGTAGGGCCCTCATTCCCTCATTCCCTACTAAGAACCGAATCAGGGGGACTATGCCAGCCAGAGATCTCCATCTCCGTGTCAGCAGAGTTGATCCAGCTCCCCAGTTTGGCGACCTCTGTTAGGGTTTAGGGTTTAGGGTTTAGGGTTTAGGGTTTAGGGTTTAGGGTTTAGGGTTTAGGGTTTAGGGTTTAGGGTTTAGGGCACTCCATGCTTCGCACAACAAGATCCCCTGGTTCTTAGTAGGGAAGGCGGGAATGAGGGCAAGGGAATATATAAATTATGTACCTCACTCTCTCATTCCCTACTAAGAAGAAGCCACAAAAAAAGCTCCGATCAAAGGCACGCAAGGAGGGAGCGCAAGCGTCCACACTTAAAACAGAGGTTTTGGGCCTTTGCCATTCAAATCCTTCAAATGGGGGTTTACGAAAACAGGGGACCCCTAATATAGATCTCAAAAAAATTGGATCTCCTTACAAATGAGGACCCCAATAAGGCACGCCTAACTTCGGAAACCCCCAAAAATCTACAAGTAGAAGTAGTACGAACAACCCCCACCCCATAGGCAACATCCCACAAAGGCAACATCCCAAAAACTCCCTCATACTTTACAGAGCCCAGGTGCTGTCCGCAGGAAGCGCCTCAAAGCTAGGGATCCGCGGAGAGCGCTGCAGGCAGTGCTCAAGGCATCCAAGCGGGCCTGAAACAAGCAGGGTTTAGGGGTTTACGGTTTACGGTTTAGGCACGGAAATCACCCCTAAGCCGCCCAAGAATGCCCGACCACCGACTAAAACATACCGAAACCATAACATAGCGCCTTCAGCCTCACTCCACAACAACTCTTCAGCAGTACCTGAAACCATCTTCAACCCCATGATTCCCATGATCGACAGACTTACTTTGCAACAGCACAGCTCCACGAACCGTGCTGTTGGGTCTTGGCAAGCTCTTTGACTTGTCATCCTCTGACACCTGTTTTTTATGCAGTGCAAGCATCTGGTTTCAGAGCGACTGCAACCGGCACATCAAACAAGCAATAAGCAACAATTTGTTACATACTTTTACAAAATGAACGAGCCCCCCACACACACACACACACACAACGGCCTGCAGCATCGCGGCATCCCGCTCTGCGTTCACGGACAAGTGCAGCGCGCGCACCCGCTCTGCGGCGCGGGGCAGGCGCGCCAGTGGAAGGACCAGCCTAACCACAACCAGAAAGTGCGCAAACACAACAAAAACCCGGTGCAACCGGGACCTACTTATTTCTGAACCATGAACCTCTTCTCAGAATACCCTGGCCTCAACCTTTATGCTTGAAACTCTGAAATACCCTGAACCTCATGCTGCTTGCAGCACCATCTTTCGCATCATGTGGCCTCTCAATGTTCCGGAGGCGCTCCGGCGGGTGCGCCAACAACTGGGCCGCCTCACTCGTCGTGGGAGAGGGAGAGACGCAGGCACAAAGGCAGACAGAGGCGAAACAGAAAGAGCTAGGCAACAGGTCTGGAAGACGCTTGGTGATTTAGGATGCCATTGCTCTGGCATACGTACTTGCGCCTGTTCTGCACAAAACTCAAAACCAGGCATTCCAGCACGGGTTTTGGCCTCCTCGGCGGTTGGCATAGCCTTTGCGCGGGGGGTTTTGCAGCATAGACCATGAGATAACTCCTGTAGCCACCGTGTCGTTCTTAAAGACTCTGGCCTCAAGTGCTATGATGGCTCCTTGATACTCCTCGTCAAGCAGCAGTCGGCAAGAGTGCCGTGCGCTCCGCATCCAAGCAATGCGCGACCTTTTGCTGTCGCTGGAGTTGCTTCTGTTCTCGGGCAAGAGGTAATTGATACACGTTAAGCTGCGAGGGCCTTTGAAGGTGGTTTTTACTTTGCAGGCGACTTGCAATTTGCAACGGTGTGATGCTTTCCTTTCTACCTTTGGTCCCGCACTTATATGGTGCAAGTAGCTGGTACATGCTTCACGGTGCAGTGCCAGGGCACACTGCAGCACCGTGAACAATGCAGTTGATGGTCTTGTTGCTGCTTGTCTTTCAACTTCTGTCCGACATCATCGCTTTCTGTTCTGCAACCAAGAGTGCGCATTACATGCTGAGTCAGCTGACGCAACCGCCCCCCCATCTAAGGTCCCCTCGGCTTTTAAGATGCGAGGATCTACAGTTACAGCATGTTACAGCATCTTTTGGTACCACGCCGGATTCACACGGACTGCCATTATGAAACCTGGGAAATCCCCCTGGAACTTGAGAAGTCTAAGAAATGGCCGCACCGGCCGAAGGCGAAAGAGCATCTTCATTCTACAGCAGTTCTACTTGTCCATTGTGTTAAGCCTCACTGAAGTGGGCAGTGTGGAAAAGCGCGCCCGGCATTCTTGGATGATAAACTGCAGCAAGAGTATCACAAGCCACCAAAACCCTAAACCCTAAACCCTAAACCCTACATGCTATGTCATGCCGTTGCGCCGTATTCTGAGCCTACGCCACCTCCCAATGCTGCCGGAAGACAGGCCCCGCCCTGGCTGCGTCCACGGCCCCCAAACCCTGGGCCAGGGCCTCGGTCTCCTGGTGGCCAGAGATGGGTGGCTGAATAGAACAAAGACTCACAGAAGAGAGAGAGAGAGAGAGAGAGAGAGAGAGAGGGAGAGGGAGAGGGAGAGGGAGAGAGGGAGAGGGAGTTGGAGATATGGTAGAGGGAAGGAGAGGGAGAGAGAGAGAGAGAGCACTCGGGTATCTTGCAGCGACCGTCTTTGGACGTGAGGTGCGAGTCACTGAGCACAGCTGTGCAAGTGCTTTTGCGTTGCGCTACTGGACATACAGTCCTTTCTCGACCGTTACGTGGACGGGACGTTGCTCTGGAAGTTTGCAACGAGGGAGGGTCGTATCATTTGCCCATGTTGTCATACTAGCAAAGTTCTTGATATGATTAAAACTATTTTATTATATTACTATAGCAACCGTATGAACTGATCAATATGAACAATATTTTACATGCCATTTACGCTTGCATGCTTGATTTGTTGGCGACGAGGTTGGAAACCCCAAAGTGCGTCAGCACACATCCGCAAGCCAAGCCGCCTCCGAGGTGGGCATCTGACCGAAGATGCCACGCAGGACGATGGCAATGTTCTGCGTGCGCGACTGCTCGAAGACAGTGATGGGTGAGTCATCCTCCCAGCTTGTTCACCCTAAACCCTAAACACCGCGCAAGACCGACTCTAGTATACAGAGCACAAAAAATTCCGAAATGCGGCAGGTCGTCCTTCGTGGACGAAGCGCCGGGGGCCTTCGACAATTCGTCGTCGTCTGCGAAATAGTTCTTCAGACCTTCAAACTGCACTTCCAAGCTGTTGGACGAGTTGATGTCATCGAAGACCGTGCCCTTAACCTTGTCGGCCGGCAACTCTTTCCAATGGAACCTGCGGCCCAAAGGGGTCACCTTTCGAATGCGCCCACCCTTGCCTCCTGGAAGAGCCGGTCCTTTCTTTCCCTTGCCCTTCCCTTCCTTCCCTTCAGCGTCGCCTGGAGCGCCCGCGCCATTTGGCATCGGTGGGCCCTTCGGGCCTTTGCCACCCTTTCCTTTGCCGGGTGGCCCCGGGCCTTTGGCCGAACCCTTGGAAGCCTTGCCCTGTCCGCTTTGGCTGCCTTGGCCCCCCTGGCTTTCGCGGCTTTCGGCATCAACGCAGACTTCGACGAATCTCTTTCCGGCAGCTTCGGTATCTCGACCATTGAGCTCGGCTGCCACTGTCGGCCCAGGCCCAAATGCATCTACGCGGGCCTTGCCACCTTTTCCCTCCTTGCCTTTCTGATTGGAAGATGTACGCCGAGGCGTCTGAGGGCGCGGACCCCTCTGCACCAAGTGCGAGCCGTGCGGCGCTGCCTTGCTTGGAGAGTCGACTTCTGTCTGCTCTGTCTGCATCGGCGATCGCAGTGGAAGCCGGAGACCGGTCAAAGGCAAGGGTAAGGGCAAGGTGTGCTGAGATGCGTTGGATGCGTGTGCATCGATGGCCAAGGAGGGGGAGGGTGCAGGCTCAGGTGCAGGTTCAGCCGTCGGCTTGGTCTCGGCAAGGACCTTCGCCTGCTCCAGAGTGGGCGCGACCAGCTGGCGCGCGTCCAAGACACTGTGGTCTCTCGGCGGAATTAACCCGAGCTCCTCCAAGACCTGCAAAACAGGGGGAGTTTCTCTTCTCCTCGATCCTATGAAGCCGATGTAAGGGATTTTCCTCTCACGCTCGCACTCAGGTAACGGGTTAGCACTCTTGGAGCCACATGGTCAAGAGCTCTCGGCTACAGAAAAGGGAGGAAAAGGGAACTTTGAGCACCAAAAAGAAAAAGAACTTCCAGCTCTTGCTCCTCTCTAAGTCATCCGTTGTAAACTGCTAAGGCCCGGACCCCTTCCAGCTCTTGCTGAAGCTTTTGGGGCTTGTCTGATTCCAGCAGCTGCATGGAGCTCGGAAGATCTTCCGGCTCCGCCCACAATGCGCAGGAAAGCCTGGCTTGACGGACTTTTAAGTCCTTCAGCTCCGCCTCCAAAGCGGCTTTCTTCTCCCACTCCTCGTTCATCTCCGCCAGCAAGATCTCATTGTGGCGATGCTCTATGATAGTCCTCAGCATCTGAAGATTTCGCTCCATGGCTTCCGTCCATTGTAGCTTCTGGTACTGCTTGGCAGCTTCCTTGGCCGCTCGCGCCTCGGCCCTTGCCTGCGCAACTGCTCAGCAACTCCGCTCACTAACGTACATGTGATGCGAAGCCGGGGCATTCTTAAGGAATCAGGGCCTGGATTATTAGCTCCAAAACATGTTTCCCACAGCCGATCATTCATTAAGAACCAGGGGAGCGCTTCCCTGCAGACCTTGTCCCGGTGGCGCTGGGCGTAGGAGGGCCCCGCCGAGAAGGACCGCGAAACGCTCCGCGCCACGGCAGCAAGGCCTTCCTGGACACGGCGGGCGCCGACCTCAAAACAAGTCGGTGGCCGCACCAGACTCGGGGAGTTGGGGTCCCGGCTTTAGCAGCTTGCAACGGAGGACTTGGAGAGGTGGTTCAGGGAACATCTATGTGTTGCGATATCCCGCACCCTACACACGTTTGGTATCTACATTGTGTGCTGTTTACTCCCAGCTTCACCTCACCAACATGTGCTTTGCGGTCTTGATGATAGGCAAATGCATTCTATGTTTGGTGTTATACTATTACTGCTTCTGTTTGCGCTTTTCTACTTTTCGTGCTGTTGCTGCTGCTTCCGGTGCTACGTTTGTTTCCCGCTCCTGCTTATGCTCTTTCTGGTGCGATTTTGTTTGCTCCTGTTGGTGCTCTTTCTGGTGCGACTTTGTGGTGCTCCTGTCGGGCAATTTCTGGTGCTATTTATTCTGACCCTGTATTTCTTGTTCTAGCTTTTCCGTTGCTGTTTCTGCAATTTCTGGTGCGCTTCTCGAAAATTTTCTGCTCCCTTAAGCCACGCTTGGATTGCCGAGGTTCGCGTTTCTGGTGCTCCTTTCCACCTGTGTGATAAATACAAAAAGCTTTGGCTTGAAGTAGAATGTACTGGGATGAGGGGCAGGTTTAGGGCCAAGTTCAAGGGTTGAAGGGTTTGAGGGCTTATATAAGGGTTTAGGCCCTTTAGGGTTTTATAAGTTAGGGGTTTAGGCAAAGGGTTTCCCTATGTTCCCCTCATCATCATGAAAAGCAAGGAGGGGCGGCGGCCTGGACGGCTTCTGGGATCGATGCAACGGTTTCCGCGAACGCCTCAGCGCCTTCCTGGAGTGGATCAAAGGCACGGGGAACCGGGGCAAAAAAGACCAGAAAGCTCATCCAGCTCGGTGCGCCGGGCAGCATGAAATCTAGACTGGCAAACATCGGGGTACCCTTTTGGGGGGGTCCCTTTAAAGGGATTCTATGACATTTGCGGTCTAATCGGGGTCCCCCTATTTTGGGAAATAGTGGCTTACCCTTTTGAAACCGGACTTGATGACTGCCAGCAGAAAACGAGCCAGAATCTGAAACACCGCCCTGAAGGTCTTCTAGAGGGCGTCCACAAAAAACACGCACATGTTACCAATGAGGCACGACCTCATGCATGCTTACCCAAACCCTAAACCCTAAACCCTAAACCCTAAACCCTAAACCCTAAACCCTAACCCTAAGCCCTAAGCCCTAAGCCCTAAGCCCTAAGCCCTAAACCCTAAACCCTACCCTAAACCCAATTAAGTGTCCTGGAGAAGCTGCGGAGCTTGGCTCACTGCCTCCACGCCATCCTGTCAGCGTTTTTTTTGAGAGAGAAGACGTCGGTGCACAAGGATGCACCTACCTTAGGGTTTAGGGTTTAGGATTTAGGGTTTAGGGTGCCTGTAGCCCGATGAACCAACGCCACTTTTTTGAAATCTTGCTAGCGTGCCGGCCTGAACATCCGGGCAGTGATTCCGGCTGGACTTCAGCCAGAAGCTACAAGCCAAGTACAAATCGTCGAGGCGTGCCTCCCGATACACTACAGCTACAGTCTCTGCAGCTCAGTCTCTAGAGCATCATGAACCTTCTTCCTTCGAGCTGCCCAAGAGGTTTTCAGTGAGACTTGCAGCATCATGCACAGAGTCTTCAGACGTCGGCCGGTCACGGCTTAGACTTGTCCTTCTCCATCTTCTCATGCATGTCTTTTTCCACCTTTTCCTTATGTAGCTCCTGGAACTCCTTTTCGAGCTTGCGCAGCTTGTCCATCCTCGGCTTGATGTCCTTTGCGCACTCTGCATAGTCGCGCATCGCCCAGATCCAGGCCGTGAGGGCCTTCGCGATCCTGGGGCCTTTGAACCTCAGCATTCGGGCTACAAGGTACAGCAAGGCAGGAAACCTCTAGCTGCATGCCCCTTGATGCATGGCAACATGGGCTAGGGTTGAAAACCTATGTGGGGGTAGAAGACCGAATCTGAATAGCACCAAACCGTCGATTCCCTGCATGTAAACCGACAGGAAAAGCAGATAGCGACAAGGTTTTGCATGCCAACAGCCGGGGATGCTGGGGTGATCTGCAAAACACATAACGAAGAAACTTAACGATAAGGTTGGGTTCTTGCAAGAAGCAGCTTCACGCAGGCCGACATGCGCCCGTTGTGACGTGCACATGCCATGCCCGCCTCTACAGGTGTGAGTGCTCACGCACCCGCCAGAACTTTAGAGCTGTCAGTGCTGCCCAGCCAATAAGGGAATGAGGGCCTTATATATATATATATAGATATATATATATACAATATACATATACATATACCCTTTAAGGGCTTATATAGGGCCCTGATTCCCTCATTCCCGACGAAGAGAGCCAGCGTTTTAGAAGGCCGGGGAGCTTCTCCATCGCCTCGATGCTGAGCTCCTGGTCGGCGCAGTGCTCCTCGAGCCGCTCCACCTGGAAGTTTCTGTTCGATGGTTGGGGGTTTAGGGTTTTGGGGGTTTTTAGGGTTTTGGGGTTTTGGGGTTTTAGGGTTTTAGGGTGTTTGGGTTTTGAAGTTCAAGGTTTTAGGTTTTAGGGTTTAGGTTCACATAACATGCTGGTGACGAATAGCAGCTCCTGCAACCCGAAAAGCGATCCCCGCAGTCCATTTAACGCATTTTGAAACACGCCCCTCCTGAGCAGAGCCCGCCACAAGGATGCCGTCCCGGTCGAAGTCCATCAGGTCCCTAACCTGGGCTTTCAGGTCGCAAGAGCTGCGGAAAGCCACCGAACGCTCATCAGCAACCGGGTCCGTCACAGGTCCGCACACTGGCTGACTCTTGTCTATTGCCTCATCTAGAACAAGGTAGTGCTCCTAAACCCTAAATCCTAAACCCTAAACCCTAAACCCTAAAACCTACCCATCGAATCTTGAGATTGAGAACGCATTTGGCTCCAGATCCGGTCGGCACAGTTGCCTTGAGCTGGGGCCTACTGGTTTAGGGTTTAGGGTTTAGGGTTTAGGGTTTAGGGTTTAGGGTTTAGTTAGGGTTTAGGGTTTAGGACACTCGAAAAGTCTCAGCCTCTCTGCTCCTACAGTGGCGAGACCTTCACCGCCCGAGGCATTCTGACTCGCGAAGACGGCTCTTTCTGAAAACTAAGAAACAGCACCCCTTCTTGCTTCAGGGCTCCTGTGAAACAGCACCCCTAAACCCTAAACCCTAAACCCCAAAACCCAAACCCTAAAACCCTGAACCCTTTAGACAACGCATCACATGGTGCACGAGCTTCGCAACCGAATCTAGGAGGGTGCGCGCGCCGTGACTTCAGAAACAAAGGTGCGGGTACACACGAATGCGCCCTGTAATGAAACCCTAAACTTGGGATGTTCCCCCTTATACTAAACAGTCCTGACAAGGGATTCTCGTGGCCCCCGATTATGATCCCTATTAAAGACTGTTCGTACAAGGGGGAACGTCCCAGCCCTCAACCCTCAACCCTAAACCCTAAACCCCGGAATGCCCCTGTTCCTTGCCGTGGGACCAGGCTATGCGAGACTTTGCCTCTCCAATCGCCCTCAGACTTTACCTGACATCTCACGGTCGTTGAGCCTTGGGATGTTCCTCCGGGTACTACAAGCCCTATTAACGACTGTTAATTGAAGGGGGAAACATTCCAAGTTGAGCTTATAGATGAAGCGTGCCCTACGTGGAAGTTGCCAGGGGCTTCGGGTTTAGGTGCCAGGGGCTTCGGGTTTAGGTCAAAGCGCTTCGTTCTCCTCGCTGCAAATTTTCACAAAGTGCCCAGAAGGTACGCTTTACCCTGAACCCTAAACCCTAAACCCTAAGCCCTAAACCCTAAACCTTATATAGGACTTGAGGAATCCGCAACCTCGATGTTGTATACGACGAACACGATGGTGGCCATGATTTTCTGGAGCGGCTCCTGTGCTGCGGTTGAGGGTTTAGGGTTTAGGGTTTAGGGTTTAGGGTTTAGGGTTTAGGGTTTAGGGTTTAGGGTTTACGGAAACTTGCCCCATGTGTTGGGGCTTGCTGTGCGTGGCCCGTAAGGCAAGTATCCGGACGAGCAAGTGGGCAGGCGGGGCACATGCATCAAATGAATTCGCTCTCCCGGACATTCAAGTGGGGCAGGCTGCTACTCCAAGCCATCAGGGCGCGAGCTTATGGTTTAGGCTGTATGGTTTGATAGGATTTATGTAGGGGTTTAGGAAGGGAGAGGTTCTAGTATTGGTGCGACCAGCCAAGCTAGCGGCAACGCCTATCACGCCACAGCAAGTCGAGCGGCGATTGGAGGAAAGCAAGCAAGAGCAAGGATAATATGCAGAAGTCCCGGGGGAGCCGACCAGAGATCCCTGATGCCCCACTTTGCACATTACATCGAGTGGATTAGGGGCCGCTTTCCGTGCCCCACACAGGCCGTGTAATCACGCAGTTCCGCCGCCATGGTTCACATATGTTCACATGTCAACCAGCCTACAAGGCACTGAGGCCAAAGTTTACCACTCCACTACGAAGAGGCAGACCCATCCTCAATCTTTTTTGTTGCCCTGAGCTCGGCCATGTCCCTCATATCCTGAGTGCGGGAGGCTTGTTCAAGGTTTAGAGCGTGTTTGGTTTTCCTTCGGGAGCTGAGCAACCTTGCCACTTTGCACGTCTGGAATTGTAGCTGGACGAACCACCCATCAGGGAACTGAGTCAGAACAGAAGAATCAATACGTCGAAATGCATCCAAGAGTGATACAGGGGCAAGCACATACTCATAATATTCCCTAGGGTCCCTACATAAATATACTGATAAATATACTTTAATGACCCCCCCAAAACACTATTCTAATTATTAAGGCCCCCTTTTGACAGTGGCTCCCTAAGAATTCCAGGCGTCCAACGCTTCGAGGGCCGTTGCTGACTTCTCTAGGGGAGGCAGTGCCCGGCTCGAGAGTTCGGCTTCCAGCTCCTCGCGATCCGTTTTTCGGATTCGTTTACATTCTTGTGGAACTAGGTAGGGTTTAGGGTGTTGGGTTTAGGGTGTACCCCTTTTATACCCCTTAAAGAGACCCCCAAAAAAAGGTACCCCTATTTTCGGAAACCCCCCACATTGTTGTGGAACTATCAACTGCGCTGCTAAGCCAGACAGGGACACATGCAGAAGCTTCACGAGTTCAGTTCGCTTTTGTCACCTTGCCTGTCGTGGAGCAGGTCGTGTGAGTAGCTGATATGATATGTGGGATGACCAAGAGTAATTGAGATCTCTGTTCAGGAGCAAGGGAGACACCTACGGTGCACCCTGTGATGACAGCACGCTGCTGCATGCTGCATGGTGGCATCGGCAGATGTTGCTAAGCTGAGCATTCGCCTAGGCATGCTGCGCACAGCATCCGAGAATGCAAGCTGCCCAGCTCCTCCCGTAGAGCCCTGATCTCCTTGCAAAGACGCCGCTGGAATGCCAAGGGGAAATGGGAACTACTGGAGGCAGAATGCTGCTTCAGAAACCGTCAGGTCGCGACAGCAATTACGGTGACAAGCAGACCGGAAGCTGACTACGAGGAGCAGCCGACTTGCATCCAAAAAGTTGCTCCAGTCGCACGGTTGCGCAGAAGAAGGCTCCTTCTCTTTGATCTCAAGCTGCTTTTCCAGTGGAGGCCCCATTGCGCTTCGCGCGATGGGCCCGATGGGGTGATGGTGGCGGGTGGGTGGGAGGGCCGCAACTAGGGTCTCGAGCATCTCACTGAATGTGCCGTTCGCTCTAACCCCCAACCCCTATATACTCAAAAGCTGCACAAAATGTACCAGTGCCTACATTAGCACTATACCCTGGTGCTGTTTTCGCTTCTTGCTTTTGCAAGCAGTGCTCCTTGGACCGAATGACATCCAAGTCAGCTCCCCGAGTCGCAGCTCGAAGGTCCTACTTGGAGGGCCTTCTGACTTCGCAGGGTTTAGGGTTTAGGGTTTAGGGTTTAGGGTTTAGGGTTTAGGGTTTAGGGTTTAGGGTTTAGGGTTTAGGGTTTAGGGTTTAGGGTTTAGGGTTTAGGGTTTAGGGTTTACGGTTTAGGGTTCAGGGTTTAGGGTTAGGAAGGTAGGTTCTGGATTTATAATGGGGCTTCTAAGGGAATGCAGGGACTTTGTGATACAATGTCGGGATTGGATAGGTTGCTTGGGCCTAAGAGTCAGAAAGCCTCTCTACCAACCACTGGGACGTCTGTCGTGCAGAGACTTCCCCCCTGAACTGTTTTCTTATTTCTTAGGGTTTAGGGTTTAGGGTTTGGGGTTTAGGGTTTACGGTTTAGGGTTTAGGGTCCCGATCAACGAATCATCTCAGGGTTCATGGGTCTAACTACTCAACCATAGATCTCAGGCGCGGGCCCCTCCAAAATTAAATTCGACCACCCCAAACGCTTCAAAGGTCATACGCCCGGAAGGCCAGGCTGGCAGCCTCCCAATTACCCCTGAGGGTAATGAAGGTAGAGTTTAGGGTTTAGGGTTTAGGGTTTTTAGGGTTTAGGGTTTAGGGTTAGCAGTTCCTCCGGCTTCCCTGACCGTGCCTGAAGAAATCGGGTGCTCTCGTCGAACCGGGGGGAGTTCATCCGGGCGCTCAGAACTCGAACGCATCAGTTGCTACAGCTGCAATGGTAGCAGGTCGGGTTCCTGAACCATAGGGCAGTGAACTGTGTAACTAAGCATGGTGCTGCTGAAATACTCTGAAAACGGGTGGAAGCTGCCGTTGCTGGTCATGTTCTTCACGTGATCGTGAGATATACTTTCCCACTGAGGAAACAGCTGCCGAGGACAACAGCTGCCTCTTCGTGGGTGGAATGTGCTGGACAAGCGAAGCAGGTGCAAGCCCAGCGCGCAACGTTGTGCAGAAAATGCGCTGCTCTTCTCTCTCGACGACTGCAACACGTACTGTGAGCCCAGTCTGCTTTGAACTAACACGGATAAGATGTTACGTCTCAGAACCGACAGCATTTCCAAGCCCACATCTGCCGGGCAGACAATTCGCAACTCGTCACGACGCAGGTCGTCGCAATCCGACACTCGCCCATGAGCCCTCAACCCGAGTAGGGTATTTCAAATTGATGATCTCTCCATGTCCCCATGGACTTCCCATTCCCTGAAGTTCAACCCAACCCCCCCCCCCCCCGCCTTGAGAACAGCTTGGAGTCGCAAGTCACGAAGCTCGGAGGCAACCTGGCTCGGGCCGCATCTGATTCTCCTCCGTTCTTTGTATATATCGGCAAGGAGGGACCTCAAGCAATACCTTCCACGCAAACACGTCTCGAGCCCAAGCCCGTAGGCTGAACGAAAGCGTGCATGAAAACCTGTGCTGGCCGTACATCACTAGGGGGCGCAGTATGCCATGTGACGTCAGATGTTTGATCACCATGATCACGGAATGGCTTGGAACAGGCTGGGAGGATCTGGGAGGTGCTTTCTGAGGCGCACCACCCGACTTTTTGTCAAACCGCTCAAGCACTGAAGCACGAGGCATCGACAGCCAAGGTCCTATCTTCCTTCATGTCTTTCACACAAAGGCTGCTGCGATGGCCGCATGTTGTTTTAAACCCTGTCTCCAGATGAAGGGCAGACTGAATTGCTCAGCTAGAAACTATGACGGAACATAAGGTCCAAAACGAAGGGAAAGGCGCGACGCCTGCATCATCCTGGTCACTTACTCAGGTGCAGGCTTGCCTCACGCACGGACAAAGCTGACAACTGGCTCTTGTGCCGCGTAAGAAACTGCCTGACCCATTTGGGGTCATGCTTCGCGTACTCGCGGAGGGCCCAGCCAATTGCCTTCCGCACGAAGAAATCCTTGTCAGACGCATTGCTAACGATGTAGCTCTCAAGCCGCCTCAAGTCTGTCTGCCCTTTCAGTTTCAACTGGCACAGTATGGCTGTTCTGCGAAGCCAAAGATTGCTTGACACCGCCCACTTGTCCATCTCTTGCAGAAGTTCGGGGCTTGGCGAGCCACCGCCGCATGCCAGCAGATAGGGCGACATGGAGGAGGCAGCAAAAATGTCCACCGTGTCCCACCAGCTCTTCGTCGTGACGCCATGCTTCACAACCTCGGAGGTCAACTAAGACCAAACTTGAAACCCTGAAACCAAAGCCCCTAACTCCTAAACGAATGCAGGGTCTGGGGCGAGGTAGGCTTCAAACGCTACATTCTTGCCAATTGCTCACAGCCTCTGGCAGAAAATCACGTCCGACCAGACCCTTTCGCAGGAGTCCCGAACAAACTTCGGCGCCCACGTAGTGCAGCTCGCGCTCCTCACCTCCAGTGGTCTTTCTTTGTTGGTTTACGGCTTACGGGTTTAGATTTTGATGGGTTGGGGGTTTTACTGAGTACTGGTAGCAGCCAGTTCTGTTCAGGACAATCATTTTGGCCCAGGCATTATCTGACACGAAACGCTAAACCCTAAACCCTTTTGCAGCCCTAAATTTCCTAAATCCCAAAAAAAAACCCTTACCCCAAATCCTAAAAAAAACCTTTACCCTAAAATCCTAAAAAAAAAGCCTTACCCTAAAATCCTTAAAAAAAAAAAAAAAACCCTTACCCCAAAATGGCCGACCCCCCAAAACCCCAAAACCCCTAAAACAATCAAGCTGCAGGAGTAGAGGGCACTCAAAAGCTGCCGTGCCACGCCCTGGCAAGGCAACTGGAAGCTTGCAAGAGGCGCAAGGCAACAAGACCGCAGTCTAGGGTTTAGGGTTTAGGGTTGAGGGTTTAGGGTTTGGGGCTTAGGGTTTAGGGGACGAAACCACGTCGGGCATGATATGACAGTCCATGGCACCGTGGGCATTAGATTACTTCTGTGGCCGTAAAACTTCCCGTATCGGCAACCTTGTCGATTTCCTGCTGGCCGTGGGCATGCTTCCTTGGACAATGGGTTTAGATTCTGGGTTCTTGGCACATGCGGCTTTTCAGGGCGTGTGCAGAGGATGGGCTGCTTGCAGACTTGCAGACCTCATCGCGCCTCTCTATGCAGCCAAAGCATCCACGATCCGATGACCTCCCCAGCCAGCTGCCGACGTAAAGGCGCTTTGAGGCCGTAGTAGGGGAACTTGCCTTTCCTGATTTCATGGCATGCTTCCCTCTAAGATTCCCTACTTGGAGGTTCATGGTACTTATTAACCAAATATGACCGTACTAATAACCATATTAGGGCACTTAAGGGTCTTATAAGTGGGTTACAAGTACAGTTATAACTGGTTAATAAGTACCATGAACCTCCAGGTAAGCCTGCAGGTTCTGATCTTCCAACCTCCGAAGTCGCCCTGTGACACTAAGTGCTCAGCCTAGGCTCACATACCTTGTCATGTCGGCCGCATCTTTGCTATTCCTGTGCCGGCTGAAGGTACGCTGCAGCGCTGCCACCAGCTCAGCCACCATGCCGATGTGTCCGCCTTTTGCCGGCTTCCGCACAGGCAAAGCGGCGCCCGGGCGCTTGCGGGCTTGAGGAGGCATGGCTGGCTGTTGAGGTGAGAGGTTGGCACGGAGGCCAGGCAACATGAAGGCTGCTTCAGCTCGAGCGGATATGCTGCAGAAGGACTTGGACACCAGAATCGGCAGCAGAGCTGGGTGAACATAGCATCAGCATCGTGGAATAAGAAAGGGTGCCTTGCGGTAGTGTGCCCCGTCATGGTCGCGTTCATGGAAAGTCCAGTTGAACTCGACCTTACCAGTCGGATTCAGAACGCTCAGGAAGGCCCTGAAAAGCCAGGTGCCTCACATGCCTACCCACCTGCTGCCGAGTTGCCATGTCGTATCTGCGCCCAAAGTCTTTGGGATGGAGCCCACACCATCCAGAGGTGCCCACGGAGAGGCGCCCCATTTTGTTCGCAGACCGCCGGTGTCCGGCGTAGCTTCAAAGCAAATGCAAACAAACTCATGTTCAATGAGTTCGATGGGTCTTGAGTGTGTGTTCTGGTGGCACCCTTTTCGTAATCCTGAGGTTGTGTGGCACCTCTGCATGCAAGCTGCACTCAAAGATTCATCAGTTCTAGTCTAACTGCTGTCGCTGCCTTCTGAATTCTGCATATCCCGTGGGCCTGCACTTGGCGCCACCTCCCGTTCCTGACAATATCTCTTCTTTGAGGATGCCGAGTTCACCGGAAAGAGTTTACAAGCGATCAAACGACGATCCTGTATTGGGAGGCAAGACACACTAAACTGATGCCTCTCAGATCCGGAGACGAGGGTTTAGGGTTTAGGGTTTAGGGTTTAGGGTTTAGGGTTTAGGGTTTAGGGTTTAGGGTTAGGGTTTCCGACCAGCAGCTTGTCATGGCATGTTGCTATGGCGCATGGCGCGTGTCGTCTTGAAGTCGCAAGGGGGGCTTAACTCTCCAGCCATGATCCGCTTTTGCTCGCCAGGTGCGTCTGTGCTGTGGGTACCTGCCTGGAGTCGCATGTCGAATTCATGCCTGCCAAGGCCAGTGGGGTTTAGGGTTTAGGGTTTAGGGTGTAGGGGTGTTGGTAAAGGGTATTTAGGGGTGTTTAGGGGTGTTTAGGGGATAGTGAGTAGGACCTCTGTTTGGCAGTGAGGGGCGAGCGCTCAAGGAGTTCACGCAAGCAGGGTCTTTTGAAAAGCACACGTTGCCCAGGCTTCCGGTCTGGTCACAAAGTGCGAGCCGCGTCCGCGCAACGTGAGGAAACCAAGTCATGACTGTGGGACCAGGAGCCTGCGCAAACTGGGTTGCTAAGCGCACTTTACAATCTCACGAGCTGCCAGGGATTGTTCCTAGCTGCCGTCAGCTTGCTCAAGTTTGCGCTGTCTCGGCCGCAACTGTTCAAACCTGGTTGCACTGGCAGAGCCCAAGCAATCTGCATAAGTACATCGTTACACTTCATCACCATGTCTCGTCCCGGCTTGTGAGGGCAGTGCCGTCACTTGCCCCCGTAATGGCTGCACTACCAGGCTGTGGCCGCTGCATTGAAAGCGGAGCCGCAGCCCAATCCACGCAGACCTTTTGTACAGCTTCGGGGACCGGGGGAAATCCCTTAGAGGCTGCTGTAGGCCTGTAGGGTTTCCGGTGGGGTTCAGGGTCGTTTCTTTCAAAGGCACCTGCTTTTCCCAGTGTCCACGGGCCCGCCTACACGATAGGCGCGGAGCTCGGAGCTGCAGGCTCCTGGACCGGCTTCTGCCCCCAAAAAAATATTGCAGACGTTTCTGCGCCAGCCAGGGTTTAGGGTTTTTCTGCCACCCGTCAAGCCGAGCCCAAGTGAGCGAGATTTTCAAGTTTAGGGTTTTTGTTAGGGGGGGTTTAGGGTTTAGGGTAAGCGTCTCCCCTACTTTAGCCTAGCCCTTCCAGTCATCTTGTATCACCGTTCCCCGGCCTCGGAAGAAGGGGCCTCTGCTGGGGGAACAAAGACGGGAGGCTTCTCAGTCCCGACCTTGACCCACACAGTGCCTTGACATCTGAAGGCATCGGGTCAGTGAAAAGATGGGTGCCCGGCCATGTATGCCACAGTTTTGGCGCGCAGCTTACTGGCCGGAGGTGGAAAGTCAGATCATGTCCCATCCAAATTCTTCTTTGTGCTCTCTTCTCAGCTGACCAGCATGGTGTGGCAGAGCAAACTTGGGTCGAACGGTCCGAGTCACATATTGAGAGAAGCACCCTATCACCGCATCTTATCTCCATGTTTCGAGGCTTGGGAATCCAACTCAACGAGCCTGTATCGGTTGTCAAAGGCCAGGATCATGGTGCGGTCCTCATCAGCCTGGGGAACACTTAGTAGCATTGTCCGAAGGCTTAAGTCCATGTCGGCTATATGGGGGAACAGATGAAACAGAAAGACTTGAGCGTAGGAGAGCTTGGGCTCAGATAGGAGCAAGACCCAGGGAGCGTGGCCCGTATCCACATGAAGTCGCATGCGATGAGGGTGGTTGAGTCTGTGTAGCGCATCTAGCGTCGACCTGGTCTACCCACATGAAAAGGCAAACGAAGGCTGGGCACGGGATCTAGCTGAAGCTAGCTGCACCTTGCAACATGATTCCGATGACTTTACCACGCTTCGAACGTCTTTGATGCCAAGGACCCTGGGATGCCTGTGAGTGGACTTGGAAGATCTAGTACTTATGAACCAATTCTAACTGTACGTGCTTATAAGCATACCAGGGCACTTAAGAGGCGTATAAGTGGGTGATAAGTACAGTTACAAGTTTTTAATAGGTACCAGGTACCATGGACCTCCAAGCACGGCATGCGCATGTGATCTCTGCATCTGGCCAAGTCCACGGCTACCCAGCTGCCTGAGATTGTGTCCTTGTTGTCGTATCTTTCCGTGGCCAGGACCTGTGCTGGTCATCTTCGGTCAGGCCAGCTACAAATCAGCACCTGCTTTCGCAAGGGCCGGTCGCCCAGCCAGCTATGTATACTCCATGTATACGGAACTGAAGTGCGCAAGATGGTACGAGCAGCAGTTCTTAACAGAAGCCGCCTCCTCTTCTTGGGAGCCTCCCCAGACTTGGATTCGCATCCTGACCTCAAGACAGCATGCTGGACAGCAGCCGTTGTTCAAAGGCAGCTGGCTCACGCGAGATCGGCTTAACGGCTTTGCGACTCGGCGTCTCCCCATGAAGTGACATCGACAATCGTTTGCTGGGCTGCCAACTGCAAAGCCAATGTCATGTTCCTGCACATGCCAGGGCGAATGGTGGTGAGCAAAATCATGTCCGTGGGGCGTGCTACCCACACCAAAGCTCTTTCGTGGTTCTCTACCCTCGATGATGCAGTGATGCAGCACGCCTTATTCACCTTAGTCACTCAATAGTTACCAGGTGTCCCATGTGTGCTTGAAGTGCAGACCTTGACACGGAAGGTCCATCGCAGGGTCGAGCCCTTCGTCACGTGGTAAGCACCTGAGCACGAAGCTTCGTGGTCTCGGAGAGGCCGTTTTGGGTTTTCAGGTGCTGGCACTCCGAGCAGCCCTCACAATGCAACCCGATTCGGCCCTTGTACCCCCGGGCTGTGGCACAAGTGTGCTCGGTCCGAGCCGGCACAGACAGCTCCTCGGCGCCTGGCAGGTGCAGGACAGGATCCTTGCGAGATCGGGGGCGCCGTGCTCATGTGGATCTAGGGCGCCTTGGATCTTGATGTCCTTCCACTGCTCCTGGCTCTGCACGTCAGCGGCGCCCAATACTATTTCTCTGCCCGAGCATTTGGTGATGTAAGGTGTTGTAGGGCGTGCTTGCGCAAGGCATTTCCGGACATAATGATAGCTGCGCTGCATGGAATCAACTGTCAACTTCAGCATGGCAGGACCCTCTCCTCACGAGCGGCCATGTCCAGTGTGTCCCTGGCAGAGCCTCTCCATGCCATGGCACTCACCTGTCTCGGACAATAGACAGCGGATGGGGGGCTTCACGCAGCGTGCATTTCGTTGGTCGCAAAGCATTGGCGATGCAAGGATTGTCTATGCCAAGATTCTGCGTGTCATCGGAAACCGAAGCCAGAATGACGAATGACAAGCAAAGCGACGGGAACACCAGAAGAGCCTACAGGAATTCTAACAGCCGCAAACTTCTCCATGGCTTTCTCGGAAGCCCTCCTGACCTGCTTTTCTGGTGTGCCCTCATGCGTCACCCCTTAAGCTTCTCTGCTGTTCTTCTTCAGTACCTGAGGATGTCGCCTTCACACTAATCAGTAACCCTAAACCCTAACCTGTTCTACCCCTGGACAAGGCCTCTGGGACGTGTCTAGACCTCAGCCCTATAGCGGGCCCCAAACGCTTTGCTGGGTCTTCGCGCTTCTGGCAAACCTGGGGCCCGGGCGCCCTCGGTTCGAATTCTTTGGATACTGCCAGCGCCCTTCTCCCACACCTGGTCACTGGATGTCACCGACACTTAATGTGTCACTGGCGCCCCGCGTGGTTTGGCTTGAACTTGGGGAGGGTTTACATGGCATGGTTTGCGGATGTTAAGGAAGCACAAGCATTCACAATGGTCCTCCGCATCGGATTTTTCAGGACAGGTACTCCTATTTTTGGGATGCGCCAGGGTTCCCCCAAAAGAGTGTGCTGGAAGGTCGAACGATGGAAGGATCTGCAATGGCTGTTCAGTCACTTCAATCTACACGCCACCGCAGATATGATGCGTGAAGCCCTCTGATCACTGTGTGCTAATTACAATGGCCCGGAAGATTAGAAAGGTGAGGGCTTGCGGGTGTTGTACCAGAATCCTCTGCAACAGTCAAGATGTCTTGGAACGTGACCGTGCCAGCGCCCGCGCGCCACTCGCGCGTCCTTTCCTGCGCAGCTCGGGGGTCCATAAGCTTGTGGCGGCAGCCCAGGGGAAGTGGCAAGTGTCGGAATGGTTGAATAGAGTAAGAGTTGGTACGAATTCTGGGCGGGCACCTGGCCTTGACAGCTTCCAGACCTTGCTGCGTCTTCTCCATGACCACCTTCCCGGTGTCCTCCAAACTCTGCATTGCAAGGACTTGCAAACTTGCGTGTGCCAGGCGCTTCTTCTTTAGCCCCTGCGGCACAGGCCTTGGCAACTTCGAGACCCTTCTGCACGCGCTCGTTCTCAGCAATCTCCGAGGCTCTCCTGCAAAGTGACAGATCCTTAAAAAATTTGAGGGCGCGCGCAACTTGACGACATCGTGTGGTGTGCGTATGCAAGTCAGCTTCGCAACGCACAAGCCCGCCTCTTGGCCCACTCCACGCTCTGCTGAACTTTTTCATTCTCTGCCACCCGGTGCGAGACTTCCTGCAGCTGGACTTACTAAGGTGCCGGCACACTTGGCAAGTGCACACTTGGCAAGTTGCTCGGGCCTTTATCCTCTCGACGCCCTTCTGCACAGACCTTATTCGTAGTGGGCCAAGGCCGGTGCACAATTGCGCGAACATGTGGCAACAACATGTCGGACATTGACCGTTGGTGCGACGTGTCCCTCATCTTCATGCTGCCGGACGTTCTTGCCTGGGCTCTGGCTCGAGCTCGGCAACCCGCTGCACTGTGGGTGCCACTTTGTCCTGCCGGCTTGGTACTTGGAAACGCCCCCGAATCCCCACTGCTCTGGCAATGCTTCGGAATTCCTGAATTTCAGTGAAGGCTTCCCAACCCGTGTGTGCGAACATTCTGCATATGCGTGTATATTTGTGTATGTTTTTGGCTATACGTACTTGACTAAGCTTGTCATACTTCATTTTACAAGGCTACAGTGTATACTATACTATATACTGATTCCCTTGTAGTAAGGACCTCAATAAGGTAAGCCAATTTCGGAAACCCCCATATGGGGGTTTCCGAAAATAGGGGTACCCTTTTTGGGGGGTCGTTTTAAGGGGATTCTATTCTATTTGGGGTAAAAAAGAGGTACCCCTATCCTGGGAAACCACCATATCCTGTGCAAGATCTCCTCTGACGAGTGCGCCCCCCCCCCCCCCCCCCCCCCCCCAAACCCTAAACCCTAAACCCTAAACCCTAAACCCTAAACCCTAAACCCTAAACCCTAAACCCTAAACCCTTTTGCAACGGCCTTTAAACCCTAAACCCTAAACCCTAAACCCTAAACCCTTTTGCAACGGCCTTTAAACCCTAAACCCTAAACCCTAAACCCTCTACCCTCTAAACCCTAAACCCCTACTTAAAGAGGCGGTCCCGGAGCCGGCCAAAGAGACCTTCGCCATGAGACTCTGGAGCCTGCCAGCGCCCAGCCCCCAAAAGGGTTTAGGGTTTAGGGTTTAGGGTTCAGGGTTTAGGGTTTAGGGTTTAGGGGTAATTTTTCCTGGTTGTTCTATTTGTCTTTTTTTTTGGGGGGGGCTGTATAAGTCGTGTTTCGTGATTCTGCAGCGTGCAGCATAGAGTTTAACAGGGAACTCTGACAGAAGGGGAATAAAGCAGAGCATGCACTCAGCACCTCGAACCTCGCAACTGCTCAGCCACAAGCCTGCGCAGCCACAGCAAGCCCCTCGGCGGCATCGTCGCTCCCAACTGTAGCGGGAGCTGCATCCTGAAATCGCCATGTCTAGGTGCAGTGAAAGGGACGGGGCATTTGTTAGGCAGAACCTGGCTCCCTCAAATGACCTCCTGGGCTGTCCGGAGACACCATTGCGCTGTAGCCCCTAACCAGAGTCTGGTCTCGATTTAGCTGAGAAAGAAGCACCCGTCCTGCGCTGGGGCTTCGGCCACCTGCCCAAGCCCATACGGAGGGGATGGGGCAAATTCAAGGGTCAAAGGAGGAAGCTCGGATTGAACGGTTTGAACGTGTTTTTCTTAACATCAAGTAATATGCTCTTCGGATGAAGATGAGATAAGGATAAGGAGGAGCACGTTCATGTAGCGCAGCAGATTGCCGGCCTCCTCTAATTTCATGAACTAATCAGACGCTTTCAAAGTAGGTGACCTTTGAATTGGGACTCCCAATAGGAACGAACCAGCGATCACCCCACAATGCACGCTTTGGAGTTTGGAGTTCTTGCCTATGCCTGAAAGCACTGAGAGGATTGCCTCTTCGAACTGGGAAGAAAGAATGCGTCGCCTGCGCAACTACAGGAAGTCCCTCAGTCGCATCGCCACTGCCAGCTGCAGCGTAGCCGCCTCCCCCTGCTTCCTGAAACCCAAGCACACCCCAAGCACAACAAGCACGAGAGGCATAGGGTGGGGCTCAGGTGTCTTCTGCTTGGCTTTACCCTGTGGTTTGGGTGGTAACGGTTTGCTTTTGTTTCAAGGCTCACTCTCGCACACCGCCAGCCTTGTTTGGGGCTCAGGGATGTTTAGGGACTGCCATGTTCCGTGTTCAAGGCGTCGCGTCCTGGCACTGCACATACTTCAAGCTACAATAGGAAGATTTAACAAGCTTAGCTTAAAACCACCTTTGCAGTATGCCTGTTGCTGGAGCTTGCCATCTCATCATTGTTCTGCCGTCCGACTTCGCGTGTGAGAAGTGGAAGAAGTGCAAACGTGCAAAAGCAAAGGGGCCAAACCTCAACCCCAAACCCCTAAGCCCTGAACCCTAAACCCTAAACCCTAAACCCTGTCCTGCGCCGATGCTTCAGGCATCTGCCAAGAGTCAGAAGGCTTTGTGGGGTTGCTCTAATCTGAGGGTTGGCACCTAAGGGCTTCAAGGCTTAGGGGTGTAGGGTTCAGGGTTTAGGGCTTAAGTTTTAGGGTTTCGGGTTTCGGGTTTGGGGGAGTAGGCTTTAGGGTTTTACGCAAGGATTCCAAGCGCTTCTGATGACAAGGACACTGAGGTACGCCGATAGTTCAAGGAATGATCCGCTTGAGACTCCCAAGATCTTGATCCGAAGCCGACACCTGAACTGGCCCGACCCCCTCCTTGGTAACCAAAATCTCGCCTTTTTCTGGGTTCAGAGTCTAAGGTTCAAGGTCTAGGGTATATGGCAACTTGCCAGTTCCAGCGAGTTCGCTCCAACAAACCATAAGCCATGACCCCCACATCCCAGAGTCTTGAAAAAGCAGATCTCCAGCTCCAAATCTGGATGCGAGTACAGCTAGTCCTTCAAAACCTCGAAAACGTCAGCTCTCTGATTCTGGGAGTCGCACCATGGTGGGCAGGGGAGCTTCGACGCGAGTGGCTGCTGCAAATCCGAACCCCTGTTGAGCCAAGTCTGGGCATGTTGACAACTCTAAAGGGGCACCTTCCAACAAGCCAGGGTAGGGTCCTTGGAGCGTCTTGGGGTTCAGCCCTAAACCCTAAATCCTAAGCCCTAAACCCTAAACCCTAAACGCCCCTGTTTGCCTAAACCCTAAACCCTAAACCCTAAACCCTACACCCTAAACCCTAAGCCTCATGAAACCAGCAGTCTCTTCGGACGAAACGCGGGCCCGAACCCGCGAAACCCTCAAAAACCTTGGCAGAGAAACCGTCGGCCTACGCCCTGGGGGGTTTCAGGATCTCGCGGGACCTCAAGTCAAGAGGGTTCAGGGTTTATAGGGCATCTGCAGCACCATCTCCGAAGAGCGAATCGATTTTTTTAGGGGTTTAGGGTCTACCAGCTTGGGCTCTGCAGCCCTGTAATCCCCCTAACCAACCCTACAAAGGGTCTTTTTAAGGGGTTCTAGGGTATAACATATCATAGCCCATGCAGGTAGGGTTTGGGGCATTAAAAAGGTGCGGCGTCACGATTCCTTTTTGCGCGCATGCACGCCGAGCTGCGGTGGCCAGGGTAGGGGTGGAGACCGAAAATACATTGAACATAGGGTTTAGGATTTAGGGTTTCGGGTTTAGGGTTGTTTGTTTCTTGTCTAGGGTTTAGGGTTTAGGGTTTAGGGTTTAGGGTTTAGGGTTTAGGGTTTAGGGTTTAGGGTTTAGGGTTTAGGGTTGAGGGTTGAGGGTTGAGGGTTGAGGGTTTAGGGTTTAGGGCCTTCCGAGGTTCGCGCGTGCTCGGGAGCACCCGGCCATCAAGCGATGGGCAAGTCCAAGAACTTGAGCTGTTAGAGTCCGTCTCTCCAGACCGTGAAGACCCATAAGGGTAAAGAAAAACGATGAACAAGAGTAAGAATGTGTAAGAATCATAAAATATGTGTCTATATGTATACGTAGCGCGCCTGCCTAGGCAACGACCACGCACTGGCTTGTGAGGGTTTAGGGTTTATAGGGTTCATCGGGTTTATCGGGTTTATAGGGTTTATAGGGTTTACAGGGGTTATAGGGTTTATAGGGTTTAGGGGAGCTTTATTTGCAGTTTTGTGAGCGGCAGACCTTTTGCGCGATGCCTTCATCCGAGAGCCCTGCCATGAACTATGAAGCAGGAGCAAACTCCCAGGCACAATCTCGATGTTCTGGCATCGAGGGCCTGACATGCAGTAACCCATTGAAGCTAAACCCTCGATATACCCTTCGGGCTGCGCGAATCCACTCTCTGCTACTTCCCGAGTGGGCGGCCACAGCTGCAGCGCATTGCCTTACGCAAAAGTTGGGGCAAGATGTGGTCAGTTCTCTTAATTATGGTCCCTGTTGGGGTACCTTAAATACCAGGGGCCGCCTTATAATAAGGACCCCAAAAGGGACCATATGTTAGAGGCATCGCGGGGGCTGCAGGCTCTGGGCTTCCTTATTATTATTCTTTTTATTCTCTCTCTCTCTGCCGCGCCATCCCCGAGGGTCTTGCTTCTCTTCTTTTATTATTCTTTTATTATTTTTTATGATTATCATTATGATTATTATTATGAAGATTATGATGATTATAGTTATGTCCGAGGCCATGGCTCATGGCACTCTGCGAAGCTGCATGGTCTCCCAGATGTTGGCTGAGCACGGCCTTACCAGCATGGGCTATTAGGCCGTACAATCCCCCTAACCAACCCTACAAAGGGCCTTTCAAAGGGGTTATAGGGTACAATAGCCCATGCAGGTAAGAGGCAAAAGTACAGCAGCAGTCTCTGCGCCATGCAGCTGCACTTGCTTCGTAGCACACTTTGAACATAAATGGAAGGGACCCACGGCTGAACCACACAGACTCGGCCCCATGCAAGGTTGGCCCAGTATTGCCTCGGGTCACCCTCTGACTGTGCTGTGCAGCGCCGTATTCCCTGAACGCATCCACCAGCTGTAAGTGCGAAAGGCATAGCGCAAGCCAAAAATGTGACACAATCATCAGAGAGAGAGAGAGAGGAGAGAGAGAGAGAGAGAGAGAGAGAGAGCGAGAGCGAGACAGAGAGAGAGAGAGACAGGATCATACAGCCAGAACGCCAAACAATTGCTCTTCCTGCGTCCAAGCTTCGGATTGTCAGGGTTCAACGATACGGCTTTGCGAACGGCCCGGGCCTCTCTGCAAAGCTCAGTCAAAGCAGTGCCATACGCGACGGGCGTGACTTGACTGGCGTTTGTTCCCAAGAGTTTCTGCAGCAGTATTGCCTCTTGTTGCAGGCACAGTAATTAATTAATAATTGATTAATAATTATAATCTAATTAATAATCAATAATTAATTATTATTTAATAATAATTAATTACCTAATAATTAATTACAGGAACTTGTATTTAGCATGTGCGACAGCTGGGTTCGCCACGCCGTCGTGCAAGTTCATCTTGGAAGCCTGGTTCCGCAAAGGTGAACGGAACAGGGCACCTTTCTGTTCGCCTTGCCCCTCTAGGGTTTAGGGTTTAGGGTTTAGGGTTTAGGGTTTAGGGTTTAGGGTTTAGGGCTTGCTTCAGCACAGCTGGGACCGAGACCAAGCAGCAGCCGAGGTTGTTCCATCCCTTCGCAAAGTCGGGGTTTAGCCTCATTTCAGGAGCCAGGGCTTGCCTTCGTGGCTTCTGCTCCTCAAGTGGCGCTCTGCTGTACTGCAGGCTCTGTTGCCAGGATTGTGGCACATCTCAAGGATGGCACATTGCCGCCATAAGCAATGTCGGAGTAAGGGAACCCTAAACCCTAAACCCTAAACCCTGGAGGTTCCAGCTCCGAGACCACGGCTGAAGGGCAATTTGCAACCTGCCAAAGCGAAGCTCCGGGCCCATCTTGAAAAGGGGCTTACAGAGACACTTCAGTCTTGAAGGCCATATTAATTATGAGGGTTTCCGAAAATATAGGATACCCTTCTCGGGATTCCTTCAAAAGGATTACAGCGTTTCGGGGTATGTAAGGGGTACCCCTTTCGCCGGACATCCCCATACTCGCCTACGGCCCTCACAACTCACAACAACTCCATACAACTTCACTCAACCGCACGTTGAAGCAAGATCTGGCCTCGTTGCTGCTTGGTCGACTTTCCTTTGGCAGCATGACACGCAGCCAAAGTTTATGGCGACTTAACTGTATGGGGCCCGAATACTCACGAGTTGTAGTGGCTGAGTCCTCATTCCGAAACGAAGTTGCAGGCAGGTGTCCCATTCTGAAACATGGCCAGCGCGAGGTCGTGAAACACCTGGCATGGCTTACACGATGGGGATGTTCCCCCTTATGCTAGCAGTCCTTAAGGGATTATAGTACCCCTTATTATCATCCCTATTAAGGACTGCTAGTATAAGGGGGAACATCCCAACTCCCACGGCACGTTCCACGAAAGATGTGGCATGGACCCCCGGCTCTGTGAGTCAAGGCCAATGCTGGGCCAATGCTACTCGAAGCTGTTGTACCTACCAATGGCTTAAGAACCCTCCAAAAAATGAAAAATGTTCTTCCTTGTAGGGGTAATATGGGGATTATTGTTTTTTGGGAGGGTTCTTAAGCACATAGTAGATACTAAGCCTTTCCTTCTGACCGGCTTGGCATGAGTCGCGGCCCGCGCCCAATGATCTTTTGCAGAAGAGAGCCTTGGCTATCGCAAGCCTAGTCGCAGTCCAAGACCACCACTTCGTCCTGGCCGGATGGCCGAAGGAGGGAAAAACCGCGGCGCTCGTTGGCTTTTTGCCCATCCTTCTGCTTTTGCTGTGTCCCCTGGATGACTTGGACGTCATCCAACGCAAGTTGATCCACATCCGGATCTTGGAAAGGGTCGAAGAAGTGCTCGTCGAGGAAGGTGACGCCACTCCCTGCTTCGGCGTCTGAGAGGGGCAGGGCCGTATCCGGGGCCGGCAAGGGAGCCGGCAAGCCTAAAGACTCCTTCCGCTGCCGTGACCGCTCCTCATCACGGTGCACCCAGGAATACACATGCTGCAGGGCCTCCTTCGTGTCGTCCGGAAGCTCCATGAAATCTGAGGCGCTGATGAGATCGTCCAGCCCTGTGCCTCGGCATCGGGACGATTACTGAACGCAGGAAGTTGTCGCGATTCGTAGAGTTGATTCTATCAACATGGCAGTGAAACTTTAAATTTTAAACATCACCCCAGTTGTGTGAACATTGGGCCAAAAACTTTCTGCAACGACAGCGAAGTACATCGTGTGGCCGCGGCATTCTGAGCCCTCTGCGCGGCGCAGCCGCCAAAGGATTTGTTGTCTGCCCAGTAGCAGTATGTCATACACTTCAAAATACGACCTCCCGCATTGCGTGTCTGCACATTCAGACAGACATCCTCGAAAAGTCGCAGCTGTGGTACGTACTCCACCTGCAGCTTCGCAAGCTCCACAAGATTCAGGAGGACCACCTTGAAGACAGAGGTGCTGTCGAGAGCCCACTGTGCAGACTTCATCGGTGCTGTGCCATCATCACGTAGGAAGCCACAAATCGCGCAGACTCCCCGCGAAGCTTGCCTTTGAACTGCCAGCATGGCTTCAGCAAACATCGCGCCCTGGGAACGTCGCTCAGTCTTCCGCCCTGTGGGCTTGCAAAGTGGCGTGGCCGGGACCAATGCGCCACGATTGAGGAGCCGCTCTTCCTCCTCCTGGAGAAGCTGCGCCGACAGGGGATCGAGCCTGTAGAAGCTAGTGATGCTGTCGTCCACCAGCCAGCAGTATCTCATCTGGTGCACGGGCCCTAGCTGCCCTAGCTCGTGGGAAAGTTCGGTGCGAAAGCCCGAGGAAATCTTTTGGATACACCAGCGCACAAAAGCTGGGCCCATGTCGCTCTCTGGCAAGACAAGCAGTGGCAGGTCTGCCCAAACTTCGCGATACTCGTTGGCCTCCGATGGCTCCACAACTGCAACAACGAAGGCGCAGGGAGTTTGCTCATCAGTTTTCTCGAAGGCCTCGCGACCAAAGCAGTGCGCTGCTCGCCAATTCAGGTGGGCATCTTTGGCACGGCCTTTGGTTGGAATAAAAACTGGGTAAGGTTGCCGCGGCAGTGAGTTAGGCCAAGACTCAAACCACTGGCACCATTTTAACAGGGAGTCGATCGACTCTTGTGCGGCCCACAACGTCAGGCGCAAACTCTCTCTCGAGCCATCTGGGTTACTGTATGAGGCTGGCTGGCCCTGGGATCTGCGACCCTCCCAGGCAAGCAAGGCCACCCGTTCCAAAGGCGGCACCTTCGTCTCTTCGGGCATTTGCAGGGCCCGACGGAACCGATCTTGCTTGAACTGTCCCCATGTGTGAGTGTACCTTGATGCACTGCCCTCAGAAACAACACTCACGCACACTGAACGAAAGCACCCCGTGCCATATCCACGGTCCCAAAGCTCTGAAAGCACAAAAAGGCCGGAGAATTAAATTAGGATTTTTTGTTTTTTTTGGGAGTTTTTTTTGTTTTTTGCTTTAGGGTTTAGGGTTTAGGGTTTAGGAATTAGGGTTTAGGGTTTAGGGGTTTAGGGGTTTAGGGGTTTAGGGGTTTAGGGGGTTTAGGGTTTACCAGTAGCAAGAACAAAAACGAAAAAAACTCCCTAAAAAAAACAAAAAATCCTTAAAAAATAGACCTCCAAATCCGAGCCTCATCACACCATTTCATTCCAAGGCACCGGCCCTCCGCGATCTTTTGCTTCATGTTCCGCGACCTCTGGAGACCCAGCAGCTTGGCATCCACCCTTCCGTAGCGTGGAGAGACGTGGAGCACAGCCAAGGCCCTCCTTAGTTGTCCAGTACCTAGGGGTTTTATAGGTGAACCTTTGGGATTTTAAGGGGAATATAATTAACCCAAAAAAGGTTAAAGGTTACCTACTCTACAACTAAGCCTCTTCCCAGCCGGCTGCAACCTCCTCTTTGCTCTGAGGTAGAGTTGCGAAAGATGTTGCATAAGGGAAAGGGGCAGGATTTTAAGGGACACATCACCCAGAAGCTGAACTCAGTGGGCAACTTCAACCTCTACCAGGCCACCAGAGTGTACGAAGTTTTTTAAGGCGTGCGAAAAACCTCTCTACACAACTTCACCGCAGCCCGGTCGGAGTGCCCCGAGCCCCCCGTCCTCCTCATCCTCCATGTCTTCAGTTGCCAGCGCATGCGAAAGCGCATCTGCGAGCGAGCCGTGGCCGCGCTCAGGGTGGTGGTGGCCAGATCTGCCAACGCCTCAGCTTCGCTTCAGCTGTGGGGCTTGGGGGTCCAGCTGCTACGCTTGGGGGAGCTGCACCAGCGCATCTTACTGCAGTATGATGGTATTGTATTCTAATGTTTGAAACTATTCGTATTCTACTATACTTTGTTATATTATTATATTACTTCTTCTATTGGTATACTACAATACTGTTATGATAGTATCTTGTTCTGTAAACATAGCATGTTCTTATATGTTTATGTATAGAGCATTTTGGGGAAATGTTTGCAAAAGGGGCAGGAAAGTGGAGTGTGGAGACAAGTCAGCCAGAACTTGGCCGGAGGCACAGGGTGTGTAGGTGCAACTGTTACCTCTGTGCAGAAAGGCCAAAACCGAAAAAATGAAAACAAAACCCGAAAGCCCTCGAAACCTGAAGAATGGGGAGGGGTTTCGGATCTAGGGTTTTGGTTGCCACCAAGCAAGAACAAGCAGCCACACAGGGTTTCGGGTTAAATTAGGGTTTGGGGTTTAAACAGCCTGTCATTGAACTCACTACGGCAAAGCACAAGCCCCCCAGACGTGGTCAACCGAAGCCTCAAGCTGCGACAACTAACACATTCGTTGAGGCATTCGGGTTGAACTGTACGGAAGCCGTCAGTAGCACAATGCACACGTTTCACATGCACGTCCTCCTGCGCATGCGCGCTTGCCCATCTTGCGCCGCAGCGGTGGTTGTTGCAAGTGCAATGGCCCCGAATGTCTGTATATAATGTATATAAAAAGAGATATAAATAAACATCCGCTGAGATTGCTTTTGCCCTCAGTCTTGCTGCCGGTGCGTGTGTGCGTGATTGGCTCGACCACACTGCCCCCATCTCTGAGCGAGTGCCCCCAGCTTATTACCTCGTGAGAGATCACAGAGCACAGAGGCCAGAGGTTCTCTTCCTGCGAAGTGGACTGTCTTGCCAGCGACCAATTCCAACCCAAGCTGCCCGGCTTGGGGGGGGGAGGAGGGGGGGGGGGTGGGGGGAGGGTGGGGGGGGGTGGGGGGGGGTGGGTGGGTGGGGGGGGTGGGGGGGGGGGGGGTGGGGGGGGGGGTGGGGGGGGGGTGTATGGGGGGGGGGGGGGGGGGATAGGAAGGGGGGGGGGGGGGTGGAGGGGGGGGGGGGGAGAGGGGGGGGGGAGGTGGGGGGTGGGAGGAGGAGGGGGGGGGGGGGGTGGGTGAGGAAAAGTGGGGGGGGGGGGGGGGGGGGGAGGAGGGGGGGGGTGGGGTCACCTTGCCCTCTAATCCCCCCGCTCGGATGGAGGGGCCCGGAGCGTTGAACTCGGTGCTGGAGCCCCGATGGCGCTTGCGGAGGGGCAAAGAAGGTGAGAGGGCCCGTTTCCGTAGGCCGGAGGGCACCCCAGGTCGACACTCACTCACTCACGATGTACATAAACGATAAAATGTAGTGTTTTGTAAATATTGATATTTATGAAAGAAAAAAAGTAGCAGGACCACTCTAGGATTCACTATTTTTCCTTCACACAAACGTAAAGTGCTAGGAATAACCATATTTTGCAGATTCAGGAAACTACGTCCAGTCCAGTCCAGTCACAGTTCCGTTGGTACGCCTATAATTAGGGCAAGACTGCCGTGCCCCCCGGCACGTATACGTCATGCATCCCATGCTCAGAGTAAGCATCCCCTTCCTGCCTTGGCTGAAGACGACCGCTGTAGGGAATGGGGCGCTAGGCGCTGGTGTTTAGGCCGGGGACAGCCGCACCTGACGGGAACGGCACGGCTGGGTTTGAGGGTCTACGTCGTTTGGGGCTCAAGCTACTGTTCAAGCGGGCGCACTTATGTCGACTAGACCGCGTAAAGGAACATACACCGTGCTTCGATAGCTCTTGAACATCTAAAGCGGGCCGACCACTACACTGACACCCAGATCTTGGATCCCTAAACCCTATACCCTAAACCCTAAACCCTAAACTTTCAGGGCACTCCCGTTCCAAAGCTGCCAGCTGCTCGTCCAGTGAATAGAGTTCAGCCTCCATGGCCTGTCGAGAAACTCATGACGCTGTAAACGGGCTTAGGGCTTAGGGCTTAGGGTTTAGGGCTTAGGGCTTAGGGTTTAGGGTTATCTGTCAGGATGCCACGTTCCAAATCTGCGTGGGGTCAGGGTTTGGGGTTCGAGTAGCTTTATGGCAGTTTATGGTCCCTAGCACATGCGGTTTAAAGCCAGGAAGGACTGTCTTGCGAGCGCAATGTAATGCAACGACCCCCCCCTTCCCCATCATTATGTTTTGAGCAAGGTCTCTCTCCTTTATTAGTCTCTCTCCTTTACTATTCAAAGGCACAAAATCTGACGGCTCTGCCTTGACCGCCTGGCCTACCGCTTGCAGATGGCGCCGCCGAGCCCGCACAGGGCCATCAAGCTCTGGCCGCGCCATCTTCAGGAGCTTCTAGTCTCAAGCCGTGAATTCTTAATCTTAGTCCCTATTTCGCTCCCATTATATAACCCTTATACAGTTACATATACATATTTATATGTACCATATATACTAAGAACTATAGTTGAGGGCTTGCGCTGACAGGTAGCAGGGAACTGGAGGACAAGCTCAAGTACGCATTGTGACTGCTTGAATGTGAGGGAGCCTTTAGCCCTTGGTATCCTCTTGCTTCATGCAGAATAAGCTACAAGCATGCGCAGCCTGGGACGGCTGATGCCATGGCATGGGACGAGAAAAAAGCGAGTGGAAAGTGCGCTTCACCCAACGCGGGCTCCAGGCTCTGCAAGTTGCAAGTGAACAGCATGAACTTACTGCTGGTTAGTATGGAATGGGGGCATGAGGTACCCTATATAATCCCTTAAAAGGGTATATATGGGGCCCTAATTCCCTCATTCCCTGCTAACCAACAGTAACTGAACTATAATGACCTTCACATTACTCAACAGTGTAGCGGAGAATAGCATCATGATCCTCAAGCCGCGCAAGTCGCCTCCTCATCGCGAACCATCAAGCTCGCACCAAACTTGTCAATCGCAGCAGAGAGCCATCGCTCCTAAGTACAATAGCAGGCGGACGGTCCCCGCAGGTATGCTTTTCCGAGCTAAGGGAGCTTCAAAACGTGGCCTCCCATCTCAGCGCGCGGCCGCCGATTCGAAGCGCTGGCGGAGGATCTCGATCTGGCCAATCCGGAAAAAGGGCCTGGGACATCAAGGGCTGGAAAAGGCAGAGGAGCCTCAAGAGAACTGGCTAAATCCCGTGTACAGTATGGGCGGGCTTGCGCACTCACAGGGCAACTATGACTGGACACATCTGCTCTGCCGCGCACAGTGAGAATCTACATCACCCCCCACACACACATGAAAATCTGACCTGGAAAGCTTCGGTATCCCAGATCCTCCTCAGCCCTTTACGGCATAGACTCTGCAAGCCCTGTGCCCGCGAAAAAGAGAGGCTCTGTGAAGGGCCCTGGCAGTGAACTAAGAGGATCTGCCCAAGCACAGCGCACCAAAGCACTAACCGCGGCATCCCACTCCTGAGCAGTGCTTTGAAGCACCAGGCTTCCCGGGAACTTTACGTGAACGCTGATGCCGAGGTTCGATGAGGTTCGTGGGGTCACTCCAAGCACCCCACAGGAAGTAAACTGAAACAACCTGAAAGCTTGAGCTCCTAAAATTGCAGGATCTACGTCCGGCATTGTCCCCGCCCTGCTCGGTGCGGGACCTGCATCTGCATGAAGGTGATGCCGAGATTGAACTGGCAAAGTGCATGCTGAGAGCATGCAAAACCATGGCTTGCTAATGCTGGGTCGTCCACCCTTGTTTTGAGTACATAGAGGGTACACAAGGGTCCCCAATTCAGGGCCAATGTTTGGCCTACTGTTGAAGTGAACCCCTAGATTACACAGCGCCCAGAGTCCTGCAGCCCTGTGGCCAACTGACATTGTCTCAAGGGGCCTGCGTCTTGCTCGAGCGTGGTTGGCGTGCACCATCCCGAATGAACAGGGTCTCCGACTGAGTGTGAGGATCAGTGCGCTTGGTGCGCAAAACGAGAGCAACATCAAACAAGTTGCATGGAGTCAAGCGTCAAGCAAACTCATCAACACATCATGATCACTGTCATCGTTGGCGGCGGCGGGAGCAGCAGCAGCAGCACCACCACCACCACCACCCCCACCACCACCACCACCATCATCACAACCGTAGTCGTCATCACCATCTAAAAAGGACGACAGTAGAGACAGCGCCAGCACTACACGCAAGGACTGCGCAGCGACTACCACATGCAAGTGGCTGCATGGTTTGGAGGCGATGCCGGCGAAAAAGTGAAAACACTTGATCTGAGGCGGCTGCATCCTGCCAGTCGTTCACCCGCAGCACTGTGCGGAGAGTGAGCGCAGCACATGCGCAGCTAACCTGAGGATCTCTCTCTCGCGCTAGCTTTCTTCTCTTTCTTTCTTTATCTCTCGTCTTTCTTGTTATTTCTCTCTCTGTCTCTCTGTATTCTTCCTCTTCTTCTTCCTCTTTCTCTTCCTCTTCCTCTTCCTCTTCCTCTTCCTCTTCCTCTTCTTCTTCCTCTTCTTCTTCTTCTGCTTCTTCTTCTTCTTCTTCTTCTTCTTCTTCTGCTTCTGCAGGGCTTGGAGGACAGGGCAAATGCCCCTGTTCTCATAGTCATAGTGTCTCCCTTCAGTCCCGCTTGTAAGGGTTCCGCTGGTACAGCAAGCAACCATCGCCGAAACCAAGCCGGCCGGTCGGTGCCAATCGCATCCCCAACCCTCAAAACACTGATGCCCCTGTAACTGCGCAAAGAGCCCAGTATCCCGGAATTAAGCCTGAATATACCCAAAAACTATCATTTGTAAAGGCATCCTTACTAGAATTTCAGGAATATTCCTGAATTAAGGGGTATTGGGCTCACCCTAACCCCTAAACCCTAAACCTGAAACCCTAACCCCTAGACCCTAAACCGTAGACCATAAACCCAGATGGGAGGCTCAGGCAAGGGCCAAGACCACCACCTTGAATGCGCGCTGCATCGCCTTCACCCAACCCCCCCCCTATCCTCTCATCCGTCCTTATAACAGGTAGATACAAATGATGTTGGTACCTTTGTGTGTATGTATGTATGTATGTACGTATGTATGTATGTATGTGTGTGCATGTATGTATGTATGTATGTATACATATTCATATTCTAGGGGATATTTCGGGCCGGCATTTGCATACTTGAGGGAGGGGGGCAGCAGCAGGAATCCGCGACGCTCGGCCTTTCTGCGAAGAAGCATCTCATCATCTCAAGTCTCAAGCCCGCACCGGAAAGTCGGGATTCCGGTTTTGGGGGTTTTAGGGTTTAGGGTTTAGGGTTTTGGGGGTGTAGGCCGTGGGTAACACTGTCCCTGTGCCCCCGCCCCATAAGATGGACCCTTAGAGGCTATGCTGCACAAGCTGGACATGCGTGCCTTCTAAACATATTGGTTTCAAACGAAACACCGAAACACGTCCATTCTGCACCGCAGAGTGAGCATAATGTGTCCGCAAGACTGAGGGCACCCCCACCCCAACCTCAGCAAATCGGATCTCCCAATGCTATGTGTGGCTGTCTGGGAGTCGAGAGTACGGTTCGCATGACCTGAAAACTTAACAAAATTCCAAAATCACACACCAATGTGCTCCTGCTGAATCAATACTCGACATTACCTTTCACCACCCTTGCTTATTAAGTATTCTTACCGAACAGGTTGGCCTCAGCACGCCCGCTGCCGACACCCCAGCTGCGGATCTCCTGTCGACAATCCGCAGGAAGGTTGGGTCACACTGGGTGCAAGCCATGCCTGCACCCCAGCCGAATCACCAAGCCTTATTCAGACTAGATCCATCTATATATATATATATTCAGAAAGCGTATATATATACATATATATATATACATGTCTGGAAAGCACAGCATGGCTTTATGGGGGGGGGGGGGGGCTGGTTTTGATTGACTCTAGCAAATTGCCCCCCAGACCCAGATCAGCCCCCCATACGCCTGAGGAGCTCCAGCACGACTAAAGTGCTTGGTGCCATTCTGCTCTGGACCTGTGGAGGGCATCCCAGGAATTCTTGATCCCGTGTAGGCTTTAGGGTTTAGGGTTTAGGGTTTAGGGCTTTTTGCCCTTTAGGGTTTTATCTATCGAACATCCTCCCAGGGTCCATGTACCTATATAGTATATGCTTGGGTCTTAAAGGGGTTCCCGTATTATACCAGTAGTTTTGAGGCCCCAGTGTATACTTTATCGGCGGATCTGACCCGTTGAGGGTTCTTGAGAAGATTGCTTGCAGGCGTATGCAAGAAACAACCCAAAAACAGAAGCCTGAACCCCAGGACCTCAGGCCCAAACCCTAAACCCCTAAACCCCTGTAACCCTGAAATCCCTACACCCTAAAAATCGAACTCAGGCTCTTCTGTGCATGGAGAGACCCAGCCTCCTCAAGATGTTCAGGGATCGGGTTTTAGGGTTCAGGGTTGAGGGCCGCAAAACCTGTTGGGCAAGAGGGGTAGGAATAAGTAATCCCATGGGATTTGGGTGAGTTTAGAGCCTCTCAGCCCTTTGGCCTAACGCTAAACGCTAACGCTTGCACGTTCTGCGAGAGGGCTTCTGAAGCTGAAGCAGCTCCTCTCCTCCTCCTCTCCTCTCCTCTCCTCTCCTCTCCTCTCCTCTCCTCTCCTCCCCTCCTCTCCTCTCCTCTCCTCTCCTCTCCTCTCCTCTCCTCCTCTCCTCCTCTCCTCCTCTCCTCCTCTCCTCCTCTCCTCCCCCCTCCTCCTCTCCTCCCCCCTCCTCCCTCCTCCCTCCTCCCTCCTCCCTCCTCGCTCCTCCTCGCTCCTCCTCCTCCTCCTCCTCCTCCTCCTCCTCCTACTACTACTACTACTACTACTACTACTACTACTACTACTACTACTACTAGGCGTCACGTTCTTAATTGATCGCAAGGGTTTTGTGGCGTGCAATTTTCGTGTTAAGAGACGAAAACCTCGGTATTTACAGTGTTTCCTGGCTTTGTCCGTTTACGGACACGAAAAATGGACGTGTAAAAAGTCCCGCAAACTACTTTCAACTACTTTAGGCGCAGGAGGAAAACATCGGTATTTACAGTGTTTTCGGGCTTCAAAAACGGTCAATTACAGGGCCTACTTTGCGCAGACGTGTTCTCAGAACAGAGGAAAAGACCGGTATTTACAGCGTTTCGCGGGTTTTCTAAGATGTGGCCAAACTTGTCCTTAAACCCGAACGCCTCCAGCAAGCCGAACAGTCGTGCACCTTGAAATCCGAAACCCCGAAACCTGAAGCAAGCCCAAGAGTCGTGCACCCTTAAAATCTCAACCCCACAGCGTCAAGCACGTCCCCAGAAAAAACACAAAACATCTGGAGCCTGAAACCCCAAACCCCATGTGTACCCTGAATGACAAAGCAGTCCCACAGTGCACCCCCAAACCTTAAATCCCATAGAAGAAGCCCAAAAGTCCTTTCACCTTACAGCCTCAACCCCAAACCCTTCCCTTAAACCCTCAACCCCAAATCCCAAAAAAGCCCAGAAGATCCCTAAACCCTCCACTGTGAATCCCAAAAAGCCGAAAAGATCCCGAAACCCTCCACTGTGAGCCCAAAAGGTCTTACCCTTAAACCCTAAACCCCAAATCCCAAAAAACCTCAAAAGGTCTCTACCCTCAAGCCCCAAACCCTAAACCCTCCACTGTAAGCCCAAAATGTCTTGCCCTGAAACCCTAAACCCCAGATGCCAAAAAAACCAAAAGATCTGTAGGCTGAAACCTCAAACCCCATATTTCCACTGGAAGCCCAAAAGGTTCCCAAAAAAGCCCAAAAGATCTGTACCTGCAAACCCTAAACCCTCCACTGTGAGCCCAAAAGGTCTTGCCCCTAAACCAACCAAAAAAAAACAGAGGAAAACAGTAGACAGCGTGGTCAAGCGTGCACAAAGCCCAGCACGACCCCCATGTGTGCACAAAGCACAGCACGTAATTACCCCCCCACCCCCCCCCCCCCAACCCCTCAGCATGGTCATGTGTGCACAAAGCACAGCACGTAATTACCCCCCCCCCACCCACCCCCCCCACCCCCCCCAACCCGTCAAACGCAGAAAAAACCAGAGAAAACGATAGAAAAAGTCAAAAAACAACAGAAAACACCATGATCAGTTAAGAGCGTGTCAACTACTACTACTACTACTACTACTACTACTACTACTACTACTACTACTACTACAACTACTACTACTACTACTACTACTACTACTACTACTACTACTACTACTACTACTACTACTACTACTACTACTACTACTGATCTGCAGCTGTTTCCAGAGCTCTCCCCCGCCATTGCGACGCATGCTAGTGACCGCTGTGCCTGCTGCAAATGAAGCGGGCAGAGCTTGTAAAAACACTGCGCACACACTGCACGCAGCATTCATATATGCGAACCGTGCGCGGAAGTGGCCTCCCTCACTCTCGTGCCGAAGCAGCCAGCGCAGGCTGGAGTTAGCGCTTCGCTGGTTTCTTCAAGACCTTCATCACGGCTTGCTTCTTCGCACCATGACCAGCTGCTCGATCAGACGTCTTTGTTGTCGCCGGTTTCTTCAAGACCTTCATCACGGCTTGCTTCTTCGCACCACGACCAGCTGCTCGATCAGATGTCGTTGTTGCCGCTGCTGCATTTGCACTTTCCCTTTTCACTCTGACGGATACAACCCAGCCGCTGTGGGAGCCTTTGTTCCAAGTCACGGTACCAGGACCCAAGAGGTGATACGTGGGGTAGCCTTCGAAGTAACCCTTGTGCTTGAAGTACCCTGGGCAGTCTCGCCTGGCTAAGCAAGCAGTCTGCGCTTCGCACTCGTAAGCCATGCCACTTTTTCCTGGGGTGATATTGGTTGCTTGAGTGATGGTGCCCTCCACCTTAGATGCTCCGCTAACATGCAAAAACACACTCACACGCACACAAACAAACAAACAAAGAAAGACACCGACACACACGTACACGCGAAGCGCACAGATTCACTCATTCACAACACAACACGCGACGGATGACGACATGTCTCAGTCAGCCACATGGACAGAAGGCTACGGATTTTCCGAAAAGATCTCGGGCCACAATGCTACGCATCCGTAGCTTCGATCGGCATGTCCCTGCGCACAATTTGTGCTACTCTACAAATTCCAAAAGCGAAATGCATGCAGCTGCTGCTTTGGATCATCTAAGTCCTGCACGAAGTCATGGGAATACTTCGGCTGCAAGAATGCAGGGCACACCTTTGCCTTGCCGCGCTCCTTGTAGCCCTTTTTGATCTTCTCTTTCACTTTGCGCTCTACGAACTTCGTGGCCGCGTGAAGCGCAGAGTGGACTTGACTGTCAGTGCTGCCCGCGCTGCCCAGCTTTCCAAATGCCGAAATTGTTTTCTGACCCTGCTGCACAATCTCCCAGAACATGCCATCGCCTTCGAGACGAATATCCATATCCATGATCCCTAAGTACAGCCTGGAGCTACACCTGGCTAACATGTCCGCTGTGATCGAGACTCAATGTAGCTAGTGTACCATCTACGCTATACAGCCAAATCAACGTGAGGAGTGGGGAGAGGCATCAACCGCCAATAACCGAAAAGGCTGCTGTCGTCAACAACTTCGAGGGCGACCAAGTCACAAAAACTCTCTACGCCCTAGATCCGAAAGCCGGGCAGGGGGGTCGTGGGAACAAGCTGGGGCGGAGTAGTCAGGGAGATCCGAGGCGGGCGAGTTTCGTGGCGATCTGCTTCCACCACGATCTTTGACTGGTTCTCAGTGGGGAAGTCGGGAGTTAGGGAATTATTTGGGAATTACCTGTAAGTTCCCCTGATGGAGGCAAACGGCCTGCCGTAAGGCCCCGGCGTCGCGGCACCACCCTCGGTCTACTTTGCGTGCCTTGAAGGTATGCGTGTAGCACCTCAGCTTCACACCTGTCTCTGGATAAGACTTTTTCATGCAGCCCAGATCAGCCTGCTGGTGATTGCGTATGAATGAGTGAGTTGCCTGCTATGAACCGAGGGCGCAGCGACGACGACAGCAAGGCAGTAGCCGGCAGATGGTACGTAGAGCAGGCGCTCTCCCACCACCTCAGCGCCGGATTGTTCATACCTGTTCCCTGGACAAGAATGATATCACGACATGATGGTGCGAAGCATTTCAGACACGATTTCAGCAAATGCTTAGTCCAGATCACAGCTCTTGTTGATTTGGCTGTCTTGGGCCCAGACAGTGCCCACCGGAAAAAGGATGTTACCTCTTAGAGATCAGCCCACGGCTTTAAGTTACACTGTGGCACGCGTGCAGTTTGCTGTGATGATTGCTGATGTTGCTTTGCAAGAACCCTGACTCCCCCTGACTGCGACAACTTCACCTGCTGCCATGTCCACCGAGCATGCTGAGGAAACAGCTGGCTGGTAGGTACGTAACCACCTCAAAGACAAAACCAAAGGCAACTCTTGGGCTCAGACATGCTCAGGATGCACCATCACGCTCCAGTTTAGGCGCTCGCATGCTTCTAGGGCGGAGGGTCCAGGGATGAGGGATTGAGTGCGCCAAAGGCATCGCAATAGGCACTGGAAGAAAGTCTGCAAGCCCAAGGCTAGCAGCGCGAGCGCGATGAGCCCGGCTCGTCTATGTCGGGTAGGAAGCTGCCTTGGAGGCAAAAAACTGCCTCAAAGTTGGACAGCGCAAGCTGAGGGTTCAGGCAAGCAGTCGAGACGAGGTACAGGAGCTGCTTTTTTTTCTAGATGCACGGGATCACAGGAGGGCACGGTCTTGCATCTCTGGCAGCCTAAGGCCCCAGCAAGACGAAGCTGACGGTGCCAATAGCTCCCACATAAGCGGCCAATGGCAAGAGGAGCCGGCAGTCGGTAGTCTCGCGCACCTTGGCGCGAGAGGCCCAGGCTTTTGGCGGCACTTGCGCGGTTGCTACCGCAGCCAGAAGATGACCTCCAAGCCCTGGCGAACTGGGGCAGCCACAATGGGAATGGCATCCATGGAGTAGTCGTAGCCTGGGCGCAGCGTGTCAGTGTGTGCAAGTGACAAGATGCAGGAGGGAGATTCGCAAGGCATGTGGGCGGTTCTCTACATTAGGCTCCCGCATAGTACGGCACGTTATGAAAGGACCCGGCCAAACTCCGTTGCACCAGGCATGCGTTGCTGAGTCATGCACATAAGAACTTTGGCCAGACCAGCAGCCTTCGCAAGCGGAGCGTGATCAGTCGAGAGGGCAACATCTACAGTGACAGCACAACCTGTATTTATAAAGGCTTCTACAGGAGCCTTCTTTATCATTTAGGGCTCGGGACCTCAGCTGCTTTTGTTCCACGAGCCCTTCTCTGAACTGCAGCTCAGACCATGGGCGTGTCTACTGAAGCTTAGCCGTGTTCTTGTGGCTCCCATCTACTGTTGCAACTTCGAGGGGCCGGTTCATCTCCTTGTCCTCTCGAAAACAGGACATCCCAAAGTCGGCTAGCGCAGCACCTACAAGTAGTAGTAGTAGTAGTAGTAGTAGTAGTAGTAGTAGTAGTAGTAGTAGTAGTAGTAGTAGTAGTAGTAGTAGCTACTGACAGTCCAAATCCCGGGAAAATGTCAAGCCGCCGGGGCTCGGACTGCATGTAGACGCCATGTAAGTAAGCGTAGGACAGGACTCTGGCCTGGGTAGGAGCCCAGGATGGCGTGCCACCTAGATTTCCTTCTCGCCCCATTTCGGTGCGCTCTACGCTCCCTCTGCGATTAGGGTTGAGGGTTGTTCTTGAAGCCAGTGTACGCCCCGCATAGTCTCTGCTGGCCAGGAGCCTGCCACACTGACTCGAAGCTGATCGGGTTGTCCTGCGGGGACCTGCAGCCCAAATCGGTACCCACTGATTGATTCGCGGTCGGTCGCATCTCTCTAAACTGCCAGTCGATCCCAGACCACAGCAAAAACACGGCATCCGGGCCAGTTGCATATTCAGCTTGGTCCCTCCGGTGTGGCGGTAGCGCGCAACGAAGACAAGGATCGTGCCTTTGTCCGCGACAGGGTTAGGAAGGTCTGTGGGGTGACAAGCCTCGAATACATGACTGCAGACTGGATGCCCATGCCTGGTGTGGCTTGTCTAGGTTGCAGCCGTTACGTGCATGGCTGCTGTCCGTGTTCCCCTGTCTGTCCGAGCTTCCGACTCGCTATCAATAGTCCTATCCGAAGCCTGACGCCAATGATCCACCGCCATGGGTATGTTATGGCATTTTAGCAGCGTTCCGGCGACTGCGGGAGACCGGCGTTTGAGTGAAAAGCCTCTCTTCGGCATCTTCGGTAACAAGATCTGACGCAGTCTCAAAAACACTGGACGATACTATACCTTGACGTCAATGGCATCAGTAAGTGCATCAATATCTGGGGCATGTCGCTTCGCGACCTGATTCTGGATGCAGATGGCCACAAGCATGCAATCACACTGCAGGCCACGCCTCAAACGCCGAATGATTCCTCGGCCACTGCGACCCCTGGCCCCCGAGAAAGATGGCATTCAACCCTGCCAAGTACTGCCACGACAGCGCTGGGAGCCGAGCGTCGGCCTATCCGCTCTTTGTGATGATGTGCCAGGGCCTGCTGCCACATCGGGGTGCAGTATCAGGCTCCGACCAATTCGACACTTGCTTACCAAAGGTTTAGGGTGAGTTGTTCCAACGCAGCATGCACACTTGGCTCTGAAGCATGCAGGTGCCTGTGTGGTCAGGAAGTCCAGCAGCTCCATCAGAAATGGAATGGCAAACAACGTGAACCCAGACTCCTGCCCAGATTCAGGGTTCAGGGTTTTAGGGTTGAAGGTCTCAGCTGTGAAATACGAGTGTGGATAGTGTAGCTTACGATTACTTCTGTCGTCCGCAGCCGCCAGGTCAGCCAGGAATGCTGGATGCAGCCGCAGCTACTGAAAGTCAGACTTTGCTTGAGGAGCTCCTTGCACAAGCCACTGGCCTGAGGATCCGACAGCTTGATGCATCTGAGAAGAGAGGAGGAATTTCAACATGAGCCAGTAGCCGTTTACGGCCTTTTGCAAAAAAGGCAGGGTTGGTGGACCCTCACGCGCCATCGGATTCCCGGCAGCCTATGCCGGGAGGTCCCACAACCCCTTGGCTTCCCCGCAACAATCAGGATCACCGGCACGGCCATCCAAGCCGGATTCTGGGCTGCGCCTGGCGCAAAGTTACGAGTTTGGGGGCTTCTGGGACCTTTTTCCTCGGGAAGCTTCCGAAAGGTGGGTGTACCAGCGCGGCATGTTGGCTACAGTACCCCAGGACTTTGCTCTGGAGCAAGTCGAAGAGGGGAGAACACGCGGACCAATTATTCCATCGTATACAAGCTGACGTTGAGGCTGCGTGCGCTGTCATCAATGAATGGTTAACCTTTGAAGTAAGGCAGGCCATGCAGCAAACTCCTGCCCGACATGTTAGCAGGGGTCCCAATTCCGAGCAGCACAAGCCCACCTTCACCCAGAGATGGCGTAAAGCAGTGTGTATCGAAAGGCCGTACGCGGAGGCTGGTCCAAAGAGGCCTTCCAAGGAAGGCAGGAACACCTCTGCTCCGATAGGCCATAGGGCAATGAGCCTGCATGATACTTCAAGACTTGCGCATGCACAGCCGGCACTAGCCCTCCCTCTTTGGTCCCACATACGCAAGGTGACTCCAGAAAAGGGCTGTCTGGCTCCATGGGATAATATTCATCGGATACTTCCCACTGCGAAACACCTTTAAGGTCAGGTGGGCAGTCAAGTTGATCTGTGGCCTGAGCCACCCGACACTACTCAAGTGCTGTCCGCAACTCAAACTGCACTTTGCCTGGTGGTGCAGGCAGCATGCAAGTCAGACACCTGTGGAGGCTATCTCAGCCCAGCTTTGCATTTGCAAGGTGAGCTTGATAGTATGTCAGAGCCGCGTCGAATTCTGCGCACTTTGGCAGTCCACTAACAATGCATTTTGCCAGCGACTGCCGCGCTGCCCTCTTTGACGGCTTGTCCGCGGGAACATTGCCGTCCTGTGCAAGGCCTTCTGCTCCGCCTGGCAGGAGGGCTTCTTGTGCCACATCTTGTGCCACTCTACCTTTGCCTCTGTCCGGCAGATCTCGAAGGGCTTCTCGTAGTTGTGCCGCCGCTTGTCGCCACTGCTCGCTTACAGCCACCCCATTCACGTGTGTCAGGATGCTTCCTGGCTTCACTGCTGAAAGCTCATGGAGATCCTCGCTGACTTGCGTCACCATTAGGGGGCTGCTGTGGGCGAAGCGCATGCACAAGGGCTTCGATGCCAATCTTACTTTCACAACTCCTCCCGTTGGCCCAGTGAAGGCTAGTTGGATGCCAGGGCCACAGCTGCTGGTACTGCCAACGCTATGTTGTCTGCTCATAAAGCCTTGCCCGTCACCAGCATGCACGACGCCCTCCGCGCGGTGCTCTCTGTACTCCTCCAACTTGGGAGAATCGTAGATTCCAGTTGGTCTGTCTGAAGACGCCCTGCAGCAGGCAAAGGTCATGCCTGGCGAAAGCCCGGGGTAGTGAAGTTGATTGACTGCTTAAAACTTGAGGCACCGGCGCTGCGGGCTGGTTCACTTGCGGTTTATAGGGGGTGGGGCGCAGAGGCAACATGATGCAACATGGCAAAGCACCAGCGCAGCGTCACCACACTCGCATGTACATGACTGGTGGTCGTTAGCGGACTTGTCTCTTGAACGCCTCAAGCTTGCCGGTGGGCTGAAGAACATGCCGTAGGCATTGATGGCCTGTTTCAAATCAGGGAGCCACATCCGTAGAGGAACAACCGTTACATGCGTTGCACCTCAAGCTGAACTCATGGGATGGCATTCTCTGAGAAACCCTACCTCAAGATAACCTCAGACCTCCAACTCGTTCTGAACAACAAGCTGAGCTCAAGGCCATGAGCCCCAGAAGACACGCAAGGATGTCCTCGGACCCGTCCATCCACTTGACATCCCAAAGCCCCAGATGTCATGCGCTTCCACCCCGTCTTTAGTAACTTTAGTAAAGCGCTGGACAGCAAGCCTTGGAACCGTGGCTTCCTGCAAACAAGCCCTAAACATCCCTAAACCATCCGTGCCGCGTGGAAACAAGGCAGAATACACCTTTGTTTCTTCAAACATCTGTGTGTGGTGATTTCAGAATCTCGGATTGATTAGAGCTGATGCACGGAGAGCCGCTGGTAGGTCTGGGCCCTACATTACAATGGCCATTCTGTCCAAACGCTTCCGCTTTTTGCACAGGCTTGTCTCAGCGCGCCTGGTCGAGCTCGTCGCTCTCGTGGCAACACGCTCAGTCTGAATGTTGAACTAAGGAAATCATCTTACGAGCTCGGGGGCACACTGTTGAAAGAACAAACATATCGACCAAAAGTAAACCCTAAACCCTAAACCCTAAACCCTAAACCCTAAACCCTAAACCCTAAACCCTAAACCCTAAACCCTAAACCCTAAACATTTACAAGTACCCGAACTCTCTGACACTGGGCAGCTGACTGCGCGACACACCAGGTAAAGGACCTCACACTGGACCGTGGCTGTGGAAAGCAACAAATTTTGGAGGGTTTAGGGTTTAGGGGGTTTAGGGTTTCGGGTTTAAGGTTTAGGGGAGCATCACTGCCCTAATTGTGGACCTCTTGGACCCCGGATATGCTTGTCCTCAGTGTCTCAGTGTTTCTATGGCTGTTTCACGGGGTGACCGTCTGTCCAAGCCTGAAAGTCCTAGGCGCATCAGAAGCAGGAGCTCCGCATTGCCGGTGCATGGAAAGATGCAGTTTGGGCTTGTGCTTTGCATACCGCGCTACCGGTCAAGGTCAAGGCGCGTGACGTAGACTATTCTCTCTCCTCTCTCTCCCTCTCCCTCTCCCTCTCCCTCTCCCTCTCCCTCTCCTCTCCTCTCCTCTCCCTCTCCCTCTCCCTCTCCCTCTCCCTCTCCCTCTCCCCCTCCCCCTCTCCCTCCCTCCCTCCCTCTCTCTCTCTCGCTCTCTCTCTCTGTCTCTCTGTGGTAGACTACTGCCTGTCCTCATTAGCACCGGGCATTCTCCGTGTGCACGGGGTGGATCCCAAAAAACGCAGACGCGACAGCCTTGGTAAGCTCAGACCGTTTATAGCACTTCTTTGGTGGAATGATGCACGTGGACCCAAAGGATCCGGGACCACGAAGGATCACTGGAGAACTTCCTCACTCTTTCTTCACCTTAAGTTCACCGTGACAAGCGGCTCTTCGCTGATTCGACCGAGGTTTTTTTGCCGATTGTGATTTGCTGGGTTTGCTGCCAGAAAGGGCCTGAGTTGGAGTTGCGGTAGGATGTGGCTCTGTGCTTCGGGAGGTGGGCGCCAGGATGTTGTGTAGTGCACGAAGTGCACGAAATGACATGTTGCGAGCATTGTGTGCGTGCGTGCGCAGAGTCATGCAGGTTCTTTGTGTGTGTAGCCCAGAAATTTCGAACCCTCCCACTCCGCCCAAATCAAATCGGTGGGGTGGCAGGCAGTCTCACGCATCCGACGTCTTGTGGTCGGCGCGAATAGAGACGACCTACCGCCGCCTGCCGACTCCTACGCAAGAAGAGCGAGTGTCCTTTCAATCCGTTCACTTTGCGAGCATGTCATGCGGTGTGAGGTCACTGTGCTTGCACACGCCTCTTGCCTGGGCACTGGCCGTTTTCTCTCGTTGTTAGCATAGTACCGCAGCATTGGTTTCATGTGTAGGCTGATTGCACCTGAGCCTGACCTAAGCATTCTACAGCCCCGTGGTCTTCATTGGATTTTGGGGGAGCATATAAAGAGACCATGTAACTACCCTTAGAGAGTCTTGACACTGAGCTTCGACTAGGGCTACGCGTCGTTAAACATTTCGTGTCTGTTGCGCGGATCAGTGTCCCACAAGATGCAGATGCGGATGATGTGATAGACATGTTGCACAAGGCTCACTCCGGGCCACCGGAGGTCATATGAAGTAGGGTTTATATTTACACTCACCAAGAACAGTAATATAAACCCTACTTCATATGATTTCCGCACATTCCCGACCCCTGCAGCACGTTCCTCGGATGGTTGAGAGCCTGACGGCCCAGGAGCCAGGAAAGCCCAGGGCCACGGTGGCCTCAGTTGGATTTCTACCCTTTGCACAAAACAAAACCCATTGAAAGAGTTGAGCATAAGGCTGGTTGAACATGCCCCACGAACCTGTGCGTGACTCCTGAGGATGAAAGTGCTTGCCAGTGTCAGCATGCATCCACATAGATGCTGAGAATCGAGCTGTGCGTCCTGGCTTCAAATTTCGCACACACTCAAGGAGCCCTTCGGTTGAGCAAAGCAGGAAGCCATGCTACATAGATGCCCCTATCCATCCATGACAGACAGACAGAGCTGAAAACGCCTACGTCCTGTAAGTCCTCGTTGCAGCTGTGTCTGTAAACATCACTATACCAGCCGAAGACCCCACACAGTCGAAGCTCACACCCTCTCATTCCGCACGCCATGTGCTTGCTGCCGTGGCCTGCAAGAAGGGTCATGGTCAGCTTAGGACGTCCTCGTCCTAAACTAGGAGGCAAGCCTTCGAAAACCCAGGCAGACCCACCTACACCGACCCACGGAGACGAAGGGGGACAAGATTATGCCAATTATTTCTCTGGAACAAGCATGCCATGAACGGTGTGTCCTACAAGCAGCGCGGTCAAGCTGTGCAACAGCACGTTCGTCACCTGAATCGTGGCGTTGGTCAGAAGCAAACTCCGCCCCGAGTGTGCTGGTTTTGCTCTCGACTTGAGCCCCCTGCGTGGAAACCCGACGACTCAAGGCCATGCAGAAGATAGTTCCAACCTGACATGCTTGTAAGCCAAGATGTGCGTGCAGGAGAACATGCAGCTTGGTGGACTCAAGGACCCAGAACCCTCCCAGCCAAACTTGTGCGCACAGAGCCCTTCAAGAAAAGCCCACAAAGCCCGGACTCACGCAAAAATCTGAACCAGCCTTGCCAAGGGAGTTTGGGGCAGCTTACAGCTTAGGGGAGCTTTATGGCAGCTTAGGGGAGCCAAGGGGGGGCCTAGGATCCAAAGCATCAAGGGGCAAATCTCCGGGCATCTTGCGGAACGTGAGCGTCGTGAGTGGCCGAAAGGACTTGTTTGTCCAGCCCGACCTGGGGAGCACTGGAGACGACAGCGTGGTGGTTCATGTTTCGGTTATGGTTCTTACCCAGAATACCTGACAAGACTATTTCTGCGACTGGTTGCAGTGCGAGGTGGCATGATGTGGAAAAAGTATAGTGCATAGTGAGTCCAAAGCTGCACGCCCAGGCATTGCACACCACTTCTGACGTAGCAGCAGCAACACCAGCGACACCACACAGGGCCCGAACGGGCCTGAAGCACGCATCATCGTACCCGGAAGGTCTCTGCTAAGGCAGCTTATGCACTAGCGTGCATGCTTTGGCACCCTGACTGCCAAGCCGAGATCCCAGCCCATGCATGGGAAGACCCCAGAAGTCTCTTCGCATCAGCTCATTGAAGGAGAACGCTTCCCCAACAACCTCAGAAGTCGCGCACAGAAACGTGTACAACGACGCTTTCTCAAGAATCGCTGCAAAGGTTACAGGGCATACAGTAGGTAAGGAGTCGTCTTGTCCTTTACGCTCGATACTGGGGGATCGGTCCTGGCAGTATGCAGAATTCACGCATGCGCATTGAACCTGCTCAGCACCAGGCGTTGGGATTCCTAGAAACACCCACGGTGTCATCCATGAAGAAGCCGGAGTACCTCGAACCATGAGACTAGAATGTGAGCGGGTCTAGTTGGGGGAGGCGGGGGGGGGAGGGAGGGAGTTGACGGTGTTGAGTCGTGCTGGGGATGTGACCACGCACTGCAACGGTGGAACAGCTTGGAATTCTAGAGTAGTAGTCCCTTCCCCCCAATACCAAACCCCCCCGCCCACCCCCTAGTTTTAAATGCACCCCCCAGATACTAGATGTATGTAGAACTATAATGGGGGGCATTTAGGGGGGGAGGTTTCACATTTGGAGGAGGGGATTCTAGAGGTCAAGCAAGACTGTGCTGGCAAGCCGGCGTCTGACATTTTCGTCGAAGGTGGCAGAAAATTTGGCAACTGGCTGTGCTCGTGATAACTTACTGTTGGTTAGTAGGGACTGAGGGACTGAGGTACCCTATGTAATCCCTTAAAGGGCATATTGACAGGTATACCCTACTAACCAACGGTAAGATGACGGGGGAACTGCAGGATTGCCCCTGCGGCACTGAAACTACTACGAGTTTCAGAGAACAGGCCCCCCTCAACCGCGGCTAAGCGGCTCCGGCACCATCAAAGGTCCAGGCACTAAGTTGAAATCTCTGTATCAGCTCAAAGAGCAGCTCAAAGTTACCTGATGCCTAGGCACCGCAAGCCTGTCCTGTGAGTGCTATGGCGCCAGCGAATTAACATAAAGCTCGGGTCCAGATTCAGATCTGACCTTTCAAGAGGCCATAGTCAGTAACACGCTTTAGACTAGAGACGGTCGTCAATGAGAGTACTTGAATGCTGCCTTTAGTAGCAAGCAGTCTGCTGGTAGGCTGGGTTGCCGAACAAAATCGACTTCATGGATCTTCACGGGATAGATATTCATTCCTGTTGGCACTTCTGCAGCAAACTAGAAGCAAGCGGGGCTGCCGTGAAGTAGGCCTTCGGGGAATTGCTTGCGCTAAGGATACTGGCTGCAATCGTCTGTGCAGGGCAGAGGCCTCTAGTGCGAATCTGCTGTCCAGAGCGAAGCCAGCTTACATCCACGCTGCCGCAGCAGGCGAGCTCCCGGCGATGCCCATTCAAGGATCGTTCACCAACTTCTTCGCAACCTCTACTTGAACCCTACGCCCTCTGAGAAAAGGTGCATGGCAATGCACGGGCACCCTGTGAAGCTTTGAGATGCTGCTTAGCGGCACCATCTGCGCATGCCTGGAATATCAACTGTGTCTGGAATGGAGACTGCGTAGGTGCGATCTTCTGGGCCTAACTGCTCGTCACCCCGCAAAACTGTCGAAGGCACGTGTGTGGGGTCTTGCTAGGTTCGTGTACAAAGGACCTAGATTCACCTCTCCACTCAACTCACCACCAGTAGCAACACTCAAAGTGGGACAGTCTGGAATCAGAAGAAATACGGTTCTGAGTTCTTCTGGTACAACACTGGTACAACGCAATATCATCTTAGCATGTCGCTGTGCCGTCATGCTCCTGTAGAGGCTTCCGTCCCCTCCCCTGACGTCTGCTTCTGAACGCTTGCTCCAACTTTCAATTGGCTGCTTTCTGGCAAACTGAAGAACTCGCATGCGCTCGCAGCCTCTCACTTCCCTACATCTGCCTATGCTCCTCTTCCAGGCACAGCGAACAAACTGCCATCAGCTCCGAGCAAGACATGTTGGTCCGCCACTCTCATGCAACTGCCGGCAAGCTTCAATGTGCTGACGCCCGGGTGGCCGATCTCGTGACTACAGGAGCATGTAGGTTTTGACGTTGAGGCCGTCGCAACATCACAGTGCAGAGCAAACTTCATGGTGGCTCTCTGATTCCCTTCATCCCTGGAACTCTTCAAACCCAACCACCACCGGGGGGGGGGGGGGGCAGCTCATTCTCCAAATCTACTAGTAAGCATCTTTGCCCCTCGGACTTAGCTCACCTGTGTTCATGACTTTATGACTGGGAGTTGCATCCGAAAAGCCGTGCCCTTCTTTTCTTGTAGGGGACCGGACGCACATGCACATTGATCTGCTACCGGCCAGGAACATGAGATGAGCACAGCACTGCAAGACTCCACATCCCGCATTCCTCATGCTGAACACCTTGTTGTGGACCTACAGCTCGCCTCAGGTAGTTCATCCTATTTGCTGTGTTCTTCCAATCGAACCGGAAGCCAATCCCCACAGGCTGCTTCTCTTCCTCCACCTGCACCTCTAAGAATTCCAGCAGCCAGAAAGTCTGCGCCAGCATCCAGAATCCCTTCCGACGTTGCGTATTTAGACAAAACAGCTGCAAACTAATCCTAAACCCTAAACCCTAAACCTTTCTCTTGCGCAACCTGGGTGAGAACATTAGCCACCTGCATCCTCTTGCGTTCTTTTGGGCATCCTGTTTTCCTGGAATAGCAATTGCAACCTGCAGAGGCTGCGGGGGAGCCCATGTAAGCTGTAAGCGAGTCTGCATTCGTAGCAGCACATGCTTAGGCCAGGGTCGTGACGCCTTGAACTCCTTGAACAATTTAGGGTTTAGGGTTTAGGGTTTAGGATTTAGGGTTTAGGGCTTAGGGGTTTAGGGCTCAGACACGTTGGCTCCCTGTCCATGTGGCGCTGCACCGCTACGAACGTCCAGACTCACCCCTCTGGAGTGGCCTGGGGGCACGGCTGGGCTCACGTCATCAGCTACATCTGGTCTCAAGCTTGACTGCTACTTGCTTAAGAAAAAACCCAACAAATTGAAAAAAACATAACAGCCCCTATATTACCCCGAGGAAGAACTTTAATCTTTCATATATATATATATATGTTTTGGGCGGGTGGTTCTTAAGCAGTTCGTAGTCTATCTTCAGCAAATAATAATGCTCTCAACTCGACCATTTTCAGGAATCTTACAGGGCATCCTCATCACACTATATACCATAATAGCCTACACAAAGAACAGCTCAGGCCTAGCAGCCAGCGGCTCCCAAGCAATGATTCAGTGCTTTTTTTGAGGAAACACTCTCCCACGTCACCGTCACTTGACAGAACTTCACACGATTTGACACATTTATTCTGTGGCAACCTCCTCCGCAGTCACGGCCGGCTTCCATAAGCTCCAAGGACGGTTGCAGGGGCGGAACTTGGCTCTCGCCCAAGCGACCACGGAATAACTTGGAGGTGCGGCCGGAGTAGCACGCGTTGCATGCGCGACATGCGGAGCAAAGGATTGGCTGTCTGACTTAACAACGCTTAATGGTTGCCAGCCAGCGCGGCTTGCACATGCGCCTCTTTGAAGATGCATGCCTGCTTTGGCTGTAGCTCTCGCACTCCACCTTGAACTCTGGGATAGGGCGTACTTTCACAAGGACACTCAAGCATGTGCGTGCGACAGTTCAACCCTGACAAGCCCTCTAGGCCACCAAAATCCGCCACACCCCTCTTCAGGACCCAGAAGCGGTAGCCCGGTAGCTCTGGAGGATCCAGTATAAGACCCTTATATCGCATCTTATCGGACCATCGTCACGTCATCCACAGCTCAGGGGTGCTGAGGGGCTCTCGGTTTAAGAGGACAACGAAAATCTACGAGAGAGCTCTGCAGGCATGGTCTGTAGATTGGAAAGAGAGGCTCTTGGACCGCTGAAACAGCTCCTTCTGTGCTGAGGCTGAAGAGATGGCTCTGCTTGTCTGCACATGGCCACTTGAGGTTGCAGAGGGGCCCCAAACCCTAAACCCTAAACCCTAAACCCTAAACCCTAAAACCCTAAAGCCCTAAACCCTAAGGGCCTTACAGCACTAGACACGCTCCCCGCGCACCACAGAGATGCAGATCAACAGGGCCATCAAACCGAGCAAGAGCCTGGAGCTGCTCACAGATCTCGACCTTTTTAGCGCTTCTCACCAGTTTCTACACCCTAAACCCTAAACCCTTTCGAATACTGGACCCTAAACCCTAAACCCTAAACCCTAAACCCTAAACCCTAAACCCTAAACCCTAAGGTCGTGATCGTGATCTAGGGCACCTCCCAGCTTCCTTGCTCATGTGCTTGAGAAACTGACACGCTGCGAGTAGCTGCGAGCCCATCATCTCTGCCTCTGCTTCTCCCGCTTTTCTTCAGGTAAGTCTTAAGCGTTCATGGCTCGCGCTTCGAGATCTGACTGTCCGCACTGAAACATAAAGCCGCCACGTCCTGCGAAATTACTATTGGCATCCAGAAGCTTGTGCTTGGACGCCTCGGTGAGGGGGTGGGAACTGGCACAAGCACTTTCGGTCCTATGACCCGACCCGTGCTTACAACAAATGCTGCACTGCTGGAGCCGGTGCCACCCGAGCACACCTAACTTAAAATGGTCGAATCCGTGGCTGACACCTGCCACGGGTTGAAGGACTTGTTCTCGTTTTCCATCTTGGATCTGGTAAGGGCCACCCGATCTCCAGGCAGTCTGAGAAGCACCCTTAAACTCTAAACCCTTTGCAGAACACAGACTGGAGAAGCCCTGGGTTCACTTCCATTGCTTAGCTGCTTAGCTCCCCGATCAGCCTCTTGTGTGGCCCTACCGCTTCTAGGCAGCCAAAATCATCATCTCGATCTGTCATGTGAAAGGTGGCCACAACATGGTCACACGTGACTCATGAGATGTTTACCTTACGGCCTGCTTCATGAAGAGTCTGGCTCATGTCACCAAGAAGGAGAACACCCTGCAACCCCCGTCCAAACATGCGCCCAAATTGTAAATAGTATAACCCTTATCCTTAGGAACCTCCCCCCCAAAGGGGTGCCCCGATTTTCGGAAACCCCCATGTGTAAGCAGGCTCTTTCTGAGGATACTGTGCTACACATGCCGTTGAACACCAGGAGAGGCAATAAGGGGGCCGCGCAATTAAAACGAAAGAGGGTAGCCCAAAGTGTAATCTGAACCGAGTGCCGCTGATGGCGTGTGACTTGTGTGGCCGCCATTGGGGCCAAGAAGGCGTGACTTGCCGGCGAGCAGAGCAAAAAGAGGCGCACGCATCCGACAGCTTCTCACAACAGGGAGGGTGATA